ATCCCAAAATAAGCCATTAATCATGTAAAGGTCATTTTGTGATTGACGCCTGGTGGCAGATGGGGAAGACTCAAGGGGAGAGATTGATCAAGACTGCAGCGAGAAACAATATTTCAACATTCATGATATCTGGACCGTGAAGAACATACGATACAAAAACACAAAGTCAATTTAAAGCACAAAAATCAGCTGATTGTTTTAGTGCAACTAGAAACCGCATACAAAGGAGGCAATCACGTTTTGGCCACTGAGGCTCATGGACACAGACAAACCTGGCAACCCAGAGAGAAGAGACGGAGTCAGTCTGCCAAGAAAGGGAGTAGAGACTGAGCAACAATCAATGCAACACAACAGCCTGTAGGAAGACTGAAAACCCCCAGCTTGCTATCAAAACAAAATAAAGCTATTAAAACGTTGACATGCTCCGACTTCAAAGTGCTCTCATTATAATGGGAAACATTGTAGGGCTGCGATTTCTTCATTTTGAATTTGCCTTTAAGTTGTGTTAAAGGAAGTGACAACGCACCTCCCCCTCAATCACAACAGTTTGTGTAAAAGGCTCATATCAGACTGACAACAGAAGTACCAAGAAGACTGCAGACGTGGACTCATGAAGCCATTAACTTGTAGTTTGGTCATGTGGTTTTCAAGTCATGGTTGGACACCCTTACAAAGATCCATCCATCCATCCATTTTCTACCGATTATTTCTGTTCCCGGGGTCGCAGGGGGGCTGGAGTCTATCCCAGCATCTTCGGGCGAAGGCAGGGGGGTGCCCTGGTCAAGTCGCCAGTTCATCGCAGGGCTGACATATAGAGACAAACAACCATCCATGCTCACATTCACACCTACGAGCAATTTGAAAGTGGCCGATTAACCTAACCCCTGACCCGGATTCGAACCAGGACCTTCTTGCTGTGAGGTGACAGTTCTAACCACTACACCACTGTGCCGCCCCCTTACAAAGATCACAAGATAAATTTACTGAGTTTTGGATAATAAATGAAGCAGAAAAGGAGAAAATATACAATTTGATATACGAATCTATTCAACTTCTTACTGTGTTTATTTACTTGCAGATTCATCATTTTTAATCCATAAATTTATCACTTTATTATTTCATTATTTTAGGCCCTGAGCTCCTTCTTCTCTTAGATTCCTCTGGACTGTTGCTGCAGACATGAACATCAGCTTCACAGACATTAATAACATAAAACTAAACTTAACTACTATTAGGCCTGCTGACTGTAATCACATTAAATTAATTTAACATAGCTGTTAACATAACATGAGCTGTTGTTGTTGTATTAATGTTGCTGCTGACCCATGTCTCCTTCCTTTTCCCTTGTTCTCTTTCTCTCTCCCTGCTCTCTCTCCTACTCCTCTTTCTCTCTCCCTCCCTATCTCTCTGTATTTCTCCCCAACCCAGCAGCGGCCTGGTGGCTGTCTAACATGAGTCTGGTCCTTCCCGAGGTTTCTGCCTGTTAAAAGGAAGTTTTTCCATTGCCACTGTCACTCATGTTAGATGAGATGGGTTGAATCTGTCCCATCCTAAGGTTGGGTCTTGATAAATTTGATTTTAATAGCCAATCCTTTCATACGGGCATTTAGTGGTCAAACTTTGCTGTAAATGTCATGGTATGTTCTGTTAATTTAGTATTTCCCTGGTTTTGTCATTTGCGTGTATTTTTTGTGCTTTTCCTAGTGTTTCTGTTCCCTATTGTTCCTGTGATCCTGTCTTGTGAGTTTTCAGTTTGTGTTTGACCCCATTTCCCTCCTGTTCTCAGTGTTTTATTCTTTAGATCTGTTTTTAGTGTTTATTTTCAGTTTTATTTGGTAGTAGTAGTTTAGTCTGGTTTTACTTCCCTAGTTTTCCCTCCCTCGTTAATCAGCTAACGAGTTTCACCTGTGTCTCCTCTGCCTCACCTGTTGCTCGTTATCCAGTGTGTATATAAACCCTGCCTTCCCCTCTGTTCTTGTTGATTCATTGTATGTCTGTGTGTGTCTGTGTGCTTGTGTCCCCACTAACTCCCTGTGATCTTGCCCCAGTGACTTTTAGATTTTTCTCTTTTTGTTGCTTTTTTCTTTCTTTCTTTTTAAAAAAATCCTTTTTTTTTGTTCTACGTTTTGGGTCCTTTCCCTTTTTTGTTTAACAGTAAAGTTACAATTCTCAGAGCACAACCTTCCTCCTGTGTTAGCTTTTACTACGCACCCACTATGTTAAGGGTCGGTTTTGACCTGTGTCTTAAATCAGCTGTAAATCACACTAAAAACAATTCTCTAACATCCAATTTGGTTCTCATCTCTAGGTTAACTTGTTAGGCTTCATTATCCATGAAAATATTGCTTATAATAGTTTTTGTAGTGCCAGTGTACCCCTCATACAGACATTTATAGTGAATTGATCTCACATGTCTGGACATGCCCGACTAGAGAAACAACATAGCAAAATGAGAATTTCCTAAATCTCACATGATCAGAAGAGGATCTGACTGTCAGTGTGGTGCCTGTTAGTGCACTTAAAATTTCAGTTTTTGCTCTAATTTTTAGATATTGATCTAACCGGGTCAACAGTGACTCTAACATGACAAGTGCCATAATTTTAATAAGAGCATTTTATAATTTGTTGACACTGGAGGAGGGTTAACAACTTTAAATCTTTCAATCCAAGATCCTGCATTTGAAATTTACTGGAGGATTTGAATTTCTGAGCCAAATAGACAGAAATCACTGCAGAGTAAAAACTGAGTTGGCTGCCTGCAAATTTACAATCATGGTAGTGTTGTTTGATAACCACAATGTCTTTTTAAACTCACATTTTATCAGTCTGCTCTCCGTCTTCCTCGTTTATCTTCAGGACAGCTAACTGCGCTGTAGCTAATGTCACACTTCATGTTTACTGTCGTTAAACTGACAAATATTTGTGCTTATCATGACTTAGGGGTTTGAAAAATGTCAGTCTTGCTTTTTCTTTTCCTTCGCCTAGACTTTAAAAGCATAGCTGGTGATTCACAGTACAGGAGCCCAGCAGCTGAATAGGTTTGGGTTGGTTTTATTAGGTTGTAAAATAACCCAGAAAAAAATGACCTAACAGACTCAGCAGCCTCTTTTTTTTTTGGTGTGAAGGTGCTAGAGTGAAATGTGCAAACCACTTCTTGTGACTGAATTTCATTACAGTGACTGTGCAAACATTACACAACCTAATTTTGCAACAGCGCGGTTAATTACAGCCTCTCCAGTGAAGAAAATCTGAGTTTGACAGACTGTGCGAGGACGGGAGAAAAACGACAGGTGTACTCTGAGAGAGTGAGAGAGAGAGGAAGTGAAACCAAGGCAAAGGAGAGAGAGAGAGAGAGAAAGGTGGTCTATATATAGGTAGCGACAGACTCGGATAAAAAGAGAGCTGATAGAGGGAGAGCAGAGGTGAAGAAAAGGGTGAGACACAGAAAGAGTAGGGAGCTGAGAGATGAATTACAACCTGTACCGCTCTCTGGTGTGCCAGGTGAGCAAATAAGGAGGAGAAACAAAAACACGACTGTCTTGACATTTAGACGTTCAAAGACAGAATTCAGATGTGAAAGGATAGAAAAACCTGCTGTAGCGATACTGACAGGGTGGAGCGATGTGCTCTACGTCTGCAGCGGCAGTCCTGGTATTCAGAGGGTATCTCAGCCTCTCTCTCTCTCTCACACACACACACACACACATACACTCACTCTCCTCTGTTACCTTGGCAACATATTTTCTGCATGGAAATAGCATCTCTGGCTGTGCATAACACACAAAAAAAGAGGCACTTCAAGAGATTTAAACGCGTCTGGAACAGATTTAAGTTCAGAGATTTGACCTGCAGATTGGATGGAATTGAGCTGTGCTGTTCTGCATGTCTTACCGTCCAATTGGCTGTTTGACGGAGCATTGGAGGAGTTAAGCATAATGGCCACTGACAGGCCGTTACTATCTGTACAGAAGAAAGATAAATCTACAGTTAAATCAATTTATACGAGCGCGTATCCGTAAAGCAGAGTCTCCTTTTATGGGTTTAAATCTGTATGTCTTGCTTATATAAAGATTAAAGTAGAATACCCTGTATTAATGCTTGACACAGCTTATACAGAGTAATGTTTACTCTGGCGTAAGCTTGCCTCTGGATTTATTTACAACCAAACGACTCTGAAATTCAGCCCTTGACAAGCAGAGCACAAGCACGGGAAAGATCCTGGCAGGGGTGTTATTAAGAAATGTAAAATAAATAATAAACCACACCGGGCTGAGGGTTGATCTGTGAGGATTTTTCTGATTTAGTTTCCACTCACAGATGAAGGGCTTTAGCGCTGCCACTGTGCGGATCTGACTTTGCCCCGCTATGCTTCGGTGTGATAAACCTTTGTTTGCTTGCAACGGAGCGGGAGTCAAACTAATGAAAGAAAATCCCGGCGTTCAAGATTGTAGGTGAGATCAGCTTTAGCCTCAAAATAATCTGAGACTCGGCCAAAGCCGGGGAAAAAAGAAAGAGAGAGAAAGGAAACGAGGAGAGAGTAACACGCAGGTAAACATGCAGCGAGGAATTAAAAATAGAAAGAAAAAAAAACGTACAAGTGCGTTGACTCCTGGGAGAGAGCAGCCATAATGAAATAAGCATCTGAAAGAGAGCAGGTGTTGGAGGCTTGACAGACTTCGGCTGCATAACAAGTAGCACATTTACTCTCCCCTGCTTTTGTCAATCAAAACAAGCAATCCTGTGAATAAATGCTCCCTTAGAAGGGGAAAAAAAACAGGGAAGCAGACCGAGACCCCCAAGTGGAATCATACCTGAATCAGACCTTACACACGCGCACGTAAAGTAGGGATGCTCTCGCACATCCTTCCACTCAAAGTTGGTCTCAGGTAGAGATAAAACAAGCCTGGCTCTGAATTTCAAGCAGCACGTCTGAGCTGTTTGGAGGCTAAAAAAGCCAATAAGACATCAAGAATGCCCTGGAGCTGAATCAATTGATTCTCTCACAGAAACAACACAGCTCCCCTTTTGTTTTTCTCTTCCGTCTGAATCGTCCTGTGTGACTGAGAATGAGGACACGAGTTATCAAATACAGGGAGAAGTCTCCACACACACACAAATAAGCTCAAAGAGGTTGTTGTTGTTGTTGTCTGCTGCACTAGCCTGGGGTTCAGCACCATGGACAGCACCACCACCGCCGCCTCAGAATGAAGTCCTCAGAGCCAGGAGGGGGCAGTAATGAGAGGCGGGCCGGTCAGGATCAGAGGCCTAAGGACCTGAGGATCTGAGCAGGACGCTGAGGCAGACAGTCGAGCTAATCCTGCTGGGTGAGCACAAAGAGGAGAGGACTTATGTGTAAACTCAATAAACAGCAAGTGGAGACCAGAGGAAAGAAGGAGAGAAGGACTGAGGAGAGGAGGGGTGGAGGAGAAAAATCCACCACCATGCTGACGCAGCTCATGAAAAGACTGAGTCAAATATAAAAGAAGAAAAACAGTTTTTCATTGATTTTTTCCAATTTCTCCTTCAGAGCACACTTGGGAAAGCCTGTGGTGTGTTTACTTACCCTACAACTGAAGCTTTGAGGGTGAGTTTTCTAAATTGTTTATTAGTCTCTTTGTAAGCTTAACATGAAAAACAACACATTTAAAACAGCCGTGCAAGTTGAAGAAAATTTAAATTTCTCCTTTTCTTCCTTCTCACTGATTCAGGAAGTGATAAATTTCCTGGTCCGAGCTTCAGACTTTTATATTAAAATCTTCCTGTAGCTCTTTCTTGATTTTGCAGAAACCGGTGGATAACAAAAATGTGCCTGCAGACACCGGGGCAGTGTCCAGAGCCTCTGCGTGATTGGACTGATAACACTTCTATTTGGGGAGTTAGGGAGGTTCAGCTGGAAAATGATATGTATAAAAAAGTGCAAATCCTCAATTACAAAAATGATGATCATGCTTCAGAAAAGTACTCGAGTTTAGGTGCATCCGTTTGAGCCAGAAATAAAAAATAAATCCACTTATTATGCAGAACAGCTCAGTATATCATTGGATCCTTCCTCCTGATGCATTAACATGTCAGCAGCGCTTTAATGTTGCAGCCAGCCTGCTGCAGAGGGAGCTAATTTTAACCGCGTTATGTACCTGCATGTTAATCAAAGTAACAGATCATACTGGAGAAAGACAGCGTGTTATTTTAAACCGGATTTTTTCTTAAGAGGGAGTACGACAAACCTTCAAATACATTTATTTTCTTCAAAAGTATGTCGGAATGACTTTAACCCTGATACAGCATCAATGGGAGAAACAGGAATTATAGACTGTATGTCAACTTTGTTAAAGCTCCTGTTAGTCTTTTTAAGGTGGTTATGAAACAGAGTGAAAATACTATGAATGTCTCTGTAGAAAGAAGCTGGACCATCAGCATAAGCGGTGTGCAGTGGTTCTCAACTGGTGGGTCCCGACCCAAAAGTGGGTCGTGGATGCACTCTGGATGGGTCGTGAACAGCTGGATTAACCTGAATGTTAATCAAAGTAACATACTTCATTCAACATCATACCGGCGAAAGACAGCATGTCATTTTATACAGGATTTTTTCCTAAGAGGGAGTATGACAAACCTTCAAATACATTTATTTTCTTTAGAAGTATGTTGGAGTGACTTTAACCCTTATATAGCATAGTATATACTATAGACTGTATTCATAGACTGTATATACTATGGACAACTTGGTTCCGCCTCCCGCCTGTATACAGATTTAAAGCCAAAAAGCTCTCAGTATTTCTGCGATGTTTCTTCATTTCCTAAAACCAGCATTGTGCAGCAGTGTTGTGCACATTCGGCAAGAGTTGCTGTGATGACGCTGTGCAATCCCTGAACGCCAATAGGCTGTATCAGGTGTCAATCATAGAAAACATGAACCCCTAATAACTTTTAAAAACGGAGCTTCACAGAAAAAAAAGGACTTGAGCACAAACCAGTCTGACAGTCTGACTGTGTAATAAATTTCTAAAGTTTGTCCAGAGCTGCATAAGTTTTACTGGCAGAGGCGGGATTTATGACCTATACTGCAGCCCGTCACCAGAGGGTGCTGTTCTCGGAGTGGCTTCACCCAGAAAGGAGGCAGACGCTGTCCATTCTATATACAGTTTACGATGTCAACTAAAGCTCCTGTTCGTTTTTTAGGTGGTTATTGTAAAAGATTATGCTGTTGCTGATGCTTGCTCATTGAACATCCTATATTGAGTGCACATTAAAACACAGGATCCAGGATTCAGTTTGACGGTTTATTTTGCTCGTCTTCAGTGGATGATTTTTTCTGTACAATCAAAAGGAATATAAACAAGATGTATCAACATAAAATATTACAAAAAAGGGGGGACTGATAAAGTCAAATGAATTGTAAATTGGTTAACTAATCTTACATCATAGATGCATCCACTTCGGGGTTTTAAATCAATACATATGCGTTTTAGGGTGACAGGAATAGTCAGATTCCCTTTGTTCAGTGCTGCTCTTGTTCAGGCTGCAAAAGGGAGAGCAGGCCTGAGGACTGGCTTTTATGGTGTTGGGGGTGTGGTTTGGCCTTGAGTGACAGGGGAGTCAGGTATGGAGATGGTGAGGTGAGAATTTGGGATTTAACAGTTATGAAACAGAGTGAAATTATTATGAATGCTTCTGTAGAAGGAAACTCGACCATCGGCATAAACTGTGTTTATTATTGTCTAAAACAGTGGTTCTCAACTGGTGGGTCCCGACCCAAAAGTGGGTCGTGGACAGCTGGTCAAAAAAAAGGAAATATTTAATGCACATCTGATGTTTGAAAAATAACTTATTTTGAAAGGCACGCATTATGTCTTGGTCTTCCTCGGTTTCTTATTAATGAGGCCTGAATGCAGTAAAATTACATGTTTTTTTTGGTCTTTATTTAGTGCAATTTGATATTTATTCAGTTATGTCCATGCTATTGCGTGGTCCTCCTCAGGTTCTTCTGAATATGCTCTGAATACAGATTCAAATAAGTCAAATTTTTCATTTTGCTGGTCTCCATTATATACAATTTGATATTTTCTCTATATGCAACTTTAGTAGTTGTCATCCTCAGTTCATGTGCTGTGAAATACACCTTACTCAATGAAATAGGTGTATTTAAGTCGCAGATTTGAGTCTTTAAAGCTTTTTTTTTAATATAAGAAATAAATTCGCTTGGTTTGAAGTGGGTTGCGACTTAAGGACCATGGGAAAATGTGGGTCCCAGAGTGAGACCAGTTGAGAACCACTGCCATCGGTAGGTGTCAGCACCCTGCAGAGGCAGTCTGGTAAAACAGCAAGACGGGGTTTACTCTTGTTTAATCACTTCTTATCTGCTCAGGAGAAAGAAATCAGCAAAGATCAAGAGTTACCACTTAAGGTACACCTTCTTCCTCCACCTCTAAAGCAGTTTTTGTATTCATGAATAAAAGAGACAGACCTGAGCGAAAAGTAGTTACTGATCCAACATCTTACTTACAAACTGTTCCTGTCTGTCGACTCCCTGATCGTTCCTGTTTCTTAAGCGCGAAAATGATCCTGAAGCGCGGCTGCTACACTTCATGAAGCATCCTCATCATGAGAATTTAACAAGAATCAATGTTTGTCTTTTTTTTTCTTTTTTGGAGTGGTTGCTATTATAACAGCTGGAGAGCTGTAACTAATGGCTGTTTTCTCAGTTAATTGCTTTCTTGGTAATTTAATGTCCGAAAACAGTGAAAGCATTCTCATTTAATGTGATCAGAAAATACCACTTAACAACCACAAACAAAGAAAAGCAGAAAATCCACATTGTTCGTTTGGAACTTGCTTAATAATCTCACATTTGAAGGGTCAATTTGGTGCTTAAGCTGTAAATAATACAGCTAGTGTGTAACTAAAGTATAAAGAGACTAAGTGACTGAAGGAACGTGTTTTAAATGAGTAATTCAAGAGGAAAATGGCTTAGTGCTTTTTTTTGTAGATTTCTCCAGGGCTGGAATGACCCATTTTATTGTGGGCAGTTGAGATACATGGGTGTAAATACCAACAAAGGAAGTTAATGGTTGACGTCTGTACATTACATTCTAACAAAGAAAGTGATGGTCTCGCAGTCCACTTGATGTTTGCTTCAGATGCGTCAGCTGAGTGCATGACTCAGCCGCCTGTTAGAGTCAGTTCATAGAAAATATAAAGCAACTCATGACTAAAAGTTTAATTGGTTAACACTTTAAATCACACCTCTATCTATGTCTACGTATTTTCAATACAGCCATACAATACAAGTATACAAGGTTATTCTGTGGTTAGAGAAAAATACAACCAAGGGCATGGAAATGCAAACATACAGCTGTTTTTTAAACTTTTGTATCATAGGTACGATCTCATAATGCAGGAGAGGGGAAATAATAACCACATTTTTACCAAACATAGCCTGAGACAAGTGTACAATATGCACACTCAAGGAAAATAAAAGCTATGTGAGAAAATAAAAGTACTAATAGATCGCTGCTTCTTCTGCTCGCGCTGGTAAAAATAAGTCTCTGATGTTTGTCCGTGAGTTCCATCTTCTGGAAGCTGAGTGCCACTGAAGAAAAAAAAAGGGAAATGTGTTGGTCTGGGCTTTGGGGAGTAGTCACTGTGAACCTCATCTGATATGACAGCAATAGAAAGGGGACGCAGGAAAGCGAGCTGAATTTCAGTGTTTCAGAAGTCTCTTAATCTGTCAGGGTTTTTTCTTCCTCATATAAATCAATAAGTCTTTTTTCTGTTTCCGTCTTCAAAAGAGAAGTCAGACGCTCTCTTTTTCTTCTCGGTAGGTGTCTGATGCTGGTGGGTGGGTGGGTTCTCATTGGTTATTTTTGGCTTTGGCGTGTGTGAGGATGTGAGACTTGAGGTTGGTCGACTGCGCGAACTTCTTATTGCAGCCGTCGAAGGGACAGACGTAGGGCCGGTCTCCAGTGTGGATCCGCACGTGTGTGCGCAGGTTGAAGTCCAGAGAAAACCTTTTCCCGCAGCCTTCGAAGGTACACTGAAATGAGAGGAGACGAGTGGGGAGTCAGTTTTCATGTTGGTTATAAACAGTGATATACAATATAACATAGGGCCATATGTCTACTCAGAAAACTGTATCTACACTGCAGGCCAAAAGTCTGGAAGCAAGATCAGATTTGTACAAAAAAAGATCATAGTTCCATTAATTTTGACTATAATTATTAGGTATTTGAGTTATTGTTGCTTAGACTTTGCTTTCTTTAAAGTAACCTCCTCTGGCTTTAACAACAGCTTGGCATATACCAGGCATTCGTTCCTCAAGTTCTTTAAGGTATGTTCCAGGGATTGAATTCCAAGCTTTCTTAAGTTCATTAAAAAGAGACTGCTGATTCGTGGGACACGTTTTTCTGACCGATCGATCCAATTCATCCCACACAAGCTCAATTAAGAAAAGTCTGGCGACTGAGGGGGCCAAACCATCTTTTGAAGAACACCTTCCTCTTCTTTTTTGTCTAGGTAACGCTGACAGAGCTTGGCAGAGTGCTTAGGGTCATTGTCTTGCTGCAAAATAAACTTTAGAGCCATAAGCCTGAGTCCAGATGGAGCAGCATGGTGCTGGAGGATGGAGTGGTACTGTTCCTTCTTCATGATACTCTTTACTTCAAACAAATCTCCTACTCCATCACCTGCAAAACATCCCCGTACCATGGAACTACCACCTCCTTGCTTAATTGTGGGTGTAACAGTTCAAACTTGCTTTCATCGGTCCAGAGAACTTGTTTCTAGTCATCATAAGTCCAATTTTTGTGAGCTTTTGCCCACTCATATCTCTTTTTCTTGTTCTGTGGATGAAGTAGTGGTTTTTTTTTTGCAGATACACAACCCTTCAGACCAGCCTTTCTCAAACGTCTTTTCACCGTTGTCAGAGATATGGGTTTTGACCTTGTCATGTTGATTTCCTCCCTTATTTTTGGTGCTGTCTTTTGCCGATCTCTCTTACTGGTGACAATGATATGTTTATCCTCTGCTTCATCATAACTTCTAGGTTCCTCTAGTCTCTTGAGAGTGTAGTGGACTCCTTTGTTAGACACCATTAGGCGTTTTGCAATTTTCTCTCTCTGTGTATCCTTTCCTCAATGTACAAATCTGTACTTATGTTTCTTTACTTAGTTGCTTCTTTCTAGCCATTTCCGCGGTATTTTGAATGCAGTTGAGATTTACTAGGATTTTTGTATGCAGACTCTCAAAGGCCAAAAAGTTGAAGTGAACAACCCAACTGTGATTTGTTTTTTTGCTTTTGCACTGAAGTTGTGACTCTTGCAAATGTTTTCAACCCTAAAACTAAGCCCTTATCTTTTGCTGACATATATTTAGCAATGGTCTGTTAACATCAATGTATATCTAAAGGTAAATGGAGTAAAATGGTGCATTTCCATGAAAGCAACATTTGATCACAGAGTAAATACATCCCAAAATACATAAAACTCATGCTGGATTTTAAAAAAAGCATTGTGAACAAAAACTTGAAGTTACTCCCAACTGTTCAGCCTGTCATGGCCTTGCTTCCAAACTTTTGGCCTGTAGTGTATATAACTTTGATAAACACATCATTACATAGAGTAATATTATTCATTTTTGGACAGTGGTGTGAGTTACAGTAAGAAATAAGGGACCTTTGATTTATTTAGTTTTTATGACTGCTGTAGTTGGTGGGTGATAATTTGAACCCTGTGAGTGAGCGGTTAATTATGATCCCATTCTCCGTGGCTTGGCTTAAAATAGTCAGAGGCTAATGCGCTTAAAATTAAAAAAATATATATATAGTGTGAGTGTATCTAAGTGTGTGGGAGTGTGATGTTCGTCCGGATGCCAACCTGGAAGGGTTTCTCCCCTGTGTGAACGAGTTGGTGACGTTTAAGTTTGGAGCTCTCGACGAAAGCCTTGCCGCACTCCGCACAGACGTGCACGCGGGGCCCGTGGGTGTGGAGATGCTTCCTCATGGCTGAGTTATCCCTGAACATCTTTGTGCAGCCCTGGGGAGCGAAGTAAGTGCAGCACAATGTTGACAAACAGCAAATAATGGACAGTTCTCTGCAGCGGGCTAGTAAACTTTTAAGTGGTGCGCAAAAAGGGTTTTTGTTATAAAAGTTATAAAAGTGTCCTCATTTATAGCTTTTTGTTCGTCTTTTGATCAGGTTTAAACCCTGAAAAAAAATGTTTCTGCCTCCTTTGTTTCAGAGGCACCATTAACTCCTTCACAATATTGGCAGACAGCTGATTCAATGGATTATTTGCATTAGCTCAACAGGGAAAGGTCAAATAAGGCTTGATTGTGCATGTAAGTACTTGAAAATCAATACACTTAAGTGCTTTCTCCACTTTTAAATAACCTTTACAGAAAATTTCAATCACACCGGCAAACATAAATCAGCTGGAAAACTACTGAGTCAATCAGGAAGCAGGGGTTCATTGTTGAACTCACTTTATGAGGGCAGGCTATTGTCCGGGGGGCATCGTCCTCTTTGACTTTCCTGGGTTTCATTCTGTTTTGGAAAAAAAAAAAAAGGAGGCAGAATAAGATGCTTGGCGTACATCCATCTCTCTCTCGCACAAGCCACAGAGTCATTTACAACCCTTGATTTAATGCTGATTTCTGCAATCAATCAATAACCAGTATCATCACTGACGAGGGCAGTGTGCTGGAACAAGAACATCAGCACTCAATGGTTCACCTCAAAGTGTCACATGCTCACGGACAAACATAACGATCATGTGCAGAAGTAATTTCATAATCCAGAGCTTTTCTTATTGCAAGCAGGGCTAATACAGCTCACTCGATTTACAACTATTTAAAGAAAACAGTTCAAATACTTCACAGGGCCTTCAAAAAACATTTTTTATATTATTGGCTATTATTGTTTTCTTTTGTGGGCCTAAACAGTCCTCAAAACAATCTGGTGAATGATGAGCAGTATCAAATGCACTTTTTGTGAGGGATTATTTATCATTCAATAATAGAATTCAGTGTAATCAAAGCGTGTGTGTTCCATAAAAACGATGAGCAAAGCTTACAAATGGACAAAAATGAACAAATGCAAACACACTAACATATAAAACATGTTTTTAAAGTGCTCTCATACTTGTTTTAATACAGTTATTAAATCTTGCATATTAGTCTTGAATCTGCAAAACAAAACCCCTAAACTCTGCATGTAGACAGTGAAATATATGGTTAAATACCAAAGCATATTAAGTGAAATTAATATTTTCTACCCACAAGTGCAGCTCCACACTGGTATCAGAGTATCTGATAGTTGTGCTGAGTGTTCAGACCTTTGCCTCTTGTACATTCATTAAGATTTGCCCCACAGTCTGTTGTGCTTAGGAAACAGATGTGTTTACACATTCAGGAACAGGATGTAGAGCCTGGGGCATACACTCACCTGGCAAACTCAGCCAACTGTTTGGGGTCTGAGAGATCGATCCCTGGGATACCACCAGGGGGCAGCTTCTTCCCCGTCATGTACTCTGAGTAATCTGGAGGGGAGTTCTCCCCAACGATCTGCTCCTCCACCACCGACTCGTGGTCGATGTCTTCATTGTCATCTAGGCACAAATTACAGAGACTGAACGGATAACATACTGGTGTTCCCTTGCATTTAAAGTGAGGGAGAACAGCAAGATGATGTGCAGCTGAACTATCCTTCAGATAATATGGGTCTCAATAATGTTGCATGATTATGTTACAAGTGCATCAAACTTGAAATACATGCAATCCATTTTTAGCAGCACTGATGTTACAAGTGTGATATTAATAGCACCTTACCATGAAATAAAACACTACAACGAATCGAGACAAAAAGTAGAGCTTAAAATAAGAATCACAGTTAATTGAAGGGCTGAACCCGTGCTCAGAGAGGAGAAGCTGAAAGGTTATACTACTTAGTATTTGACTTTGTATCAACTATTGATGGTGGTGGTGTATTGGAGAGTATAAACTTGACAAGTACATTTTTTGTTTACAAAAATTTAAAATGTGTAAATTACAACTTGTGGTTTGGGCCTTTTTTGTACTGATTACATATAAGCATTCATAACATTAGGGCTGGTAAAGGCCAAACTAACGGGTACTCTGTCACTAAAAAGCATAGACTAACATCTTATTATTTAGTTGTCAAAGATAACACAGTGAATATAAGGTCTTGGATGACTAGATATGCAAGGTTTTAGGCTACAATCAATATAGCCGAACATTGCACTCGCTACCAACACAGTGCAGTTAGCTGCTCTGATGCAGAGCCGTCTGCTGAATTTACGTTTCCACTGGTTCGTCCAGAGCTAACTGCTAAACAACTAACTGCTGGGCTGAACCCGGGTTCAGAGAGGAGTAGCTGAAAAGTTATGCTACTTAGTATTTGACTTTGTATCAATTGTTGATGGTGTTGGTGTATTGGAGAGTATTAACTTGAAAAGTACATTTTGGGAGTAAAATATTGGTAATACTTTTCAACATACCACCCACTAAAATTAAACAGTTAACTCTAAGCACAGTTCTCACCTGTCTGACCATGTTTACAAAAATTTAAAATGTGGAAATTACAACTTTTGGTTTCGGCTTTTTTGTACTGATTACATACAAGCTTTAATAACATTAGGGCTGTTAAAGGCACAACTAAAAGAATAGACTAACGTCTTTTTATTTAGTTGTCAAAGTTTACACAGTGAATATAAGGTCCTGGATGACTATATATGCGAGGTTTTCAGCTACAATCAACCGTACATTGAACACGGTGCGGTTAGCTGCTCTGACGCAGGCGCAGTCAGCTGCTCTGACGCAGACGCAGAGCCGTCTGCTGAATTTACGTTTCCACTGGTTACAGCCAGAGCTAACTGCTAAACGACTAATTGCTGACAAAATAGTGTCTTAATTGAAAAATACACACACATTAGACCCTCATATACTTTATATTACCATCCGACGTTTCAAAAATAGCATTTAAGCGCTTTTTCATGACATTTCTGCGGCCTGTGCGCTCCCTAGACTCAGCTGTCTGTCTCCCTCTCGCTCCGCCGCCATCTCTGCCTGGCCGTTACTATCGCCATTTTTCTCGGGGCCGCCGCCATACTTACTAGTCTCGGGGAATATGGCGGCGCCCAGCAACACTTAAAACATGGCCTCCCTTCAAAACAAAAACATTTCCCTATCATTTAGGAGAGTTTTACATCGAAACCTTGCGTTATTTGACGCTTTAACGACGGTGCAACGTACAACTCCAGGAACTAGTCTGGTGCAGCAGGACAACGCCCTGGCAACGAGGCCTCATGCAACGGCTAACAACAGACACGGCTGTCCCAGCATTACTTACCCGATGCCCACATTGTAACCGAGAATTCCCCTTCCAGAGTCTTTATTTGCACTTGCTTCTGTTCCCATTTTCTTCCGCCGGCCTCAGTACCGCTTAGATAGCTCTTTTTGCCCGCTTTCTTCCCCCCTGTGCCGCCTCCCCGTTTCACCCGACCCACCGAGCTCTTCCCAGACACAGTCACAAGAGTCTGTTCAATGTACTCGTCCTCCACTCCCGGAGCCGGTACCGGGATGAGGATCTGGTCCTCGAACCCGCTGGCCCCGTCCGTGTGCAGGTCGGAGTCATCCCCGCCGACCACCTCCTCCCGGGTCTGGACCAGGATCACCTCCTGGTGGTGATGGATCGAGCTGGGGTCGTCCGTGACCAGCGGCTGGAGCGCGATCATGGGCTGCCCGTCGTCGTCGTCGTCGTCATCGTCATCCCCGCCGACCACCGTGGTCTCGATGGTCTCCACCGGTATCGTTTCCACCTCTATCTCGTGGAGCTCCACGATCTCGGCCGGCATCTCCGAGCCGTCTGTCTCAATGTACAGCGTATCTCCAGATGCCATGTTGAATTCCGCCAGCTTGCCTCTCTCATTCACGCCGTGTTGTGCTCCTTTTTGGACCTCACAAACACACTCACACACCCCCTGCTCTGCTCCTGCTCCTGTCTGCACTCCCTCTTCTTCGATAACAACTCTCTCCACTCCGTCCCACGCCAGTTCTCGTCGCCACTATGCTCTCGAATGCCAAAACATCGCGAGACTTGGGTGAATCCGGCAATACCAGTGCTGCTAGTGTTACTGGTAGTACAAGGGGTTCCCCGTGTTTGTCTTCATGAGTTTTAGTAGTATTCATCACCAAAACATACAGAAGCCTCATTGAGTAAATAGACATATAATCTCTCAGAGGGAATCGGTTTGGAAACATCTTCATCATTATTGAAAACACATTTTATGTGCTGTTGTAGGAGGTGTCATCTGATTGTGTGTTTCCATCCCTATAGATGCTGCTTTTCTTCCAATTTCATGCAGAATCACAAACAGATCTAGCATCTTTTATCTTTTAATCCTCTTAACCTTATTATCCTTATAACCGTATTATTATCAGACAATACAAGAACTTTATTGATCCCCGAAGGGAAATTCATTATTACAATTACTATTATTATATATATATATATATATATTTTTATTTGCATATCATTAAAAAAAATGCAGGAAAAAGTCTTCTTACATGGTTTTATTTCCTGCTATCTTTTGATGGTTTAAGCATTTTGACTTTTTTATTGTCTTTTGTGGTTGTAATTTATTTCATTTCATAATAATAATAATAATAATAATAATAATAATAATAATAATAATAACAAAAGGCACAGTTTCAAATTAGTATTCTAAGTTGCAAGTAATTTTAAATCCCTCCATTATGTTGATATTTAATGAATCAAAAAGGATAAGATCCTATTTTTTGTCACAAAGTAGTTTGTTATTGATTCGGATGAAATGCCAGTGCTAACTCATAATCTCATTGAAATCGTATTTCTTCACAGACTTTTATTGGCTGATATCATGTTCCTTACACTAAAATTAAAGTGAAAGAGTAAATGAAGCAGCATCTCTTGAAGTCCTAGATTATACAGATGTTTTTATCAAACTATCATCAAATACTCTGCAGCTTCTATATTCTCATATCTCTAGAGTCAATTATCATTCAGCTCTTATTTACTTACTAACTCAAGTACTTGAACACCCATTACTGTATTCAGAAAAGACTATGCATCTTCTCTGAAACTGAGAAAACTAAATCTTTTATTGTCATTTTTATTATCATTTGCCCTTTGATTGAAAGTGCTTTATTAATAATCTTATTCTTATATAACTAATCTACAGATCCCTCATCAGACCCCCACCGCCCTGTTTAACGGCTCTTCTTTGGTGACTTATTGAAGTAAACCTGAGCAAAATCGCTTCAAGTCAGGAGTTCAAAGGTTTACCCTGCCTTAAACTTGTGTGCCCCAAACATGCGACTGACTGACTACTGCTGGTTGTGGCTTTTTTGAATTGAGTGTTTTGTTTCACAGCATCTTTGATTTTCGGTAGGTCGGTATTCATCGATTATAAACAAATCAAATAATCACAAGAACATAATACATGCATGAACATGCCCTACACTGTTCCCTTTTTGCAATTTTGATTGATCAACCCTGTCTGGATCTGAAGAACGTTTTATGAAATGTTTACTCAACTAGCTTTTGAGGCAGTTTCATTTCTCTGGTGAGAATTTCACACCGATGATTGAAAATAAAGCTGGCTGCAGACTTAAAGCTAGGGTAGCCAATTAAAAGTAAATGACTGCTGTTGTTCTACTCTCCAGGGGCTCCAGATTCCCAGGATGCTGCACCTGTAACCACACTTCAGTCACTGATTTCACAGCAGGTGATCTACCATGGACAGCTTCTGACAAACACCTGCAGTGATACCACTAATTGTAGTGTAAAGCACACAAAGCAGTGCTTCAGCTGTTTTCACACATGATGCCATGCTTGAACGTCAAATGTCAAAAATAGTGATTAGCTGCTCCTTGAATCACAGTGTTGTTTCTTTTTGTTGTGCGCTGAAAGCATTTCCTCTAGAAGTTGGTATTAGGGACAAAATGGCCTACAGCTGTTAATCAATTTTAAAGTTATTTGTATGAAAAAGAAGAGTTCAACTTAGAGCTGGATTCAGCTTCAGCCAAAATGAATGAAAACTTGATTCCCTTTTGTCTCAACCCTCTTAAAGAGCTGAATTTAAGTAGTTATTGAAGAATATGTAATTACACGTCATAAATAGGCTGCAGCTAATAGGGAACACACCACTTCTTATTGCAGCTCTGGATTTATGATCCTTTATCATATGCTGCACTAACTGGCTGTTTTGATATCTGTTAAGACACAGGTGTCAAACTCAAGGCCCGGGGACCAAATCTGGCCCGTGGAACAATTATATCTGGCCCACGAGATCATATCATATTTGTATTATTATTGGCCCACCAGTATGAAGTCTGCAGATTTCCTCCAGTATAATAAAATAAACTTTAGTACAATTATTTAAAGTGTCCTTAATAAACCACGATAATCTGGGGAATTAAAGAGTAAGAAGGATCTGATAAATAGTCAAGAATTTGGGGGATAATAATTGGTGTTTTATTTCATGGTTTTAATTTTGCATTTTAAGATTACAAGTCAGACATGATTGGATATTTTATTTCATGTTTTGATTTTGTTCAACTCAGTATTTAGACTTGTGTCATTTTTATACTTCAGTTTCCAATTTTAAGTCATATTTTAACCTTTTAAACCTGATTTAAACGTTCTCTTCATGTATTTGATCTTTAAAAGCATTATTTTTCTATTTTTAATGTCATGCTTTGATTTTTTTTAACTAAAAATAAAAATAGAATAAAAAATAAAAATAAAATACATTTTTTTTAATCTCAGATTGCCTTTAAACGTATCTTTTTATTTATTTTTTAATTTCCGAATGATTTTTAATCACTGCTGTTTTTGTTTTGCATAGTTTTTGAAAAGGAGGTTGATAGTTTTGGTGAAATGTTGACCCTGTTTGGCCCTCAAGTTGGGCCTATATCCAGAGTTTGACACCTCTGTGTTAAGATGATAACTTTATAGGACACTGATAGCGTCATACATGGTGTTCAATACAGTTTTGAGTCAGGAGACAGTTTACAATAAGAAAAAAACAGCAGACAGCACCCATACAAGCACAAAAGGAACGAGACAGCCTCATTTATCCAAGACATTGTTCACAGTTTTATTTGAATTCATTTTAAACTTGGTGTGTTTTTCTTTTTTTTAGTCATCAAACCAGGAAGCACTTGGTCATAAAAGGAGGGAATAAAATGAACAATACTTCACCATATCCTTGCAGCCAATAAACATTTTATTAACAACATGATCACAAATACTCTGGTGTATTAGTTAAATTTTTTTTTGTTTTGTTTATAAGATTGCAATATCCAAAGAAGTTTATTCCACCCTTGGTTTCAGGTCAGGGCCGTTGTTTTTTTTCCTGCCTCATATTTGAGTTTGTGAAAAAGGATAAAAAACCTTTAAAAATCCAAGTTAGATGATGAAAAAAACAACTTTTTGGATGAACACGTGAATGCATTTTCAACAAAAATAAAAACAACCGATAGAAAATAGAAAAGGCCGACATAAAATGATGTGAAATAATAATGATCAACATTACCATTACTATCAGATTCTCATTATCATTTCCTCATTCTTACCATTGTACCTACTACACTACTACTACTCATATTAACAATACATTGTCAATCATAAAAATGACAGCCATAATAATGAAAATGATAGTAATAATACAAAATGTGAAAAAGCAAAACAAATAATCGTGTGAGTTTTATCCGTTTTCCATCAGGCCAAGGACAGAGGGGCGGACTGGGTGAACAAACAGACAGAAATCGTTAAAATCAGAGGAATCAGTGCGAGAGTGTGCCCCGTTCACGTCCTTCTCTCTCCAAACAGACAAACCAAACGTTACACAGATGCGTCTGAGGTGTTACAGCAACGAGGCTGCGTTGCTTCAACACCGCAGCTGAACAGGATGAGTGGATGTCACAGTTTGGGCCTCTGTTCCTGATTCTTCCACCTCCTCTTCATCTTCGTCTCCTTCCTCCTTCCTCCTCCTCCTCAGGGCCACAGCAGCTGCTGCAGGGGCAATGGGTTTTCCAAAAGGTGGTTCATGTTTGAGGGTGGTTCTGAAAGATTATGTCGTGCTAACCCGACTGAGTTCATGTCTAATGGCTGCAAGCACAGAGAAGAACACATAATGATACTGCATTAGGTTTGTTGGAATAGTAAAGCTGATTAAACATGCTCATGGTATAAAGAAACACTCTGTCTCATCAGGCCTCTCCTGACTTGCTTAAGGGTTTCTCCACTTAGTCCATCACAAACCGACTGTGAAAACACTCGCATGATCTCAGTTGTAGAGGCATAACGCTTTCTTTTACGATACGCTTATTACCAGGTAATTAACAGGTAATTACCTAGTAACAACATGAAATTATCTGGTAATTACATGATAACTACTAAGTCAATACTGTCTAGTTTTTCTTTTTTTCTATTTTCTGTGCAGCTCCATTTTCAAAAGCTATTGGGTTTCTTATTTTTCTAGGATCGTCACTTGAAACAGCCTGAAGGTGTGCGAAGATTGCGTAGCGATACGCTGTTTGAGCCGAGCATCATCACAGCGATTCACCCGCCAAATGCATACAATGCTACTGCAAAGAAACTCGAGAAAATCCTGGAAATACCAGAGCAATTTGGCTTCAAATTTGTATGATGATGGAAGGTTACCTACCTGGTAGCTAGACAGTATTGACTTAGTAGTTATCATGTAATTACCAGATAATTTCATGTTGTTACTAGGTAATTGTCTGTTAATTACCTGGTAATAAGTGTACCGTTCACACTTATTATCATCAACTCCAGTCAGTCAAAACAAGGAGCCTGAATCACAAACTTCAGGACTAAAGCGCAGAGACTCTTTGTGGTTAAAATGCTGTATAAATGCATTATGGGATATGTAGGATCTGGTGATTTTTAAGCTACAGACCGAGTGAAAGTGAGAAGACGATGACAGCTCCCTATGAGCGCTCGGGGGCATGAAGCAGAGTCAGAACCAAAAATACCAGCCGCTGGACTCTAACGTGTGTTTGTGTAGGACAGAGAGCATACACAAGCTTTGATACTTAAAAACCACAACGGGGAGGGCCCCCATTCACCGGGCCTTTTGCCTGTAGGTGGGCGAGCCTGGCGATATCTCAGTATCTGTTGAGATATATGTATAGTTTACTGCTGTGTGCTTTTAAAGAAAATGTTATAGCTATTTTGGACAAAAATGTTGTAGGTAAAAAAGCAAAAATAGCAGAGATAGAAAAAAACAAAACAATCTGGCGTGACAACGTTTTTAACTTGCAGTTTATTTATCACCCATTAATTTGCCAAATTTAAAAATTATATATGTGGATCAGTCATGAATATGGCATGCTCTCCTTTTAGATGTTTTTAGCTATATCATATGACTTCTATTATGTAATTTTCCAATTGTGTATTATGTATCATAAGACTGTTACATAATTTTTGACAAATACATGCTCAACATTTATTCAATTTGCACTGTCATGTGTCTTTATTTGTGTAAAAATGTCTGATCATTGTGTTTCCATCATAACAATGTGATTTATAATATAATTAAAGCTTTTTTCCGAGTTTGATATGAATGACTTTCCTGGAAGTTACATATAAGGTTATTTAACACACATTTTACTAACTAGTACAAAAAGTACTCTTGTTATATTATCTCTGTTACTGTGTGTTAATGTGTTATTTGTGTGCCCTTGTCTGAGTCTACTGTATTGTGAGGCCACTGACGAATGACTTCTCCCGTAACAGATCTTTGGACTCTGCTGCAACCTAGTGGTCACAACTTCACACAACAACCACATTCCCATCATCTCCGTGCCTGGAAATCTAATTAAATATTCATTAACATAAATTAGACGAGAGACTGTGCTTCTCTGTGTTGACTGATCATCCTTCTTGAGTGTTAGAGAGGAAAATCAAACATACCATCAATGATTTCATCCTTCACTTTGTGCAATTCACGGAACACTTCTTCCAAGATTTCCTAATGAACGAAGTGAAATAAAGAGTTAAAAGTTGCTCATGTTTGGATTGGAAAGCATAATCCACATTTTGTGTGATAGTCAGTGGAGTTTTTTTCTTACCTGTTTCATTCTATCAAGATCTAATGAGTCTGTGTCGCTGCCCCCGCCTCCAGGCCGTACCCTGCACACAAAAACAATTACTCCCCGTTGGATTAACTGTTGTTTTTTCCTGCTTTGCTGTTATTTTCAAAAAGCTGTGTCGCTTCAAACTCTCACCTTGAGGCCATCGCCCTGTCTGCAGAGTTGGCTCGGTCCCACGGCTTCTTTGCACCATCTAGGAAACAAGAGAGGAGGTCACGCTGAGGAAACCAGCGGGGGATTCACTGACATTTCCTCACAGCAGATTCTGAGCCAGATCCACAGTCGAGGTGGATGGACAAAAGGAGATACTGATATATGAGATACACTCTGTCCATTCATCAAGATCAGCACACGCACCACCATTATCACTTTCCTAATGGGAGTACTTAAACGCTCCATCATCACGATACTGGGAAAAGTACACAAGGTCTGAGCTCAAGTAAAAGACCTGAAATCTATTCACTTTAACAAAAATGTAAAGTACCTTTCTGGATGTATCACAAAGAGCTGTGATGAGCAGAAATCTAGTTGAGAAACTGTGATATCTTGTGAAGTCTGTGTGGATTAAATCGTCAATGATGTGATCCTATAGTTTTTATTTATCGGTTTGCTTACTCTGGAAATTCACTGGGTGTTTTATTTTGAAAGGAACTGTGAAATCAAATAACTTAAAAATGTTTCTTTGGATAAAAATCTCACAGAAAATTCAGACTTAATCCATGAAATGTTGTTCAGAATCCACAAAAATATAGCCTATTTTGCGCTGTTATAATGTTGGCGTTCAGTAACCCTACCTGTGGCGTTCTGTCCACTTCGAGTGCTGGGTGATGGAGAATTTGGGTCATCCTAGAGGGAGAAAATAAATCAGATTGGCATCATTTCATCCTTTATTATCAAACTTAGAGGTTTTAGAGGTGAGATACTTTTCCTTAATTTACACCAAACACTTCTTTTATCTCCTTCTTTTGTGTGTGTGATGTTTCTTTTTCTTCTGTTTGCCTCTAACTTTTAATCAACAACCAAACAATGATAACCTCTTCCTCTACGATAATCTCATCCTACTCTAAATCACATCAAGATCACGACTTGTTGACTATTCACTCACGTTTTGGCTGTCGTCGGGCTTCTCTGAAGCTGCTTTCCTTCTAGGGGAAAAGAAGAAGCCTCAAGTAAGAACAATCAATGCTGTGAGTTTCATTTAGTGAGTCCTATCAAGAAGCCGCACATTGATTTCAGGCTACGGTGGCTACTTATGTTCAGTGTGTATTGATGTAAACCAGCGATGTGGTTTCTGGATCTTTGACTCTGACCTTCGCGCTAACAGAGCGTTCATCTCCTCCATCAGTCCTCCACTTCCCCCGCTCGTTCGGTTGGCTTCGTTTTTGGCGCCTGAAGAGCTGTCATCAGGCTGAAGAGAGGAGGGAAATCACACCAGAGTTAGTATTATCCTCAACTTTGTACAAAGAGTTAAAGGGATATTCCAGCGTAAAATTAAGTTAGGGTCAAACACACTGTAACAGCAAGTTAGACATCCCCTCGAGAGATGAGTGTTGCCGACCGCTTGCTTCTCTAGTTATACCAACTCTAGTAACGGACCACACGATAGCAATACACAGGGGTCTATGGAACCATATGCAAATGCCACTCAGAACAGCACCTAACTTCATCAACAGTACATATAGGGTCCCAGCCACAGCACTAGCAACCAAGCATCTTTTTAACTGTGCCTAATTTCTTTACCAAAGAGACTAAACACAACTCACCTACTCTCTTCCATCAGCCGCTTGTTTGTAGCGAGACTCCGGGCCAGTCCATTACGGACTACAGTGGTGTGTCGCAGCTCAAGGAAGAACATTTATGATCATTTCTTCATGGAAACGCAATCAGACCGAGACGCTAAGGCAGAAGAACTACCACGTCTGCAGTGCAAAATGATTAATATGATGATTATTACTTCAAGGAAATGATAAAGAAATGATAATAAATGTTCTTCCTTGAGCTGTGTAACCCCACTGTAGTCTGTAATAGACTGGTTTGAGGTCTTGCTACAAACAAGCGGCTGCTGGAAGAGAGTAGGTGAGTTGTGTTCAGTCTCTTTGCTGATAAATTCGGCAAAACTAAAAAGATGTTTGGTGGCTAGTGCTATAGCTAGGACCCTATATGTAGTGTTGATGAAGTTAGGTGCTGTTCTGAGCATTATTAGTGGCGATAGAGTGGCGTTTTGGTTGAGGTTTGTGTGTGGTTCCATAGACGGCTGTGTATTGCCATCGCGCGTTTGTTACTAAAGTTGGTATAACTAAAAAGGCAAGCAGTTTGGAACATTTAACTCTTGAGGGGGTGTCTAACTCTGTGTTATGTGTATTTGACCCTAAGTTAGGGTTTTACGCCGGAATATCCCTTTAACGCAACAAATATGTCAGCCACATCAAGTGGAAATGATCCTGGATCTGCGTCTCACTCTTTGAACGCGCCGCAGTTTGGCTCCTGCGATCATAGCGGCGAGACCTGTCGCTGCTGGAGGCTCGTCGCCGTGACTCCCCCCGCCGAGAGGAAGAGGAGGAGGGAGAGGAGGCTGGGGCGCCACTGCTGAGGGTGGAGGAGGTCCCGGCGGAGGTGGAGGTGGGGGAGGACCGCCCATGTTCATAGGGGGAGGTACTACAGGGGGGGCCACAGAGAGAACAGCAGGGTGGCCTTGGAAAGGAGAACCTGCAGGGAAAGTGTCACATCACCTGTCAGTTAAAACAGTACATGTGGGTTCAGGTGCACTTCATGTCTTCAGTGTGTGTACCTGAGTTGGACGACCGTCGCTCCCGCTCCATGTGCGCCTGCATCTGCTGCTGCTGCTCCATCATCTGCCTAAAGGGACAGAGAGGAAACACAGCCAGACACATGATTTCACAAATGTCACGTCTTATCTGCCATTCTGTCATTTCACCGTCCCACAGGAACAGCACAGCCAAAGAAAAGTCCTCCTGCCTCCAACTTCAAACAGCAGGTTCAAAGAAAAGTGACAAATCACCTCAAAAGCCGTGATGACTGCAGGAAGCATCGGACACAAGCTGTGAGCGAACAGCGCTAAAAATAGTCTGAATGAAGCTTTCAGGAAAACATGAATTTCTCCTGCTGAAGGAGAAACACGATAAAATGTTCTCCTTTTTTTTAGAGGCCTAAACAACTGCAATTTTGGTTTCATTAGAGGAGACAGTTGAAGTGAAACTGGAACTATGGGGAGTAGAGAGCGGGATAAGACATGCAGCTGAGGGTAGACAAGGACTAAAATCCATATTGATGCCTTTTTAAAGGTGGGCAGGAATCTTTGTGGTGTTTATCCAAAAAAATCTTTTAATATCAGTCAATAGCTATTAGTTATTGATGACAGTTGATAATATAACGATATCGCTGTGTTCTGTTATGTCTGTGTAGTCAAAATTTTGAAATTTTTGGGCGGCCCGCTCTGATTGGTTGTGAGGCGGACGCTGCTCCCCCGAGTCGTTCAGGAGCCCAAATCAACCAAAAAGTATGGAAAATTGTCTGAATCCTCTTTTGGCCACGACTGCCAACACAAGCAAGAAAACAAAGTAAATACTGGAGACTCTGGTGGAATAACAGGCGCTTAAAATGGAGGTAACAAGAGCTAAAAAGCCGGGTCAACATCAGCATAAATGATGGGGGATTCTTCGGGATCTTACAGACCCTGTAACCTTTCTGCTGGACAGGTAAACCGCTTCAACATTGTAAGACAACTGTCTGTAACAGAAGTGTTTCTTGTCAAATGGGACCTGCTGCATGTTGTAGAACCGCTAAACTGTTGACCTCGGGTCCTGGACTACGTCACTTTATACTAGTTGTAGAAGTCCTGCAAACATTGTGTTTGCTGGTAGTCTGTTGGCATCTAGAGTTTTACCAATGCTTTTTACTTTCACGTTGACTGGGCCACATTTGTAACTATCTAGAGTATTTATCTGCATTATATCTGAATTTAATTGGAACGATATGAGCAAGCATGAGCGTCTGTTTGAGGGCGGAGCTTGCTGGAGCAGAGATGTAGGAGCTAAACTGGTTTGGAGGGGTAGTGTTTACATTCAAGATTCCTCCTAAAACCTGACACTTCCTCAGATCCTGCCTACCCCACCTTTGGGATAAATAAAAGCAAATGAGTCTATTGGTAACAAGACTGACGGCTTTAAAAAGAGGCTACTCTGATTTGTGGAGTCTGACCTCTACTTCAAATAGCTGTTTCCTGTTTAAACATCCGTCTTATCTTTTCTCCAAACTCTTATCACTCCCCCTCCTATCTGTCAAATCTCAACCTTACAACTTCCTTCTCTTCATCAAACTCTCCTCATCTCCCCTCACATCTGTGTGTTTGATGTGAGTAGCATATGTGTGTAAGAAGTCAGAGGGGGGAAAGGAGAGAGGAGACAGCTCCAAGGGGAGAAAGAGGAATTTTCCAGCTGTGAGTTAGAGAAGTGCTGAGGCAGCGAACCTTTCTAATGTGACAGCAGAAGAAAACGCAGCAGGGAGCAGAGCTGCTGAGCAACACCGCCCTGCTACCGCTGGATCTCAGCCAAATTAATTTGCATCCGCTTACACACACGCACGCACATAAACGCGCACTAACAAACAGGAAATCCACTCGCGTAAGCACACAATCTCCTGGCACAATCACAGACGTAATCCTTTGTGCAGGAGGGTCAGTTCAGCAGACACTGGATCAGATCAGAGCTGTAACTCCCGTCATATTTGTTCTCTTAAGCCCTGGCATTTGGCTGAACCACTGGGCAGAGCTGAAAATGTTTAAAAACAGCAACAAAGTCCTCGCCGTGCCTGAGACTGTCTCCGAGAGGACTCATAACCAGGTTGGAAGGAATGTTGGATGCCTTGTAAGGATCAGAAATTGCCTCGAGCGTCATTTGAACTCTACTCATCCTCTCATTTTTGGTTATTCAATTTTCCACTATGATGCAGAAAAAGACTATCTTATGTTTTATCCTGCTGTTTTCCACAGGAGTCAGTCCTGTTATGACGGCGATGACAGAGAAAAGGAATAAAAGTCACAGAGGTCAGCTGTCTGCTTATCACAGTTGCGGGTTCGACAGGTTGTCGGACACATGGGACTGCTTTTATGATCATAATCCAATCCAGTATTTCTCATTTTTGTTCGAGTTCACGCAGAGTTCATCCTCTGGTTTGGACATCATTTAGTAAATGACCTGAACAGGCTGTAATAAAACATGAGAGACAGTTAACGTCATAACACCGGTGTGGTGCTCTAAATTTAGCTGTTCATCTGTTTGTGTCTGATTTATACACTCCCAGACATCGAGCAGCCCGTTTGTGAATCAGTTTGTTTCACCTGCTGTCAAGTAAATGGGAGGGACAACAGGTAGATAGCAAGACAACCCCAATGAAGGAGTGGATTTACAGACCGTTTCCATCTCCTCATCCTTTCTGGTTGATTCTTGGCTAGTTTTGCATTTTTCCACTCGTAGTAACATGAGGCAGTATCTTGCCCGAGAACACCAGAATTGGCAGATTCTCCACTGGCACCCTGCTCTCTTCAGAGTAGCCAGAGGTACCTCGTCAGACCATATGCTGGTGCAGTGGGCCCTGGATTCCTTCTGGTGCAGGACAAAACCCCGACTCATGTGGCTGGAGTGTATCAGCACTTTCCTGGATGATGAAAACCTTGATGCTATTGCCTGGTCCGCCCATCCAATCCAGCGTCTCTGGGACATCATGCAATTTTACATCCACCATTACCATGCCTCATCACAGACTGTCCAGGAATATCCCTTTAACTGTCACTTGAGACCCACTTTAAATTTGAGGCTGAGTTCTGGGGTCTTCTAAAACTCTCAAGACCACGTGTTTGTGTTGTGGTTTCAGGGAGGAAAATTTACCTTGCTCTCTGAGCTTCAATCTCATCTGAAGTTGGTCCGTTCTGGACTTGACGCTGCACGGCGGGACCTGGAGACACAAATACGAGAAGAGAGAGAGACAGAGAGAAATAGAGAGAGAGAGAGAGACAGAGAGAGAGAGAGTGGAAGACACAGATGAAGTGAGGTTGACCCTAATAATTCATTACAAGCAGTATAATCTTAATTGAAATTCGTCCCAGAGGAGACAATTAACAACCAAATGACAGGGAATTAAACAGCAGTTGATCGTCATGTCGTCTTTCCTCCATAATGACTAATGTGCAATGAAAAGCATATTAATCCTTCACTCTAGGTAAATTAACACAAATTGATTAATCCACTTGTTCAGTTAAAGTAAGCAGGACATAATACAAGTGTGTAAGTGTGAGTATGTGTGTGTGGGTGTGGGTGTGCGGCCCTGCTGTCACACTGCTTATTCCCTATTAGGGGATGACGTTCCCAACAAACTCACAGACACTCAGACCGGCAGACACTGAGTTATTAGACTTGAGTTTGGTTTGGTCTAAATCATAAAAACAGAGCAGTGGAGCGAGGACCGGACTGTGTTTGAGCCGCTGCTGTCGTGATATGTTGTGTTAATTTAGTGTTTCACTGGTTTTGTTATTTGAGTGTATTTTCTTTGTGTTTTTCCTATTGTTCCTGTGATCCTGTCTTGTAAGTTTTCAGTTTGTGTTTGACCCCTTTTCCTTCCTGTTCTTTGTGTTTTATTCTTTATATCTGTTTTTAGTGTTTCCTATTTTATTTTGTAGTAGTTGATTCCTTGTGTTTCTAGTCTGGTTTTACTTCCCTAGTTTTCCCTCCTTCGTTAATCAGCTAACGAGTTTCACCTGTGTCTCGTCTGCCTCACCTGTTGCTCGTTACCCAGTGTGTATATAGTCTCTGTCTTCCCCTCTGTTCTTGTTGGTTCATTGTGTGCACGCCTGTGTCCCCAGTTGTTCCTTGTGATTTCTCCCCAGTGATTTTTGGTTCCTTGGATTTTGCTTCTTGTGTTTTTGGGGAATTTTTCAGTTGGACACTTAAAGTAGTTGCTTTTTACGGTGTAGTATTAGGGCCACATTAAGAAAAAGAAATTTAAGACTTTGAGATTAAAGTCATTTAGTCATTAGCCAGAGTAAAGTCATTACTAAAGTCAGAATAAAGTCCTTATATTCTAACCTGCTGTTTAAGATGACATTTTTTAAAATGAGAGCCATGGAGCATTTCGTGAAAATGTACTTCAATATCAGTTTCAAACATTTTCCATTAGTTTTTTTTACATAAGTATTTTTTTTGTTCTGCATTTGGGTCCTCTTTTCGTCTGTTTCACCCTGGCTCATGACAGCTACCACTAAATTGGAAACGGGAGACTGTCGTTGAGTCGTTGACACGCTGCAGCTTTTGACGTGTTTGTTTCTGAGGTTACAAATTCACATTTTTAGACACATTTTCTCCTTCACTAGCTTTGAATCAGATCAAACTTTCTGTTTTTTGTGTTAGATGATAAAAAAGTTGGTTCTTTGTCTGGTGATATCACACAAAAGGCTCATTATCAAAGTTTTATACCATCATCACAATGTGTTTTGAACTACAAGGCACTAAAGATGTAATCACCACGATGACTGGGATCTACAGATGGAGAGGCAGATAAGGAGTGTGATTAATTTACGACACGATAAGACGAGGACAAAAGGATGAATCCTCATTTTGTCATCAGTGAAGCCTTCGGGGACATCATTCATCTTCATTGTTCTTGCTGAGGACATCTTTCAGAATTTATCGTCACACTAAAAACTTGGCACCAGTCAGCCTTAGAATTGAGAACCAGGATGATGTAAAGTAACTGCGTCGTAACGACTCTACAGTTATCGTTAGGGTGACCAAACAAAACACTTGTATGTCTTTCATTTGGTCCGCTTCCAAAGACAAAGTCTGCCTTGCTATCTAATGGAGGAGATCCCTTACACAACAGTTTTACAGCTCTCCCCCCTTCGCTGATCACATCTCTAATGGAAGAGACTCTCTGCCAGCGACGGGCGCTAATGGCCACCATTGATCAAGTAACACAAACCTAAAAATAGCAGGATGACAAAAGACCTGACTCACGCCTACTCGATACTCCGCACACTACAACTTTGTTTCTCCAAAACAGGAAGGCCAGCACGAACTGTGTTTGTTACTGAATACTGCCATCAGACTTAGGAATGAAGTTGGATCTCTTTTTCTCTTTCAGTTAAAGTTTTTTAAATGTGTGGATCTGGACTATAACTGAAAATGTTCGTCATCCTCAACTGAACATAATCCTGTGGTAGCTTAATCCTTGTACATTTGTGGTGCAGAGTACTTTCCTCTGATGATTAGACTCGGTACATGAAAGTACTTGTGCCTGCAATCAAACTTTTTGTTTTTTGTTTTACACATCTGTTACACTCGTCTGTCATGCCAAACTTTTTCACAAAACACTTGATGGAAAAAAAACAGAAAGAAAGAGCAGAGTAACCCGGAATCGAACCCTCCTGCTCAAGGACTGCAGCCTCTACTCGTGGAGTCAAACCAACAGCCTGATACTGAATATGTGAAACTGTCAACTCACAATGCAACTTACAATCTAATTAATTTTCAAGTATCAATAACAGGTTGTGTGGAAGTGAAAATACTGCAGTACCTCAAGTGTCCACTAGATGCTGGTTTAAAAGCCAATAAATCCCAATTGGTCCCATATTAAAACACCAGTTTTTACATTTTTACAGCCTGGTACAAAAAATTATTTGGTCAATATTGCTCATTTATTTACAACTCCAACTCCAAAACAAAAAAACCTTGGGATACCATGTAAAATGTAAGTGAGGACAGAGTTTAATGTTTTTTTTGATGGACTCTTCTTTTACGTGGCTCTGTAGTAGAAGAGTCCAGGTGCTGAACCAGTCTTCCTGAAGTCCTGTCGTAAACTGTTGAGCAGCTGAAAACCTAAATTAGGCCAGGACGGGATATTTTCACTGTGAAAACTCCAGAAACTGCTCTCCATAGTTAAAAAATTATGTGCCTGATTCTGCCCTGGATGAAAGCAACACTTTGTGATCTACCAGTGAGTCAAACAAGTGCAGGAATGAACACCACAAACTTAAAACACACACACAAACTTGGAATAATAATAACCTCCATGCAGAAGTTGAGGAGTTTTTGTACCTACACGACATGCTGAAGAAGAGGAAGCGGCTGTAGCAAACACAGAGACACTGACAGACCCACTCCCTGCTCACCATCTCTCTCTTTCAGCTGCTCGTCCTTTCCCTCCTCCATCACCTCCCTCTCTGACTCTCCCTCCTCACCTGCCTCTCCCCTCCTCCACCTAGCCTCGGTATCATCTGTCATCTTCTTGTAACCCACACCTCCAGGCAGCAGCCGCGCAGCGAGCATCTCTGGTTAATGTTTCAAAAGGTCGGGTTTGTCTGGAGGCTGCGCAGCATAATGCCACTCTCTCTCATACACACACACACACACACACAGACAAACAGCGACGAGCGAGCTGATACACAAGAGTCTCTCAGGACGAGCCTCATATGAATAGATTGTCCAGAGAGATATCAGATCAAAATAGCTTTCAAAGAGATGTCTGTGCTCGGCTGCTGCAGAGTCGGTATCAGGCTGAACCAAACAAACAATGACTGGATCAAAGTTTGTGAGCATATTTTGATTCTTAAATCAACTTTTTTTTCAGGGATACTTTTATCAAACTTTTTAAGCTGTTATGGAAAGAAAAAGTCCCTTAAATGCACAAATATTATCTTTAGTTCCTTTATCTTGATTTTACTGTTGCGACTTCTTAAACCTACTTTTATCAACCATGTTTTTATTGTTTGATGACAAATCTGTTTTGTTTTAACTCAACTCTGCTTTCACTAATAGATTATTTCATCTTATTTCATAGTCTTGTTTTTACCCAGGGTTACCCTCTTGGCACTCAGCACTGTTGTCACTTTTATTTGTAATGTTTTTGTTCTGAGCTGTTTTTGTGCAACAAATAAAGTAACCTTGAACCTCGTCCTTTCTAGGCAGAGATATAAACAGGAAAAAATTGTAATCTTAACTTTTTTTGTACACATCATAACCCAGCTTATTCCCCTTTGTTTTGCAGCAAAGGGAAGACCGACATTCAGTCACTCATCCTTCACAATGAGAGTTCAAAAAACTCTGAAATTAAGACATTAAGAGGGTCATCAAGTCGAAATGCGTCAGACGAATAAAGCTGTTTTCTCGAACTAAAAGTGTTGCTGGAGCTCCTTTGACCTCTTCAAGTCCCCTTTTCTCTAAGCACCATGGAAGTTGTGCTGGAATTTTTGTCCCTTAAAACACATATAAAGAAATTAATGAAACAGAAGCCAGTTCTGAGGAGGGACGGAGATCAATAATCGGGTCCATTAAACACACAATAAAGCATTTGTCAAAACCTGAAAAATCAATACTGTTTCAGCTTACTGGGTCTGTTATTGTGTCCTATACTCTGAGTAAAGTCACTTCAGTGTATGCATTTTATTGGACTGTCTAACAAAGTTTCAAGACTGCCAAATCTAGAGGGTCAGTAATTTTATAAAATATGTTTTATTTTCTTTATTTGTGAAATACACTCAGTTTAATACAGTTTGATAGACTGTGTAATGGTGTGGGTGAGGAGTTAAAACAATATCCAAACATAAAACAGTTTAAAACAAAATATAAAGAATATGTTTTCATGGGATACAGGGATGTACAATCATAGTTACTATCAACATTATCATTATCGTTTTGTTTTGTTATTTTCACTGTGGTGATTATTTTTATTGCTAGTCTGATGATGATGATTCATATTATTACAAAATATTAGGATATATATTTAAATCATTAGTGCAGGAGAAAGCGTGGAACTAGATATGTCTCGACTTCTTCCCACTCCTTTTTGAACATAAACTACTTTTTGTCATTTTTTTGTTGTATTCTTTACTTTATTATTATTATTATCATTGTTTTATAGGTTCAAAATAAACTTCAATCAATTAAAAAAATTAATGACATTATTTGTTATCAAGCTCCAGCTGCTGAACTTTAAAATTTGAGACAGCAATGGCGTCATTATTCTGTGTCCAGCAAGACAATAAGTAATGTCTGAAACTGTATACTAACATTTATAGACTGTATACAGTCTGATGATTCAAGCTTGCTATATTAGAGGTGGAGAGTAGTCTACATGTTTGTATATTTGTTAAGTTACATCAAAACAGACACCTCAATGATATTTATTTTGTAGGGTTACTGCTAATTATCCACCAATCTTGACAAACAGGGACCAACAGTGAGGACAAAAGGTCAGGTGTTGACCTTCTTACCACTAGAGGGGGCAGGCACACAGGCTCACAGTGAAAACAATGTATTGTGTTTTGAAGATGTGGATGTGTTTGATGAGAAAACAGGTAAGGTTATACCAGATTTATGAGACTACATGACTGAAAATCTGAAATGCTGTTGTTTGTGAGTGTGTGTGATAGTTTTAATGAACCTCCACACACAGATTGAGATTCATTATGCAGCCAGAGAGTCACTGCTGCAGTGATCTGGTAGCATTAGCGTCAGTCCTTATAGTCTGTCTTTCAGTGTGTGTGTTTTCTCCTCTGTATTTGTGCGCCTGTGTTTGGCCGCCGTCACTCGAGCCTCTTTGTTCTCCATCCTGTGTTATTAGGCAGATGAAAAGATCTGCTCTCTAGCACGGGACCCGAGGGAGAACTTCTGAATGACTCACTCTAATTAAGAGGCTGGAGGGGACTGAAGGGGGAAACACTGCTGCTGCTGCTGCTGCTGCTGCTTGGGTGGATGACTGAAGCTGTGACTCTCTCTGTCACTCCTCCAGACACTTTAACTCACCCAATTTATATTTGTCTCTCACACAAACAGAGCTGAGGAGAAGAGGCCAGCCTTAAATTTATATTTCACACCAGATAGAAGTTTCAAATTCATGTTTTCATTCTCTGGAGACATTTTAATTGGGGTTGTATGACTAACAATAACAAAAGCCAGCTCCTGATGTGCCCCCACTAAAGCTCCTCCACTGAGTCAGCGTACAAAATGACACCCCGCACTACGTCTTCATCACTTTTTACACCCAGTTTGACAACAATCGTCTCACTCGAGAGGTTTGCTGCTACGCTCCGGCCCAGCTTTCGGAGTTGAGTTATCATCTGCTGAGGATGCGGTGTCATTACTGATCGTACAAAGTGTTCGGCGGAGGGGACTGTGTGTCAAAACGAAGCAGTTCGGCTGTAAAATTGAAGAGTTTGTTTAAGGAGCATACAAGGACACGGCTCTGGGGATGTTTAGTCTGGTTTTTCACTGATAGGAGGGGCAGAATTTAAGTAGTGTCCTGATTGACTCTATCATTTCTTGTCAAATTAGTCAGTGAAGTTCAGTGTAACTCAAATATGGATGCACTTTTCTTTAGCTTTGGGATTACAGGGACTTAATCATCACATTCAATCAGAATCAGAATCAGAATCAAAAATACTTTAATAAACCCCAGGGGGAAATCACTTTTGTCACAGTACTCCAGTGCAGATACAGTAAAAAAGAGATATAAATAGATAAATAAGTAAAAATAAAGATAAATAGATAAAAAAAGGAACATTTGTAAACAAAAAGAGATAATATACAAGTATGAACACTATATACAACACAAACAGTAACATCGTATGCATCATATGTAAAGCTTGATTCGGTGAAGAGCACAGATTTCTTTTGTGGCTACGAAAGTTTTAGTTTCTCAAAAGTTTCTAATTTCCACGAGGGAACTCCCAAAGGATAAATAAAGTTGTAACTAATCTAAAGTTGTATCTAAAAGACACATCAGAGTCAGATTTGATGATGATTCACTTAATGATGATTCATTGGTGTTTTACGATCTAGGCACAGAAGACGACGGTTAGAAAACGAGCAGAGAAGAAGGTGGAAAGGTTGTTTAATTTTCGTAGAGAACTTCGTAAACTTTTCAATGTGTCATTTGGTTAGGCCATGTAGCGCCTGAGTCTATATGAAGTTGAACTGGACGATGTCAGTGTAGTGTTAGCTTCAGTTCAACTTCATATATAAATATATATATATATATATATATATATATATAACACACAATACATATATATATATATACATATATATACATATATACACATATATATATATGATATATATATATATATATATATATATATATATATATATATATATTATACATATATATATAAATATAAATATATATATACATATATATATATATACATATATATATATTACATATATATATGTATATATATATATATATACATATATATTTTATATATATATATATATATATTTTTTTGCATCGGCTTCTTTTTTTTTTTGCGGCAGTCCTTGGCCACCGTACTTTGCTGCTAAAAAAAAACCTGTTATCGCTGAGGTTTTATTCAAGAAATGTTTATTTTGTAGTGACGGCTCAAACTAAAAGTCTAGAAGAAAGTGTTACTTTTGATGTCAGACAAGCTGCATGAGATGATGAGGTCCATCAGCAGCTTCCTGCTCCACACTGACAGTCTGATTCATTATTCATATGAATGAATGTTATTAATGTTTGGCTGCGTTTATAAACCACTGCACTGACAGCATTAGAGTGTGATTTACAAAGCTTTGGAGAGCAATAATAAACCGCAGATGACCACACAGTTATTTAAGGAGGAATCAGTTTGAGACACACATTTGTGGGTTAATGTGAATCGTTTCTGAAGGACTGAGTTTGATAAGGTTTAGCTATGATGAGCAGCTCTGATAGAGCCACAAGTTTGATCTCCAGTAAAGTCAGTAAAACTTTATTCTCTCTGAGTCCGCTTGGAAAACATGAATGTGTCTCACCTCCATCCTGAGCGCTGAGCACATTGAGGGCAAACAGCATGGCGTTCGAGAAGGTGGTGGCCTCCTCCTTGCTGGCGAAGTTGAGGCCATAGACCTGCCGGGCGTCCCTCCACTGGTGGAAAGTGGGCGTGGCCTGGTTGTACTTGAGGCCCTTCACTATGGAGTAGTTTATAACCACCTTGTCAGAGAAAGGAAAAGAGACAGTCTTAGTTTACTCATGAAATAGTGCACACAGATTTGTCTCCGCGGAGCTTTTATCTCTAACAGCCGTTCTTCTGCTTTATCTGAGGGATGATGAATATACACAGATGGCGGGCTGGGGAAATAAATACAACATAATCTCTGTAATCATAACTCTGTTGTGTTAGTGGGAGAAAGAGGCATTAAAATACCAGAAAGTTTATGTCTCTGCGTTTTAAAGGATTAAATGATATGTTTTGTAAACTTTAAATCACAGTTCAGACAGAAAAGACACATTTAGAGTCTGTCTGTCTGACTGACTGAACTGAACACATTTTAAAAGCCTCTGGATTTGTCACCTGGAATGAATGTGCTGCACACCATGAGCCATAACCGAAATACACCTTTAATCATAACACACCACCTCAGAATTAGGAAAGCAAACTCAAAACCTGATGTGAGGATAATTTTACCCACTAGTTAAAGGGATATTCAGGCGTAAAATTAATTTAGGGTCAAACACGCCCAAGAACACCAAATTTTTTACAGTGTTTTTTACAGTTTACAGTTACAGTGTTTGACCCTAACTTAATTTTACGCCGGGATATCCCTTTAAGGAAGCAAACTCAAACTAGTTTAGTCAAAGTTGCATTCATACATCAGTTTTCCTGTGTAATTTCCATTTGTCCCAAGACTTAAACGTATGTATCTCATTATCTCGGGATAACAACATTGTTTTTGTGATAATGGGATCCCCTGGTGACAAGATAAATTAAACCAGCACTCTTAAACAAATAGAAATGGAAACAAATTACAGGAAAAAGCCACCTTTGGTTTTATTGAGCACTTATTTCCTCTCCAAACCCCCTTTTACACTTCACTTTGGTGATACTGTCTTCTGAGTCACTTCAAAAGAAAACTCACAGTGGTCGTACATAACAGTCTGTATGTTGCAATCCTCCTGCAGCGCCATGAAATCTCTCTCTAGTGACTAAACAGAAGAAATCCACTCTGTCTTTTTACTCGACTCTCACCGCATCGTTATCGCCGTTACCTGCTGGTCCTGCAGTTTGACGCCCACCACCCTGAAGGTGTTGTTGGCAGTGTTGTGGTAGATGTTGATGCGGCTGAATCCCTGCTGTCCGGGCTTGATGGGGACCCACTTCTTACTGGTGTCATCGTAAACCATGACGGAGGCCCGCGCCTGGCAGATACTCTGCTCACTGTGGGAGATAAGGACAGATGCAGTAGAGGGTTAGTCATACACAGTAGAACTGCATAAAACAAATAATTTGACTGCTTTTCTATTTAAACTTTTTTGACATTGTGAATATCTTTCAAGAGTTGAAAGAGGTTTTAACACCTAATGCAAAGTGCTGAATGTTTCAGAAAGCAAAGACTGATTGAAGACACATGAAATACATTGAGAGATTTTTTTTTCCGGTGCTCTCTCACAACTAAAACACTCTGATGCTGGTGGTATCGGGGGTCTGCATTGTGTATATTGATGAAAGGAGGAGTAATGTCACAACATAATGTTTAGGGATGTTTTCACAATACAAATAAAACAGTGAAAAATGACACAGCAGTTACTAGGGATGGGATGATATGCTTTTCTCCTGTTTCGATTCTTCTACGATTTTTTGGATGCCGATTCAATTTAAATTGCGATTCTTTGATACGTTGATTTTCTCGATTTTTAGTCTGCGTTTCTAACACCAGTGAAACAGTCGACTGATTATGATATTCTACTGACATTTCTAGGAACTGCACTTCCACAAAAAATAAGTCAGTTTTTACATTTGGAGAAAAAAAAAACATTTTTGAACATCCCTACCAGTTACTGAAAAGGGTATAAAGTCGGAAAAACACTCTTAACTCAACCTTAAAACTGTCATCCCTGTACTCACTCACTCATCATGAACGATCCAGACCATTACCAGTTGCATTCACGAGGACTTTTCACTAGAAAGTTGTATTTTGTAACGTCCATTTGTGGTGTCTTTTTAAACGGAAGCACTCTATAACTAACAGTTTGGATTATTCAAATTAGTCAATTACATATTAAAGTGAAAATATAAAGCTGAAGCTTCAAAATCCAAAATGATCCACTTTGCAAAACTTTGTCAAAACTTTAAAATAAAAAAGGAAGAGCATGTGACAAACTTAAGCAGTAGATCAAGGTTTTAAAGTGGTCTCCCTCGGGGTCAGTTTTTCCATCAACACTGCGCTGTGATGTGCGTTTTATGGAGGATGTAAGTGAGATAATTACAGTAAACAAGAAAACAACTCAGTCCTCTAATCCTGAGTTACTCTGATAGTCTAATCCAAATGTAATCAAGCACTAGGCCAGCATCTGCTAATGTTCTTAATGAGAGGTAATCATAATGTGAGAATGTGTGTGTGTGTGTGTGTGTGGCCTCCAGTGTTGTGTCTGGCCGCTCTCACACCTGACTGCCTTTGTCAGCTTCTGCTCTTCCTCCACTGACTGTAGCGTCACTGTTACAGTCTCATTACGACAGCACCGTTTCCTGACCTTCACCATGTGTTTACAGACAAAAGGCACGTGCCGATTTTCCTCCGCAGAGGGAGAAATGAAAGTAGATCAAGGGGGTTTGTGCATGAGAGAAAAAAAATGAGCGGAAAAAAACACAGTGGGGTAACAGAGCAACAATTTGAATTGCAAATGAGATTAACGAGAAGAGTCCCATCTGTGTCTTTGCATCTTTGCCAGGCTAAAATTAGCGTATCGACCCCTGAGGCTGAGTGAAAGAGCTGCGTCAGAGAACAGAGGTGAAAAAAAAAGAAAGAGGGAAAAGTCTTGGCTTGGAGAGTTTAGTGTTTATGCAGCAGAAAATACAGTGAAGCAGTGCAGCCACTCTTATGTCTTAATGCTGAGAGCTGGACCTGGACACAGACGGCTGGAAAGTAGCTCTCTGGTTCTGCTCAGAGTCACCCACAAAGTGCACACTTTGTTTTCATCAGCCATGTTTCTATCTCTTTATCCTCATATGCACAAAGAGGTTTTGTGGGGCAGCAGAATTCAAAAGCACTGCATGTACACACCTTACCAGTGTACCACCATAATTAAAGGGATATTTCGGCTTAATATTAATTTAGGGTCAAACACACCGTAACACCGAGTTAGACACCCCGTCGAGAGATTAATGTTGCTGACTGCTTGCTTCTCTAGTTATACCAACTTTGGTAATGACCGCATGATAGCAATACAGAGAGCCACACACTCAACTTAACACCACTCTATAGCCACAAATAATGCTCAGAACAGCACCTAACTTCATCAACAGGACATATAGGGTCCCAGTCATAGTACTAGCCACCAAACATCTTTTTAACTTTGCCTGATTCTTTAGCAAAGAGACTAAACACAACTCACCTACTCTCTTCCAGCAGCTGCTTGTTTGTACGGAGACTTTATGATCATTTCCTCATGAAGAACTACCCTGTCTGCAGTGCAAAATGATTAATATAATGATTATTACTTCAAGGAAATGATAAAGAATTGATCATAAATGTTCTTCCTTGAGCTGTGATCCCCCCACTGCAGTCGATGGACCCACCCGAAGGTCTCTACAAACCAGCGGCTGCTGGAAGAAAGACGGTGAGTTCTGTTTAGTCTCTTTGCTAAAGAAATTAGGCAAAGTTTGAAAGATATTTGGTAACTAGTACTATGGCTAGGACCCAATATGTACTGTTGATGAAGTTAGGTGCTGTTCTCAGCATTATTTGTGACTATAAAGTGGATTTTTGGTTGTTACTAAAGTTGGTATAACTAGAGAAGCAAGTGGTCTCCAACATTAATCTCTCGATGGGGGTGTCTAACTCGGTGTTACTGTGTATTTGACATTAACTTAATCTTACGCCGGAATATCCCTTTAAAAGACATTTGCATGAGTGTTTCTTTTAAATAAATGATCTTTGACAGCCCGACAAATTACACAACAAAGCCCGGTAGCACCCCTACAGAGAGAGAGAAACGTGCTGCTCGCCATCTGACTCAGACACACACTGACTTCAGCACTAATTCATCTGTTTTGAACAGCAGAGTCCGTGAAAACAGCTCAGACTATCACACATCTCTTTCACAATAAAGCACTCTAAAAGGTAAATAGTAGGGAGCTTGTGGGAAACTGTTCAAATATCACATAAAAAAAAAAACAGGAAACCCAGATGAGTACGTTTTAAGATGGGGTTAAAAATAACTTCCACCCAAGTTGCACGTTAGTGGTTTAAATGTGCACATACTAGAGAGTCGCTCGAGCAGCAGCGGGCAATGATGTGTTTAATTTATTGTCTTTAACTTGTCGACTCCGTTAATTTTTCAAAAGGAGTTCTTGGCGACTAGCTGAAAATGGCATCCAGGGCCCAGAAGCATGAATAAATGAGGCTCTTGAGCTAAAAAAAAGTCTCAGGCAGGAAAAAACAGAGAGAGCGAGAGAGAGAGGAGGAGGAAAGAGAAGCTGTGAAGGAGCTGAGGCAGATTTTTTCTGACTGACAGTTATAGGGCACACACACAGACACACACACACACACACTTTAACATGCACTAGCACACAAACACAGATGCATGGAGTAGATTGCTCCACGTCACAAACACTGAAAAATTAACAATCCTTCTGCAGGACATGAATTAATCAGCTCCTTGAAGTTACCTTGACGGCACACGAGCTTGAACTCATGAACACATACAAGGGCACACGCGGGGACACACACTCTGAATGCCATCTTCTCTCTCGGTCTGTTCATGTCGAGTCAGAGTTTGGGTAAATCTAAGCTGACAGGGACAGACAGAAAAATCTCAGAGCTGCTCCAGACACTTAGACAGAAACGTCCAATCACAGAGCAGGGTGAGGAGAAGGTCCTCGCTCAACAAAAAGCCCCGACCTTTACCACTTCATTTGTTTGTGATGACACACACTGTGGCTTTTAATGCTTATATCATGCTTATATTTTGAATTTTTTCCACCTTGTGTTTAGACTCTTTTATTTCCTGCATGGTCAAACTACTCTTTTATTGTGAAGGGTACTACTTCTGGTTAGAAAGCACAAATTTGTAGTTGATTAGAAACCTGACGAGGTCTCCGCTTTAATGTTGTTTTTGGATTCACAATACATTTTGAGATGTGAGTTTGTAAAAGCGTTACAGCGAGTTCGCTTGCAGCTCACGTCTTCTTCTTCATCATCTTTTCATTCCCTCATCATTACTTTCCATTCTACCTAAGCCCTGTTAACAGCATCATATCATATGGAAATAAATGTGAAACCAATACTTAAGGCAAATGCCTGTAAGAGAAACGCATGTTAATGCTTTACAAATCAATGCTTTCATTCCTGCTGCTGCTGACGAGGATGGATTTCCTCCAAACTTGAAAGAAGTTTCTAGTCTTTAAAATGATCTTAGCAGTAAAAACAAGTCTCCCGGAGCGGCTTTTCCTCTCTGATTTGTATCTTAAATTACTTTAACATGAAAAAACATTACACTATCATCACCGTCATGTGTTTTTGCTTTGGCTTCTGAACATCAAACCTGCTCGGTTAATGGGTCTGTGCGTCTGTCCGAGGTCAGATTAATGAGGGCCTGTGATGATAAACACATGAATTATTCATGCGCACATGCCGATGTCGGCTAGTTGAAAAGAATTATTGTAGCACAAATGCATCCCTTTTTTTTTTTACATCTCCAAAAGAACACACACTACACACTACTGTACACACTACTACACACTGCAGCTCCATTAAGCTGTTCTTTTGCCTCTCAGGTCGTTAAAAGGTCAACTGGATGCCTTTCTCTCTAAACTCCCCGCACCAGTAAATACAGTTCTTGTTTCTCCTCACGAGGAATAAAAACACATCTTGTCAAATTTCCCAAAAGTCTAAAAGTAAGATGTTCAATAGCTCACACCTGGACCAGTGACGCTGTTTGTTCTCTTTAACCATCAGCGTCAAATCGTCAAAATCTTTCGTTTCTGCTGCCAAACATCCTGTCTGCCTGCTCTAAATTTACTCTGCGAACATCACCGCTGATCCGGGTTGAACGGCACATCCAAGAGCCGTCACGGGGAGAGGGATACGCTTTCAAATCGCAGAGGAAACCCAGGTAGGAAACGTGCAGAGGAAAGAGAATTAAAGCTGGAAATACACACATTGGAAACCAAAAAAAAAACCCTGCGGCAGGAAGCATAATTAGCTCTTTGATCCTCTATCCAGCTGATGAGCTGCCAATGAGGGAGGTGGAATTCAAATTTTGCACAATAAATGCTTGGTAATGGTATTTTGCCGAAGAAGATAGGTGGAAATTCTCACATTTAGTCGTATTTTAATGCTGTTTTGTGAATTGATTTTCCATCTGGGACAAATAAAGTCAAATTTCACTGAATGTGAGACTTTCTGAGCAGGTTTCATTCATTTTCTGCGTGTTTTTATGAATGAGTCTAAGTGGTTATTATCTCTGAGTCACTTTTGAGCCTTGTGTGTGTGATTGTAACATTATGCAGAAAAGTCTTTAACCCTCACTCTGTCCCCTCATGAGCATTTGTGCTTATCTCTGTGAACACAATCCTGTCACAGCGTGTGTGTGTGTGTGTGTGTAGCTGTGAGTGCTAACACGTGTCAGTCCGACTACGTCTCTCTTACACTAATCTGTGCTGTCAGAGGGCCGTGTGTCCGTGCAGCAGCTCTTACGCCAGCCCGCAGACATCGCTACATCAAAGCTATTGTGCTGCTCCACTTTCCGCGGCCTCCAAGCTCAAGGCAGTGCTAACAACTGAGAGGGATCTGCTGGAAATAGAAACGCAGACACACACACACCGTTGTCTGCTAATTTATGTACAAGCTCACAGAACAGATTCACTCTGATTCCAGCTTCAACTGAAGGTTCAAAGTCGTCAGAGGCTATTTTCCGACACATCCAGGTGATAAGACAGCTCTAGCACGTCATCGGTTGTCCCCACTTTCTAAAAAACCTCCAACAGTGATGAAAAAGAGAGTGAAAATAGTCCACAATTTGATGCTATTTTACAAAACTGACGTTCAAGCTGTTGCTCCGAAATGAAGTGACGAAACACAAAGAAATGCCCACAAAAGACAGCCGTCAATAACGCAATCAGCGCCCCGAGAAGTCATCGCTGAAGAGATGGGGAGGATCATTAAGGGTTACTCTTACAGGTGATGCCGTAACAGGGCATGTTCTTCATGAACGTCGACAGAAATCTCTCAGATTTGAATGAAAAACGCAGAAAACTTCAACCCTGCTTTGTGTAGATGAAAGGTCTGTTTAAGTCAAACCACATGCTGTATTTTTACAGAGAGGAGAGTCAACAACGTCACTGTTAGGACCCGTCAAGGGGTGGACCCATTTCACCCACCTCTCAATCAGCCACGTAAAAAGAAATTAAAGGATTTGACAAAGGAGTTTTTTAAAGAAACAGGATGATTATAGAACAAGGAATGATCACCTCCTAAATAACAATAACTGACAAAAAACATGGACATGAACTATTCTATATACAGTCTATGGAAAAAAAAAGAAGCTAGCAATTAAACAGAAGGATCTGGCTGTGTCTGGTGTGTGTGTCACCTATCTTGTATTTAAATTTCGGTGTGCTATTGCATGATCCCGATTGGCTGCTCTGGCTGCTCCGGCAGCCAATTGGGGGCTTGTTCTCAAAGTACTTTTTCCTCGCTTCTTGCTTGGTAAGACTTGCTAAGTCTTTTGTGTCGTGGTCATAGACTGTACATAGATAAGACGCTGTCTGCCTCCTCATTGGGTGAAGCCACTCTGAGAACAGCACCCTCTGGTGACAGGCTGTAGTATAGGTCATAAATCCCGCCTCCGCCAGCAATCCCTATGGAGCTGTGGACAAACTTTAAAATTTATTAAACAGAATATACATTTTTCTCCCACCAACTTGCGATGTTGACATGTAGTTACAGTAAGTCCTCTTTTTTCTGTACAGCTCTGTTTTTAAGTTATTAGGGGTTCATGTTTTCGATGATTGACACTTGATACAGCCTATGAGCGTACGAAGACTGCGTAGCTCACCAAGGGGATACGCTGTTTGAGCCGAGCGTCATCACAGCAACTCTCACCGAAAGAAAACGTGGAATTACCGAGAGCTTTTAGGCTTCAAATCCGTATACTGGCGGAAGGTGGAACCAAGTTGTCCATAGTATATACCGTCTACAGTCCAGCTCTGTGAACTGTTGACAGAGCTTCACAGCACTATACAACCCTTGATGATTGAAACAGTACACCCTCACCTCCTCTGGATTATGGTTGATATCTCAAATGTTTCGTTTTGTTCATCCCTCATTCTTAGGAATAATCATATTTATACTACATCGCATCACTTCAGTACATTCACATGTTCAAAAAAGACACTTTATCGCCTCAGTTTACCTGAAACTAAACTTTAAAAGTACATGTTAGTGTTAGTGAAACGACACTGAGCTGTTAAACCAGCTGAGGGTCAGTTTTCTCTTCCGTGTTTACACCTCTATCAGACTCAAACAGGAGAAAGCATCTGAGCGTGCTCTACAGTTCGCACAAAGAGGACAGAGGCCTTTGGTATGACGTCATTATCATATTCTGATGTACATGAACAGCCTGCTTATAAAGTCACACTCATATGTTTGAGTTTAACCACGTGTGTTAGCCTGAGCCTGAAAGGTTTCCTACATCACTTCAAATCCTCCTGTCTCGGCTCAAGTCGTCACACAGTCTGCAGCGGCGACCTTGAGACCGGACAAGCGTTCCCTGTTACATCCAGACTCTTAACTCTCTTGGCTAATATCGCTGTGTGCTGCTCTGCTGACTCAGCAGACTGGAGTTGGAGCTATGAAACCTCTCTCCTGTCACATTCATCTGTTTTAAGGGCACGCTGGTGCGCTGAGTCCCAACAGGTGAATAAAAAACGTAGAGAATCAACTGAGGGTAAAACAAAAGCATTAAGCAAACGGTCTCAAATTGATTTTTTAGAGGAATATCACTGATTCAGTTTATCAGTAAGAGTGCGTATGTTGAATTTGAAGATAAACAAACATGAGAGGATCTGAGCAGGTCACATAAAGTCTCTTTGTGTCCCACAGGCAGCTGCTGACAGAGAACAGCCAAATCCTGAGAGTTAGCCAACAGAACAATCGTCAACACACACTGTTTGTGTTTTCGTCTCACTCTTGACAAAATGTTCTCTGTTTTCTGACAAAACGGTGTAAAATCCTCACCCTGGAAACATCCTAAAAGCCTGCACAGTAACACTTCATCTTGTTTGCGTACGACGGGTGTATTTCTACGCGTGTGCGTGAAACATCAAAGCTGCATACAGCAGGAAGAAGAACAGCTGACTGCTTAAACATTTATGAATGTGCAGGGCAGAGATACATTAGGAATGAGCCCCAGCTTCAGATAAGCCTCAGCGTTCTCACAGAAATGGTTCAATTGGTTGGTGAAATCCAACCACAGGGACCGGTTGGCATATTGAGGAGGCACTTTGGTTAAATGATGTGAATTTTCTGCTCCCATCTGAGTCTCTAAAACAAATATTCACACAGAGAGAAGAAGAGGAGCGAGCAGAGTTTGTTCTTGACTAAACCTGTAAATTAAAGTATAATTTGTCTCTTTAAATAAGACATAAAAGTTCTTCATATCTCACTTTTATCTCTTAGGATGTTTAGTATATTTAGTCTGTATTTATTGCATATACTTAGTATCTTTAGTCTGCATTGTACATACTTCTTATATGTAATGTTATTTAGTTTTTTCCTTTGCTGCTGTAACAAGAGAATTTCCCAGTTTGGGATCAATAAAGTCTATCTATCTATCTATCTATCTATCTATCTATGTATCTATGTATCTATGTATCTATCTATCTATCTATCTATGTATCTATGTATCTATGTATCTATGTATCTATGTATCTATCTATCTATCTATCTAAATTGAAAGAAATACGAAATGTAATAAGGAAAGCACAGGCCAAGAGTGCGCGTGTGTACATTCATGCTGCTGTCCCATACTATAACTCACACCATGTTTATACGTAACGGCATGTTTATGCTCGTATCTGTGAAAAATGGTCTTAGGGAGAGTAAACTGTCAAGCTGGTTTGCAGGCCGGTTACATAAGCAGCTTGCTTGCGTATTTGAGGGTTTTTGGTGGTGAGGGGAGGAGGTAGAAAAAGCAAGGAGAGCGAAAGAGACAGAAGACTCAGGAGGGAGAGGAACGGGCCTGTGCTGACAGCAGACTTTCAAACAGCCTGCCGGCTCGAACACAAACTGTTATAAAACAAACCAAAATGTTCGGAGTCTAAAAATAACTGTCCCCGGCTGAATCAGGTTACTAGTTTTATGTGTGTGGAAAACCACTCAAGTCGGGAGTGTGTGCTTGTTTAAATGTCAGAGTAATGGACTGATGACCTGACAGCGAGCTCGGGCATCAGGCTCTAAATCACAGCTAAAAAACCTGCTCGAGCTGTGTGACTCAGTCGTTCTTATTATTGTTGGATGACTCTGCATATCAGCACCAGAATAGAACAGCAGTCTCAAACTTTATCTCTGTGGACCCAGGGTTTCAAATAATCTCTTCTGGCCCAGTTTTAGAGAGCCATTGTGACAGGCAATTTGGTGCACTGTGCAGATTTCTCACCAAAAACACCAAATAAACCACGCAAAAATGTGTTTTTAGCAGCATCAGGGTGAAGACTTATCAAAATATCATGCTACATTCATTCATGGTTCCCGTAGGATGAAGATTTGAGACTTTGATTTGAGATCTTCTGGTTTGATATTCAGTGTTATTTGTCCTCGACCAGGCTGAAGGAAGAATAATATATATATATATATTAGTTTTAAAGACATTCAGAGGATACAGACTTAGCTTTCCACATGACTTTTCCCATGATGCCACACAGAGATCATAAAGTTGTGGTGGTGTATAAATACAAAACGGGCTCAGAGCAGCGTGTCCTGCCAAATACTTGACAGAGAGACAAAACATTTCAAGCTGCTCAAGATCCCAAAAGGACGAATCCAAACAACTTTACTGACCCTGGACTTTTTCAAGCACCACCATGAGTTCAGGCTTGATACTCAGGACCACTTCAGACCATAGGATGTAGATCAAACAATGTCAATGATGGTTTCTGAAGGGAAAAGCTCACTCTACCTAATATCTGTTCATCCTAGAAACAGTCAAATATCTACATGAATGGAAGAGTTACGACGGAAATTGGCATCTTAGAATAATAGAGCTATCCAGACCAAAACTGCGCCCAGTGGGTTAGGGTTAGAAGCAGTCCTCTTTTTTTCTGTCCAGCTCAGTTTTTAAAAGTTATTAGGGGTTCATGTTTTCTATGATTGACACCTAATACAGCCTATTGGAGTACGAAGATTGCGTACCTCACCCAGGGATACGCTGTTTGAGCCGAGCGTCATCACAGCGACTCTCGGCAACTCTGCTGCTGAATACAAACAATGCTACTGCGCAAGTGGTGGAGTGGGTACAACTCTACTGCTCAATGTTGGTTTCAGGAAGTGGAGAAAAAACGCGGAGTTACAGAGAGCTTTTCGGCTTCAAATCCATATACTGGCGAAAGGCAGAACCAAGTTGTCCATAATATATACAGTCTAGGGTTAGGAGATTCAGAATTGCGATAATGTTCTATAATGTTCTATTTGATGCACAGTCAACAGCCCGCTTGGTTTGATCATGTCATCACATGACCATCCTACAAAAAAAATGTTAGCGTCCCGGTATGTCAACATGTTGAATTCAGTGGTAAAAATCAGCATTTTAAGATGGATTTTGGTGGAGATACTTCAGCTTTTGGAAGGTTTCAAAGTGGCAACTGGGCCACACTCAGTGTTTATCACTGTCTGAACGCACTACTGCATTTTACCAGTGAAATCTCAGCATGTTTGCATATTTTAGCATGTTAGCATACCCACAAATGAGCTGTTAGCGCAGCTGCAGACTTGTAAGTCAAGGAGTTGGACCGGGTTCAGCTTGGGTGAGTGTTTATTTTTAATTGCAGAGACATGAAACTAGTTGGCATCATGATTTTAATTTAACGCCTGTTAAAAGCACTGACATTACGCAGCACTTGTAGTGCTAATTCATGTAATCCGCTTAATTATGTGTCTCTGAGCTGTTTGGGTCTTTTTCAGCTCAAAGCCGCTGAACCAAAGCCACCGTGCCAAATGTGCCAAAATCTCTAAAAAAGTGACAACCACTTACTTTATTACACCGGGACACCCAAAGGGAAAGGTGGGACGAAGTTATTCATGCGTCCATTTTGCATTAAGAGAACAGTTCGCTCATTTCTGATGCTGTTAATCCTCACGAGTCGAAGTGTGTGTGAACATGCACGTGTGTGCTTCTGAATGCATGCCAGAGCTGCGAGACCCCGCAGAGAAGACGCGCACACAAGGGGGCCACATGCACGCACACAAACACACACGCTCTTGTGCTTGCAGACTGCTGAGACCACGCTAATCTGTTGGCATGACAACTGGAGTGGAATATTCGCCTGGCCTAGAAAATACGTCCGAGAAGAAAACATGAATGAGCGGTGAGAGACGACTAAAAAACATAAGCCCTGCGACAGTCTGCGTTTTAATTACAGGGCTGAGTGTCTTTGTCGCTTGTCTCATCCTATAAGCGTCAAATAACAGTTTCTGGAAGCTGCAGCTGTGGATCAGCGTGGGAGTGGGTGTATGTGCTGCTATGAAATATTCTCTAACCAGCGTCCCATCACCCCTGAGGCCGGCTCAACAGACTCTGCAGACCGTCAAGCATATTTACAACTGTTTGCTGTGTCTACTGTACATGTTGCCTTGCTTTGGGGGCTTTGTAGTTCCCCGCTCAGACCGCTAATAAAGCCTTTAACGCTTCTGACAGTGCGCAGAGGTCAGCTGGGATAAGCCAAAAGGGAGCAGAGCCACGTCCACAGCGCCATAAAACAGGTCTGAATTTACTGTTTAATTCAAGCGGAGAGCCTGCTTGAGAAGAGAGAGTGCAAAGATGAGGTTTCTTTTACCGCTGCGCCGCGTGATCACATTAAGCATTTAAGAGTTTCCTCAACCCCGGGCGCTGATGCTGAGGGTCTGAAAAAAGCAGCACAGCAGGGGGGGGAGGGATATGTTTGGGAAGGGCAGATTCAGGAGGTTTAATAAAAGGTCAGGCACTCTCAACTTTAATGTTTGGCCAATAACTGCATGTATTACGAGCTGTAAGGAACGAGAAAATCTAGCCTTAGCATTAAACTGGAGTTTAATGGCCGTGTTAGTGGTTTAAAAGGAGGATGCTGTGGTTTTGAGCCACATGTCTAAAATTTAAAACCCGTAAAAGGCTTGTTGTCACGTAAGCATTATGTCTGCTACACCGGGTCTAATAGAGACTTGGCAGGCCTGCGTTGGACGGGGATAAAAAGGCTACTGTTGTCCTGACATTGTTTCACTCCCTTCTGACTTATCCTCCCATCAGTGAGGGAGAAGACGCCAGGCGGAACTATTGAAATTAAAGAGAGGACAGTCTGTGTTTGACCCGGCTTGGCTTAAAGCGCAGAGACAGAAGAGAGTGGAAAATAACTGAGAGACTCAGCGGCGAAGGATTTAGACTTCAGATGGTCCTTTATGTCTCCACAAAGACGGTTAAATCCTCTGACATAACAGCAATGTCGGCAGAGACAACACATGCTGAATAGATCTCTGATGAGTAGACCGTGGTTGTAAACAAACACGTTAATCTGCGTGAACTGACTCAACCTGAGACACTGCGATGATCTCATGAGGAGCAGGAAGGTATTGAGCAGTCTGTGCAGATTTTCAGGAGCTAACGGCATCGTCGTCTGGCTTTGGATTTCATGAAAAGCCTGAGAGGTGGCGTGCACCTAAAAAGAGTTGAGCATAAACATACAGAGCTGCAAAGTTGTCTGTTATTACAATATGACATACAACAATACTTTTAATGGTTTATCATCAGTTTTTGTAGGGTGACCATCCGTCCTCTTTTACCCGGACTTGTCCTCTTTTTTGGGGGCTGTGCGGGTTTTTCTGGCTTTGTCCGGGGAAGTTTATAAAATCCTTCAAATGTCCGGGGTTCTGTACGTAAGTTTCGATTTTGTGTCACGTGGACTTACTGAGTTAGAAGTGCGTAGAAGACACTCAATCCGACCCAAAAAACTCTCAAAATTAACTTTGTGTGACACCCTAGGCTTTGCTTCTTTCTTTGTTTTGTTCAATGCAACTATTTCAGCAACTTCTTTAATTTGGAGCATCCATTAGTTAGCTGCCAGACAGGCAAAAGCTTTCAACTTTATTAATGAACTCTTCTTATTCTATCTAAGGAGGTGTATTACAGTCTCAAGTAACTTTGGTCTCCTGAGTTCAGGATTTAAAACCGCTCGGAAGACTAGGTTAAAGAAGACTAAATAAGACCAGAGTTGGGGTTTCTCACTTTGGTTTGTTTTGTACTGTTTTGAAATTTAGTGTTAATGAAGAAGTCCTTCTGTTTGGTCACTATCAGTACTTTCTGTTTGTGTGCGCTGTGATTTATGGTTTATAACCTTTGGTTGGTGGTAACAGCACTATCAGTGAGTCAGTTGTACCCTGGGTGTAAGTTTACAACTCTCAGTGCGTTTATATGCTCAGTCAAATCCAGCTACTCAGGGCTCGACACTAACTTTTTTCACAAATAACTATTGGGGCACAATGAAAATTGATGAAATAATGTTTGTCTTCTTGTTCGACATAAGTACTGTTATTTGAAATCAATTTTAGGTCAGTTGGTCACATGACATTGAAGCTATTGAAGCTTTTTTGAGAACATTGACCGATAATTTATTGATGGTCCCTTATTCAACACCTGAAGTTGACAGCAAGAATGCCTAACAGATTTAACCGTGCCTCTGTTGCTATTCCTGGTTATGGAGAGTGAGAAGACACCTGTAGATCTGCAGTGAATGTCCGTCGAATATCCAACCTAAAACTAACTTCACTGGGGTATTTACATGAACAAACATTTGTTGCCTTGGCTATTTTTTCTTTTTTATGCGCACATGCGAGTGAAATGTTGAGCCCTGCAACTCTACAACTCGATGGACTACATTTACTCGTCCTAAGCACCTGGTAAGAATTGAATTGTTGACAGAAACATGTCAACAACAATCACGCTCGCTTTCAGCTCATTAGATCTACCATTTACCCAACAATCAACAAGTGGTTAGGGTTTTCAAGGGGCTAATGGGATGTTCGACAAACATCAAAACATCATCACTTTTACGGCTCAATGTATGATAAGACATCTTCAAGGTTTGGTTTCCTACCGAGCTTCCTTGAGACAGATTTACCCAACTGGACTCCTAGCTCAAATCCTGGTGTGCAAACTCTGGATCGTTTGCAGAACGCTTACAGTTTTGGTCTGATTGAGCTGAATACATGGAAGAGAAACTACATTCCTAACCATGTTGTCCAAGCATGTTAGTGCGACTATGAGAAGTTTGATTTAGTACAATTTTAGTCAGACGAGCGTGTCTACATGCTCCTTTAGGGTGGGGTGGAAGGATAAAGATCTGGGATCAAAACATATTTCAGGATGAGTCTTAATGTGAAGCTCCAGTTTCATACTTTCAAGAAACATCCAATTTAATTAAATATTATCTTTTTCTTTTCCAAAACTGAAAACAAGAACTTTTCATCCCTGCGTCATGTGTGGCATTTAAGACTTTAAGAGCTGCGCCAGGAGCCAGACATTCCTGTCTAGTTTGTTGTTTGTGGGAATCCTGATCTCGGTTTAATGAGCGTTTGCTGGAATGTTTAATACGGAGTCTGACGCCTCGGGCCATCCACGTCTATCTCTGACTAAAACTATGTGCCACTGTTATCATAATAAAAAAAGCAAAATTTTGTCAATATGGGGGTCAAATTTTCCAGCTGGGCTGATGGCGGCACTTTAAGCTAAGAGAGGGAGAAATAAACTGAAGGGAGAGAGGATATTGAGACGGAGACAGAAAGATAAATGGAGGAGGCAGGGAGATACAGAAGATAGGGAGCAGGAAGTGAGGGTGGCTTTAAAAATGCATGCGTCTCCATTTGGCAGAGGGGAAAAATTTCCCAGCAGAGAGAGGACTTGAACGGTGAAAGCCTGACCGGGGCTGTAATCCTCAGATTGAACACGTGAAACTCTTTCTTCTGTCTTGTAATAAAAGAAAGACTGGAGAGAGTAAAGGAAGGGACGAAGCTGTGGAGATGCCCCGAGGCTCTGCTCTCTTTGCCCCATGATGCCATTTAACTGCTGCTGCTTACTGTGGAGCCTCACACACAAAAAGAAAAACACACACACACACATCGCGCAGTGTTTACATGAGATCCTTTTTACAGTTAAGCGTTCATTGAAGGCCATTAGGTTAAGTGCTCTCACTTGCCGACTACAGTCAGTCTTGATTGTCTGCAAAACACTCTCCGAGGCGTCTGAAAGAGGTCGACTCATCCAATTTTGAAACATTGGCACAGTGAACACGGTAGTTTTGACTTCACTTGTTATTCGTGACACAAATCATCGGTCAGAAGGACCCGATGACCCGGAATATTTCGCAAATTTGAAGCAGCGCTTTCCGAAGTTTGACATGCATGTGTGGTGGGCTCCGTCTCTAATCTGTCATGCAACAGTGCGCTGAGAGAACAACAACAAAAAAAAAAGCTCTCCCATCATGCAAGACATAATCCTCGAGCAATACGGCACATCACAGCAGCTCTTGGATTCATGTCGGAGGCTTTCAAGGTGAATAAGACATGAAGGAGCTGAAGGGTAGAAGCATGCCGTACGACTGAAATCCTATTTTTGATACGACTGAGGGTCAAAGAGTCATTTTGATTCAAGCAGACATTTATAAACTTCAGATAAATCATTCCATCTTCTCCTCATCGTTTCAATCTACGGGTCAGAGGAGCTGAGTGCTTTCCTGCTCACAGGTCACGTTGCAGTAAGATAGATAAACGACCTTCAGTATCATCTGTGTTAGGAGCGTTTTGTTCCAGTTGAGCTATAACCACAAATGATTTAAAGACCCGCTCCTATGAAATCATGTTTTTCTTGTTGTCTTCATGTGTATATGGCATTTTTCTGATACTAGAGGACATTTCATGAGAAAAAGAAGTAATTCCGCATTCAACTTACAGACCCAAATGGCAGGTTCAGACACAGTGAGATTTCCTATGTCACAAATCCAAGCTCCGCCCCCCAGAGCCCCACTATGCAGGCCACACTCAGAGAACTAGAGAGGACGATGTGACAAATGTGTGTGTTAGCGGATTGAAATGCTCGTAAGAAAGCTAATTATGATATTAGCTTTCATCATGCTCCTAAGGACAAAAGTGTCCGAGAGCTGAATAGCTCCTATGTTACCTGCTACTTCTACTACACCGGCGATATTAGGCTGCAAGCTAACTCGAGGAGAAGTGTGCAGAGCAGCGCTGTCTCCACCCTTGACCCAGAGGCGAATTGCTAATAAGCTACCTGAGCTCTGCAGAAGAAAAGCGCTTAAAAATGATACAGGTAAGGTGATTTTGGCTAAAAACTTCATAATCACAGTTTAAAGACCACCGATAACACTTTAAGTAGTAAGAAAAAAACAATCAAGTGGGACTTTAAGCATCTAATCGTTACGTCCAGATCATCTTTCAGTTGGTGTATTACGTAATAGAGCATTTGACAAAACACGTTAGCAAGAGGATCACTGCATGCATGTCCCGCACTGTAACTCTTAGTTCTGTACTGTTTGTTTGCACAGGAGGAAAGTTTAGTTTTTTTTTACATCCGGTCTTCATCTGTCAATATTTTGTTTACTATCCAGCTTCCTAGCAAAGCTCTCATGCTGTTGGAGCATGTGCAAAACACTATGGCCAGTTTCAGTCCATTTGAACTGTATACACGTTAGGGCTGGGAGATATGGCCTCAAATCAATATTACGATATATTGAGCAGTTCACCTCGATAACGATAACGATAAATGGACGATAATTACTCCTCAAGCTGCTCCCCTCTCCCACATCAACTTCGTCTACTTTAGTCGCTCCAACTTTTGAACCGTCCTCCATCTCCTAACCTGTCTTTCCCTCTTTGTTACAGACTGGATGGGGTGGAGTCACGTCTCGCATTATCCAGGTAAGTTAGTCCAGCTCCTAAAAGTAATTTCAATTGTGTTCATGTTTTCTTTAAATCCCAGTTTCAGTCAAACAAAAAGCAAAACATCAGTTCTTTTCAACAATCTATAAACGTACCAAATCTTAGTCTCACTGGCTGATTTTGATTCAATTTAGCCCATCTTTCTGTGATCCTCATTGGAGTTTCTTTTAAAAACATAAAGGAATAAATAGAAATCAAAATACAGCATTTAAAGAGAGACAGCAGAAAAAGAAACAATGCTCTGCTAGCAACTAATATCAGAACAGACCTTAAAAAGATGAAAAAATCAATAATTCAGTTAAGCACTTAAAAAGATGTACAAGAATCTGTATGTTCAAGAAAACACATCCATGTTATAAAGGAGGGTCTTTCTGCTCTTGTAGCTTAAAGCCGCTGAAGCAGAAGCTCTCCCTCTCTCTCCCTCTCTTTCTCTCTCTCTCTCCATATGTGACTATGTGTGTGCATGTATGTGTGTATCTGTGCATACATTTACTGTACATGTCTGTGCGCTGGCATAGATCGGCCAGCTCTGGTTGTCATGGTAATCTGGCCATACTGTGGCTATATCGCCGTGGATCTGGCGCTAGTATCTCAGCATCCCTTGCAAACATTCATCCACGGCATGAACCCTCACCAAACACCATGAACACATCAATATATTTCTGATTTATTAATTAATCCTATAGCTCCTCTCTCCTCTGACTCCACCCTCAAACATCGCTCTGTTTCCCTCTCAAATTTACACCCGCTCTCTCGGCTCCTTTTGCTTAGCTTTGCTTTTCTCACCATCCCCCCCCTCTCTCCTGAGCTCATATTTTCCCTCCTCTCTTTCCCTACACTCCCCCTCTATCTTTCTCTCCTTCCTTCTTCATCCCCAATCTCTTACTCACCTCTAATGAGCTCAACATACTCTTGATAATATGTTGGGGATTTTTTTGGCCTTTTTCCTCTTCGCAGTGTCCTGACCTGGCTGTCGCATCCAGAAAAAATATGACAAGCGCTAAATCTGCACAGAAATAGTGACAGCAGTCTGTTTATTTATGTCTATTTACTGTGATTTCTCTTTCTGCCTTTCAAAGTGAGAATTCAAGGCATGAAATCAGATTTGTGAAACATTAATATTGCTTAAGGGGCCTGGAACGTTTTTTATGGAAACGCACTTTAAACCTCTTTAATCTGTGTATATGCACACATGGTTCGAGTGTGTGTGTGTGTGTGCGTGTTCAGAGAAGAAGAGGAGAGGTGTGAGGCACAGCCGGAGATGTGCGAGACTGAACCTTTTTCTTTTTTCCACTGAGGCTGCAGTCCAAACAGATCCATCAGAGGCTGATATTTGCAGACAGTTCCTTATGTTTGCTCGTGTGGACACTTTGCAGAAGGTCGCTTTAGTAACACTGCAGTGGACTCGGACTGTTTTACTGTTTGTTGGGCTTAAAATCTTGAAGTATAGTGGGTGGGTCCATGTATTATCCATCCATTCAATTATTCCATTCAATCTAGTAAATGAAAAACCGAGTCAATATTTTGTTTATTTGTTTTTCTGGATAACCAAAATATTAAAAAATAAGTGTTTGTTTTCGTATTTTCCACTCAAAACAGAAACAAAATAATAAATCTTATTTACAATTATTGATTCTGAGTGCGCCTGTTTTGAGCATACCTGCATGGAGGCTACATTGGTCTTCCCATGATCTTTAGCGACAGGATCATGTGACAGAGCGGGTCGAGCGCCAAAATCTTAGGTTGTAACAGAGCTCTGGTGGTTATTTTTTCATATCTTCCTCCTTCAGCGTGACCCTCCTGGCGGCTTTGAATAATACGTAGGATGCGTCCTTCTCCATGACAACAGGTTAGCCTTTCTCTACTACGCTGGTCGCGAGTTTTTGTTTCCACGTTGTTGGCTACTTTGTTGTGCAACAGTAGAACAGCACCGTAGGAAATGGGGACATCAATAACCCGAAAACGAAAAGTAGATTTATTATTTTGTTTTCGTTTCCTTCTCTATTACATATTCTGTTTTGAACCGAAAATATAAAAACAAACACTAATCTTTTATTTTCTGGTTATTTAGAAAAACAAATAAACAAAATATTGACTCATTTTTTCATTTACTAGATTGAATGGAATAATTGAATGGACAGATAATACATGGACCGAGGTGCAAAGTCTTATCTCAAAATCTTACAGACTATGTTTCTGGAAATAAATACATTTAAATATAACAATTCAATAGATGCAGACTATATTTATCAAACCCTATAGGTTGTTGCAATCGTGTTGCTCTCTTTGTTTGGCCTGGGCTTACACACTGATGAAATCCTAACCTACAAACAACTTAAACGAGCTAACATTAGCAACAGCTGTTTTTAGCCTCGTCTGACGTCCTGTGTCCGCTAAGAGGGTTTGAGACTCCTGCACTCCTGTATCGTAGTTTTAATCTGGTCTTAATGCTCTTAGCATCACTAGTGTGGTTACTTAAAATGGTTCACTTTTTTCAGTGTAAGCTGCTGTTTTCTAACCTGATATGGAAAATTATGGTCCAGTATATCAGGGATGTGTCTGTTTTTCAGATTTTAACACCTTGTATCTTATAGAGACGCCTTAGAGTAACTAAAGTATTTCACTGGACGCATGGATCCCCTCGCTTTCTTTCTCCCGGTGATGTCACCCAGCTGCAAACGCCCTCAGACTCCCGCGGAGTCATCATGGAGCTCGGCCAGGCTGTGATAGTGACACGCTGTAGCTCCATAAAGCTGCTCCCGCCTGGAGCAGCAGCCAAACCGAAAGCTGCTTAGCGGGGCAAAACTCAGGCTGAGTCCCTTAAAGCTGCACTAATCAGAGCTGTTAGAGGAGGCATCGTCAAATGGATCGCACACAAGATTACAAGGACATCTCCAAACATGAACCCAAGGATGAAGGAAGGGGCGCAAGATGATTTATACAAGGACAGATGGCCGATAGAAAATGACTAAATATGAGCCCCAGCAAACGCGTTTTTGTTGATGTCACATAACATCAGGTCGAAACAGGCGCCTGAATACCAAACCTCGAAGTGGCACAATAACATCTAAAGAAGACAAAGAGCGGGGAAGCTGTTGCACTTCTGAGCATGCGTCCTCGAGCAGTCTGCACCCATGACGGCAGGCGTCAGCTGTGGATGCAACAAGCCACCCTGAGCACTTTCACTGTTGATTGGAGAGGAAGAGAAGCGGCAAAAGACAGAGAAAGGCGTAAACACGGAGAACAAAAGAGCCTCTGAGGCGGCCAACAAGAGGGCCGCGGCGACCGCACAAAATATAACACAACCGCTGCACTGTCGCCCGCTCCGTCCGAACTTGGCAAGCTCCCACCAAAGGCCATCAATGCCCTCTGCTTCTCTCAGGAGGAGAGCACTTTTCTGCACAGCTAGCTTGTACATTAGCATGCAGCCCCATCCCCCTGCAAGGGCAAACAGCTACTCACAGCAGCCCTCAATGTACACAGAAACGCTTTATATGCAGGAGCAGCAGCAGCAGCAGCAGCTGGGATCTGATGGAAAGATGACCATGATGGTGGAGGAGATGAATTTCGGGTGGATCCAAAAGGCACGTGATGCTGACAAAAGATGATGGAGACATCCGAGCTGGGTGTCTCCATCATTGATGGATCAATCACTAATGAATGGATCCATCATTGACACATTTCCCACCCTTGGAGGCTTACCTGACTTTGAACTCAGTGAGCTGCGGCTGCGCCCCCAGATCAGCACAGTAGATCTGGGGGAAGTAAAATCGATGCGACTGAAGGTTGATGTCCATGGTGTCAACACACAGCAGACACACAGGTCAGCGGGTGTTTCACAAAAACAAAAGAGAAGAGAGGACGGATCTGTCTTATTCTTTAGGTCCAAAATTTCTGCTGACACTTCTGCTAAAGGTTAGAGTTCAACGCCAGCATCCCAAGTCACCCTCTCTCCGAATGGTCACAGAGCTGCACAGCGTTAGCGCCAGGAAGTCATCCCCCTCCTCTTCCTTTCCGCCGCGCACAGACCTTTCAATTACCTCTGCCGCCCGGCTCCGAACAGGCACACTAACCTATTTCCACACTGTACACTCAGCAGCTGTGAGAAGAGAACAAAGATGACTCCAAAGAAAGATGCTGCCTCCTGAAAACACAGGAGGGAGAAGAAAAAAAAATAGTCCTTTCTTGTGTTTTAATTCATCCTCCAGTTTGTAGAGAAGAAACGTCAGAAGGAGAATGAAGAGATGTAGGGAAATGAGAGGCTTAAAAATGTGTGAAAGCAGCTCTTAGCCACATGCAGAGGAGACTGAATGAGAGATGAGAGTCGTTCGGTTTTTACGCTTCACAGACAGAAGAGGGGGGGGTAAAAAGAGAGAGAGATGGAGATAGAGAGAGGTTCCCGGTGCTGTGAGGCGTTGCCCTCGCTCTGCCTCTCCTCTCTCTGTCTCATTGGATTACCTCCTCCCTCTCTACTCACCCCCCTCCTCGCTCCCTCCCCTTCATCCCCTCCCAGCTGTGACAAGAACGATGGGCCGCCAGCCCTGGAGGCTGATGGTCCTGCCCCCTCCCCCCTCCCATCTCTCCTGCCCGGCTGCGGGATTGGCCGCAGCGAGGATGCGTAAGCCCGCGTGAAGCGAGGGAAGAGAGGCGGGGAGGAGCAGCAACAGATTTTTAATTCATCTGATGGCTTTCGTCTTTTCTCACATATGATGGGAGGTGGCGTGCCAGGCTTGGGTGGAGCTCTGGATACACTAACAGAGGATGAATTTACTGGATTATTATTTTAACAAAGGGGCACAGGTGGAAAGGAAAAAAAAAACACTACAGTCTTTAATTAGTTATTAGTGGAATACTGCTCATTTAGCTTAGGGTGTAAAATAGTAGACCCTGAATTGAATTGAAAACAAAGAGCATAACCCAGGAGGACAGTTTCTGGAGTAAATTTTCATCCCGTTCTTGACTAATAAAATATTTCACCTGCTCAACAGTTCGGGGTCTCCTTTGTTGTATTTTGCATTTCATGGGCGACTGCAGGGAGGCCAATTAACCACCTGGGCTCTCCTACTTTGGAGCCATGCTGCTGTTAAATGTGAATAATGTGGTTTGGCCTAGTCTTGCTAAAATATGCAAGGTCTTTCATGTCTGGATGGAGACATATGTTCCTCCAAAACCCATATATTCTGTTTATTGTTAATGGTGCATTTCCTAAACTGGATGTTTTTATTCATCAAACAGTGTTCCTCTTCCCATCAGTCCGTCATAAATGGACGCACAGAGTCCTTTTTGTATGGTATGTTTTTTTTTGTGATTGCTGTGAAAAACTGTGTTTACATACAGTGGTGTCTGGAGGGGATGTTTAGCCATTGCTGTGATTTCCACTGCAGAGACATGTCTTATTTTATTTTAATACAGTGTCTGAGGACTCAAAAATTACAGCTATCCAGTGTTTATTTTATGGACAACTTGTTTCTGCCTTCTGCAAGTTTACGGATTCGACGCCAAAAAGCTCTCGGTAATTCGTACAAACTACTAATGTACACAAACTCTCACACAGTCCCTCACAGAACGGTGAACCTCGTCATGATATGTCCTGGTATTCAGTTTTCCCCTAGTTTTGGTCATTTGAGTGTATTTCCTTTGTTATTTTCCCTCGTGTTTCTGTTCCCCTGTAGTCTTGTCTTGTGAGTTTTCAGTTTGTGTCCAACTCTGTTGTCCTCATGTTCTCAGTGTGTCATTATCAGTTTTCAGTGTTTCCTGTTTTATTTTGCAGTAGTTTATTCCCTGTGTTTCTAGTCTTGTTTTACCTCCTTAGTTTTCCCTCCTCTGTGATCGTCTGCACCTGTGTCTCAGTGTCTCACCTGCCTCTCGTTGCTCGTTTCCCTGTGTGTATATATAGCCCTCGTCTTCCCCTGTTTCTTCTTTGGTTCATTGTGTGTGTCTGTCAAGATGTGCCTATGCCAGTGTCTCCTTGTTTTGCCTCTTGTGTGTTTTGGGAAATTTCCAGTTGGACTTTCTAAGTAGGTTTTTGTTGCTTTTCTTTTAGTTCCTTTTAAATAAATCTTTTTTTTCATCTTCATTTGGATCCTTTCCCTTTTGTTTCACCCTGGATCGTCACAAATCTCCTATTTTTACTTCTGAGACTCTCTGAAATGTCCCTTTATACCAGGTCATGTTACTAACCTGCTGCAAAAATGAGCAGAAATAGTTTGGAGGTTGTCATTACACAACTTTTTTAGAGTTTTGTTGTCCTTGTCCTAAGTTTTTATAAAGGAAGCTATAATATGTCTTTGCAGTTATTTTAATAAAGGCTTTAAACATTTTCCAAACCATCTTAATCTGTTTTAATCAACATTTTGAGTACTGTGGTCGAAAAAAAGGCAAACAAACTGCCACGTCAACAAATATATTTCAGGTTTGCAAGATGTGCTGAAAATAAAATACAGCATAAATAAGACAAACATGAAGAAAAGCCAAATGCTAAATTAGCTAGACACTTATTGAATAAATCGCAATAATATCGTATTGTAGCCCAAGTATTGTGGAAATATTGTATCCTGGGGCCACGGGTGATTCCCACTCCAACCAAATCTCTTGAGAAACAGGCTGCAAATTTATAAGTTTTGCAAGTTTTTAAATAAATTTAATACTGCAAATCAAATACGACAGAGACTTGCTGCAAAAAGCCGTAAAAACGCATTTACAGCAAACCAATACATGTTTGATTTTGCAGCTGAACAGAAAACTTCTCAGGCTGTTGTAACTTCTTTACTCTTCTTGGCCACCATATTTAAAAAGTTTAATTTGAGCATTCAACACCGCCTCTACTCCTGCAGTATCTCCCTGTAGATTATACTTCATATACAGTAACTCTTGTGTGTCTATTTCACTAATCTGCTGCCTGTAACCAGTAAATCCCTCCCATATTTACGGTCAATCCTCTGTCATCCCAGGAATGCTCTCTTTCTAGTACAGCTCACATCGTCCACATCTGTCCCGCTGCGTTCTGCCAGCAGGCCATTTCATTGATTGGTCGGGCTGCAGAGCTCTCGGATGACACGGTTCGTTCTGTAACAAGTGTGGACGACGGCTGACACTGCAATTTGCAGCCATTTAGTGACTGTTCACTCTGCTGCGGACGTGCCAATAAAATTTAATCTTTGTGTATCATACCCCCGTGATATTAGCTGACACATTTGTTTCATGCTGGGGGAAAAAAAAAACATATCTACATTCAGTGAGTTGCAAATGTCTGCTTATGCTTGCAATGAGTTGCATCATATTGCCTTCTCACAGTAAAGTGGCATCATTACAGCTCCACAGGGTTTAAACACAGATTCAAAAGGGGGGCTACTGTGATTTAGCGGCGCAGTTTCATAAAGACGAGACACTTGCAGGAGACAGATAAAGAGAAAGAAGTCTCGGGTATGACACGTGTTTGCTGTTCCTCCAAAAAGGGTGCATTTAAGAACAGATTTTCTAACCAGTTTTTGACAAAATTTTAAAATGAATTTGACGTTTTCCTTTATTTGTTTAAAGACGTAATTTATCATTTAGAGCAGTGGTTCTCAACTGGTGGGTCCTGACCCAAAAGTGGGTCACGGACATGTTCTGGATGGGTCGTGAAATGCTGGTCAAAAAAGCGAATATCAGATGTGCATTTGATGCCTGACTTTGTCTTTTATTTTGAAAAATATCTTATCGTGGTCCTACTCAGTTTCTTATAAATATGCCCTACATGCAGTAAAATTAAATGTTTCTTTTTTTTTTTGGTGTTTATTTTGTGCAATTTGATATTTGATATTTTCTGTATATGCAACTTCTCAGTTCATGTGCTCTGAAATGCACTTTACTCAATAAAATGGGTGTATTTATGTTAAAGATTTGCGTCTCTAAAGTGGAAAATAAATTTGCTTGGTTTGAAGTTTATAAAAGTGGGTCAAGACTTCAGGACCATGAGAAAACGTGGGTCCCAGAGTGAGAACTATTGATTTAGAGAGTCCCACATTCTGAATGTGTGGCCTCTCTTGGTCTGATTCTGATATTCTGTAGATCTGAAGTTGATTTCTGAGCAGTACGAGCTTTCACAGTTTGAAGCGTATCCAAACAGATTATAAAAGAACAGCTGAATCAATACCAATAAATCCAAATTAAACTTTTGCACATCATGAGCAGCCAACCTTCCCTAAATCTCTGCCTGCAGACACAGACTTTGGAGCAGCGCACTGATTCATTTCTTTAAAAACATACAATATTAACCCTTTATCTCACAGAAAAGGCAAACGTCTGCAATCAGTCGGGAGTTATTCATCCTCTCTTCTCCACTTGTCACAGTGGAAACCACTCTAGACTTCGCCATGGTTTGTGTGTGTGTGTGTGGCACTGTGAGAGTCAGGGTCCTTCGTGTCTGATCTGAGGTGTGAAGAAACTGTCGTCGTGAGCAGAAAACACAAGAGAGACTGAGAGCGAGTGGGGGAGCAGACTGATGGACCGAGGAGTGGAGTAAAATGCCAGAGTGAGAAAGAGAGAGAGAGAGAGATGGAGGAGGTAAAAAGTGGCAGAGTAAAAAAGGATGGAGCGGCAGAACAGGAGGGTTAAAGGACATCATGCCTCCACAGCCCTCCCCCCACCCATCCCTGCCTCTCAGGTCGGACCCTGGCAGCAGATTGTAGTGTAAACACCTCCACTCTCACTGAGTGTGTGTTTGGAAGTGACAGAGCGGCCAAGTGCTCCTGTTACCTGCCTATTAGCATACAGCAGGAGGGATGGCCTTCTGTCTGACACGCAGCAGGACTGAGCTGGAGTGTGTGAGTGGGGTTTTTTGGCGGGGGGGAGAGGACAAAACTGGAGGTTACGGTGATATTTACACGAGGTGAACAAAGGAAAGCTAATGAGGAAATTTTAGCAAGAAACGGTAGAAAAGAGTGACATCAGTGTCTGGACCTGCAGAGAGGGTTTCAGACCTGAACACATTATTTACCAGAAGCAGCTCAGTGAGTCATATTAGTCACATGTAATGAGCATTAAAGACATGGTTGACGATTGGAGAGATTGGTAATTGTTATGAACCTCGTTTCTATGGCGACCATGGTCCTATAGTGCGATCTCCACAAGTAAAGAGAAAAAGAACGGAAAAAGTCTGTTCACCCTAGCAGGTGCGGGACTGCAAAAACATTGACCAATGGGAGCCATCCATCCCGGACAGCTCCTATTGGTCAATCTCCTCTCCATCCAATGACCTCGCTGTATTCGACATGACCCTCTCTCATAGTTCCAACTCGTCCCCTCCCACTCTCCTGGCTGCGATTTTTTTTCTTGTAGGACAGTAGGGGAAAGTCCCGCCTCCTTTGCCTTTGATTGGCTGGAAAAGCTTAAAACGTCATTACAAGCTCCAGCCAAATGCAGGCTGTCGTGTCTGTACACGAAAAGAACATCATCGCACTTCTGAATCTCCTAACCCTAACCCTCATCCTAACCCTCATCCTAACCCCAAACCCTAACCCTAACCCTCATCCTAATCCTAACCCTAAACCCTAACCCTCATCCTAACCCTAACTCTACCCCAACAGACGATGATGTCTCACAGCCATTAGGAATAACCAATCGGAGCCCAGCACTTCTAGCCAATCAGAGGCGAAGGAGGCCAGGACCTTACCCTAAAATCCTACAAAAAAATTTTTCGCCCTCCTGGCCCTCCTCGGAGCTCTGAGCGGCTAAAAGTAGCGTAGCTTCTGCCGGCCAGCTTCTTGCTCTGCCAGAGAAGGTGTGTCGTGGAGAGGGTGATACAGGTTCAGGGGGAGTTGTCATGGCGCAAAGAGGGGAGAGGTTTTTGTGCGGGGGGTGGGACGCTTTTTACAAATCTGCCTTAACGGCTCAGTTTTTTTCAACTGCTTCTCAGATCGTGAACTATGCCTTCAATGAGTACTGTAAGTGTTTCTGTTTGACTTCAGCTTGTTTTAATGATCCAGTCATCCCATTTGAGAATTACCATAAGACTTAAAAAAAAACAGTAAACAAAGAAATGCAACCTGTCTTGTTTCCACGCATCAAACCAGCGTGACAGTCAGTTCATGAGAGCACAACCTGTCAGAGGCGGAAACGCAAAAGAGTCTTTGTTGCGTCTCGTCATGTGACGTCTCTGTGAAAGAGAGCAGAAGACTCTGCACGGCAGTATATCTGCTGTGCAGCGACAGAGTTAACGGAGCTTCTTACTCTGATTCACTCACACCACATGAAGGCGCTGTCAGTGAGGAGACGCTCGGCTGTGACTTCAAGCTTTGCAGGCACACACGCGTGAAGGATACACACAGACAGGATCCAATACACACACTGTTTCCAAATTCAAATACCGATGCAATTTTTGTTTTGTTTGAATACGAATTATCATCCTTGAGTTTTGACACCACTTCCACAAAGCTTCATGTGGACCCTGAGATGATTCCTCTTTCCTCCTCTTCTCATCATTTCTGTTTTTCTACTTGACCTTTTACACGTTCGACAAGAATTCTTTGAGACGTGCTCGTTCATTTGCAAGCTGTAACCTTTATCTTCCAGTTATATCTTGTGTTTGCAGTATTTGGTGAACCTGCTGAACCTTTTTTTTTTATCTGCTGCAGGTTTTCTGCACATTTTTACTCTTTTTACAGGCCTTAATTGGTTCACTTTAAATGTCAGGTTTAGAAAGCTGCTCCTTTTTCATAAGTGCTTCTATTAAAAAGTTATGCTTCTGTCTTCGGGAGCAAAACCACTTTGACACCGCCTCATTTAGCCGTCGCCTGATCTCCTTCATCCATCTGTCTTTGTCGGATAAGATAATGAAATCAGAGTTTCCACACAGTTGGAAGACAGAGGACGCTTTTCCCCCGTCGTGGCAGCTGGCACAACACATGACAGGCAAGAACTAGAAGACCCTCCACTGACAAAGTCTCCTTCGAATTCCCTGTGAAATTTAGCAGTTTGCCAACAGTTCGATACGTTGCAGGCAACACTTGTACTTGTAAACACATCTGAAGCGACACCGCACGAGTACCGTATTTTATGGACTATAAAGCTCACTTTTTTTCATAGTTTAGCTGGCACTCTAGGCTGGTGTACCAGTATCCGCTACCCCTGAACCACTGAAGATTTAAAAATTAACGCTAACTCATATCGACAACTGAGGAAGACCGAGCACAAAAGCCGCCAAAAAGAAATTCATATTCTGCAGATTACAAACTGCAAGTAGTAAAAAATGCAGCCGAAAACGACAAGAGAGTTAGGAGTGAGTGAGAAACTTGTGACGAAAAAAGTGGAGGTTACCCTTACTGCGATGAAAAAAACAAAAAAAAGCTAATCACAGGATAAAAGCTAAATGGCTAGATTATTTTTATAACTTGACTTTCAAGATGAAATGTCTGTTCTTGGTCTTGGATTTTGTAAAATGAATTTCCTCCCAAAAAAATGCGTCTTATACCAGTCCTATATGTTTTTTCTACTTCATTGTGCATTTTTTGGCTGGTGCGACTTATAGTCCAGAAAATACGGTATATAAAATCACATCACAAGAAATAAATAAAAAGCAAACTTAAAGCTTCTGTGTGGAGTTTTTTGATGTTTATAAGACAGACAAAAATTCATATGGATACACAAAAGCAAACAAGACAAGATTGACGGTTTTCATATCTAAATTTGAAACTTTAAATTTGAGGAGGTAGGTGTCAGCCGAGCAGCTAAAAACAACCCTGTTTTTGAAACTTCCACATAAAATATTCACAGTAAATGATACATTTGACTTTAAAAAATCTGCAGGATGAGCTTTTTAGTCCAAAAACACTTCTTAAGCATGTAGAGGACAAGGTAAGCAGACTGCTTTGTCCATAGGGGGCGCCAAGGTTTTGTGTCAAAACTGATTTAAACTGAAAGTTCCTCACTGGAGCTTTAAATTCAAGACATGATTTGATCTTTAAACTTTATTTTTATCTATTGTTTCTTTCTTTTTAAAACATGAGCAGGCCCGCACTTGAGACAGTATTAAAGGGAAGTTCTGTGATTTCTTATTAAAAGAAAAAGATTCTCTGTGTTGCTTTGTTCCCTTTGCTGCACCAGAAAAGGAACCAAACAGTGGATTTTTGTGTGCTGTTACTCTCCTTATTAAGAGAATAGAAGCTAACAGAAGCTGAACTGAAAAGGCCATAAACAAATACCCCAGCCAAAGTCATTCCTGAAGGCTTTGTCTCTAAACAGAGGGCCAGATGGCCGACTTGAACACAACTTCTGACTCACAGATTTTAGCTCGGCATCTTACAGCAAAACCCAAACTGTTAGTGGCTGAAAAAAGACAACTTTAACAAGAGGGTGCTGTAAATACAACTGTGTGGTGTCTAACCAGTGTAAAGAAACACATCCTCCAAAGCAGCAGTTTATCAGTCTGGGATTAAAATTCATATACAGTTCATCCTACATACATGTGATTGCCCTCAATTTAAAGCCGAGCGCAGCACTTTGACCTCATTTTTATTTCATTTCTTCAACAATAAAGTGCGTCACTGCATCCAGATTATACTAAACATTCTTCAACCTATTCAGCCGCATGTCGTTCTCCATAATCCAATCTGACTCCTCTTTCCCTTCATCCCCATAAACACCCACAATCCACCTGTGCGCGCTCAGGTTTTCACAAAGCAAAGTCAGGGAGAGAAAGAAAAGGAGCTAAATGAGTGTGAGAGGTGTGACAGAGTCGGGCTTAAGATCTTTGACGTTTTCTGTCGTCTTAGTTAACTCACTCAGGCTCACCCTCTCTCAGGCCCGGGGAATGACTTTCAGCTACAAACCACACACACACACACACACACGCGCACACACGCATTCAGACGAGTGCATGCACTGTCTGATTCTCATGAGCCCATCGTTTTAATTACGCCACACACCAACGAGAGAAGAAGGAGGAGAAATGGAGAGGGGGGAGGGAAGAGAGAGAGATTTTCCTCTCATTCACAAAGATTTGATTACCTATCTCTCCCTCACACACACACACACGCACGCACACACACAAACACACACGCACACACACAAACGTCTGTGCAGATCAGCCTCAGCGCTCCGCCTCGCGATGCCTCAGTGTGCTTTATTATGACTCATAAACCGCCCTCTTGTCACCCAGAATGCATTGTGTTTTTACAAGATTCACTACAGAGGAGAGTCACGTGACCTCACACCTGACACTGAATGCATCATAGTGAGTGTTTGTGTGTGTGCCAGGATGCATCATGACATATGTGGCTGTTACTAAGCACAGATGTGCACATTAGGGTATTAGCATACAGCCTGGATGCTGCGATTTATAAATATATTCAATTTACAGGAAGTTCATTAATTTTCCTCACACAGGCATTGAGACCAAACAACAAGCAGCTGAACTTCAGCTGCAGCAGATGCCTCTGCATCTTGTTTTTGCCTCATTAAGAATATATTTTGCACAAAAATTTGGCTTACAGTGGAGCTGCTAAAAGCAAAGTGGTTGTGAAATGGTCTGGATGACAGCCGATGAAAGCATCACAGTCCTTAACGGCTTTAATTTAAAAGACTCAATCTAGTGTTTATGTTCTGTGAGAATGAGCCCTAATTGCTGCCTGGATTGTGTTCAAGAGCGGCATGTTTTATAAAGCAGAGCACTCAGCGGCGGGTCTGAATCCAGAGTCAAGCTGCAGTCTTTTAAAAGGTCCTCTCATCGGCTGGTCCAAAACCATTTGCTTACATCTAGGTTTGCAAAATTTCAGGAATTTTCAAAGTTGGAAACTTTTAATGGGAATTTATGGGAATTAGTACACAGATGATTTCTTGAACCCTGGAGGCCACATTTTTGAGCCCAAAATACAAGACATTTGAGCCCACAGACTAACCTGCAAAAATGAAATAAAAATAGGTGCTAAATGTAAGCTTCTTTTCATTTCATTGAACCATTCAAGGGGCTACCTTATTATGGTATGGTATTAAGCTACCTCAAATGTGATGCCGTTTCTTCTGACTTCTACAAGATGGTTTCCTGTGACCATACAATAATTTAAAAATCAATTGTCAAATATTTTGAAGACCATTCCAGTTGTTTAGCCAACCATATTTCTGTTCATATCATTACATTAGTGTTTTTACAACTTTTTTGTTATTTTATTCTACAGAAAAATGCCACGATCACCTTCACCATCGCCACTGCTACTCAAATAAATCTGTTGAAATTTCATGTTTTTTAATTGTACTATTTTGCACGGATGTCTGCTAATGACAAAACAAAAATATTTACATTTATGTTTGGATATGACACAGTTTGTTTAAATTACCACCAATTTCCAGTTGATTCCCATAAATTCCCATTTATTCCCATAAATTTTCATAATTCTCATGGAAAGTTTCCAATTTGGAATATTTCTAAAATTCCCCAGCTTAACTTCCCATGGAAAGTTTCTGGAAAATTACCAGAAATTTACCAAAAATATTTACATTTATGTTTGGATATGATACAGCTTGTTTAAATTATCCCCAATTTCTTGTTAATTCCCATAAATTCCCATAATTCTCATGGAAAGTTTCTTATTTGAAATATTTCCAAAATTCCCTAGCTTAACTTACCAGGGAAAGTTTCTGGAAATTTACCGGAAATTACAAAAAATATTTACATTTATGTTTGGATATGATATCAGTTTGTTCAAAATACCCCCAATTTCCAGTTAATTCCCATAAGCTCCCATTAATTCCCACAAATTCCCATAATTCTCGTGGAAAGTTTCCAATTTGGAACAGCTTAACTTCCCATGGAAAGAGTCTGAAAATTTACTCGAAATTCACCAGAATTTTCCACCTCTTTGCAACCTTACTTAAATCTAATTTTGTTAGCCCATCAAACTTATGTAACATGATCCAGTTTCACATGGAAAAGCTAGTGGTGAACAATAATCAATCGCGGTTGTCAACGTTTGTTAAAAATAGCAATCAACCAATTAACCCGTATTGATTTAAATGAAATGTAAGCCTCATTTCAAACTGCTCTGTTTAAACTTGCATTCACATGTTTTTTAAGCTACATTACAAACAAAGCTGTAAACAGATGTGCACATAACCTTCAGGTGTAAAAGAAAAACCTGTTTGCTGCACATGGATGGCTACATTGACATTTATTTAACATGACATAGCAGTTTGAAAATATTCTGAATTTCCAACATGTATGCGGCTCCAGGAGAAAAAAACTCAGCTTGAACTTGAAGGCTGTAACTTTGGAGCGGTTTGTAATGAAGAGCGCACACCTGTGAAGCTTCAAAGCACACAGCTGTGCACGGAGAGAGAAATCTGACCTCCACTGAGAGTCACGACTCCGAGGTTCAGCGGGACATTACAGGCCACACAATAAATGGAGACATTTTGATTTATTTCAGGTCAGGCACCAGGTGTGCGCCGTACTGGTTCACAGTGTAGGTGTATAATGGAAGTCAAGCTTTCATTTTGCCTCTTTGACGCATATCTTCCTCTCAATACATCTAAAAAAACATTCACGGTCAAACTTCTCTGCTCTTACATTGGTAAAACGATCAATCAAGGTCCTAGTCCTGCATTATTCCAGCACGCACCTACGATTAATGTTCAGATACATATGGGTCACACACATACCACCAACTGTTCCTGTCAATACACATCAGGCTGCAGCGATGACGCCGGGTCGATGGCGCCCACTCTTCACTTTCTAACTCGTTCTCTGCACTCATGCGTTAATGGAGGTGGTGGCGATGGTGGGAGGCCACCGTGGCCTGCAGGCAGGACCGCACATCAATCCTGATGTCTAAGTCCAGCAGAAGGGCGGATGGTGGCATGCAAATGTTTGAAGCAGTTTGATCTGAACGCACACTCACAGACACATTACCAGATTACCCTCTGTGGGCCACGACTAAGAGATGCTTCACTAATTATAGGACTGCAATGTTATCATTCTGTGGTGTCATTCAAAGGTGGGGTAGGCAGGATCTGAGGAAGTGCCAGTTTTTGGGAGAAATCTTGAATGTTAACACTACCCCTCCCCACCAGTTTTCCCCTCAGCTCCTCCTCTCCCCTCCCTCTCTGCTCCAGCAAGCCCCGCCCACAAACAGACACACGTGCTCACTCGTATCCTTCCAATTAAATTCAGATATAGTCACAAATGGGGCCCAGTCAACGTGAAAGTAAACAGCATTGGTGCTACTGTAGATGCCAACAGACGACCAGCAAACACAATGTTTGCAGGACTTCTACAACTAGGATAAAGTGACATAGTCCAGGACCTGAGGGAAACAGTTTAGCTGCGCTACAACACGCAGCAGGTCCCGTTTGACAAGAAACACTTTTGTTACAGACACTTGGCTTACTTTGTTAAAGCGGTTTACCTGTCCAGCAGAAAGATTACAGGGTCTGTAAGATCCTGAAGTGTCCCCCATCGTTTTATGCTAATGTTGACCCGCCTTTTTAGCTCTTGTCCGGTCTACCTTCGTTTTTAGCGCCCGTTATTCCAACAGAGTCTCCGGTATTTACTTTGTTTTCTTGCTTATGTTGGCTGTCGTGGCCAAAAGAGGAGTCTGTCAATTTTCCGTACTTTCTGGTTGGTTTCTACTGTCTGATATTGTAGCACGCTAACTTTGTTTGGGCTCCTGAACGACATGGAGGAGCAGCGTCTGCCTCACAACCAATCAGGTCGGGGGAGGCAGAGAACGGCTTTCTTTACAGTCAGAAAGAGCGGGCCGCTCAAAAATGTTCAAATGTTGACTACACAGACAAAACAAAACACAGCGATATCATTATATTACCAAATGTCATCAATAACTTATAGCTATTGACTGATATTAAAAGCTTTTTTGTACATACACTACAAAAAAAGATGCTTCTTTAACGGATTCCTGCCTACCCCACATTTACGACCTAATGTGAGAAGCAAAGTCAACATGTGCCCCAGAATCAACAAGCCAGTCCATCACATATAATCCAGGCTTACTGGTTTTGTGTCAGACCAGTAGTTAAACATGGAAAAACAGGCTGTTGCCTTCATCCCAGCATGTTAATCAATACATGGGAGCGAGGGAGAGCCGGAGGAGATGGAAACTGGAAAGATAAAATGATTAGCCTGCAGATGAGGACTCAGACATTCAGGCTCCATCAAACCAGCGATCAGTCCTACAACAAAATCCCAGACTGGAATCACAAACCCTGGCTTTACTGTCCCGGGAAACTTTCCCCTGAGACACGCAGCACCTCCAACGTCAAGATAAGTTTGCTAATGTGTCTAATCCTGACAAATGAGGAACAGATACAAGAGATGTGCTGGTTGGAAGTTTGAAATTTAACCTGGTTATTGAAAAGAAAAAGTATTAAAAGGCTCCTTTTTATCTCTAATCAATATCTATAATTAAACCGTCATATAAGGAATTGATCATGTTTTAGAAAACAAGCTGGATTTACTGCAAATCTAGACTATTGTATCAGAAATAGAATCAGAAATACTTTAATAATCCCAGGGGGAAATTGCTTTTTGTTACAACTTCAGAGCAAATACAGTAGAAAGAGGAGATAAATAATTGATAAAATAAGTAAAAATAAAGAGGTAATCAAAAGAAAGAAAACAAGTAGCTTTAATATCCAAAGTTGTTATGGAAAAGCTGTTAAAAGTTATATGCTCTTTATGCTAATATTCAATCTAAAACCCAGCCCTGACCTTTGACCTTCAAAACACTTAAAAACCTACACATTTCTGCAGTTCACCCTCATACTGCTGACTTTGAGTAATGCGTGTCTGAGCTGCAGATTAATGCTCATTAGATAGCACTAAATATCACTAACATCCTACAAACTAAAGTGCTTTCTCTATATATTAAAAAAAACAGCAAATGCAATCACACAAACACAGCGAGCCACACACAGACGAGCATACACACACTCACTGAGCACCAACAAACTGTGTGAAGTGTCGGCTTGTTGTGTTGACTCACAGTCTATGTTGCCACCTACAGAGCGCCTCTGCAAAGCACACAATCACTCACACTGAATCATAGCCCGGCGTTTAATTGGCTGTCAAACAAAGAGCTACAATAACAAACGTTACCGCAGACAGCTTGTCAGAGTTGCTTTACATCAATATAAACTAACCTGTACTTTAACTGGCAGGGATTTATGTGTTTATTTTCACCGCCCAGAATACGGCAAGTGACAAATTAAAGCACACTGCAAATAGTCGGTGTGCTCGCAGGCTATTCATCTGATTTATGTGTGTTAGTGTAACCCTTTTATAATGCAATGTTTACTGGGATTCAGCCCTTAGTTCATTTATCTATCTGTTTTATGAATAACACGAGGGAACATTTAATTTTCTGTTTATAAAGACGAATAACTGGGACATAATAATAATGGTTTTGTTGATAGTTTCTGTAACTGCAAAATGATTTTTAAAGGCTAAATGACAACAATCTGTTTAAAGGATGAACTTTTTACTTTATATTACAGTGTTTTTTAATCGCTATCAAGCATTTGTCCAACCATTTGTCTCATTTTCAAAACTGTAAACAAAATTAGCCCAGCGTCTGTCTTTTGTAGCCATACCATTCACACGTTTCATGTTGTTTTCACACAATATGCAGTCAGTGAACACATTTCCACAGTGCTTACATTTGATTAACATACGAGCTACACCTCCCAACAAAACACACACCATCCCACAATAGCAAAAACAATATTCCAAACCTTAGATACAGTATAAAAACCTCTGCTTCTGCAATAATATCAGTTCAAAAACAATATATCTAAGCTGATAATAAACAAACAATTGTATCATTAATACACAGCTGATTTATGTTGGGTATATTGGTGCCAACCACAGCTCACTCCAGTCTGGCTAAGACTCAGTGTCAGGGGTTAAAAGGAAGATTTTGAGGAGTGATGTTTTTGGAAACAGAAGAAGACAAACACTGTAATGTCTGGATGAGAACGAGTAACAGCAAGAGGCCCAGTGAGGGATGCAGTGAGAGGAGCAGGTGTAGGATATTTTGTTCACTGTAAGCAATACCAGAATCACATTGTAAACAGAACTTCTACTGTACCTCCTGTAGTAAACAGTAAAGGGAAAAAAACTGATTTGCTTTTTACTGGGATGCTTTTGAATGTGAACATTACATGTGAAACATTAAAGTCTATGCAGTTTTTGTTACGTCAGCAATAGCCAGTATTTTGAAACCCAGGGCCTGTTCTACAAAGCAGGATTACTGCTTAGCGAGGTAACTTCGAGGGTAAGTTCGGGGTTTCCTGTTCTACGACGCGGGTTCACTTCTTAGCGAGGCGAGTCTTCATGGCAAGGTACGCTGAACGGCTAACCTGCTCCGGGGCAGGTTAGGTTCCAGATTGAACCCACAGAGTATAAAAACCCCGCCCACTGACCAATGAGCTCTCTCGAAAAATGGCTTGTCCGCACAAGAGTTTTCAGGGACTGCACAGACCTACTTACTTTTCCGGATGACCACCTGTATGAAAGGCTCATATGGCCGACACATCACACAAAAAATGTAAACACGATAGGAATGAACAAATGAATTAATTTATCTTGGAAATGAATTAAACATGTCTGGTGCATGTTAAAAGCGCACAGTGAGCAGTGCTATTCCAGGGTCATAATGGCATCAAAGATTTTTTTCGCACTATACTTACGTATTGAGACTGTCTGCAGTTTTCTGCCAGCATTCCTTCTGTGCTTTTGCAGCAGCGACGGTGTTGCTTTTGAGGTTTATGATAGATTTGAATTCTTCATACTTTCTCATGATCGTCTCCTGCTCCTCGTTTGTTAAGTACGCGGCAGAGTAATTTCATTTTGAGTCAGATTTCCAGTGTTTTGGTAAAGTTAGTGTTTGCAGCGAAGAAGTGTTCCATTTTGAAATAAGAGTAAGTAGATATTTAACAAAGTGTGTTTTATGAGAAGAGAATTATCCATTTGTGAGTCTGTGTTAAGAGTTTAGAAAAAGTATCTGAAGTATGAGTAAGCGCTTGAAAAAAACTAATAAAAAAACAGACAGAGCTAAAATGATGATGGGCTAACAGAGAGTAAAGCGGAGTGAGGGTTTTAGGTTGAGTTCGTACAGAGAGAGACTGAACATCCTGGTGCTAAATCCCACTCTGACCTTGGGGCTCACAAAAATCACACACTCACAGGGATTTCAATGCCAACAACAATCACAATCAGCCAAGGCTTCCTCCTGTCCACGATGAACCTGTGCCAACCACTGCTGCCCCACCCACAGCTGTGCTCCAGCAGGCTCGCAGCTGATTGGCTGCACCGCTGACTTCCAACAGTTACACCCCCCCTGATTGGCTCCTTAAGTCAGCCAGTAAAACCAGTGCTTGCATCCTTAGGACAGCTGTGTCTGGATGCTGGAGTGAATGCTCTCAGCCGATTGGCTCTCAGGTGGGAAGGTGTGTGCGCGTGCATGCGCATGAGGATTTCTCCTCTGCGCGTGCAGAAATAGGTGCGATTTAAGGGAAAAACACACAGCGTTCACCCCTCGTGTCGCAATTAAGCGTGGTTAAAACATATATGCGCGTGAAGCGAATCGTTGTATTTCTCTGCAGACAACCTCCACGTGACTCATCACAGAGCGCGAGCTGGTGACAGAGATGTTAGCTGGCTCACCAAAGCCCTGCAGCTCTGCGTGATTTTATCAGTGTGTGTGTGAGTGTGTGTGTGTGGACACTTTCACGAGCTGCTGTCAGACCAGCTGCTCCTCTTAAAGGTTCATTTTCTGTCGGCCAACAGGTAACACGCCGGTCAATAGCGGCGCGTGCTGCTGTGAAACACCTTTTGTGCCGTGGTGGTGACCCGCACACCGCAGGCCTGTGGGTGAACGTGCGCAGAGAAAACCAACATAATGCGCGTTAATAGGTTGTTTGAGCTTATCTCCTTTAATATAATGCGCCGAGGAATCACTGCTTCATGGTGCAGACACTGACACGCGTGTTTCTGCTTACCTCATCTTCCTCTCCTACTCGTGTGAATGTGATGAAGGATGTTTTCTGTCCTCTCAGTGTTTGTCCTTGAGTCCAGGTCTGGTGAAGAATGATCCAGCAGCAGGAGCAGCTCCAGAGGTCTGGGTAAAATCAGAGCTGCAGCCGGTTTGGGTGTGCAGATGTTGAGGTCTGAGAAGGCGACAGGGTGTGGAAAATGCTACAGGATGTCCACAGTTTTCAGGTCCGGGTTTTTATTTTGTTTTTTAAGAAATGATAAAAAATGTTCTTCGGTGTTTCGTCAGGAGGCTGGTGGATCAGTCGAGGCCATCTCAGAGGGAAGCACGCCGCTGTCCGCAGGACGAGAAGCCGGGCGGAGAGGATGACAGCGGCGCGTGAGGTGCCATCTTTTCCTCTCTTTAACCACTGGGAGGCGGAAGGAGGGAGGGAGGGAGGGCTGCATGGAGAGAGAGGGAGAGAGAGAGAGAGAGAGAGAGTAGTGTTGTGTCGTTCGCGAACGATTCCTTCAAAAGAACCGAGTCTTTTAAGTGAACATTCTGAACCGAATCACTTGTTCGTTTCTCACTTCAGTTGAGCTCTCTGCAAGAGAGAGAGCGTGTATAGTGTTGTGTCGTTCGCGAACGATTCCTTCAAAAGAACCGAATCTTTAAAGTGAACATACTGAACCGAATCACTTCGTCAAGTGATTCGTTCTTTTCTCACTTCAGTTGAGCCATAAACAAACCTCAACCAAAACACCGCTCTATAGCCACAAATAATGCTCAGAACAAACTGATGAGTGCAAAATGATAAATATGGTGATTAGTACTTCAAGGAAATGATAAAGAAATGATCATAAATGTTCTTCCTTGAGCTGCGTCACCCCGCTGCAGTCGATGAACTCGCCTGAGGTCTCTCTGCAAACAAGGGGCTAATGGAAGAGAGTAGGTGAGTTGTGTTTAGTCTCTTTGCTAAAGAAATTAGGCAAAGTTAAAATGATGTTTGGTGGCTGGTGCTGTGGCTGGGACCCTATATGTCCTGTTGATGAGGTTAAGTGCTGTTCTTAGCATTATTTGTGGCTATAGAGTGGCGTTTCGGTTGAGAGTGTGGCTCTCTGTATTGCTATCGTGCCGTCATTACTACAGTTGGAATAACTAGAGAAGCAAGCGGTCAGCAATGTTCACCTCTTGACAGGGTGTCTAACTCTATGTTAGGGCGCGTTTGACCATAACTCAATTTTATGCCGGAATATCCCTTTAAAATGTGTATTTACTAACTTTCACAAGTGTTACCTCTACAACAGCACATTTTATTTCAGTTCTCTCTGCAAACATAACAGGAATTTCATACCCAGTCTCTGTACCAGCCAATGAACTCTGTGGAAAATGACATGATACAGTATAAAAATAGCGTCTGTGGTAGACACACCTGCCAGCAGTAGCAACAATGGACCAGTGAACATCTGTTTGTGTCTGAAGCAGCAGCTGCTGTTTCTGCACACAGAGGACAGACGGTGAAGTCAAAGCTCCTCTGAGGATCAGGCGGTTGCTCCCAGGCAAACAGGCAGGTCTGTAGGTTCCCGCAAAGTCCATCCCAGGTTCGCTTAAAGTGTAGTTAAACCACCTTTTTTGTTGTTTCAGGGTGATCTTTATTGATGTTTGTAAGAAAAGCAGTGGAAAGACAATAAATGTGAGGTTATCAGTGGGTAATTGTGTATTTAGTTGTTGTGATTTTGTGCTGAATGTAATTTGTTTGTTTTGTTCAATAATTAAGTTTTCCTCACAAGTTTTCTTTATACAATTAATTTCCCCCACAAGAGACTTACAGTAATAGATTTTGATTTGGTTGAAGAGTTATTTTCAAAAGTCAGCTTTGTCTCCCACTGCACCACTTTGTAATCAGTTTATTAATTCTCGTATTACATCACAGCCATTAAATTCAACTTGTTGCAGTTCAACGTTCTCACCAGCAGGGGTCCTCCTAATCTCCAAACAACACATACCTCCATCTGTGGTCTCAGCAGAGGTGAGGACACAGTCTGAAGTCTTTCTGTCCTCATAGAGAATAAAATCAAACTCTTTATGAAACAGTTTTATGTAATGCACTTTTTCTGGATTATCTGATTTATTCACATTTTGATCTTTGAGTTCAGTCTCTGTTGTTTCTGTTCAAGTCTCCACAGGAGGGCGCTGAGGCTGTGGACACATGGAGCTCATAGGCTGCTTCTATCATCAGTTATATCTCCAAAATAGTCCAGGTAAGGTGTAATTTTTTATAAATATAAGTCAGTCTAACATGTAAGGACTGAAGGTAGACCTGTTAGGCGCCTGGACTCTTCTACTATGGAGCCAAGTTGTTGTAATATGCACAAAATGTAGTTTGGTATTATCCTACTGAAACATACAAGGTCTTCCCCGTAAATGGCATTGTCTTTATGGATACATATGTAGCTCCAAAACCTGTATTAATGTAGCTTTCCCAGAAGTACAAACTACTCAAACAATAGCCTCTTGTGCATCCTCATACCATCAGAGAGGCTGATTAAAAGCTAAACCGTCCCTCCTCTTTGCTGATTGGACGGTAATCCAAACAGAAAGTTAAAAAAAGTTAAAGACCAAATCATCAGAGGGGTTTCCTCTTTGCAAAGTACAGTTTTAACTGTATTTCTGGTGTCAGCTAACAGTTTTAAGATGATTTTGGCCTATACAATGATTTCCACTACAGAGTCATACTTAGATCCCAAAGATCTGCTGGTTCTTTTCACACTGCACAACTCTGTCAGTGTTTAAAATAGGTTTTTATTCACATATTACACGGGGATCCATCTTTTTTGGAGTTAAAAGAAGAAGCTGCACCATTAATGAGAAATACAATATGTGAAGATAATCAGATTTTTATTTGGAGAGTCAGATCAGAGACATGATTACTTTGTACATTGGAGAATTTAGCACCTGACACAGCTGTGGTATTTCCCATGTATGCAGAGAGTAAGTAGGTTTCAACCTGCACACACATACACAAACACATAAACATACACATCCATCCCACACTTGATTTAAGATAATGTAAGAACAAGTCTTTTTAATAGTTTGTGCTGGACTAAAGTATTTTTACTGATTCTTGTACAAGCAGTTTATTATTTAAGCTCAGAGTGAAACACTAAAAGTCAAAAACGTACAATCAAACCAACATAAAACACACTTTCATCGCACAGTCACAGCTCAAAGACGATTACAGACACACACACACCTTAACTTTACTACTTCACACAGAGTAATGGAGCGAACATTTACCGATTTCAAAGAAACAAAACAGAAACTAGCAGATGAGAAACAAATCTATGGCAGAAACAGAGGGTCGCTGAGGAGGCTAAAAAAAAGAGCATTAAAGCGTCTTTCTACTCTTGAAGTCATTAACTGCAAAAAGGATGGACGGTAAAACAGCACCCAAAAAGTAAAGCCAAAACTTTGGAGTTTTCCTACTGAGCTGCACCCGCCTTCTCCATGGCAACAGCTGAGATGAGGATCAAACTTTAGGGTTAAAGCACAAACCACAAACACGGTCATTTTAGAGAGCTCATATTGTTTCCAGGTGTTTGTTTTTAAAATATATTTAGTTTTAGTTTGTTATTGTTTTTTAAAAGTGAATATCGCCTTTGCAAGATCTAAACCATGCTGCTCAAACTTTGGCACTAGATGACGTCACAGTTGCGATATATCAGTGTTTGCCGGGGTCAAATTGGCTTCACTTTTGTACAGTACAGAGGGGAACACTTGTCATCTGTCTTTACATACAGACAGTACAGTCAATACAGTGATCATGGCAAACAACACTCATGGCAATCACTGATCCTGATATGAGACTTTTTAGAAAAATGCAAAGATCAGTTTAAGTCTTTGTGTGCAGATCGAATTCAAGTTTTCAGTCGTGGCTCGATTTGAGTTTAGTAACAAATCTGAAAGTACTGGCTGGGCGATTTGAGTGGGCTGTTGTAGTTGGACGAGTCCTGCGTCGTGTTCTGGCTGGTTGTGGTTTTCTGCAGGTTCAAGGTGAAGGATGGGGTTGTTTTCCTCGCCTCTGGCTTGTCGCCTCCTTTTGTTTGGGGGTTGTTGGGCGTCGCCGTGGACCCGCTGCTGGCAGACACCGAGGCAGCAGATTTGGCGGACTCAGAAGACCCAGTCTTTCTTGTGAGGGGGCTCAGATAAATCTGCATAGTCACTAAGTGAAGTGGTGAAGTGAGGTGAGGAGGGTGAGTAGATAGTGTGAATGTTTAAAGAGATGAAGAGGGGGGCAAAGAGACGACGGGTGGTGAAGAGGCGAGGGGAAGACACACGAGTCATGGTGAGGTGTGAAGAAAATGAAGGATGGATAAAAAATAATAACTCAAACACAATGCTCTCATCTTTGTCAGACATGTGTACTTCCTGTGATGATAAATACATAAAGGGGTATTTTTTATGGGGAGCCATTTGTGCCAAAAAATATGCACTACCTTTCTGTCTGACAATGTAACAGTGTTGAACTGTCTTATTTAAAGACTTAAAGCTTCTGTGAGGAAGTTTGTTTTGTGTCAGTTTTGGCACCCCCTGTGGTCAAAACAGTCCTAGCTTATGCTGTCCTCTGTGCTTAAAGGGATATTCCAGCATAAAATTAATGAACATACCGTAACACCGAGTTAGACACCCCCTCGAGAGATAAATGTTGCCGCTTGCTTCTCTGGTTATACCAACTTTAGTAACGACCACACGGTAGCAATACAGAGACCCACGCGCTCAACAAAAAAGCCTCCCTATAGCCAAGAATAATGCTCAGAACAGCACCCAACTTCTCTCTTCCAGCAGCCGCTGGTTTGTAGCAAGACCTCAGGCCAGTCCATTACAGACTACAGCGGGGTGACACAGCTCAAGGAAGAACATTTATGATCATTTCTTCATGGAAATGCAATCAGACTGAGACGCAAAGGCAGAAGAACTACTGTGTCTGCAGTGCAAAAAGATTAATATGATGTTTATTTCTTCAAGGAAATGATAAAGAAATAATCATAAATGTTCTTCCTTGAGCTGTGTCACCCCACTGTAGTCCTCAATGGACTGGCCCGAGGTCTCGCTACAAATAAGCGACTGCTGGAAGAGGGTAGGTGAGTTGTGTTTAGTCTCTTTGCGAAAGAAATCAGGCAAAGCTAAGAAGATGTTTGGTGGCTAGTGCTGTGGCAAGGACCCTATATGTACTGTTGATGAAGTTAGGTGCTGTTCTGAGCATTATTTGTGGCTATAGAGTGGCTTTTTTGTTGAGGTTTGTTTAAGGCTCCTCAGACTGCTGTGTATTGCTATCGTGTGGTCGTCACTAAAGTTGATGTAACTAGAGAAGCAAGCAGTCAGCAACATTCATCTCTTGAGGGGGTGTCTAACTCGGTGTTACGGTGTGTTTGACCCTTAATTAATTTTACCCTGGAATATCCCTTTAAGTAGGATCTTACACCACAAAAATCTCACTGACACACCTACAAGTACTCACTTATTAGACAAAACTCAATCTCAATAATCAACTTAATTCACTTGAAAAACATCTAAACAGCTTCATTCATGTTTTTAATTGGCCTGAATTACCTAAGTTTTTGTAAATCACATAGCATGTATGATGTATGATCTCCTCATATGTTGTCTGAGAACACGTCAACATTCATGACAGTCCAGTGACGGGGGAAAACATTAGGTTAACACATCAGGACAACATGCAAAACAATTCAGTTCAATTAGATGGACAGATGTGAGTTTAAAGTGCATGATTAAAATACACACAATACACACTTTACACACGGTTAATGTAATTTTGGCACAAATGGCACCCCATCGACAATGAGGATAAAATATGTGGTTAGGGATGAATCCTACCTTTGCAGTGTGTCACACGCCTCGACCCTGCACAAACACACAAACAAAAAAAGGCCCCATTCATTTTCACTAAGTGCAGCAAATACTGTTATGTCACTTTTGACTAAATCACTAATGTGTTTGTGTGTGTGTGTTATTAAATCGAGGCTTACTCTGCAGCTGTTTCACATTCTTTCTAAGAGGCTGAACACTGCCAGATACAGTCTGGGATATAAGCAAAGAGAGAGAGAGAGATCTTACCTACAGGGACTGCAGCCTCCTTTGACTTACTGCTGCTGTAATGAGAGAGAAAGCGATTGATTTAGAGACAAAAGAGACACAGTGACATAAAGAGAAAGTCCTTAAATGACAGATTCATCCTCACAGCATCCACACTGTCAGTTTCAGTTTGACTAAACAGTTAAACACCACGTATGCTGCTCTGGGCGTAATACTCTGCGGTTTGGTTTTTTTTCATCTTCATGTAAAGCAGGATATTGAGGTTGGAAAATACCCTTGATTTGATTTAGAGAGATTCAATTCCAACCTGATCATCCAAGAATAACTGGGTGGCCCCAAAATCAATGGAAATGTACACATGTGACGGTTTTATTAAGATTTGTACACGGAAAGAAAACAAACTGGACTTTAACCGCGTTTTTAGAGACAAATTTGGGTTTTGTGAGAAAACATTTCAAACAACAACAAAGAAATGAAAGGTGCCTTGTGTGCGGAGGTTTTTACAGATGTAATCAAAGCTTCTCACCCCTCCTGAGTTTTCCTGCTGGTGGAGGCTGCAGAGCTGGGTCGTGATCTGGACGTCTTACACGGGCTGTCCTTCACGCTACCAGGTGGACTCTTCACACTGCTGCAAAAAGGGAAAACCACTCTGTAAGATCCCATCTCTATAAGCTTTTGATTGTTACGCCTCAAGCTCTGACAGTTTAATTCACCTCATGTTGCCAAAATCAGCACAAGTTTGAGGTCTCTTAGTTCAGCTCCGATGGATGTTTTCATCTCTTTCTCTTTGCTTCTACCCACTCCTGCTCATTTCTTGTTTTGTCGTTTTGTCTGCTCAGCACTTTGGTTTAAAATGTGATTAAAAGCGAATGAGTGAAAGGTGAGATAATGATGATTATCATTATGTCTATGAGTGAGAGGAGATCTAACTCTTTAACGATCAGCAGACCCGTGATAAAACACATAAGAGAAACCACCACGCTGCTCTCACACTAACGCTTTTTAATGTCAGTGTCATTTAAAGGTAATTGAGAGGAGGACGTGTGCTGAGAGCTCTTCTGCTTTATCGCCCTGAAATAAAGCTGAGGGTTGTGATAATTATTGAGTATCCATGCATGCGGTTTCTGTGATAATGGAGGACGCCTGCTTGTTTCTCTTACACGTTATAATCAGAGCTGCTGAGCCGAGATCTGAGGCTGAAGTGCTATTTGAAACATCTTCCATTAACACTGTGAGCAATACCGCTTTCTCTGCTCCGTATGTTTTCATGATAAAAGGACAACTGTTATCTCTTATTTTCCCTTCGTTGCTTTTCTGTGTTTGGTTTCCTGTCAACAGAAATCCAGTCCAGCTCTGAAAACATATCACGATTATTTCAAATATATTCTTTATTTGTTTTTTATTGTGTTCACATGAAAGCAGCAGCAGTGAGTGTTACCTGAGGGCCGGTGTGGGGCTGTAGTTCCTGGCTGTAGAACTAGAGGGCAGCGTGGAGCTCTTCTTCGCAGAGCTGGAGGTCACCATCGGGGCTCTGGAGGGCAGAGCCAGGGACACAGGCCTCGCTGCACGGACAGACACACGACACAGACAGCATGAACTATGATTTAGCTGTATGTAAATAATAAGAATAATGAAAGAATAACTTTATTTATATAGCTGTTTACAAAGAAGAAGCAAACAAAGGCAGAAACGGACAAAGGAAAATTGACAGTTAAAAAAAAGCACAGTTAAAGATTGGCGGGTGGTTGACGGCATCACATCAGGATGGTGAAAAAGGAGAAGATGGATAGAGGTCAGATAAAAGAGGAAGAGAAATAAATGCATAAATAAAAAAATAAGATAAGGTGAAATAAGGGTAATAATGAAAAGATGGGGGTATATTGAATATGAAAAAAGGTAAAAAACATGACTAAATTATTATTAGTAATAACAATAATAATAACAATAATAATAGTGATGAGAATAATAATAATAATAATAATGATAACAATAATAATAATAATAATAATAATAATAATAATAATGATAATGATAATAATAACAACAACAATAATAATAACTGACAAAATGACACGTGTATGTATCTACACATATAAAGAATTGAACTCTCAGGGCAAGGTTTATTTTTGACCCTGATTATCAATACTTAAAGCTCCTGTGAAAAGTTTTTAGTAGGTTGTGAAACACACTTAAGTTAACCCTGATGTATCTATGACCTTCAACAGCAAAACAAAAGCCTAAAACCACCGTGAAGGGACACAGCAGCAACATATCTCTCAAGAAATGAGTCATCACATGCAGAATAGACCATTTTAGCATCAAAATCTGCAGAAAACATTAATCTGCATCAATACTTGGTCTGATAAATATATTGTAAAGTGTTCATCAGCCTACAGGACTGACATGTTTTTAATTTTTCCAGCATGTTAATCTTGTTTCTTGTTACTGTGTGAAGTACACTATTCTGTTTGTCTCCTCTCAAAAAATTAAACATCAGCATCTTTAAGCTTTATGAATACAAATAGAAAGCCTTGGACTAAATTTGGCTTTTCAAGATGAGGTGGTTGAAGGTGAGTGGCCTAAAAAAAATGGACAGCCTGGGAAATTAGAAGGATGCAACTTTAGTAAAAACAACTTCAGGAAGTAGGAAGACGTAAAAAACGCATTTTAAGTTTTTTTGAATCCACATAAAAGACAGGACCATTTGGCAACTTGGTTTTGCATTAAGAGAATCTCTCATTTTGATCTTTTCATTGATTCACTCTTCATTTGGAGAGGGAAAATGTTGGTTTTGGTGAGTCATGCAGTTACACTTAAGTGCATATTTGAGCTTCCTTTGAAATCCCACCAGAGCTGAGAGAAATTCTTCGATAAAAGTTGAAAATAGCTCTGAGTCACAGTGAAAGAGACTAGCGTGTCTACTTTTTTGCAGCATCAATAATCCATCAGAGGACTACATGATGCTGCTGTGCATGTTTTTACATCTTAAATCCCCCTGTCAGAGTCAAGAATTCAAACCTCTCTCACCTTTAGCACCTGTTGTTCTCCTCCCTCCTGCAGAAGCAGCAGCAGCAGCTGCAGCTTGATGCTCCTCGGAGATGTTGAGTCTTTTCAGGACGTCAGCCAGTGCGAGCTTCAGCAGCTGGATCTCATCCTCCTGCATCTGCATCCTCTGCTCCAGGTACGTCAGTCTGTCCGCGACATCCAGACCGCTCGCTGCTGAGCTACGGTCATCTAAGGACAAGACAGGAAAATAATGTGTTAGATAGACATTGATCGGTCCGTATTTGTCGCGTGTCAGATCTTTAACACTAGTTTGAGATGTTGGTCTTTTTTTGTTGCTTGAGCCTTGTATGAATGAGATGTCAGTTTTGGGATTTGGTGAGAAATGCTGTCACTTTTATCTGGTAATACTGGGCAGATAACAGAAATCTTTGCATCAGTTTATTTCTTATCTAATTTAATTATTTGTTTATTTAATTTGTTTTTTTTTTCTTTTTAATTCTAGTATTATACAGTTCATTATTATTAATAGTTCTCCTACTTTATCTGTTCACCTGATTTTCTGTCTCTTCAATCACTGTATAGATTTATACATGTTGGTGATATGTACTCTTATATAGCCTTTGTTGTTTACCTTCACATTTGCCTCTTAAGGGCGAGGGTGGGTGTGGTAAGGGAGGTGTCTATTGTGACCTTCATTGTTAATCAACATGTTCTGCACATGAAAATTTTAATAGACAAAAATTAAGTAAGATACAGATTGATAAATGATTGCATGACATGAATTTTTACCAGAATTATATATTTTCTATGTTTTCAATGACACTGCATCCTCCAGACGTGCTTGTTAAACTAGCGTTTGTCTGTAAAAATAACAAAAATAAATGTATGAAACCATAGATTGTTAGTACTATGGACAACTTAGCTCCGCCTTCCGCCATTATACGGATTTGAAGCCGAAAAGCTCTTGGTAATTCCACGTTTATTCTCCACTTCCTGAAACCAACATTGCACAGTAGCATTGTACGCATTCGGTGGGAGAGTCGCTGTGATGACGCTTGGTTCAAACAGCATATCCCCCGGGTGAGCTATGCAATCTTCGTACGCCCATAGGCTGTATCAAGTGTCAATCACAGAAAACATGAACCGCCTAATAACTTTTTAAAACGGAGCTTCACAGAAAAAAGAGGACTTGAGCAAAAACCAGTCTTACAATAACTACATGTCAACATTGCAAGCAGAGGGGCAAAAAATGTATATTCTGTGTAGTAAATTTCTAAAGTTTGTCCACAGCCCTATAAGGATTGCTGGAGGAGGCGGGATTTATGACCTTTACTGCAGCCAGTCTCCAGAGGGTGCTGTTCTCGGAGTGGCTTCTCCCAGCGAGGAGGCAGATGCTGTCTATTCTAAATACAGTCTATGTTTGCAACTGTCTCCTTAACTTTAAGAGGCCCAATGGAAAAAAAAAAAAAAAAAAAAAACAATTACAGAGGAGGCGCTATACATGTGCAAAGTTTCAGACTAGAGGACTAATGTGAGTTAAAGTCATCTTCAGATAGGATAACAGGAAGCTCTGGGTGGCTTGTTTAAAAAGTCACATGAGAATTCAGCAAGATCAGTGTGAGATCAAATCATGACACTACCAGACAGTGAATCTCCTTAAAAAGACAAATTTGCTCTTTAGTCAAAAGAAACACAACTTTGTAACATGGCAACAGTGAAGGAGGCTTCCCGAATGCTCAGTTTTCAAAGGTTTTCCAGACAGCAGACTGAAATATGAGAATTTGTTGAACTGTAAATAATGAGCACGGTCCCTCCTCTTCAAAATTTTAAGTTTTTGTTTCATTTACTCTTTAAATTTTTCCCTGAAAGCTCATTTAAAGTTCACCTTTCTTTGCCAACAGAGAGAGGAATAAGCTCTTTAGCGTCGCCTGTTCGTGCATGTGTGGCAGAAATCAGGCTAATGAGGTCACAACACAGCTGGACTCAACAATCAAACCCACACACACACACACACACACACACACACACACAAATACACACTGTCAGCATTATGACACAGACACATGTAAACAAAGGAAGACCAGCTCACGTCCCAACAATTCAAACTGTCAGTAAGACGCTGTAATTTCACTTTCAATCACTGTTATGTAACCCTCCCCGTCACTCTCCCAGCACAGTCACAATGATTCAGAGGTGGATACCGTGGGAAACGCTGGACCCCGAGGAGCACGCAGGGAGCTTCTGCTGGACGCCGGTTTGGCCTTCCTCCACTAAAAACGTCTTCCTCCTCTTCCTCTCCTCTCGTGAGCACACCCTCTCGCTCCTCTTCCCTCCTCTGGCGCCGCTTAGAGAGGCCGTCTCTCCCTCCATCTGAGCTGGATCCACTGGCCGGTGTCCACTAAGATCTCATCTCCTTTGCTCCACTTAAGTCTCACACACAAACACACACTCACACACACTGTGGGCCTCTGTGGTGTTGTGTCCTCCTCTGTTACAGCATCCAGACAGTATTAGAGTAGATCTGCTGCAGGAGGTGATGTTAATGATGTTTTGATCCTTCCACGTATCCTCGGTGGTCTCCTGACTCACTCTGAGACTCGGCGATGTATGATGGAGCTTTAAGCCCTTTTTGCTCAGGGTGTGCGCTGGTGTAAAGGTGGGGGTGGGGTTGATAATACTGAAAAATCTCAGCAGTCGTCCAATTCAGCCTAAATTGTCTTTGCACGTGTGTGTGTGCACTTGCATGTGTGTGTGTTTGTGTGGTTGAGCGGAGTACAATGATAATCCCTCAGACTGAGCCTCTTTGACCCCGCCCCCACACATAAGCCCCATGTTACAACCGGAGATGGAGATGCAGAGAGGGAACTATAAAGCAGAGATGCGGCCTCTTGTTGTTGTGTTGATTCGCCGCTGTAAACGTCGTGTTCATCCACAGAGCGACAGAGGTCAGGGGGAGGGTCTCTTTGAATGATAGAGGACTGATGTTTTGAAACGTGAATATCGAGGCGTCAAAAAGCACAAAAGCTGCCCTGAAATCCGGTTATGTAATGAAATATTACCTCACTGCTGTTTTAAATAAAGTTGATTGTGAACAAAACGGATCAGCTGAGCAATTTGTACTTTTGCGGGATAAGTTAACTTGACTTATCCCACTCTGGCATGCATGTGCAACTTATTTCAGTGCAAGACCTCATCTACCCTCCATCCTGTGAAATAGTTTTGTGGTTCCCACTCTGTCCCTGTTACAGACAAATATTATCTGTCTTTTTTTAGGGTTGTTTTGTCTGCTTTTGTTAATCGCGTAAGGTCATTAGTGTTAGTTTCACTCGGTTTCATAACCAGATAAAAATTCCTCACATAACCTCTGAGCTTAACCAGCGAGTGGAGATACGTTTGCAGTTGCCTGTGCCCAATTAAAAGATTGGGGCGAAGCTTTAATCACTTAATGATATATGTGTCCCCATAATACCTGTATACCTCTTGCTAAAATAAGCAGTAAGATTTGACTTTTTTTGTCTAATTACTACAAAATATTTCATTACACTTTATATAAGACACATGTATACAAATTTGAGCCTAAATAAGGTCCAAGTCATTGTAATTAGTAAAAAGTTTTTTTGTTTTTTAATTTTCTTTTTAAGCTCCTGTCAGGAACTTTCAGTTTGTGTCAATTTTGGTGCCCCACACCTGATTCAAATTATCAGCTCGTTATCAAGCTCTGAAATGGCTGAATAACGAGCTGATCATTTGAATCAGGTGTGTTGGAGCAGGGAAACATCCAAAAATGCAGGACGGGGGGGGGCTCGAGGACTGGACTTGAGAACCGCTGACTTAAGCTGTGTTTACAGACTAAAAAATATCTTTCTGCTGACTTTTAGCTGTCAAAATTTATCAGTATTTTAACAGGAAATTTCTAAACAAGGCTGTTCTTTCAGCTGCTAAAAAAAAAATAGCTACCCCCTCACACTTGTTCCAGGCATTCAAAATTAGGATATGAAAATCATCGGTCATGTTGCTGATGGTTTTGTTTGCTTTTGGATATTATGAAAAACACCTGTTTAAATTTAGTCTATTCCCTAAATGTCAAACAACTTTAAATGAGGATTCAACATGTCCTTTAAGAAACTTATCAAGAGAATTTTTTCCTTCATTGTCTGACAATTTTACTCATTAAAACCAATTAGGTCCTTGTTTTTGGCGTGTGATATTTTGATATATGCTAGGAAAACGGCAGAAATAGTTAGCTAAAAATAGACAAATTGAAAAGTTCAAAGGGTTAACAAAGAGTAGGCCAATAGGTTTAGCTACACAGTTCATACAGCTAGTCTTAAGCAGGCTAATAGGCCTAACTATACGATTCACTCAAAAGAAGGGTAGTGGGTAAGTTGTTGAGACAGATCGCTAACCACATGTCAACTTCTGATGAACGATGAACTAAACTGTCATGATGTTCTGCTGATTTAGTTTTTCCCAGTTTTTTTGTCTGAGTGTATTTTCTTGTTTCTGTGTTTCTGTTCCCCATTGTTCCTGTCCCCCTGTTGCCCAGTCTTGTGATTTTTCAGTTTGTGTTTCCCTCCCGTTCTCAGTGTTTTATTCTTCAGATCAGTTTCAGTGTCCTGTTTCATTTTGTAGTTGTTTATTCCCTGTGTTTCTAGTCTTGTTTTACTTCCTGAGTTTTCCCTCCTCTGTAATTGTCTACACCTGTGTCTCAGTGTCTCACCTGCCTCTCGTTGCTCGTTTCCCTGTGTGTACATATATAGTCCCTGTCTTCCCCTTTCTTTGTTTGTTCGTTCATTGTATGTTGATGTGTGTTCATGTCAGTCTGTTCCCCATGATCTGTTATCCGTGAATCCTTCCTCTCCTGGTGTTTTTTTTCACGTGTCTTTTGTTTGGATTGAAATGACATTAGTTCATAAAGTAAGCTCTCAAAGATGATTGTGGCAGAAACACTGTAGCAGACATGAATAAGGTCATGGTCATGGTCATAAGGTCAATAAGGTCATAAATTCATGGTTGAAATATCCAGTTTTATCAACTCCTTTAAGGGGATATTCTGGTGTAAAACTAATTTAGGGTCGAGTTAGACACCCCCTCAAGAGATGACTGTTGCCTAACGCACAATAGCAATACACAGCGGTCTGAGGAGTCATAAACAAACCTCAACCAAAACGCCACTCTATAGCCACAAATAATGCTCAAAACAGCACCTAACTTCATCAACAGTACATATAGGGTCCCAGCCATAGTACTAGCCACCAAACATCTTTTTAACTTTGCCTAATTTCTTTAGCAAAGGGACTAAACACAACTCACCTACTCTCTTCCAGCAGCCGCATGTTTGTAGTGAGACCCCAGGCCAGTCCATGACGGACTGCTGCGGGGTGACGCAGCTCAAGGAAGAACATTTGCAACTAGAGAAGCAAGCGGTCAGCAACATTCATCTCTCAAAGGGTGTCTAACTCTGTGTTATGGTGTGTTTGACCCTCAATTAATTTTACGCCAGAATATCCCTTTAATTGACTTGGATTGATATCTAAATATTATACAGTTCAAAATCAACCTATAAGCTTGTGAGCTAGTCCAGGCAGGCGACTCGTGCCGCACTGATTTCACACTTGACATGCACCATTCTCAAAATCAGACAAACAAATCCTCCTGATGTGGTGATTTCTTGCATGTAAGTCTGGGCAGCAAAAACAATGTTGGAGCAAGAATTTATAGTTTGCAGCATCAACATGAGTTGACTGACTGAAAGGACAGTGAAATGATCCTGATGTAAGGTTTAGTCCACAGTTCGGTGTCTATGAACCTTTAAAGCCGCTGTAAATGCTTGTATCCATTGTTTAAAAGCTGGATAACATGAACAGATTTTTCTCTCAGTTCTCTGGTGGATGTAAATCATTTGAGATCTAAGATTTTCCTCCTGACAGAGCTGATCTGCTGTGGGCGAACACTTTCAGCATAATCATTCGAGCTCCCAGCCTGCAGTAATCTGTCTCTCGTGGAGGGTTGTAACTCTGTGTAGGACTGCGGTTTTTCTGTCTCTCCTCTTGTCCTGGCCGTGACACCACCCTCGTGCCACCTCTACACACCCCATATGGGATTGGGATTAGAATAGCACATAATCCCAGTGCTGTAAAAGGGAATTAGCAGCCCAAAGCTCAATCTCTGCTCTAACTCAGCTATACAAAGAACAGGCAGGCTCCCCGGACGCCTTTCATGCAAATGTAAACACACAGACCACGTACACTGAGTCTATCTCTGCTCCTCTGACTCACACACACACACACACACAAACAGGTTCACACACGCACGCATAGCTACGACTGCACGAACAGTTTCAGAATTCATATGCTTGTTATGCATCTTCGAAAATGAAAACACATTAAGACACAGAGCAGCAGCGGAGTGTTTAATCTCTGCTTGCAGATGGCGTTTCTTGAATGAAGGAACAGCATCTGTCCGCTCATATCTGCAGCCTGCATGCCGACGCACACGGGCCACGTGTGCACAGGCAATCCTCCACATATTAGTCCACCGATACTAATATCCCTGAGGGGACAGGGCATTTCCCTAAATCTGCTCAGCTGAGGCACATTCCAGCGCACCCACGGTTTGACGGTGAGGCATGTGAGGAGTAATGTTTGAGATATGCTGGAGTGCAAAAGTCAGGAAAATTAAGATTTGCTTTTTAATATCTGTGTTTAAAGGTCATTCAACAGGTTTTAAAGTCCGTATAGAGGATTTAAAATCTTCTAAATATCCTTATTTAAGCATTGAAGGTGTTTCTGTTGCATTAAACCTTCTATACTAGTGCTTTTCTATGTAATAAGACAGATCAAAATATGTTGCAGCATATGCATATTTGCACAAACAGTAAAAGATCAAATACAGAAAATCCTGCTTCCTTTTAGATGCACTTTGTTCACTAAAAATGCATAATACAGCTTGTGCATTTGTGTCTCTACCTATCATGAAGTCGGTGTCAGGTGCCAGCAGAGAGTCACTGTGGTAGCTCTCCTTCAGCGAGGGCCTCCTCAGCAGGTCGTGTCCGCTCTCCTCCATCCCCAGACCCTGGTCCAGTAGCTCCTCCATGTGCGCGTCCCCCGCTGCCATAGCCGTGATGGAGCGTCTTTGTCCGGTTCCCCTCTTAGTTTTTTTTTACTGTATATGAGCTAATTCACCTTCATCAAACCACGAGTGTCCAACAACTGCTCCCTCCCTCTTTCTCCCCCCTCGCTGTCCTGTGAAGAGTGTACGGAGGGTGCAGGGAGAGGGTGGTGTCACTCAGAAGACAGATTAAGGACCTGGTAAGCCATCTGAAGCTCAGGGAGGACAGGACTGTGAGGGAGTAGGAGCCTGATCCGAGCAAAGAGAAAGAGACTGTTACAATCAGGGCGTGTCTGCGAGTTTTGACTGGAGTGACCCAACTGGACATGTGGGAGCAGACATGTCCCAGTAGCATCTTTTCACCCCTTCTGTCCCCTCTCACATTATCTAATTTTACTTCCTACTGATTGTATCGTCATTATACCAATTCTTAATTCCCTTGTATGTTTTTTATATTTGAAAAATGGCAAAAAATCCTAAAATAATATTTGGTCAGATGAGCAAAAAGTCGATTGCTGTCAAAATTGGTGCGTTCAAGCTCACTATAATTTGTCTCAAAAGCCTGAAAAAGAAGAACAGATAGTTTTCTTATCGTGGACGTTAATGTTTTAGTGCGTATTTTGTCTAATCTTCTTTTTTTGTTCTATAAGATCGACCTTTTGCACTCTGACCCTGGACTGTATGAACACAATACGACACATTAATCCAATAAAAATGTTAGACGTCTTCATTATACTCACTGCAACTAATTCTTTATGATGCCAAGGTGTCCTTGGGCAAGACACGTGACCCCTACCTGCCCCCCCGCTGGCTGTGCCCAGTGGTGCGTGAATGGGATTAGTCAGGAACTGATGGGCTCTATACATAGAAGCCATCAGTGTGTGAATGGGTGAATGTGACGCATTGTAAAAGCCCTTTAAGTAATTAGAAGACAAGAAAGAGTCCTTTGTAAACATAGCCCATCTTCAATTTATTTAACTATGTACTGATTCATTTATGATTTAAAATCGGCAAAGCCAAAGTTGCAGATATAGAGACACAAGGCGGAACAAGGTTAGGCATTAAATTAAAAACAAACGACAAACTATCTCAGAGATTTTTAAGAATCTTTTACAGAGTTTTTCATGTCAGATTTAAAAACATTTAAGGACCCCAGCTCTTTGGGTTTCCAGTCATGAGGCGATAAATTACAGGCTGAGGGTTAAAAAAACATGAAACAGTCCTCTATGTATGACTAAAATATTTACCATATTTTCTGGGCTATAAGTCGCACCAGCCAAAAAAAAAATGCTTAATGAAGAGGAAAAAACATACCGGTATATGTCGCATTTTTTGGGGGAGACTTATTTTACAAAATCCAAGACCAAGGACAGTCATTTCATCTTGAAAGGCAAGTTATTTTAATAACAATAGAATAGAGAACAGGCTGAACAGGTGTACGGTATGCTAACGTAACATGTTGATTGTTATTCAGCTACCTGAAGCACAAACAACGAATTCAATAGTTGTCTGTTATGTTAATGTAACATGTTAACAGTTATTCAGAACATGACAAAAACTCTCGATCTCACTTCAAATCACTACATCCATCGAATTCTTCGTCCTCTGTGTCACTTCTGAACAACTAGAGTGCCCTCTAGTGGCTGTCAATGTGAAAATAAATATGTGAAATTATATATTTTAATAAATCGCACATGAGTATAAGTCGCAAACCCAGCCAAACTATGAAAAAAAGTGCGACTTATGGTCCGGAAAATACGGTATATAATATGTAACCAGTACCCAAAAGACATTTGGTTATCATTGCTTTACTACAAGCTCTCCCTTCCCCCATATGAGCCCCCCTAAGGAGGCCGATCTGCTCTGTTGGAGGGGTCTGTGCCACCCTAAGGCCACCCCCTTTTAAAGCCCCTGAACACAGGGATCAGGAAGGCCTCAGATAAGGAAAATATCTCGATAATTACTTTCTGGAAGATAAGTTGCGTAACTTTTCTCTGCAAACAGAGTCGCTGCTCCATGGAGGACATTATGATTAACATGAGAAAGACAACGCACACTCTCCTGAAAAAAAAACAAACACAGCAGGGAGGGATCATTCAATTTTCAGAGGCACGCAAAGTTGCAGACAAGCACACAATTACTCTCCTGAAAAGAGCTTACGTCAGGCCGCCATCCGGTGTGTCCGGCCCCGGTGTACAGTAAGGATGATGAGATTCAGAGATTAGGCAGCACAACTTGATTAATTACAGTCATCAAGAGGACAATAAGCTGCACGTGGTAATTAGACAAACAGAGAAAGACAACAGGAGCAGATGAAAAGCTAGTTAGATGATTGTGTCAGGGTCTCCCCTGGTAAACGCTGGAGTTCTGTTTATTTTGCACTCACCGGATTGATTCTGTTTGGAGCAGATGTTTTTTCTTTGCTGATCTATCAAAGTTTTGTGGTCTCAAAGCGGAAGTCATCTGTTCCCCGGAGGGTTAAAATATGCTTTGTGGTGCATTTTGTTTACTGATACTTCTCATTATCATGGATTCAAGTTGTCAGTGAAGCTTTGTTTATTAAATGCAAATAGGAGCTGCTGCATGTTGTTTCTTTCATCTCTTTTTTTCTCTCATCTGCCTCTTCTATCCTCTGTCATCGTTGTGAGAGGGGTGGACTTGATTAAAGGGTGAATGAGACATGTAGTGTCAAGTGCTTTGAGTGGCTGGATAACTGCAAAAGAGCTGTATTATTGGATGATATATGGACGTCTTTTGTTGGGTTTAAAGCCTTGAAGGGATATTCCGGTGTAAAATTAATTTAGGGTCAAACACACCACAACACAGAGTTAGACACCCCCTCAAGAGATGAATGTTGCCGACTGTTTGCTTCTCTAGTTATACCAACTTTAGTAACGACCGCACGGTAGGGAGACCTCAGGCCAGTCCATTGACTGCTGCGGGGTTACGCAGCTCAAGGAAGAACATTTATGATTATTTTTTTATTATTTCTTTAAAGTAATAATCACCATATTTATCATTTTTCACTGCAGACACAGTTCTTCCTTGAGCTGCGTCACCCCACAGTAGTCCGTAATGGACTGGCCTGAGGTCTCACTACAAACAAACGGCTGCTGGAAGAGAGTCGGTGAGTTATGTTTCGTCTCTTTGCTAAAGAAATTAGGCAAAGTTAAAAAGATGTTGGGTGGCTAATACTATGGCTGGAACCCTTTATGTACTGTTGATGAAGTTAGGTGCTGTTCGTAGCACTATTAGTGGCTACAGAGTGGCGTTTTGGTTGAGGTTTGTTTATGGCTCCTCAGACTGCCATGTATTGCTATCGTGCGGTCGTTACTAAAGTTGGTATAACTAGAGAAGCATGAATGAATTTACTTATCATAAATAAGTATTGTTATCCAATAGCAAGCTACTTTTTCACCTATTTTCCTGTTTGCACCTTTTAGAGGTGTTATCACAGTCCTGGACAGTCACTAATGGACAAACCTGCAGATAAGCCTCAAAATATACGGCACTATCATTATCATCAATACTCTTTTTTTTTTTTTATTCAAATGTTGATTATTTAATAATTTAAGATCTTAGCCGTCCCGGTTTTATGTTTCATTGATTTGAATTTAGGAGATATATAAAGATGAGCGTGTCGAAAACAACCCCAGGCTATACAGAGAGGCTTGTTTGCATCACTTAGCAGACGATAATCTCCGAGCAGACTGAAGCACCTGAGAGGCCAAAGCGTGCTGCTGGTTATATTATTATGAGACACTAATCATCCGCTTTGGCTGCTGCTAACCCTGTGTAACACACACTTCACCCTGTGGAGTGTGTGAGCTGGATATTCCTAATGCCCAGAGGTCTGAACAGGGATAAAGGCCAAAGACAGATAATGAGAGTGCTGACAGGAGACATGTGGAGAGAGGAAACATAGGAGGGTGGAGGAGGACAGGTGGAAGTGGAAATCTATCTCCTGCTGTATTTCATTAATCAGATATATACTCACTGGACACCATTAAGAGCCCAAAGGAAAGGTCAGAGGTTTGACCCTGATCTGCACGTTGTCTCACTGCTGCTCTCCTGTGGAGACAGTGGGAACAGCATGTTGGAGGAACTTTACCTCCTGTCACTCACAAGGGGTGATGCTAAAGGTTAAAGACATTAACGCAGTGAATAAAGAGCCACACACAGACACAGATTTTTCACAAAGGACTTCAAATTTATAAATATTCTTTCAATGGAACATTAAATCAGTAGGGATGTTATATAATTCTTCCAAAAAAATCCAACAGATTTCCAGAGAGCATGACAAAGTGACAATAATCTGATACACACACTGCTTCTCTACTCCAAAAATATCTAAACTTTTCACTGTATATATCCCCCCCGCCCCCTTTCATCCAAATATATAAAATATATGCTGACATTAAGCATCAATACAGACCACATAAAAAGCAGAATCTCATGAGTTTGTCGGGTGCTTCTGTTTTGTGGCGTCAGTGAAAGTCACTGTGAGTTTGACCCCCCCCTGCTGCCGTACGAACACAAAACCTGACCCCTCCAGACTGCTGGCCTCACCTTGATGTCATGGTAACAAAGGATGCAATGGAGTCCATGCAAAGCTGCTAGGAAACTAAGTCACATAAAGAATAATGTTCAGTCCATGCTTTTTCTTGTTGCAGGATGGACCAGCATCTGGGAGGATGACTCACGGATACCCCCTTAAGCTTTTTTTACCTGATCTCTTTCCTTTACAAAAGCAAAGGAGAGAAAACTGTGAACGGCAGCTGTTCAGGGGGTGGCCATGAGACATTTCTGCACATAGGATTTCTGCCCTCTAGGGGGCTAACATCATGAATGCACATCTGGGAGAGAGGCTGTGGAGGTCAGCTGATTCAGATGGTGGAGGGACTACATGTCTGAGCCTATCAGAAAAACCCTGTTAGATAAGGGACCGAGTGGAAATTACTGTGATAAGTAGGAGGGATGAAGTTGTGTAAATGTATATCTTATCTGGACACCCTCTGGCTTGCAAAGAAAGGACCTATTTTTAGAGGAGCTGCAATTAAAATCTGTAAATTATTGTAATTTTTTGATTAAAAAAAAGCCAAACTTAATTCTTTATAATCCCCTAAGATACAAACTCCTCCTGTGCTTAATTAACTCTTCTCAACTACAACATTTCCAACAAGTACTTATCATACAGTCCCTTCCTATTGGAAACCAACCCTCTCTAATGTTGTGCTAAATTTAGAGAGAGTAAACTGGTCTCAGATCAGTGCTCCAAGGGGATCTTCCACCTGGAGCCCAGAGGACATCCTGTCCTATCTCAGCTGTTCTCTTTGTCTCTCCTCTAATCGGATGAATCAATAAAAGCTCAGGTGACCAAGTTGCCACAGCATCCTCCCAAACGTAACACTTCAGGTCAGTCAGGTTAGACATGAGGGTTTGTAGTCGTCTCTATGCGCAGATCTGGGGTCAGATTTTGAGTTTCTAACAGGGAGGGGAGATCGGATCATATCTGCGTGTGTTTTGAGGGAACTTCTGCCCCTCTATCTGTCAGGGTGTGCTTTGGTCTGCTCTCCACCCGCTGACATCTACAAGAAATAAACAATGTTTACGTCTCTGTCAACAACCATCACTCAATCATTTCACTTCTAAACTTATAAGTTACAAATAAACACAAATCATTTCTATCCTGGAGCACAAATAAACAGGATATAGTTAATCAATTAGACACAGTATTTCCAAATAAGTTAAATTGAAATCTTAATATATCGCATTGCTTACTCCATTTAAATATTTTTTTCTTGCTTTAAATATAATCATTACAGATCTTGCAAAAATACTACACTGTGCATTGGCTGTCTGCTTGTTTAAAGAGTGCCCGGTGCTTCCTGGGTTCAGATATGTACACGTCATTAAAAATCATCTGGAGAGGAGCTCTTCGGCGCCTGAGCTCGCAGGTCGCACGTTGGCGCCGACTCCCTTCGTTCTCCTCTTTCCTTCTTTCTTTCATTTGGTCAAATCTTAATTAAAACTGTGATGACTCAAAACTAACTTTAAATTAAATAAAAATAATGTTCTTTTCTTAATTTGCTAAGTTCATTTTTCCAAAAATAGTACGTCTAAAAATATATTGCATATGCCATCTTAGGAAAATCGACATAATAAAATATTCTTAATAAGGAGAAGTTGTAAAGTAGGAGAATATATATATTTATATATTACCTCTTTGAAGAATCTGGGCACTAATAGAAATAAATAACCCAATCATCAGGGTTCGATTTGAAGGGTGTAGGGAGTCACGCTGCCCAAATAGAGAAAAGTTTCAGATGGCTTTAAAGTGGTGACGACTCGATTTTTTTCTTTTCTTATTTTGAAGAATGGGGGCGTTTAGCGTTTGTAGGAAAGCAATCGGGTACTCTTTATGTTTTTAAAAAGGTACACACACTCCGACACGACTCATTTTCTCAGTAACAGTACGACACTTGCAGGTTAAAAGGCAATAAATGAGTTTGGTTTGAAATCCGCCACAACTCAATAACTTATCGAACACCCCTCATCCCCGACCTTCAGTCCATGAACACGCCTAACACGGTGCTACGTCAGATGCCTTTTTTCTGAACTCTAGTCACATTAACAGTGTGAATACATACATATATATACTGTATATTCATATAAGTATGTCAGAGCTGATTGAGAAATCAAATGGAATGACTCTAGTTATTCATAAGTACTGTATATACTCCAATGGGTTCAACAGGTTGTGCATCAAGTCACATGACTAACACGCTCGCCTCGCCGGCTCTTCATAATCGAGTAAAAAATATACAGTTTGCATTGACGGAAGCAGCCATGACATCCTCATCCTTTCCTTCTTTACCACCAAACACACACACGCACACACACACACACACACTACACTCCCCCCCGGTAAGATATTAGTAGCTGGAACAAAAAAAGAAAAAAAAAAAAAACGGTTGCAATTAAGGAATGGATTAGTGCAATATAATAAAGGGAACAAGAGCAGGAGTGCTGACAAGGTGGAGAAGTGCAAGGGAGGAGGCGAGGACTCTGGCGTGTGTGACATCCTTTGGTTTATCGTCGGAGGGGAGATGAAGGAGAAGGAGGAGGAGGAAGAGGAGGGAAAATATGTTTCCGAGTGTGGAATTAAACTCACTGGAAAAAGACGCTAGAATTACATCATTTTAGGTGGTGGATAAGCGAGCAGGCGAAGCGCAGAAGGGTAATTGTATGAAAAGCTGCACTGTATTTTAAAACAGAGTGAAGCTGCAACTGATATGTCGACCCACTGAATAACCCCGAATTTCCACCATGTCTGGAACAGCTCCGATCCGGAAGCAAATTTTTTTTTTTTTCTAGCCAGCCTTGGCCTCTGGTTGGCTAGAAGTGCTGGGCTCCGATTGGTTATTCCTATTGGCTGTGAAACGTCATAGCCAGTCGGGTTAGGGTAAGGTTAGGGTGCGATAATGTTCTGTTTGACATACAGAGCCGACAGCACGCATTTGGCTTGAGTGTGTGATGATTTTTCCAGCTTTTCTGGCCAATCAGAGGCGAAGGAGGCGGGACTTTTCCCTACCATCCTACAAAAAAAAAATCGCGATTCGGAATGGTGGCAATTTTCACTGTCCGCCAATTCCCACCAGATCCGTTTGTGAGGCGAATTTCATGGTGGATTACAGACAGTGGGAATTGCAAGAACTCACAAGAACCCGTGAAATCCACTTCCAGACTTCTCCTTATCCATGGTGTCATTGGGGTGAAATGCTGTCTAAAAATCTTTCAATTGTTTGTCTCTGCCCGTTTGCATGGTGTGAAATACAATCCGCCTGAAATAGTGTTTTATTTTGAAAAGATGTTTTATTTTCTGTCTGTGCCCGACTTCCTTTCTAGCACAAGTTAATCTGTGCTCAATTGATCCGGCATGCTCTGGCATCCGGGAAAAGCAGAACTCTTGCGATCAGCTGCGGAGTCCAGCAATTCACAGTGGCACAGAAAGAAGAAGAATGGTTACGATCAGCTGCGATTCGCGGATACAGCTTTTTCGTAGCCGTTCCGAATACGGTGGAAATTGGGGGTAAGAATCAGCGACTATTTCAACAATGGGATAACCATTTATGCGCAAAAAGACTCAGAGGAATCAGAGGTGGGAAACTGATCAGTTGCTGCTCCAAATTTCGCCCAGTGTTCACGCCAAAGCCGTCAGGCAATTGGCAACACCCTTTTTTCCTCTTCGGATACCTGTTTTACGACTTTTTTTTGTGAGACACTAGCTGCCTAACGCTCTACCTGCAAGTCATAAGGCAAGTCACAGGGAAAAAAAACACATGATACAAAAAAAGGAAAAGGAAAAAAAAAAAAAAGTGAAGAATGGCCCTTATCTTTATAAGCCGTCAAATGGCATTAGACCCTTTAAAGACCCCCTCAGGAACAAGGCTCTTCAGTTAAGTCAAAAATCCATCAGGGCTTTTGTCAAGTGTAATTTCTCGCTAATAAATTACCTGCCCCGCTCTAGAGTCGAGTTAGTAAGGATAAATCTGCCTCACCATCTCCTCCAGGTTCAGTGTGTTAGCATCATGAGAGATGGAAATGTTTCTGTCAGTGTCAGAGCACTGTGGCACCGCTTCCTCTAAAGCTGCTTGTTTGGTTTGATTGCCTGAAAGCCTCCTAAAAAACCATCGCAAACACACACCCACATCTATCCATTTATCCACACTGACAACACACTCTCTCTTTCTTTCTTTCTTTCTCTCTCCCACACACAAACACACAAACACATGAGTGAGACGAACTCAAACCAGGAGAATCGGACGCCACTCTCCATTAGCTGCTCCTTCACCCCGGCAGGTTGAGCAGCGTTAACATCGGGCTGACAGTGCAGGCCTGTGTTCACCCCTGGAAGCATCTTAGTGCCGGACCCTTCCTGAGCCTGAGCTTACAAATGGAACAAACATGATTGTTGTGCTGAGATGCTTTGGGGGAAACACCGTCCTGACAGCCGCCCGGGTCATTCTGGTGTTCTGCATTCCTGGCAGGCAGAGGACAGGAAAGTGGGGGGGTTTGTTGTGGAAGCTGAAATCTTCAAGCTGATAAATGCCTCGTCCCTGTCTCAGTCCTCCAATTTAAGGAAAAACTGTTGCTCTGCCCTCACACTGTAGCGCCCCCTGGAGTCAACTAAAGGGATCTGTGCTTCATAATGTGTCACAAACACTTTTTGCTTCATCTGAACCCCTTAAAAACATTTCATGCCCCTTCCCTTCTGGAGACAAGGGAGTTCAGTCCTTCAGCAACACCACCTCAGTGCGGTAGGTGGGAGTTACATGATGATTAACTCAGAAGTGGGACCCCCCTCTTCTTCTCTCTACTGCAGATTCTTCAGGATACGTCCGTAGCGGAAGTCGTAGACGTGCCGGCAGAGATACACCAGCTCGGGGTCGATGTCAGTGGGCACACAGCGGTGGGAGGGGGGGGCAAAGTCAGGGCGGCAGGGCACTACGCTGGCGCTGCCGGGTGGGGCGCCTTCGGCTCGCCGCCTCACCAAGGCACAAAATCTACAAAGAAACACACACAGATGATTAAAACACACGGTGGCGCCTTCACTCTGGGCGTGTCTTAAAGGGATATTCCAGTGTGAAATTAAATTAGGGCCGAACACAGCACTACACCGAGTTAGACACCCCGTCAAAAGATGAATGTTGCCGACCGCTTGCTTCTCTAGTTAAACCAACTTTAGTAATGACCACACGATAGCAATACAGAGAGCCACGTGCTCAACCAAAACGCCACTCTATAGCCACAAATAATGCTCAGAACAGCACCTAACTTCATCGACAGTACATATAGGGTCCTAGCCAAAGTACTAGCCATCAAACATCTTTTTAGCTTTGCCTGATTTCTCTAGCAAACACAACTCACCCTCTCTCTTCCGGCAGCCGCTTGTTTGTACGAAGAAATCCAGGCGAGTCCATCGACTGCAGTGGAGTTTCGCAGCTCAAGGAAGAACATTTATGATCATTTCTTCATGGAAATGCAATCAGGCCAAGATGCTAAGGCAAATGATTAACATGATGATTATTACTTTAGGGAAATGATAAAGTTATGATCATAAATGTTCTTCCTTGAGCTGCGAAACTCCACTGCAGTTGATGGACTCACCCTGAGGACATCATACAAACATGTGGCTGCTGGAAGAGAGTAGGTGAGTTGTATTTAGTCTCTTTACTAAAGAAATTAAGCAAAGTTTAAAACATGTTTGGTGGCTAGTACTATGGCCGGGACCCTATATGTCCTGTTGATGAAGTAAGCTGCTGTTCTGAGCATTATTTGTGGCTATAGAGTGGCATTTTGGTTGAGCGCGTGGCTCTCTGTATTGCTATTGTGCTGTCATTACTAAAGTTGGTTTGACTAGAGAAGCAAGCGGTCGACAACATTCATCTCTCGATGGGGTGTCTATCTCGGTTAATTTTACGCCGGAATACCGCTTTAAGAAGTGGTTGGGGTCTCAGAGGCCCTCTTTGGATTAACGTCTTTGTTTTGATGGATATTCCTGCGCACTTGTGTGTGTATGTGTGTGTGTAAGTGTACTCACCTACAGTACTGGGCTAGTGGGAGAACGTAGCATCTGTCTTCTATGCAGGCCACACTATTTTCATCCTGATGCCGAGAGGCGAAAATCTCATTCTGAAACCACAGTGGGTGTACAATGTCACATTACCACAAGTGCCTCTTATTACGGCAGCTGAAGACGTGATGACACCTTTTACCTGCTATAACACTTAATTGTGTATGTGCAGTGTGGTTTGACCTTTGTGTCTTTTTGCCTTTTTTTCCTTATAAAATCCCTCCTCTACTAGACTAATTATACAGATATGCCTAAACGCGAGTATTGTTCAGCGTCTTCTCCTCTCTGTTTGTTCAGACTGAGGTGGCAGAGATATCATCACTCTGGCATTGTGGTTACACTGAAGAGCTAACCAGCTATCAACAGTTTCAGGGCTGCTGGGAGGAAGATAATGATGTCTCTGACAGCAGCAGCGACTGTCTCAGTGTGTGTGCACAGAGGGAAATTTGTTAACCTCCCTCCACATTATTGTCTTATGTAAAACACCTCGTTATGCATTGTTGCTCACTCAAAATAAAAAGATAATCACACTTTTTCCATTATTGCATTGATATATTAGGACGTAATGCAAATAGCGTTACTTTACTCCCACAGTCAGTAAACACAACACAGTGTTAGCAAGAAAAGAGAAGAATAAGACAGACTGTTTTTCACCAGAACAAGTCTCATGAGGCCAGTGTCGATATATAATGACTGTGTCTGGAAACGATTTCAATATCAATCAAGGATGTGATTCGCAAACGATACAAGAGCAACCAAATACAGTATGCAGCATTTATCTAAGTTTCCACTGCACACATGCATCACCTACAAGTTACGCACTATTATATTCAAGAGCAACAACATCTGCACTCTAAACTCCATCTGTTTGCTAAACTGATTCACAATAACAGCTGGTTTCATCAAACCGGAGGAGCAAAAGCCAACCAACACAAGGAACATATGATAAAAAGGAACCGCAGATACTTTCCCGCACCGTTTTATTATATTTTTTTACATTTTCTGATGTTTGTTAACTCTTTTGTCATCTGTGTCTCTTCTTAGATGTAACCTTTGTTAGCGCATCTGCCACCGATTTACACCAAGATAAATTAATGCAACACCATGACCGCCGGCTGCCTTTGTAACTGCAACACACCAAACGCGGTGACCATTAAAACGTCAACACAACTTACATTAGTCATTAGTTGTCTGTTCCTTAAGGTCTGTCCTATGTGATGTGCATTTTTGTCCTTTTATGTAATGTACAGTTGGTGAAGACAAATTTCCCAACAGGGACCAATAAATCAATCAATCAATCAATCAGTCTATCTATCTATCTATCTATCTATCTATCTATACACATTTGTGTATTTATCAATCGGCTTATACTATTAAGTTGTAGTACTTTCCCTACATTCATCTCAATGCAGACAAAGACACATGGGTGCACTTTTGAGGTTGGAAAACCCTTAGCTGGATAAGTTCAGACAAATATTTTAAGACGGCGGCAGTAGCTCAGGAGGTAGAGCGGTCGTCCAATAACTGGAAGGTTGGCGTTTCGATTCCCCCCGATCCCAAGTCTGTCCGTTGTGTCCTTTGGCAAGACACTTAACCCACCTTGCTCCTAGTGTGTGTGTCCTCCACTGGTGTATGAATGTGAGTGTTGTGTGGTGGTGGTCAGAGAGGCCGTAGGCGCAAAATGGCAGCCATGTTTCTGTCAGTCTGCCCCAGGGCATCTGTAACTACTAAGGTAGTTTACCACCACCAAAGTGTGATTGTGTGAGCGAATGAATGATGTATCCAATGTAAAGTGATGAGGGTCTCTGATAAAGCCCTATATGCTGGATAAGTTCAGACAAATATTTTATGATATAATTAAATAAATACCTATATGAATATCGAGGTTTACAAAAATCAGTCATGTAAAGTTGGACAATGATCCAACAAATTCGCAAAAGTTGAGCCCGTTTAAATATTTCCTTGTTTAACAAAAACCACAACCTTGCAAGAATTTCTTTCTGTTATTCCAGCGGTACTACCACTCTCCTCGCTGTCAGTTTTACTCTCTGATATAGCAAAGAGAAAAAGTCAGTCTGCTCATTCACACAAAAGCAGCATCACGCTGATTCTGCCCTGTTTGACTTTGTTGACAGTTTGGGATGAAAGTAGCAAACCAAATAAAAGTCACAGAGTTAAAATCTCAAAAACAAACACTCTTTTGTTTGAAAACTGTTGCATGAGAAAATTGTTTTTTAATTCTAATATAAGTTAACTCTTCTATGTCATTTTTTCTTTTATAAAATACTGTTTTAAAAAAGTGTACAACAGCCTCACCTCACAGTGTGCGCTGGGATCTCGACCTCCCTGGGTGTGCTCAGGTCGGTAGTACCAGAAAAGACTCATCATCAGCTCCCCTGAGGAAGCAAACCGAGCGCAGACAGCACACACACACAAACACACAAACAGGTAAAGGTAAACAATCTTGACCATATGTCCTTTAGTCTATCCACCCATGCAGGTAAACCTCATTATCTCTCCCCTCTCGCCTCCTTCACCTGTTTTGGGGTCCTCCCACAGCGCTGATATCTTGGCAACATATGGGAGGGATTTCTTCCTGGGGCCGGATCGCAACAGTACAGTGTCTCTGACACGTATCACTTCGCCGTCTCTCTCCACTCCTTCGTAACACTGCCGCAGGGCCGTCTCATCCTCTCCCTACACACGCACGTGAGCAGACACACACGCAGACACACACACAAACCGACAAGGACAGATATAATTCTCATTATAAAGACAAAACGGGATCTGTCACATGGAGCCGTGTGGTCAAAACACAATTATGTTTTCCCCTCAGAGCTCGTGTTTCTCTTCCTTCTGCCAGGCAGCTGTGTGGATGCTAACGCTCCGTCTATCAGGGCGGAAAACAAGAGAGAAAAAACCTTCACCACTCAGAGACGCACTCACAAAAAACCTACCGCAATGAAGACCTCTCTCTCTGATGGCGCGCCAACAGGCCGCCAGCCATTAGTCGCACGTCTGCGGCTGACCCTCTTTTGTTTGGCGCTGCTGAGGCTTGGCGGGGGTGACGGCTGTTTCTGCCGTGTGCGGCTGATGGACAGAGATCCGTTGGAGGGTTTGGTGCTCTGTGGACATTCTCTGGCAAGCTTTAACCTGGCCGGGGGCTGGTCTCGTCCTGACAGGGGGGTCAGCAGGTGGGGTTTGGTCTGGGTGGATGTGGGTACAGTTGACAGAGGGCAAGTGGACATGGGCATGGAGGGGGACACCAGGAGGGAGGGGCTGTGTTCACCCTGAGGGGAGGAGTAACCCTCTGGACAGAAAAGAGGGAAAGTTACACCCTCGAACAACAACAAGAAAAATCTATACCACACATGATCCTGTTAGAGACACGAATTTAAACCCAAGATTTTCTTGAACGCTCAGGTTTTTTTAGCAGGTCCAGTAGCTGCTGTTCATAACAAACAACCTTTAAACTGATTCGTCCCACCTTTACAAAGAAACCTAATTCTTTATCTTTATAATCACTGAGAATTGTTCCAGAAAATTCTACATGTGAGATTCTTATCAAGCTAAATAACTACATCAGAGCCTGAAGGCACTTTCAGAGCTCACACACACACAGAAAAAAAGACGACAAAAAACATAAAGTCCGCACTTGTCGGGCCACACCCGAGGCTGGAGGCACAAATTTCACAACAAAGGAGTCTTTAGTCGTGATGATAATAAGTAGATCAAAGTGTATAATTCAGATAAAAGTTTCTTTGATGGAAAAAAATAACTTCGTAAACATGCTCTGAGGTCAAACGATCAAAGACACATGTAAACAAACTCGCCTCCGAGGGGACGATTACTCTCGCAGCGCCAGATCTCATTAAAAATCATAAATGTGGTCATTAATAATGATCAACTTTAAAAAGCTCCAGGGTAGCCTGTAAGTAGCACTTTTTGTACATTTTTTGGGTTTTATCACCAGCCCTTAATAAATGGGTTGTGTCTATGTAATATTTTTCTACACTCCTAGAGAGCACCATTATGCTTCCTTCAAATGGGACCTGGTAAAGGGATATTCCGGTGTAAAATCAATTAAGGGTCAAACACATCGTAACATGGAGCTAGACACCCCCTCGAGAGATGAATGTTGCCGACCGCTTGCTTCTCTAGTTATACCAACTTTAGTAACAACCACACAATAGCAATACACAGCGATCCCAGGAGCCATAAACAAACCTCAACCAAAACGCCACTCTATAGCCAAAAATAATCCTCAGAACAGCACCTAACTTCATCAACAGTACATATAGGGTCCTAACCATAGTACTAGCCACCAAACACCTTTTTAACTTTGTCTGATTTCTTTAGCAAAGAGACTAAACACAACTCACCTACTCTCTTCCAGCAGCCGCTTGTTTGTAGCGAGACCTCAGGTCAGTCCATTACCGACTACAGTGGAGTTTCACAGCTCAAGGAAGAACATTTATGGTCATTTCTTCATGGAAATGCAATCAAGCCAAGACCACGTCTGCAGTGCAAAATGATTAATATGATGATTATTACTTCAAGGAAATGATAAAGTAATAATCATAAATGTTCTTCCTTGAGCTGCGAAACTCCACTGCAGTCGATGGACTCGCTCAGAGGTTTCTGTACAAACATGCGGCTGCTGGATGAGAGTGGAAACCTGGCAAAGCTAAAAAGATGTTTGGTGTCTCGTACTATGGCTGGGACCCTATATTTACTGCTGATGAAGTTAGGTGCTGTTCTGAGCATTATTTGTGGTTGTAGAATGGCGTTTAGGTTGAGCGCATGGCTCTCTGTATTGCCATTTGCAGTCGTTACTAAAGTTGGTATAACTAGAGAAGCAAGCAAAATTTATCTCTCAACTAACTCGTTGTTGCGCTGTGTTTGACCCTAACTTAATTTTACGCCGGAGTATCCCTTTAAGTCAGAAGGGTGACTGGGTTCGAGAGAAAACAAAGTCCCCCACTGAGTTACAGCCGACCCTTAAGTGGTTGTTCTTTCCCACTCACCTGTTTTGATGGTGTGTGTGCATCCAGTGCATCCTGTGCTGAAAGTGCACCCCCTGCTGGTGACAGGAGGCATTGATCTGTAGGTGTATCCACCGATTCCACAGGCATCACCATAGCAAGGCGAGCCCACTGTGTTGCAGTAGGCGGGGTGGGGCAGCCCTGAGCCGTGGGACACTCGTGGATCGAGCAGCTTGGAGCCAGTCATCCGATTAGGGCAGAGACTGGAGGGGGCAAAGTTCAGAGGTCGCTGGGCCAGGCTGGCTGACGATGTTCCAGTGTGTGTGGGATGGGCGATGTGGACGTAGTAGCTGGAGAAGCAGTGATCGGCGGTACAGAGGCAGGGATGGGGGCTGAGGGTTAGAGCCGTGTGCGGATGGGAATGGGTGAGAGATGGGGAGGTTACGAGGCACTCGCGCTTCACAGGGGTCATGGCTGAGTTAAGTGGCTGTTCGTCGGACTCTCCGTAGGGCTGCTGGCCCAGGAAGAAGGCCAAGCGGTGGCAGTATTCCACTGAGCCCTCAGGGGGACAGCAGTAGTATGGGCTCAGTTCGGTCTCCATCTGCTCTTCCTTCACTTGTTTCAGTGGGTATGCTAGCATGCTGCGCGACTGGTAGCCTGGTTTGGTCAGTCGATGGGTACAGCTGCCGGTGTCCCACTCCACTTTGGGCTCAAAGTCCGCCTTATTCTTGCAGGACGTGCAGCTGCCATGTGGGGACAAGTCCTTTCTTCCGGTCTGCTTCTGCGGAGGCCCCTTATTTTTGAGTTTGACTCGGGCCTTCTGTTTTGGGGTGGAGGTTGCAGTAGGACCTTTACAGTCTGATGTAACAGTAGCAGTGGGCACAGACTTCACTCTCTGCTTGCTTGTTGCAGATGAGCTGGTTAACTTCAGAAGTGCTGCGGCGTTGAGTCCCGCCAATCTTCGAGGCGCAGGAGCGTCCAGGATCTCCTGACTCATCCCCCATATCTCTCTCCCTTTGGCTTTGGCCTTCTTGACTTTCTTGGAGCTTTGGCACAGTTCAAGTTTGTGAGACGACGTGGAGGTTTTTCCAATGTTTCCTCGAGGAGCCTTCAGACTTCCACAGACACTAGTCCTTGTTGGATCTGCATCAACGAGCGCCCCTCCGTTTAATGGCTCTTCCTGTCTTCTGGCCTGTTTAGCTGCTGGCTGCAGGTCGGTGGCTCTGTCAAGCAGAAGACTGTTGACCGCCTCTGCATTGAGGGAGGCTAGTCTGCGCTTACGAGGTTGAAGGTCGTAGAGACACTCGCTGTAGCTCGAGCTGATTGACTTTGATTTGGTTTTTATTAACGACTTTCCCTCTTTTCTTTCACCTTTCCTCTCCTGTTTGGGCTTGGGTTTCAGGGATGCGTGGCGCCGTGCCTCTTTCTGCTCCCTCTTCTCAGACCTATTCTGTTCGCGGACGCTTTCCTCCAATCGTGTCAGGAGGACATGGCAGCTGAGCCCCTCCCCGTCTGTCGCACCAGCCCTCCCCCTCAAAGGATACGACTTCCTGTCCCGCTTCTTCTCGCCCCTCTGATCGAGTTTCCTTCTCTGATCTGACTTTTCTGTTTTCCCTCTTTTGTCGTTCATTCTCTTGTCCGGGTGTTTCTTGTGTTTGACGATCTCACTTATCTTCTTCGTCCTCCCGAATCGCAGCGAGCGCTCAGGCCAGGCGTCACCCATGGCGCCACCATGTGGCCACAGAGGGCAGTTGTCCCACCACTCGGCGCTGCTGTCACTCCGCCTGAGGGAACCCTTCTGCCTTGCGTGAGTCATCACATGCTTCTCCACGGGGCCTGGAGATAAGAGACAAGTGGTAAAAACTACAGTTTGTCCTAGTTTCACTGCAGGCTTTCAATGCTCACTACCAACAGAACAACAGCATGGAGAAGAGGACAAGTTAGATACAAACAAAGCTTTTAATTGCCTCCAAAGAGAGCTGAACATGTTCAACACTTCCTTTCATCAACTGTTGTTTCTAGAAACTACACAGAAGACATTTGGATCTGCAGGAAACAGATTTCTTCATGAAGCCTGATCAGAGCAGGAATCATAACCATAGACTTCACAAAGCTATAAGGGATTTTGTGGTGTGAAAAAGACTGTGATACAATGACAATGTAAGCAGGATAGAGCCAAAAAAACAGAAGTGGTATTGACCGTTTCACACAAGCCTGTAGTTTAGAGTGAAATGCCTCATACTGAACATAAAAATGCTTGATGTTGACTAATTTTGATGAATGAATTTGTGATCCAGTTCATCATATGGTGAGCTTCAGCTTTTGTGCGCCTGTTTTAGATCCTGTCACACTATCAGGATCGAGTGTTTTCGTGAGTGTCTGTTTAATGTGGAAGAGAAAAAATCCTGATGCACTCTGTCATTCATTCACTGCACCCTTGGCCTTATCTCATAATGTGCACAAAGCATGCAAATAGAAGCACGGTGAGGCTAATGGTGTAGTTTACTTTGAAAGGCGGTGTCTAAAAGATACTTCAACATTACAACTGACAAATAAATATGGCAGCCAGATTAATGCATTTGCAAAGCATGCGAAGATGTTATGTCTAAATGTCTGTATCATTTGAAGGAACAGAAACTGATTCACACTCAGTTTAAGCCCCTTTACGAATTAAACCCAATCGGAAAAAACATTTAGCTTCTAAGTATTTGTTGAAATAATCTCTAAAATCAATGTGAAAGTGTGACATAAACAACAAAAAATTACTCTAAATGTGTGTGAAACTGATTTTTAACAATGTCTGAAGCATTAGCAAAAGTGTACTTCCAGGATGCCAGTTTGGATCAGTTGGTAGAGCAGGGACCCTACGTTACAGGGTAAGTCCTGTCCACACTGGTCATCGGACTGATACTCTCAGTATTTTTTGGTGCATGTCTTTCCCTCCTCTATCGCCACCTTTCCAACCTCACCACAAACTGGCCAAACAAAAAAAACTTTACTGGTGATGAAGTTCAACTGTGAGCTGTTCAAAGCTGTTGTTGAATATTTCGAATTTAAATGTGAGAAAATTTTTGAAAACAAGCATTCAAATGTGAAAATTTATGTTCGCTTCCTCGAGGGACACACGAGTCGCAATCATCCTTTTTGGAAGGAGACTTTTGTACAGGTTTGCATAATTCAGGTTGTGGATTATCTAACTGACAGGCAGGCACTTTGGAGCCATTTGCCAAGAGACTAAAAAGCTTGCCGCGGCTCAAAGTCTTTGCCAACTTCTTGGTTGTCCAAAGGTTACGTTCGGTCAGCATTTCCAACATGGGGACTATGAAGTTTGGCCTTCAAAATATGTCTCTATTGGATGGCATCACTGAGACTTCCTCCATGCGAATGATGATTTTACTTATGACATATCATTACATGTGATTGCAGAGCTTTTAGGCAGAATGTCAAAACAGGTTCCAAATCAGTTCTGATTGTGTTCCCAAACTTCAGCTTGTATGTTTTTGTTTTGAAGGCCGACATGCTTTCCTGTTTCAACTCTCACCACTCCAGTAGTCAGGTAAGTAAGACATGAACAACACAAAAACATCCTTTTCATTTTTAAGTAGGATTTGCAGCTTTCAGATTAAAAAAAATATATCATGATTTGGGTATTAATGAGCAGTTATATGTGCTCCCATTATGAAACTAGAGCACCTAATGTCACAAAAGCAACATAATCGTCGTAACTAACACACAGTCAGAAAAAAACAGACTCTTTGATTATTCCATGATTGTATGATAACGTTACACTTTATATGTTTATTTACATTCTAATCTAAAGTCTGTGGGTATCTTCTTTTCCCTCTACCCGTCCTGTAACACTACCCATACTGTGCTCTGTTTTATGTTTGCTCAGTGTCTGTCCTCTTTAATTTAGCCGACATCTATTACACTCAGCTCCTTGTGCCTTTTGCTGGTCATGTGAAATGTTCCTGTACTTTTATCACTGTGTTTCACTGCATTGAATGACCCTGTATTTCTACTCATGCTCCCATTTTGGGACTTTTACTGTGCTTTACTTGGCTCTGACCATCGGCTAGAGAAAAAGAGAGAACTTTGATCATTGTATGTTTGTATCAGTGGAAAGGGAAGTTGTTTGTTTCATTTTTTCGACCATAAACATCTGCATTCTGAGTCCTAAAAACAAGTTTTCTTGTTGGCTCCAAATGATGCCGTAAAATCCATTATCTCTTGAAGAGCAGTAAAATGAAGTTTTTTGCCTTTTTTTTCACTGTTATGCTAATCAAACGCTAAAGCTTGTCCGTCTGCCGCCTCTGTCCATGTACTGAAAACTGCTTGAACAGGACTAACAGATACTTGAACAAAGAGTGTGGGAAAAACAAAAATATCGTATTGTACCAAAAAAAACAAAACCAAAAAAAAAACGGTATAGGGCTGTAAAAGTAACTGCATTTTTTTGTTCGTTTCACATTCAGTTAGCCTCTTTGTATCATGTTTTGACAATTTTTTGTATATGTAATATATCAAGCGACATCGAGCAGAAGAACTAACAGATAAGAGAACAAAGAGGGTTTAAAAAATGATGAAACTTTCCTATTGTACGTAAAAAAATAGAGCTGTTGGAGTCAACTGCATATTTATGTTCAATTTTCATTCAGCTAGCCTATTTGTAACGTGTTTTGATGATTTATTTGTATACGTAATACATCAAGCAACATTGAGCAGAAGGACTAACATACGAGAAAAGAGAAAGGGTTCGAAAAATGAAACTTTTCCTATTGTACAAAAAACGGCACAGAGCTGTGATACTAACTGCATTTTTGTTCGATGTAGCCTCGTTGTAACATGTTTTGATGATTTTTTGTATACGTAACACATCAAGCAACATCAAGCTGAAGGAGGCATGTCCCCACTTATTGTAGCGGGTGCACACACTTCTGTCATTTCAGTTTTTACTTATAAACAAGGATAGGTTAAACCGAGTAATCAAGCAGTGACCATAGCTCATCTTAACCGTGACTTTAAACAACGTATTGACAGAAAAGCATCTTTCCTTTGCTTTTATCAGCTTTGAGAAACAGTAAAAGCTAGTCCCAAAATGTTAACGTACAGGTTGATGATGAATTTTCCATAAATCTGTAGATCATATGGAGTACAAACAGATCACAGTGCAATCACATTCAATGTCACCAACATGTGCACTATTTCACAGAAGAATCAAACAGCGGTGTCCTGATTGAAAGTCTTAAGTTTCTCTTACATCCACCCCTGAGGAAGACTCCGGGTAATAACTACAATCTACACAATCTGAACATCAATCGATGCGTGTCCCTCAGTGTTCCCTTATCCCTGTGCAGTCCTAAGCCCCGACCTCCTACAATCACTCCAGCCTCACTCTGCTGCTTTTTTAAAAGATGCTTGGAGAGGGTTCCAGCTGAATTTGAGGGTGTACTTACCCTTTAAAGACTATCAGCATAAATATTCATAGCAAGTGCTCGTCTCTCTATCCTCCTCGTGTTTAACAGTGCAAAGAGACTGCCTTCGTGAATTTGAAGTTTTAACATTTCCCTAAATAACCTTTATATTGTAGTTTTAACACAAGTATTAGCTTATCGCCGGAGAAAGAAGTCTTCCAAGGTCTTATCACAGTCAGCGTCATGATGTTTGCCAATTCGTTCTGCACTGCAACAGTTACAGGCCGGGGCATCTGTTCAGACTAGCATGGCAGTGTGAGGCGCACAGAGGCCTCGTAGCTGATACAGGTTTCTCTGTTGTGTGAAGACATTCAGGGCTGTAGATTTCAGGCCTTGTTTTCATGACTATTTCACAGTTGATGGCTGACAAGATTTCTCGAACATGTTTGATTTCGTCGGCTAAAATCTGACTGGGCATGTGCAAAAAAAAAAAAGGTACAAGGCTCGTATGCCAAACTAAAACTGGCGGTGGCCAATTCACCCCAGGGTGAGTCAATAGTACAAGCTTCCTGATCTACTGTCCAACAAAGTGTTTTGAGAAGAAATTTCAGCATTTATTTTAATTTTTTCATATTTTATTTCCCCTCAGAAAACACTTTAACAAGAAGAGGGTCGAAGGATGGAGGGATTTTGATAAACAACAACATCTGGCACTTCTCGATGTCTCATTTTATGCGTATCCCACTTTCTTTTAGAAGCACAGCCTGGAGTTAGTGTCTCGTGACAAAGCGCATAAGATTTGGTCTGTTTGCAGCATGACCCTACCAAAATAAGAGCAAAAAGGTGTATTTTTCATATTTAAACACTGTTACTCCTTTGCCTTTTAAACTGTGTCAGTGGTCATAATTTAAATCTGTGTTCACCTCCAACTTCTAACCTTGATACTGAGTTTTTATTAGTGTCCTTTTAAACCAGAAACTTTTTTCCATGTGCAGCTATGGGTCACTGCTGAAAAGTGTAGGTGGGGAAACACTGGAGGGGGATAACCTGTGAGATATTATCTTACGGGGCAGGATTGTGGCCAAACGGCAATTTGGCTCTTTAAACACAGCGAGACCTGCACGTCCTCAGGAAGTAATCTCACATTTACAGGAAGATCAATGACCCCTGCGCTCCATCTCTAATTGGCTTGAAAACAGATCATGAGCTCCTTTCAGAGCATCAAACACCGGCCTTAATGGGGTTTTATTTTCTTTATCATAAGACCAGCGAGATCTCTCAAGAATCAAGAGATAACAGGGGTGCAACAGCAGCCAAGGTGGGATTAAATAAAGATTGTGCACATTCAGAAACCCCTTTTTCTATATAGTGACATGATAGTTGAAGTGAATATATATAAGTATATATATAAGTTCCCAGATGCAGCCTCCAAACTCATCTAGAACCATACTGTGAATATTGATGACTGATCCAGCCATGCACATAAACACTAAATGTTGAGTGCAAGTGTATTTTCTTTGTGATTTTTCCCTAGTGTTTCTGTTCTCTTATTCCTGTTGCCCTGTAGTCTTGTCTTGTAGGTTTTAAGTTCGTGTCTGACACAGTTTCCCTCGTGTTCTCAGTGTTTTATTCTCCATCAGTTTTCAGTGTTTCCTGTTTTATTTTTTAGTAGTTCATTCCCTGTGTTTCTAGTCTTGTTTTACTACCTTAATTTTCCCTCCTCTGTGATTGTCTGCACCTGTGTCTCAGTGTCTCACCTGCCTCTCGTTGCTCGTTTCCCTGTGTATATATAGTCCTTGTCTTCCCCTGTTTCTTTGTTGGTTCATTGTGAATGTGTGGTCGGTTGCAAATCTGCGTGTCTGTATGCCAGTGTCTCCTTGTGATTTTTTCCTCCCTGTGTCTTTTGTTGGATTTTGCCTCTTGTCTTTTTTGCCTTGGGACATTCTAAGAAAGTTTTCGTTGCTTTTTATTTAGTTAATTTTGAAATAAATCATTTTGGTTCTGCACTTGGGTCCTTCCCCTTTTTGTTGTATAGAACCAAGAAAATTCACGTCTATAATACAGCAAATAAAACTGTGAAAAAAAAGGTTGTGTTTCCCAAACTCAAGATCCATTATTTCAATCATAAACAGAAGAGGAAACTGCACACAAATTAAGAGCCATTTTGAGAATAGTTTATGAAACATTCTCATATCAAAAGCCTCAAGTTCATTATAAAAACCCGGTTGGGATCTCTCAGCGGGTCTCAGGAGAAATTTTAAGAGTAATGACATTTTTCAGTGGATGAGAGAGGAGAAATACTCAATCTGTAAGCTAACAGTTTGGCATCACCACTTTCTTTTTAAACTTCTTTTATTAGGTCTTGGTTAAAATCTTAAACTTTTAAAGTTATTCTTCACTGTGCAAAAAGTAAATCACTTTAAAACACATTTGCAGCGTTTCCTAGTCACTTTTCTATAGGGCCTATTTTCAAGGTCATGCATCCTTGTGAGATTAAGTCAAATGACACCTACCCCCCTCACAATGATCACAAGCATCAAACTTAAAATACTTTCAGTTTTGTTGTTTATGGTCTTGTTTGCATTTGTAGTTGATTAATAGTCATTATTATTATTCATTTCAGTAAATTCCAGTCCTAGTAAAAAGGACAGGAGCTTTAATTATAGGATATTTTGGCAGGTTCAGAGACCACATGATTATGTAGGACTATTAGAAAGTTTAACTTGGCAACTGAGCGCAGGTTAACTTTTTTAATGGACCAGAACAAATCATTTATAGATATTTGAAATACATTTACAGAACTGCAATAAAAAAGAGTGATACAAAGGTTTTAACTGTATATTTTACTACAAATTGGTAACACAGCCTTACACAGCATCAACGGTAGTCTTCCCATAATAAACATTAAAGAGATATTCAATGTTCCGAGCATTATTTGTGGCTATAAATGGGTTTCTTGTGTACGAACAATACTAGGTGCGCATGCAACCAGGGGCCAAAACCCTGCTTCGGGGTGAACGGATATTAATGAAGATGCCGTACTGTTTGCAAGTTCTCCCTGACACAATTTCAATAAAATGTCATTTCATTGAAAAATCGCTTTGTTTTTCATTGCATCACAAATCAATCAATCAATCAAACTTTATTTATATAGTGCCAATTCACAAAAGTTGTCATCTCAAAGCGCTTTTCAAAGAACACGAGCAGGTGTAGACCACGCTCATTGTTTGATTATCAAGAACCAACCCCTAAGATGGGTTTTGGCCTATCTCATCTAACATGAGTAGCAGTGGCAAGAAAAAAACAAAACAGCAGCATTTTCCAAACTTTCTTTATCTCCAGTTTTTGCAACACACCTTTTGAGAACCCCCAACCGGTCTCTAAATATCAGCTACCTCTTCAAGCCTCCAAAGCCTTTCACAAGAAGACCCACCTGAGACAAACAAATCACGTTTCCCCCCCTGAACTGTTCACAACTCCTGTTAACTCTCTCATAACTTTTTAATGGGTGTTACTTCAGCTCAACATGTAAGGGTCCTTGAAGACAACATGATCCAGCCAATGAGCAACGTGCACCAACACCAGCTCTGCTCCACACTTGCAAAGCAACTCATCCACCACTATTACACATGATCCAACCTGTAATCAAGACCCCATCCACTTGCTTTTAAATGTTTCTGCTTTCAACTTTCAAGTGCAGCCACGCCACCGGCAGCTCACACACACACATCAAAAATAAATAACTATAGCTGGGTAAGGTAGCGCTTTGGGATCAGATTGAGAAGGCTCTTATTTTACATTTTCCATGTCAGGGTTTTGCTGACGGCGGATAGGGGAGAGTGGGGTAAGATGAGCCATTTTTCATATTTGGGATCACTACATCAAGGCGATCATAGTTTTGTCTCTAACTAGTGTATCTGCATATATTTCAAGATGTTGTGCATCCCTGCAAACCAACAGAATGAGTGTAAACAGAACTGTCTTGATAATATATACCTTCTCTCTCCCTAAATAACAGTCACTTCTTCACATTCATGTATATTTTTATCTGTTATACGCTATTCAACTGGTACAATAATTCTTTTTATTATTATTATTATTGCATTTAACTGTTAAAAAGCTGTTTTGTAAAAAGCCAGAAGAAAAGAAAAAGTAAACTATTTCAACAATCTGAACTGAAACTCTGATCCTCTCATCAGACTCCTTTACTTTCTCAGTTGAGACACAGGCCCAACTTACCCTAGAACTACTATGATGTAGGCCTGGGTGATTTGGCCAAAAAGATGATTACGATATACTTTGCCATATTGTCCGATCTCGATTATTTCTTTTAAAACTGCCAGTTTTAAAACATCTATACTTAAAACTAAAAAACAAACAGATAAATACTAAATAAGATGTTAAATAACTTTTCTTCTCAACAATAACATCTTTGGAGGATGACTCAAAGTCATGGCTGATATCTATTTTACTGCCCTCGGCTCCACATTAGGTTACTCTGTTTACTTGTCCAGCAACTTACAGAAATGAGCAGGAAACGCTCGACTCTGATTGGCTGTTGTGATGCACATTTTCACCAAGTTTGATTGAGTAAATAAGCTCACAGCTGATCACCGTGATTGAACTGAAATTTATCCCGATGATAAAATCGCCCAGTCCTACTATGATGACTTTATTAGTCCTCTAAGCAAAAATGGTGGACTTTAATGTTCAGTTTTTGACCTCATGTTGTAGCTCATAGATACCACAATAGATGTATAAAACAAATTTAAAATGATCTTTTTTGGTCTGAACACAATTCTAATAAAACTCATGACTGACTAAATTCACTTTCAAGAGTGAAAAACGTTTTGTTTTTTTTAAATAAATGTCTAACCCCTTCACCCATGTGCTTCTAACCTTCACAGACTCCATGAATTGATGCCCATCTTCTTAATATTTAGCCACTTTATCAATTTCTTTTACCATTTCCAAGCAACAGGGGGTGGCTCAACTTACCCCACTCTCCCCTACACATGATCCCACCTGTAATCAAGACCCCCATCCACTTGCTTTTCAATGTTTCTGCTGTCAACTTTCAAGTGCAGCTCTCTCTCTCACACACATATCAAAAATAAAGAACCATAGCTGGGTAATAAGGCTCTTATTTTGCATTTTCCATGTCAGGGTTTCGCTGACAGGCGGCTACAGCACGAGGCGTTTATCAGGAAGACTCTGAAACATCAGGTCGATGTTTTTTCTCTTGTTTTCTTCCAAGTCTTTACACCGCAGCCCTGAGCTTCATCCGCTGGAAACGACGAGGAAGCTCTGCAAAAAGCGTGCAATATCTGAATCCCATGCATATACTGCATGCGTGTATTTGGACATGTACACAGTGGACGAGGGATACAGTGGGATGTGATACAGTACAGCTTGACGTAGCTTTGCCCATCTGAAGTAGCCAAGCCAGGCTCTAAATATGGGCTGGAGAGAGAGAGGAGGGGGAGGTGGAGGGTACCCGAACACACACATACATACACAGCGAGCGAAATAAAGGGCAGTCACCCCTCCTGGTCGCATTTTCGAGCCGGATTCCGTGTTGCCGACACGGTGGCTCTTCTGATCCCGGTCCTTCCAGTTGAGACCTGGGAGGATCTGGCTCGTATAGCAGCAGCAGCAGCCCTATGTGTGTGTGTGTGTGTATATGCGTGTGTGTATGTGTGTGTGTGTATCGCTTCTGGTGCACGAAGCGAAAAATGGGTTCTGCGCTCCTCTTTTGGACGGCTGGCCAGTCGGAACAACTTCAAACATTCAGGGCGAAATAGCAACACAAAAACGAGAGAGGCGGTAACTTACACGGGCTCGAGGACACGCTTCCTCCTGCACGAGCCGGGAACCGTCGAGCAAAAAAAAAAAAAAAAATCTGCGGGGAGAAGAAGAAGAAGAAGAGAAGAAGAAGAAGAAGAAGAAGAGGAAGAGGGGGGGAGGAGAAGAAGAAGCCGCCGGACTGGTGCGATGGCAGAGCTCCGTAACTGGGAGAGCTGGGGAGGAGTGGAGAGAGGACGGTCGGTGGCGCTGCCTGAGAGATGTGTGTGTGTGTGTATTGGTGTGTGTTGGTGTAACGTGTGTGTTGCTCTTCCTGGTTGGGTTTGCAGAAAACTTAATCTGAACCAATTGCCACACGGACCCGGCTCGCTTGACACCCCCGTCCTCCAATGACGGACAAACAGCTGTTTTATTGTGAAAGGGGAGATAAGAAACTACATATTTTCTGCGTGTGAGTGAACTTGGTGACAGTACATTAACACACGGAGCTACATTATGGGCGATGGATGCTTCCCCAACAGGCAGACAACCTCATCCTGTCATTTGTCGTGACCAATCCACGACCAGTAAACCACTAGATTGTTGAAACGGGTCTAAAGAATTTCACGAGAAAGGTGAACAGAGGTTTCTACAGAGTCCATGTGGTGCTGGTGACATAAATACTACCCATTTGTCAAAGTTGTCATGAGTTATTTAAGGAATCCTGAACCACCATGACACACAGTTAAAGGTGGGGTAGGCAGGGATTGGTTACAGAAGCATCTTTTTTGTGGTGTATGCACAAAAAAAGCTTTGAGTATCAGTTAATAGCTATTAGTTATTGATGACATGGGGTAATATGTCTTATGTCAACATTTAAGGGCGCGTTCACACCGCCCTCGTTTAGTCCGGTTGAACCGAACCCTGGAGCGTTTACCCCCTTGGTGCGGTTCGTTTGGGTCGGTGTGAACGCTGACCTCTGAACTCTGGTGCGGACCAAATAAACGAATTCTGGTCTGCCTGAAGAGGTGGTCTCGGACCGCTATCAAGTGGACTCTGGAGCGGTTCATTTCTGGTGTGAACTTCATCCACACCAATCACAGGAAACACACCACACACGTCGTTAATGCCTGTCGCCGTCTCGTCTTTATCCGTCTGTTGTCTGCAGCACGTCTACTCCGGAATGTATTAATGCCGCAGTTCGCGCTCGCTGGCCAACGAGCTGTTCATACACGCAATCAACTAGCGTCTTTTGATACGCGCTCCAGATGAGTAGCAAAAGCAAAATCAGCCTACGATGCTCCATGACAGACAGACTCATCCTGTCATTTGTTGTGACCAAACCACGACCAGTAAACCACTAGACTGTTGAAAGGGGTCTACAAAAATTTCACGAGAAAGGTGGAACAGTGAAAAGGTTTCTACAGAGGCCATGTGGTGCTGGTGACATAAATACTTCCCATTTGTCAAAGTCGTGAAGAGTTATTAAAGGAATCCTAAACCACCATGAAACACAGTTAAACCAAAGTTTACAGCTCAACTATCCATGTAGGGTTTACTATCCAAACAGTTCATATCAGTTACCATTTCTTAGTTTAGTTTTAGCTGTGCAGCTAGCTCAGTGTTTAGTTGACTCTGCTGTCTGTCAGGCTCTGAGTAGGGAGTACAGTTAGCGCTGCAACTGCTCATGTTGACAGTAAACTCATGTCCTTGTTAGGTTTAGTTAGTTAGATTAGGTTATAATGAGAAGAAGAGAACAGTATTGGGCCTCCCTTACTCTCTGCTGTCAACAGTTAACTCAAACTTGTCCCGCTTAGTTGGTTGTACTGCCTCAATCAACAGGCTTTCTTCAAAATAAAGATTTTTGTGCGTAATGTCTAAATTTGCAGCATCTTTCCTCTGATGAAGGTTGTTGAGAGATTGATTGAGCCTCATGGCCACTGCAGCGTTCAGAAGTACATAGTGGTGTCTTATCTGACAGCACAAACCTTCTCCTTGTTAAAACAAACGGACCAAGTGATTTAATCATTTAAAAGAATCCATGTGAAAAAATCTGTGATCCTCCAGGGGGCTGTGAGCTGAGCTGCCACTAAATGTACCTCACCTGCCAACAAAAATGTTTAATCTCAGTGCTGTTACATACAATTCTGTTTTTTTGAGCCGTATATAATTACCACTTTAGATAATAAGGTGTTGGCACAGTAAGGGTTACAATCATTGAGCTGTGTTTTATTGTTGGGTGGAAATGTGTTTATAATCCGACAGCTGGGCCGGTGTTTATGGGAAACTTATAAACATGTGTCTTATGGGCAGTTCATGACACTTATGAAGACTGATGTTTAAATTGAAAGCAAACATTGGGAGTGCTTTTATTTCTTATATATTTATAAAATGTACATATTAGTTTAGTTGATTATTTTACAATCACAATAATCATAAAATTTTTCAAAACTGGAAAATGTGAATATTTTGTTTCCCCACATACTAAAACTCAATTTTAATATTTAATATTTTCATTTTAACTTACCCAGGAAGTTTTTTAATGTGTGTCAATTGACTGCAAACTCCACTTCCCAATAAAATACCAAAAAACATCTTTTTTTATCATAGCTGGTCCTCCATATAACTTATTTAAGGCCTTTCATTTTCAACAGGGAATTAGATAACAATATTGCGGTCCAATATAAATACATAAGTGTGTACAGAGGGATGTAAAATGCAGCTTCCTAAAACAGGAAGTCAACAGCGTGCTTGAGAAATGTGCTAGTTACACTCTTCTAGTCAACATAGAGACCTAGACTGAGCCTCTTCAGAGAGATTACCCAGGTTCCCAAAAATGTAACCCATCACCTCTAAAAGTGAATCAGGGAGTATCAGCCAGCTTGGAGCTGAAACAAAGCAGTCAAGAAGACAGAGGCAGAATCCGAAGTGATGAGGTTATTCAGTGGGTAGGGATTCTTATTCAGGTGCAACAACTGGTTCTGACATTTGGACACCAGGAATGTCTTCACACAAGTAAGGAGAGGCAGTGTCTAGATAGGTGTTTGAATCATTTGCACCCCACTGCTAGAAGGTGCCTCCTGTGGGATGGACAGGTTCTGGGTGTGTCTGTCAAAGGCATTCATTGCAACAACAGTTACTGCGCCTAATTAAAGGGCTTAACAGAACTGGTGACTTCACCAGTCCAGATCCTGCCAACAGAATGCCTCTTTCACACTGGTGACTACATTTGAGAGTAAAATATCACTAATTACTCATAAATAAGTGTGGAAGACTGTATAATACAACATCTGAAAACCCAAACTTCACCACTGTTGAGCAGAGAAACTTACAAAACCACAGGCCGTCAACAGATCCTTAGTCTTCTGTTTGTTACAGGTGTTTTGATCTCAGTCGTCACACCAAATAGCGGGTTATCAGTCTTAATTGCATCTGCCATGTGAAGGGCATTTACTTTCTTGCATTCGGGAGGGTTTAAAGAGCTCTTTTGTCTGATGTTTTGTCATCTAAAAGAAACCAAACCTGCAATCAAGGGAAGCGGACACTTTCAGCGACTCTTTCTCTTTTTTTTTAATGGAAAGATGATGAATGTCAGATGATCTGAGGAGGCTGAATTACAAACCTGAACACACAGTTGTTACATCTTGTAAAAGGTGCCTGTTTCTGACGGAGCTTTTTTTTCATGCTGTGGAAGTCATATTGTCACATAATCAATTCCTCATCTAACCACTTAGTATTTGTCTGACTTGACAATTCATACTTTTGAGCTCCTGAATGTTTAAGTTGGCATCGATTTGTTTACAATGCACGAGTCAAGGACACACATCACCTGTTTTATGAGGTATATTATTTCAGTGTCATTACAATAATTTTACTAATGAAGGCGTCAATAAAATCCTACAACTTGCTGGTTAACAAACTCAACATTGGGTTACCTACTCTTTGTCTGTGCTGGACAGTTTTTGGTTTAGTTTGAGGTAAAAATATAGTCAAAGTTAAAGTAAGAGACCCACCTTTCACATGTTGACTTTTTATAAATGCACATTGATAATGTGATGTCCCTCCTTCATATGCAAATAACCCAGAGCCTTGTATGCATTCCCTGGTCATAAAAGTCGTAAAATGATGATCATAAACCATGATGCAGACTAACAGCAGAGAAAACAGACCTGCACTTTTATGACCGAGCAGCTTAGAAGAGGAGGTCGTATCACTCTTGGTTCAATCATGAAGCCTGATGTACAGTTCTGTGGACTATCATCGTAATAAAGAACTGTACTGCAGACACCAATTTGGTTTTACAGTGAGAGTGGCAGACGAAAGGTCAGTGTCATTAGCAGACAGACCCCCTTTATAAAAGGTCTGTTTCTTCTCAGCGCTGCATTATTATAAACCCTGAAAAACTGCTTCTGGGTCAGATCTCTCCACCAAGCCAATCACAGCAGGTGGAGTCATACATTTTGCATCACATCAGAGCAATCGGACTTCAGTACTGTTTCTTGAAAAGATAGTGGAAACCTAAGCAGCAAAAAAGAGCCGCTGGTGTTTCTCATGTTATTCAGGCCACTTTTAGATGAAAACGGTCTCCATAGAAAACAGAAAGCTTTAGTTTCGTTTAGGGCGGTCCGTTTAGACGGCAACTGCGTTTTCAGGGTCCAGAGTGGAAATGTTGTAAATGCTCTGCTAGCCCCGCTTTCGTCTAAAGTACAAAAAATGCTGAAAACAGTCAAACCTGTGACGTCCTGGCTCACGTCGGCTCACTCTTATGACATCATCAGAATCCTCATGGATCATACTGCTCAGCAGAGGAGGCGTCTGAATTATTTGCATCAAATAATTAATGTAGAACGGAAGTTGTTCTACGTATGTGTTGTTGGTCTATATGGGAGCGCGGTCACACCGACACGTGCCACCTAGCGACATGGCAACCTGGCAACCACATTACAGCGTTTTCAACCACATTGCGTTTTTGTGTAAACACAGCATAAAAACTGAAAACGAAACGGCACTTTTCCGTTTTCTATGGAGACCATTTCCGTCTAAAAGTGGCCTTTTTTTCACTTACTTGGAACTGGGATTGAACGAGTGGATCGTGCACAACCCACAACCAAAGCTCTGGATTCATGTGTTCACACTGTATGGTCTGCCTGTCACCATTTAACTAAGTATAATGTAATCAGAGTAAGCAAGTATAATGTAATGCCTCTCTGAGCTGGCTTGGATATGTGCGAAGGATAAATTACATTTTGAGCGACAGGCACATAAATCCAGAAACAAGAACCAGTTAAAACTTTTTTCAAAAACACTGAGTTCACCTCTGGAGTTGTTTACAGGATTATTCGTGTAAATCTCTATATGATGGAGTCTGGTATAATGAGTGTAAATCCGTCTTTCTCCATAATGCAGCAAAGTACTACTTCTTAAAGTTCATGGGGTTGAATGTGTCATGCTCACAGACTTGGTGAGGAGGATCACTTTAAAGATTTATTTTGCTCATTCAATGATTCACTTTAACATATTTTCTGACAGTCAGAGACGCTAACTGAGACAAACTGAGCTTCTCTCTAACTGCAGCTGTCACAACGGCACTTAGAAGTTAAAGGAGACATATGCTTTAGTCAAAAAGAACAAGATTAGTAGCTCCAGTGTTTTATAACAGGCGCCCATAATGAATTGCAAACTGTTTCTATTAAGATAACTGATTAGCATGTATCGATGGGCCCCTCAACTGTATTTACAACCATGTGAGAATTCAGAATTCACTTGTTCAGTATTATAATAATCAATAATTTCACTAAGAAAACACAGCGGTTGAAGCCTTGGAGAGGTGTGATGTTTGGGACTGATACTGATATCAGTTTTAGAGGAAATAAAGGGGTCTCTGATTACCCTCACAGTAGACGATAATGGTGGATTTATGAGGTAGATATCCCCTTAATCGGAATGTTGCACTTGTTATGTAACAAAAGCCCCTTTCACACATGAATTCCTGACATTTTCAGATAATTTTATGACTTTCAAGCCCTGATATTTTCAGGAGCACACATGCGCCTCAAAGTGGGAAATCATCTCTGTTGGACGAGCTCTCACAACGGGATGTACTCCACTTGAGTCCTCCGCAACGGCGGCTGTTTCTGTGTTTAAATCACTTTATCATATATAAGGATGTCACAGGCACAACAGCTGAAACTGAGGCAAGCAGAAAAGGCGTTTAGCAAAACACTAATATAGGTGTGAATGTCTCCCTAACAAGATCCTTTATCGTTACAATTCAATTCAAGAACGATTCATTAAAGCTGCTGCAGGGAAATTTTGGTTTGTGTCAGTTTAGGCGCATCTCATCTCCTGCCCTGCACATGTGAAATTACAGCCAATTTTCACAGCTTCTGGAACGGCTCCAATACAGAGAGATCGCGAGAACTCACAAGAACCCGCGGACTCACATGCAATCGCGCGATAACGAGTTGTCTCTATAAAGACAGCTACATAGACATATAAGCAGTAGATTGTTTCCTTCTAGAGGAGGAAATCTCATCTAGACTTATAAAATCAGCATCCTCTCATCCATGGTGTCATCAGGGTGAAATGCTGTCTATACACCTTTCACTTATTCGTCTCCGCCCGTTTGCATGGTGTGAAATACGATCTGCCTGAAACATGGAGTGCTTTATTTTGAAAAGAAGTCGGATGTTTTATTTTGTGTCTGTGCCCGACTTCCTTTCTAGCACAGGTTAATCTGTGCTGAATTTAGAACGGAAAAAATAGAACTCTTGCAACCAGCTGCGGAGTCTGGCGATCCACAGCAGAACAGAAAGAAGCCGGTGGCAAATGACACATTAACTTGAATGGTTACGATCGGCGGATACGGCCTTTTAGTAGCCGTTCCAGATGCAGTGGAAATTGGGGGTTAGACTTTTCAGGAAAAAAAATGTCACCCTGTTGTAATTTCAAAGTGAAATGTATAAAAAGTGAAAAAGTCACCATGGACAAAGTGCAAAAAAATGATGTTTTTTTTCCAGTTTGCAGTCAATGATCTACTCTGACACCCACCCTCTTACAAAAATTACAGTTGTGAAATTTTCAGCCTTTTGCTGATGTCCTTGTTTGCCTCTGAAGGTCATAAAGACGCATTAGTATCAGGTTCTGTTTCCAACCTAATTAGGAACAGTTTTAGACGTCCTTACAGCGCCTTTAAAATGAATGATCCATTAAAATAAGGAACGACTTGTTTCTATTAAATTTGATTCAGCGTATACTGACATTTCAATCCCAAGCACATTTTCATTTGATCTGACTTAATTGAGAATCTAATAATAATTCCTGTTCAAAAATTACAATCTTGTGTTCATCACTTTCAAAAGCGATAAAAGCGTCTCCAGCTTGAAGTGGACCTGCTGTAGTTTCTTAGCTCTCTTATGTATAGTTACCAGCCGATTTGTCATTCAGACTCTAGCTGATAGACCAGTAATTTTCTACCTCATTGTTATTGAAAAGAAAAGCAAAGACAGCCATGTACATGGAGGGATAACTTAAAAACAACATGCAGAAACCTTCAACCCTCTGTGCACATATTCATGCTTGTATCTTGAGTGCTGCCTCAGCTGAAGACACACAGTGAATCTCAGCTTAATTTTCCACTAACACAGAGCAGGCATGAAAGCGTCAGCGCTACTGTGGATAAAGAGCATGGCGAGAACTGAAAGTTAATTCACTAATAAGGGCACAGCTTGTATAGTTAAAGGGCCACCGTAGGTTAATTATGAAATTATATATGACCGTGAAAGGACAATGGCCAATGTAAAGATATCATGTTATTCACAAGGTCAGCTCCAGCTAGTTTATGCTATAGAAATGTGTAATTATATGGCACTAATGGGGTAGAAAACAGCCCAGCAGGTGATTTAGTTCAGAGAAGACAGTTCGTGCAGACCTTGTGTGAAGCAGGTACAGGGTTCCTTCAGGACAATGACAGTGAATGAACACAAACAAGACTCTTCTAATGAAACCAAGCAACCGTGACACTAATCTCAGCTCTCATCACAAGGTGCTCCTGTGTCACACCGCTCAAATGACAAGCAGAGTAAACACACAGATGCTCTGAATCTAAGTCTTGGTGTTGCAGCCATTTGAACAAGTCCGGATCATCAGACTGTATATATCAGTTTCAGATATTTAAAGCTTCTATAAGCAACTTTCTGTTTGTGTTGACTTTGGCGCCCCCTGTGGACAAAGTAATACCTCACATCTCTTCTTTGCAATTGTCCTGTACATGTGTAAATTGTATATTTAGACTGAAAATCTCCTCCTGCTTTCTGTAACAATCAAATCAAATTATAATATTGAAATTCTGAGAATTGGCTTCATTAACTTTAATGGGATTTTGAATAAACATCAACCCAACCAGCCAAAACCTCCTGAGTTCTGACTTTATGGCTTTTTAGCATTAAATGTATACAAAAAACCTTCCAGTTAATGGTAAATAATATAGTGTCAGTGTATATCTCCTGTATTAAGGCATTAGCCATTGACCAGAGTGACAGCCCCAGCTAGTGGCTGGAGGCTGCACTACAGCTCAGACAGTATTTAACAAGAATAATGGGCCTACAAAAATAAACCATTGTCATGCCAACAAGCAAGAAAAATGTTAAGCCAACTTATTATCCATACCTGAAATTACATGTAAAAGCTACTTTTTTCAACATTTGATGATTTTGCAGGTAGTTATATTATAAAGCACAATCTCTGCATTAATGGCGGAAATAATATGAGACATCTTGGGATGATAAATAAAAAAGAATAATGGGAAATGACTTTATTTGCAAAGTTTTAGCCCATTTTGACATTTTCTTCTGCGCAATATTGGATAAATTTCCATCATTAGGTCTTAAAAATGGTACCCTAACAAAAATGTAAAGTTAAGGCTTTAGTATTGTAAACAATTATCGTGATGCAGAGCTGGAACAAAGTACGTAAAAAGACGTGGAAGAATTGATGTTATATACTAAGTATACTACTGATCTGGGAATAATTCTAACACCATAGTCTATTGATAATTTAAGTGTTAGATTTGTGTGTTGGCAGAGGTCCACTGACGGTCCCCAGAGGATTGCTTTTACAGTAATGGCTCTGTTATTAGTCCTGCATTGCTTTTTAATGACAGAGTCTGGGTGTGAGTCGTTAAAACACTTCTGTGTTAAATTTTATGACATTTATGAAGCTTTAGCGAGGAAGGGTGGGGTCTGTTCGATCAAAGAGGAAAAGAGGTGCTGCACGGTGAAGTGTAAGCCCGTCGAAGTAACTCCAAAAGATTAATGTTCAACTACGATAAAAGAGAGAGAGGCCTTCGCACTAGGAGAGAGTCTCACGGCAGCCCTGAGGAAGAGGAGTTGGCAGAAAAAGGAGCAAATCATTGATAGTGCTAACAAGAGAGAGTTTCTGGAGGTGTTAATAGTGGTTATAAGATGGAAAGAACAAGGCCTGAATAAATGACTCACTTGTTGAGAACTTTCACTGAAACCTTCTCCTCCTCTTCAGTTAGACTAAGAATTTTGTTCACCTCTGCTGTGAATAGTTTAAACGTGGTTTTGATTCTGCAGTGGGTTCAGATTTTAACATAATGGACAGCACGAAAGCATCTTAAAAGTGAAGCCAAAGATTTGAGTCCACCCCTCCCCACCATCTGTCAAACTCGAATAGTGGTCCCCTAAGTGTGTGGCATGGTGGGGGCACAGGGACACTTCAGGGGTAACTTTTGTCTTGACATCGGCCATGGAGCGTTCCCGTCTGACTGGGATGGAAAAACTAAATTAGCAGAGAAGTGGAGGAGTGAGGAAAAAACATGACAAACACAAAGACTCGCTGAACTTTCCATACCTGTCAACGTCTGCTTCACATAAGTTTCATAAATTCTGCAGCTGACTGTACAAACCTAGGGGATCCTTCATATTTTACCTATAATCCAAATGGAAGAGGATTCATTACTGTCGTTTTTGTAGCTCCAAAATACAGGACTATATGTCAGCACCTGTTGCGTACTTTGGCTTCTATCCTTTCACAGAGGGAAGAAATGCAGGTGCATCATTCATATTTTTACAGGAAAAACCTTGAGGTACACAATACGAGATAGTTCCACTCAACTTAGTCATTTCAGAAGCATATATTCTACTTTGAAATATCAAACTGACCGAAATGCACTTTGAATGGCTTTCTGAGGGTTTATCTTGAGAATCAATCAAGTCCAGCTGATTCAAAAAAGTGACTCACAAAAGAAGTCATTTAACAACTTCTGAAAAAGTAAAAAAACACAGTTTCATCAAGAGAACTTCAGAAATAATGCGGTTCCATGCCCATCTAAAGCTGGGTAACTAATGTTCACTCACATTGAGAATACACTGCAGACATATTTCACTTTTTAAAGTCCAGTGACAGCTTTCCTTCATTTTTTCCATAAATAACCATCCTTTGACCTCACAGCTTTATCGTTTGAGCTTGTCCAGGGTAATGAAAACCTCCTCACCGTATATAGATTGTGTTCGAAGCTGCACATAAATCTTTAACTCCAGTTCTTCTTCAGCAGTCCACAGTATCACCATGCTGCTTTGACATAGATAATTCAGCAATAAGGTGCAGTATGAATTTTTTCCTCAGACTGTATCTTGGCTCTTTCAGTGTGCGCGCCGAGAGAGATGCAGAGGTATTGAGCTCATTAGCAGCAGGTAGCCTGCCTTCTTCACTGCTCTCAGACCTCTGCCTCCTCTTCTTCCTCCTCACCCTCAGTCACAGGAACAGAGCTACACACAGTTTCTCTGCTTCGGCTTATAAACATTTGAAATCAGCTGTTAGACTTCTTGGTGCTTTTAGTTTCAGGTGGATTTTGAACGCTTCTTACATCTCTTGTAATCAAACATTGACATACGGGTTTGTGATGCACTATTGTAGAATTAAAAGAGAATTAAAAGTGCGAGTATTCAAATATAATTATCAGATTGAGTACTTGAAGTGGGCTTGTAATTTGATAGTCCTCATGTTTTATCAGTTTCCATTTTTGACAGAGTTTAATATCTCAATACTTAGGCTGAATATTGAATCAGGACATTTCAATATTTACAGTTGACTGACTCTTAATAAAAAGTCTATGTTTGATTTTGATCTGACCATCACGAACTGATGAGAGGAGTCTCGTTTAATCACTCCATTAAGATTGTCTCCTTTCACTCCGTCCTCAGTCATTTTTTAATTTATGCACATCCTGAAAGTAATTCATCGACAGCACAAGCATCATATGTCATACAGGCATTATCCACTCGTGCTTTTGTGACTCAATCAGCAAACTGTCATGAGGGCTAATTGATGGACATTTTTATTTGTACTGCGCCGTCCCAAATCACAACAGAAGCTGTATCACAACACTTAACACAGTGCTCTTTGTCATTAATATGGAGGCACACAACACTAATTCGACAACCTGCAAGGACTTGGCAACGGTTGCTAAGGAAAACTAGTTTTTTTTATCGGGAAGAAACCTCAAGCAGAACCAGACACACAACTGTAGCCCACACCTAAAACAAAACTAACAGGGGGATGTGCAAAGACAGTTTTTTTGACTCAACAGGTTTTCATTCAGTAGATATCTGAATTGTTTAATATAACCATCCTTTAGTCAGAAACATTCCTTATGAGTTGCACATACTGTACTACCACAAGCTAAAGATACCATCCTTCATTCATTCTGGTAGTGTAGTCCTGCGGTTCACCAGCTTAGCGGTGTCTTATTTTAATATGGCACCCTGTTTAATACCCATAAGTGCTCAGAGCTGCATGAAGCTCACCAAAGAGAGTGAATGGTTTGACTATTTTATTACCAAAATAACAAAAGTGTCTACATGAGATGTCAAGGTCACAGATGGTATATGAACTTCACCTAACGTTGGTTTCTGAAGCTGAGTTTTGAAACCTATTGGCAGAGATCGCCATAATGGAAATGCCTAACCTCACTTTTGGTCGACCTACCAGAGGTGAGCTCACAAATGGCCACAGTGTGCCCGCCTGTCAGTCAATTTATCTGTGCCTCTGATTCACCAAATACAGCATATTCTAAATAATGTGGTTATTTAAGTGTTAATAATGTGAATAAAAACCTCATATATCCTTTGTTGTTCAGTGAAACTAGAGGTATATCCATACCTGCCAACACTCCCGTTTTTCCCGGAACTCTCTCGTATAACAGACCTATCTCCCGCCCAGATCCCGTATTGTCATTTCTCCCGGGAATCTCCCATAGTTTGCATGGTCCATGGTTATTCATGAATCAGATCACTATATTTGTCCAAAGCTGCCAGGTTTTCAGACAACTGGAGATTGTCCTGTGTTTCTGCTGAGCCTCACGGACACTGGATTGATACTTTTACTTTACAATTTGGGATGATTCAGGTCGGTTTAAGCTGTAAACTATATTCAAGCAGTGTTTGTTGGAATATGAACACTTCAATGAAAAGGAAACAAACGTGAGACATAATATTTACATTGATAGTCTTGCATCGTCTCGGAGTGATGCGTTCAAGGCAACAGCACAGATGTTCAGAGAGCCTCACATGGGAGAGCATGTAAAACATATGAGGACTTTAACACCAGAATTAGTGAACTAAATAAGCTCAAGACATATCATAGCTATAATTGTATTTTTTATCTGTAGCTACTTCGGAGACCAACCTTGTCGCTTGAGAGAAAAGTTGAGGGTCCAGTATTTGTCCGACCCGCTATCGCTTTCTCCATAGACAAGCAAGAGGCTTAGAATGCACTTTACAATGTTTTTAATGAAACATCTGCTAGTGGTCACACACACAGGACTCCTTTTGATACACAGCATCAACACACAAAGGCAAACCAAAGAGATGCTATGCTATATGACGCGATGCAAAGCGAAGCGGTCAACAAAAATTATGGCTACCCTGCTTCCCTCTCTCCACCTGACTGCAGGTAAGCCGCGTCTTTTCATAACTACCCGGCATTCATCCTGTGCCCCACATGACCCAAGCTCCTGTACGTTACCACAGCAACCACAAACACCACATGACACATACAGACTTATTACCTATTGTTTTTGTTAAACAAACTTTTTCTGTTATCAGAGACTCAATAAAATTTTGAGTTAATGGTGAAAACCTATAGTCTATAGGTTATATATTATCAAGACAGTTCTGTTTACACTCATTCTGTTGGTTTGCGGGGATACACAACATCTTGAAATATATACAGATACACTAGTTAGAGACAAAACTATGATTGCCTTGATGTAGTGATCCGAAATAACAAAATGTAGTTACTTTAGTGTTATTAATGTGAATAAAAACCACATAAGTATGGCATATATACCTTGCTGTTCAGTGAAACTAGAGATATAACTGAACACTTTCAAGAAACTCTCAACCCAGTCTCTTTGGGGGGGCTGAGGACCCCTCCACATCTCATCCTAACGTCGCCCCTGGTGCAACTTATTCGTCCCCGTTTATTTCCTCTCAACCAAAGTAACAAGTTAGAGACCCCAAACGAGTGACACGCAGAGGCAAATTACACCCTGTGGAAATACCACAGCAGCCATAAAGTTTGTGACAAGCCTACGAGCAACACAAACACACACAGAAGACTGATAAGGTGAACACATCGCGCATCCAAGCAGCCAATCCACACATGAGAGAGCTCACGGGCTAATGTCCCTATCTTTGACCTTGTTTCAGCCTCTTCCGCGGACAACACTATTATTATCGCGTTGGTAGGTTATATCTCACTTCGTGGGCTCTAGCTTGGTGTTGGTGGTGTTGGTAGCGGTAGCGGAGGAGCTGAGAAGGGGTGAAGCTGATGGTGGTAAAGAGGGGTGCCTGGGTATCATAACACACATTGCACGGCCAGTCCGACTGAGTACCACTCCCTGGGAATCTCCTTCATCACCATGGCCATTATCTGCCCGTGCAACGTCCGCCAGACATGACCAGAGAGCGTGCACGAAGAGAGAGGCAGAGCTGGCCACGCAAGCCCCCCACTGAACGTGAAAAGAAAGAAAGCTCAATGAGGGAAAGATAATGTGGAGCAGCCGCTACTTACCGTACCAAAGCTCCGTGTGGCAGCAGGCAGGCAGGCAGGCACTATCTCGTCTTATTTGCAACGGTGTGAGGAGCCAGTCAGGGCACCTTGTTTTCCACACGGCGAGGTAAGGCAAGTCTAGTCCGACGATGCAGGAAATAAACACGAAATGTCGCTGATGTTTCGCCACTCCACTCGAGGAAACCTCTTCAGTAAAAAAAAAAAAAAAAAGCCCGAGCAGAGGAGGAAAAAGAGACGGAGCAAACAACTCTCGTCTCGCAAGAAGAGGCAACACTCCTTTCCGTGGCGAGCTGGCTCTCTCTCAGGATGTTTATTTCCTTCTATCCCATCCCCGAGCCGTGGAGTGTTCCTGCGGGAGATCCAGGCGGTACAGCCCGCACACACGTCGCTTCTATCCGCCGCTCGGCATTAACAGCGCACGCAGCTTTCAGTTTGCGCACCAGTCTGTGTGTTGCTACTGAACAACAACTAGCAGCACAACATGACTGACTGACTGACTGACTGCAGCGCTGACAGGAGAGGGTGGGCCAACCCCCCTTTCCTCTCCTCAGCCGTACAAAGTGAGGAACCTCACCGCAAAAGTCTCGGAAGTCTTACGATCGTCCACGATATGAGAAAGAGATGTCTCGAACGAAAATAACAAGAACATCCGTCTTCTGTGTTGGAGCATGTGATGGCAGCGTGGTGAGGTTTTTAAAGGGGTATCCACGCGGGGCAGCGAGGGAGGGTTGTCTCCTTGGATCAACTCACGCAACTTTTCCGGGAGGGATGCGTGGTTTGCTTTGACGGGACACTGGGAGGGATAGGCAGCGTGGAAGCACCTGGATACAAACCGGTTGGGCTTAAAGTGGGACCAAGGCCAGGAAAATGGTTCCCGTGGTGCCTTCAGGGGCCACATGCCAAGAGCTGCAAGTTGGCGTCCAAACCAAATTACGTTTCCAAATTAACAAAACAGAAAATTTCCATAAAATAACTGCCTGCAAGTCCCCTGAAGCAAAACAAGAAAGTTATGTACAAGTTCCCTCATTTGTAGGAATTTGTCACTGGCTTTCCAGTAGCTTTATTATACAATAGACAGAACATTGGCTATCTCCTGCGAAACAATACTTTTTAGAGCTCCCCCTGGTGGCTGGCTGCAGCACAAGTTATTTACCTCGCCCCCTTTATAAACAGACAGGAATTGTATCAAACTAGAAAACTAAACACACTAGAAATCTTCTTAAGCCGCGTTCAGACCAAACGCGACCTCAGCGACTTGAGCAACGACTTCCAATGCAAAGTCTATGTATAGCCACCACCTGACGTGACCGCCAGGTGCCAGCGACGTGAGCGACCTACGCGACCAGTTCGCGCATGTTTGCCAAAGTTGCGTCGCCCGAGATTGCAGGATGCCAAGTCGCGTCACTTTCCGACTTTCCGCAACTCCGCGCCGCAACAGCCAATCAGGGCTCTGTTGATGTCAACACACCCGCGAAGCAGGGAGGAGGAGAAGAAGAATCACCATGGAGGAGCAGCTTTTCACTGCCGTGAGTTATCACCCGGTCCTTTATGACATGGGGTGCGCGTTCTACCGGGACCGCATCTCCAAGGAGGAAGCATGGGCGAAGGTGGCCAATGATGTCGGACTTTCTGGTAAGTTTGTTTGTTTATTTATTTCAGTGAGCAGACTATTTTCTAAAAACTTAGCAAACTGCCCCTGCTTGCAAGGCTACACGTTTCAACGTGTGTGTGTGTGTGTCTTTGCAGTGGATGTGTATCACAAGCGCTGGAGGGGGCTGCGGGATGTCTACATGAGGGAGAAAAGGAGGGAGAAGGAAGGTGGGAGAAGCGGGTCAGCCACGTTCTGCGACCTCCACGACTGCAGTTTTGGACCCGGTGTGAACACACCAGGGCACGACGCAACGCGATTACAGCGACCAACGCAACTAGGTCGCTTCAAGTCGTGTTTGGTCTGAACGCGGCTTTATTCAACAGGTTTTCAGTCGTGAACGAGTAGGTTTTGTCATGCAATTGTTGATTTCTCAGAGCAGTTTAGTTTCAATCAGCTGATGCTAAAAACATGAAACAAAGAGAGACTCCACCATTTTTCTTAGCAGAAAAAGAGGGAAAAAACACAACAAGTCCTACCGCTACATCAATTTTTTTGCACAGATGCCAAACAGTAAGTCAGTATTTTGTCGTTTAACCTACAAATGGACTCATGGATCCCTTAAATGGATCGTGGTCACAATGGCAGGCCAATCAGATGAAGCCCCAGCTACCCTCGGATAAATTGGTATCGGTCTGGAGGAAGTGGTCTCCAGCTCGGTGGGATTAATTTGGCTTCAGTTGGAACAGGATAAGAGAGCTGGTAAATTGGTTCTTGGGGTACAATAAAGCATGCAGACAGATGAGGTAGGTAGAGAGGACGCTGTGAAGCCTCCGTTAACCTCCACTTTCCTCATCTCATCTCAAGGTGCTGTGAGTATCCAGAGCATAGACTCCATAACTGTAGCCCTGTAGACTCAGTGACCTGCTCTGAGACACTTTGGTGGAGATGCCTGTGAGTATTAATGCTAAAACCATTTATTCATGATTTTTAAAGAATGTAGGTTTCATTTTGAATTCAGTTTAATTTTGGCGATGTGAAATTAGAGGTCTCAACCCAGACATAATACTTTTCCTCTCACACTCCCTCTTTGTTGAGATTGTACGCTCTCTCGATCAACTCTATTTCACATCCTTAATTGAGGGATTTTTGTACAGCCAACAGATCAGCTGAAAAGTCAAACACATTTTATTACGACAGACTGCTGATTAAATGTAATTATTTCACCAAGCGATTCAGCTCTTTATCAGCAGATTAGGGAAGTCATAGGTGAGGGGCGACTGTGTCTGATTGCTGCAGCTCCACCATATTAACATACAAAGTCAAACAGATACAATAACTGAATAAACAGTCATATAGTAAGGACTTTATTAAGACACATTCAACTTACAAGTGACTCTATAAATCTGCAAAATCAGCTGTTGTTTAGCCCAACATATGAAGCCCAATGAAGTGTGATCATGTAGTTACTGTCCCTAGGCTTACTGGTGTTTGAATGTAATCTGATTAAACCACATTCAGTTGTGACAAAACAGCCAAAATGCTCAGACAGATGTGACGATGCACCTTGTTGTGTGCAACCCAATCTAATCCAATCCAGGTTTATTTATAAAGCACATTTAAAAACAACAAAACGTTGACTAAAGTGCTGCACAGAGGAACACATTAAAAACAGGGGACATAGATGGTTCAGTAAAAACATGATTAAAAGGCCAAGTTCTCAGGAGTTAAAAGCCAGGGAGTAAAAGTGAGTTTTTAAATTTGATTTAAAAACTAGAAAAGCACTCTGAGAGCGCAGACCTCCGCCAAGCAGCTCATGTCTACCCAAAACTTTTACTGTTACGTGTCTTTTATTAACTTTTATTTGTGTTTAAACTGGTATGTTCACTGTTCATAATGTTCCTAAAACAAGAAATGCCCTGACCCGGATTCAAACCCAGGACCTTCTTGCTGTGAGGCGACAGTGCTAACCACTGTGCCGCCCATCTACACCACTGTGCCGCCCATTGGTTATCTTTCAGCATTGAAAATTCCAACGACACCCTTATTTTTGTGTGTTCTGGATCACAGTATCCGGAATTTTGTCTGGATCAGGATGAACCTTTGACACCTCATAAAACTCATTGAGATCCTTTTGTGTAATTTTTTACTAAAGAGTCTGGCCATTTCTATAGAGTTAAATGCAAAAATTCCAAAATTTGCCCTATCTCACAATGATAAAGAATCCTTCAAAAAATTCCTGGATCCAGAAGGCGATCCGGATCACCACCAAAATGTAATGGGATCCTCCTGGGGCTGAGACGCACCTCTGGTGAAAATTTCAGAGCAATCCATCTGTAACTTTCTCCGTAAAGTTGGTCACAGACAAACAAACAAACAAATCAACGCTACCGAAAACATAACCTCCTTGGCGAAGGTAACAATGTGTAATGGAAATACATTTGATACAGTCCACATTTCTGCTTATTGCTTTACATGTTTGAAAAAACTGTATCGTTTGACAGTTCGATCCATGTCCCATCTGCTGACATGGAGGAGCTGAATTTAATCACATTTTCAGCTATTGGTCAGTAGAGGGAGCTCAAACTATTTTGGCATCAGTTTTGGGGAATTATCATGTTGTTCATCTTTTTAATCAGTCTAAACTCTGTGTGCTGTTTTGTTTCAATAATGTTTGTTTGTCTAATAATGTTCAGCACATCTACATTGTTTTGTTTAATAAGTGTAAGATATAGTGGGGGTTTCCATAAAGCTTAATCCAATTAGTTTGTGTACAAAATAATGAAGACAACAGACTGTGACTGGTGGAAATCCCCCCTCCCTGTGTCTTAATCTTTTAGACTAACACAACATTTTTTTGCGTAAAAGAACGGCAGAAAAACACAAAAATCAATAAACCCTGTTTTACTTAAATACATATTAAACAAACACTTTAAAAAGTCGATGATGATTTGAGTGACTTCAACTTCCCAAGCGTCAGGCTCATTACGCAACCCTTTAGTTTACTCGTTTACTGCCAATGTAGAGCAGAGCTTATTCTTAATTACACACAAACACACAGACACACACACACACAAACACACACAGTGGGATTCACAATTAAGCTGAGTCAGGATGCAGGGCTCGGCTGAAGACAACTCATGTTAACTAGACAGCGCAGTGAAGGAGGAAAAGAGACGAGCTGTAACATGTACTGCAACACGCTCCAGGATCCCCTGTCCCATTGTGTATTCTTCTCTGTTTGCACACACACATACACAAAGATTTCAGTTTTCAGGGCTTTTCTTATACTATTACTGCTCTCGTTCTTTTACTCTGAAAACAGGAAGTTCGCTCCAGCGTTCTAATTTTAGAGACATGACCGTCATTGTAAACCCAAACAGGAGGCAACTCACAGCTTGAAAAAGCCGTTATTGTTCATGGTGGTGTTATTTTTATTAAATTTAGAAAGATATCATGTCTGTGCGGTCTATGGTGTAGCCAAAAAAGTCAGATCTGAAGCTTTTTCAGTGAGTGAAAGCTGCAGACTTACTGCTTTGGCTGTACAAGGATTGCTGGTTTCACAAACCTCTTTCACGTTAGTGTACATGTCTCTCTCCTGGTTCAACACAATGTAATTGACACCATCCCTGCCAACTCGCTTTTGGAGAATTTTCCAAAATATTTCCTGTCGTGTTCTCAGATTGATCCATCCGAACTTCTTGTGGAAATTTTGCTGGTTGGCTGGCAGAAAAAGTCCAAATCAGATTAACTTTTTTCATACATGCTTTTCTGAAAATCTCCAGAGTTGCTTGATTTGACATGATTAAAAAGCTAGTCTGAAACTGAGATGATAGCTTCTGCATTTATATCAATGCTGCATACAGATGTGCTGACATCTTGGTGTTTTATGATGAAAAATTAGTCCCTCTTTTACCTCAGATGGATCTATCTCGTACATTTGTCTTTTGCTCATACGAGTCGCACCAGCTGTGCAAGATATTTGTATAACCCTTAACCATGTGCTTGGAGAGAATTTTCCATGAGAGTTTCCTGCCTAACCAGGCAAAAAGGTAGATGAGCCAGATTCCAAAAGAAGAAGAAGCTTGCAAAGCTTCAGACTGATAAACTTGTTCCCGCTCAAGAGAATGACGTGATGAATCTGCATCATTGTAGGAGTTTTATGACTTCAAGACAATGACGTAAATGGTCAGTAAATTGACAATGAAAACTAAAATATGATTTATGGTTTTCTAAGACTCATACACAGAGCCCAAGTCATTTAGCAAACATACACAGACTGCAGTTAAATGCAGCTCAATGTAGTAGAGAAGGAATATGTGTTGTTGAAATCTGACTTATCACGCTTTATGCATTCATTTTTTATATGACACACACTTTCAGCAGTGTTGGCAAAACAAAGTAAGAAATACATATTCCACACTGAAAATTTTACAAGCAGGGGAAATTTCTGTCCTATCCTCGAGAAAACCCACTGAGCAACAGACGGCTATTAGACATCTAGTTATTTTTTAGACCTAATTTCAGATTCTGTATATCTGTAGATGGAATTTAGACGTTGCACTTTAACCCGCTATTCGATAGGTATTTATTTCAAAAAGCAACTGTGAGTTGCATAACTGATCTCCAAGTTCTAAACCAAACTAATTATGATAACTGTTGAGCAATATACTGGTAGACCTCTGTTAGCTGGCTAGTCTAAACTTGGTCTAAATTTTGACGTCTGAAAACTTTCATTTTTAGACCTGTGGTAGCCTGATTTTAGACCAGTCGTCTAGACTACATTTAGACGTCTATTAAACCTCTTTTAGACCAAAAAATGCTCAGTGGGAAGTATGACTAAACCTGAACTAAATAAAAAGAAAATTAACACTGACAAACATGACACTTCAACAAAAACGGAGTTCTTCTGACTTTATTTGGACTAAAATAACACAAGACAATAAGACTTGATGATGATTTTAGAAAATCAAACACAGTTTTCTTAAAATGACCAGATTCAAACTAGATTCAATTATTATTTTTGTCAAATTTAATTGGAGGCACATCTAGTTGAACCATCTGCAGTTGTGCAGTTGTACTTGCAGTTGAATCAGAAGCATTATAGCTAACTGTTGAGTATGGGAATGAGGGTTGATAAGTTGTACATCAAGTAGATATTTTGGCCTAGCTAAAGTCTGATGTGAGTCAAAATTCAGCAGGTCTAGAAAAACAAGTGTGAAAGGATCTAAATGAGCTCTTGCAGGAGTTGCCTTTGGTGATGTCAGCCGGTGGAAAAACCTGTCACAGCTTTAAATCTGACACGCTGGTCTCAAGATGAATCTTCGCAAAGCTCAGAGGTAAAACTTTAATGATTCCCAGCCTCCAATGTTTCCAGCATCATCTTGTTTTCCTCTCTTTATAATGAGCACGGCCAATCAGCATCTGGATTCTCATCACCTGTCAGAACTTGATAATAAGAGAGGTCAACTTACAAAAACTTCACTCTGTGCTGGAAAGTCGAAGCTTTTACTTGCCTGATATGTTGTGTGATCTTAGTCTATATCATGGTTAGTGCCACTGTAAGCTTACTTGGACTTACAGTCTTTATTTCTTGCCTTGGACTTATGGGTAATGTATTTTTAATCGTCTCCATCCTACAAACCAAGTTCTCTCGAGTTAAATCCTTTGAGTTGTTTCTTTTGGGACTTGCTTCTGCCAACTTTGAGGAAATTGTCATCGTGAATATCTACGACATTATAATTCATCAGACCTTCATCACCACAACAACTTTCGGTGGCAATTTGCTGTGTCGCTTCTTGAAGTTTCTCACTGTGTTTGGGGAAATTTCCAGCATCCTCTTTACCATCCTCATCAGCATCTATCGCTACCAGAAGCTGAGAAACGCCACCAAAAGAGTCAACCTGATGACCTTCTTGGACAGCATCAGGTCAGCCTGGATGGTCAGCGGGGTCTGTGTGCTGCTCGCGATACTTCTGAGTGTCCCCAACTTTATCATCAGTCCTCAGGGCCCTGCAGAAAATATCACAAAGAACAGCAATACTTGCCCTCCAGACTTCTTCCAGTGTAATCACAATGACTGTCCCATCCTTAATAAAATCTACAAATACATCTTCATTGTAATGTGCAATTTGCTGCCTCTCATTATCGTCACGGTAACCGGCATCCTCATCATCATGGTGCTGCTGAGACAGAGGTGGACGGTGCAGCCGACGGAGAGCATGAGCGGGTCGAGTCAGTTCAGGAAGAGTACGCAGTTGAAGTTTCAGAAAAGCACTGTAACTGTACTTGCAGCCATGACTCTGTTTCAGGTGGATTGGACTCTCTACCTGATCTTTCACTTGACTTTTAGCCCCAATGACTTCCCTTTTTGGGCTGATGTGGAGTTTTTTATTTCTACTTCCTATACATCAATCAGTCCGTATGTGTATGGTATAGGGTCTAATCTGTTTTCTCTCAAGAACTTGTCAAAAAAGTGAATAACATTTTCATCCTGATCTGGTTGTCTTTCAGAAAATATCCTGTTTTGTTAATTATAAACAGTTATCAATCAATAGACTTTATTTATATTCCAGTGCTTTAAACTAATGTTAATACCAGGTCTTTGTACCAATCACCCAGCTGTGTAAGTCATTGATACTGAATGGTATAACAATCAATAGTAATTCTAGTTCCAAGAGGTATAACCAGTCACACCTAGCACATTGATAAATTTTATGATTTCACCTCCTGCCGGCAAATGTACAAAAACAAAACAAAAAAAACATTACTTCTGTAAGGGAGGTGTTCAATGTTAAAGATATTTTAGTAGCTATTGATCAAGTTTTATTTGGAGGGCAAAACATTTTAGATTTGGGACTGATGGCTGATCAGTCAACAGCAGAGAAACATACAACTGTGAGGGATGTTAAAACACAGAAGGAGCTGAGTGGAGGAGCTACAGACCAAATTAAGAACAAAAAACCCTGAAGCAACCAAAACTGCAACACAGTATGGGCTTTGGCAGTGTTACAGGACTGGTTCAATGCCAGAAGAAAATGCCAACAGACAAGTTACAAGGAAGAGAACCTTCTACAGGTATTGTTGTTATTCTCTTAAAGGTTGCCAACAGAAGAACAACTCTGATGTTTTGACTTTACTGTAGAGAAAATGTTACATTCTGTGTGATTTATAAAAGAAAACCAGGCTGATGTGGAGGTTTTAACATGTTTATAAATGTTTAATCTAATGTTAGTTCAAACTACAAGAACAATGTTGCTGTAAATGCTTCCAGTCTTCACATCTAAAGCACTATACAAGTTCAATAAATTAGTTTTAAAGCTCCTGTGAGGGATTTTTTACATGCTGAAATTCAAATCCATGCCTTTTTCTCATATACAAAAACAAACAAAAGCATCAGCAGCAAGATTGATGAGTTTTATGTTGTAATTTTTGATGCCTTAAACTGGTGTGAGGGGGTAGGTGTCAGCCGAACAGCTGAAGAAGCACCCCTGTTTTTGAAATTCCCATGTAATACTTACAGTAAATAAATATATTTGACTTTCAAAGTCAGAAAGTAGAATTTTTTTCTCAGAAGATACAGTTTTAGTATGTAGAGGTGCCATTTTGACACAAACTGAAAGTTACTCACAGGAGCTTTAATGGTGAGGCGTATTTAGCGGCATTAAGCTGTACAAACTTCATCAGACTGCATCTCTTTGTTGTGATTTTAGACCTGTTAAGTCTAGTGTGAAACTAAACAGTCACTCAGTTTGTATCACATTTGACCTTCAACAGCACAGAGGAAGTGGCTTTTTATGTTCAGAAAACTAAATATTTTCTCTCTGAGGCTCTCTCTTACAGTCTGGCAGTAGGAGGAGGGCAATCAAACCTTATGCAGAGCAGTGTAACCCAAAATAAACCAAAGAACTAAGAAGTCTCTGCTGTTCTCTGACAAAGACAAACTCACACATTGCCTTGTTTTTCTTCTTAATGGAATTCTACATTAAACAACTGTGCAAGCATATGGTTATACATATGCATACTTTTGTACAGTCACCTTACAAATACACTTGACCTGTGTCCAATGAAACAAGAGGAAATTCTGTCCTCTGTGTCATCTGGAGATAAAGAACAAACAGCGATAAGATTCAGACACCTTTCTCTGTTCTCTGCTCCTCTACTGATTTAATGTAAACAGCTGTTTGAGGGTGAAACGTGTAGATGTAGTCAATTGGGACTGAAATGGTAAATTATTCACAAACCACCTCTTGATGTGAAAAATGTCCAGGTTGAATGAAAAGGCATGATCCTATTCAACAGCCATGTTAGGAGGACATTTTCTATAACTCAAAATTAAAAATCTTAATGCAGTTTTTACATTTGCAAAGTGTGGTCTGAGGTTAGGCTATAAGGACAACACTTAAAATGGCTCTTTGCTCCAGTTGAAAACTGATGTATGACATTTGCCACACACAGAGGATGTGACTATCTATGAAAGGTAAGTTGAAATGAAATCTCATCTAATACAAGTTTAAATTTACCCATACATTTTAAACAGCTATTTGAAAAACACCTTGTGAATTTCTAACATGTGTAAATTACTTAAAGCTCCACGGTAACATATTGAAAAGCTTCAGAGGGTAAATAATTCAACAAGGGAGCTCTGATAAACAGTGTTCCCGCCACGGCTACAGCGTGCAGACCTGGTGATTACTCTCCTCTGTTGTGACATCTTGATTTGCACCCTGAACAAAATCCAAGCAAAATATGAATCACTTTCAAACTTCGTATCATGTCCAGGGCCCAAATTTAAAAGCAGTCCTTTATTAAGTCTAGTTTTTGAGTGGTGATGATGGACTAAATATCATGCCCGTCGGTGGCAATTTTAAACTTGGTTTGACAGCTGTGACACAACTCACAGAGGCAATACAAAGCCTGTGCTTTAGTCTTTCTCCGTGCTGTCACTGCAAATTTTATGTCACTGACAACACAATTTGATAACTGTCAGGGAACTTTACATTGTTTCATATATTAAAAAAACACAAGATGGGTCTTTTCCACTTCTTGAATATTTTAAACTTTTTTTTTGCTGTATCCTTAATTCAGCCAAAAAATGAAAAACAGAGAAAGAGGGGAGTTACATGATGGGATCAACAATCTAAAAGACCAATGACTGAGAAATTAGTATTTAAAAAAAAATTATAATAAATAAATTAAAGGAAAAATTATTAGGGTTTTCACTGTTCACAGATTTTGGCTCTATACTACCTCTATAATGTTAATTTGATCATGTTCCATTTCTTAAGCTGCTTTTTGAATATTTCACACCAAGCATGTTTAAATTATGCCTTATTTTTCGGTCTCTGGAAATATTTTTTGCTCCTGAAGAAAATGACAGCTGGAACTGCAATGTACTGGAATAAAGTGAAATGAAAAGAGAAGTCACTGCCAAGTGTTGCCTCAAACAAAGTGATACTGCACTGCATCCAAATAGACCCGTGGTGATAAATAGAACATCTTCCAGACTCTGCTTCAAATACCCGAAGATCGTGCATAAAAAATAAAATTAATGTGCCAAAATTTGACAAACTGCGCGGGAGGATTTCCTCCGCAGAAACGGTTGCAGCCTATCGCCGTGGGTCCTCCACGTGGAGCACAAAGGACGAGGATGTTCATGTGGGTTTCGTTCCCACTTCCTTGTTATCGTGAGACTCCGCCCTGCTGGTCTAAAACAGATTGTATTATTATTTTTTGTTTGTATTGTTTGTGCCCGAGTAATTCCTAACAGTACAGGGTAAGTACCAGGGTTTAAATTCAACTTTATGATTTTTGTAAGAGGTCACATGATTTTATGATGTTTAATTTCAGTCCCACATCCAGAATGCTCAAACCTCTCACACAACATCTTATTATTTTCGAGTCAAATTTAAGAATTTGAACCAAGCACACGGACGTTTTAAACACATTTATGATGCATTCTCACTATATTTTATTCTTTAATATTTGAGTTTGCCACCTCTGTCAAACTTGTTTGATACTTCACTTACACCTTACCTTACTGAAGACATTTATGAACCTCAAGTTGGCACAAATAAATTGCAGATAGGGTCTAAATTATTCAATTAGTATAAAATTATGTGACAGTATAAGACCTCAATTGTCATTCACAGTGCTGTAGCTTATTTTAAAGGGGTTCTTGAAACTGGCATGATGTATAAATCTGACGTTATGAAGGTTGGTGGAGTCTCACTGCCACCCACAGCAATTGATAACAATAACACTTAAGTTCTGCTAAGACTTGGTTGTAGGTTACTATATTAACACTTATATGCAATGGTTTAATAATTTTAGATCCTCGTTCATATCCTGGCGTCGACGCGAGGCAAAGAAACTACTACACGGTTGGCTGTTCGTGTTAAATAATTTGGGCTTCACAATATTAGCGACAAACTCCGACCAATAACAACGCAACGAACAAAGGTAAGTGCAGTAATGTAAAACTATTGCGTCTCTTTATTTCTTTAACCGCAATTACGCTTTGTTTGGATAATATTGACTCTTGAGACGCGAAGTCTCGCTGCCATCTTAGAGACAAAGCAGTTAACCGTGTCTTGCGGTATGCCTCAAGTTCTGAAAGAATGAACGGAGATATTAACGCCGAAATTAAACACATTATTGTATAACTGCTGATGTGTTTCGCTCTATTTGTCAAATGTGACCGAATATTTATTTATTTCGTGTTTGTTTGAAAATATTTGAAGCCATTTTGGAAAAAAAAAAAAAACAACTGTCCGGTAAAGTCTTCAGAGGCTGTCCACGGATTGGCTACTGGAGCCCAACCGCCATGGTAGAGGTGTGACGTCACAGCGCGAGAGCACGGATGTGTGTGTGTGTGAGTGTGTGTTTGTGGGAGAAACAGGGGCTGTGAGTAGAAGAGTGTATGAGTGTGTGTACGTGAGTGTGAATGGAAAGGTGAAAGAAGTGAAGGAAATACAGAAGAAGGAAGGGAAAGTCATTCAATTCATGTCGTGAAATTTCCACGCAAACTTTGCAGGGAGAGTTGTCCTTACCGGTACGCGGAGGTGGGGAACAAGCGAGAGAGGGGAGAAAAAAAAACCCGGGATGGTGGACACCCGCGTCCCTCTCGCTGGCGGCCCGGGTATCACGCGCCATTGAAGGGGGTTGATACTGTGCATGCGCTTTGGCTTCCACTGAGGAGTGCACGCTCGGGTCGGTCGATGCGAGCACACACACTGGCGTGGCTCTCGGCCTCCATTTGCCAGTTTGTGTTTACGTTCGAGGGATTCGGCGAGACCCCCCGACCCACGGCTTCGACGGCGTGCAACAGTTGGAATCTCGCGCGGAATATTGAGATTATTTCACCAACGGTCGGCACGAGGCACAGGGAACGTCTGTTGAAAAGGTGAGGCGTTAGTGGAACCTGCAACTTTTCCAACTCTGTGAGTGGGAGAGGAGCAGGGCGGCCTGTATCTCTGCTGGTGTGTGAGGAAGAAAGAATGAGCTGCGGTTGAACAAGTGACATTTTTACCGTGTTTTTTTTTAAATTCTTTAAGAGGAAAATATTCACACTCAGGACAGATGAGAACAGTTTGGTAGTTTGAGTCGTAAACACGCAAGTTATCAGAGGGGAATCTCGGTCTTTTCGTCCAAATAACACCTTCAGACGGCAGCATCTGTGAGCTGGTGTGATCGTGTGAGTAGGAAATTGATCCGAGGAGGGCAGGAAAAAAACAAAACATATCGTGTTTGGCTTTCCATCTGAGGATATTTCGTCTGTGATGCAAAAAATAAACAACCAATAATACGTCGTTTTATTTAGTGGTTTATATCATACTTAAAAAAGCAGCCCACATTCGGCCATGTCCTCAGATGGCTGACACCAGGCAGGCTATTGGTCCGTCAGACTCTCCTTAAGAAGGCAAAGTCCACAACTTAACACTTCATAGAGACATTACAGTTTACATTGACAAAAACTTGGTTAAATTTGCCAATAAATAAGCAGTCATGTGGTATCGAGGAAATCTTTTAATGTGAAATGTATGTCTTATATTTGGTTCATTATTTTAAAACCCATTTCACCATCATGATATACCATTTTTATGCAGTTTGTCAGTGAAATGATGCCAAAAAAACACAGAAATTCCATTTTACAAAGTTCATATGTGTTCAGTTATAGTTGAAGTGACCCTGACAGGTGATACTTTTCTATGAGTAAATTGTCCAAATTAAAGTAGGCGTTGATGGCGTGGGTCATGTTGAAAGGTATACCTAATGTTTGGCAAGCAAGTGGACAAAATATAAGGAACACGTTTGACTCCAGCACACTGCTACCGAGCCCAGCATCTTCATTACAGATGTAATGTGCTGTATTCACCTTTCTGATCATGAGAACAAAAACAGAAATGACCCCTGAAAGTATTGGATTGCATTAGATTGTCAAGGCGTTCATTATGTAACTGCTGGTTGGTGTATAAAGCTTGTGATGTCTTACATTTTCTTATACAAATAAACTAACACCAGTTTAACAAACCGCACACGGCCAAAGGGCCCAAGGTGTAGCAAATTTAGTGTATTCTTCAGGAGAGCATGGTCTCCCCTTTACTTTAAAGATGTAATGTGAATCTATTTGGGTTTACTGTTGGATGCAAATAAAATGGATCACAGTTCTACATGATTTGCCAACGTTCGAGCAGTTGTTTACAAAGGTAGCATAACTCGTGATAGGTTTAATTGGGGCTTTTACTTTTAATGTGTAACTCAGAGTTTTGTCTGATTTTGTTGCTTATTTGACCATCATACATCAATATCAGAGGAGTATAAATAATAATTACAACTGTGTTATTTTCTGTTAGGTATCCTCCAATGTGTGACAGCAGCGGTGATGACTGCTACAGACTCTAAACAAACATCAACGGAGGAGGAGCCCTCTGCACCGATGGAGGAAAAGGAGCCCAGCAAGACGAACATCTCCTCCTCAGATCCTGTCTCCACTGTCTCTTCATCACCCCTTCTTGTTGTAACCACTATGGCACCCACTGTCCAAACTGAACCAGTGATGGAGCCAAAAGCAGTCTCAGTGGCTACTACGGCCAGCACGGCTCTCTCCTCCCCAACTGAAGCCAGCCCGGCCAAACCTGCTGTAACACCATCCTCAATTGTTGATGGGACTGTTGAAACAAGCCCAGATACCTCACATATCGCCTCAGCGTCAGACTCCCTGACATCCACTGGGACAACCCTCGTCAGTATATCGGAAGCACCTTCACAGCCGATGCCTGTTTCGCCACGTGCGACATTTGGCAATAGTGACCAGGAGGAGGATTTCCCTAATGTTTTGACCTTCAGAGGAGTTAGTGTCACTCTGGAGAACAACAGTGTGTGGAAGCAGTTCAACCGCTGTGGGACAGAGATGATTCTTACCAAACAGGGGCGCCGCATGTTCCCCTACTGCCGATATCGCCTGGCTGGTCTGGATCCTGACCAGCTGTACAGTCTCGTGCTGTCCATAGTTCCATCAGCCCCGTATAAGTACCGCTGGCACCAGCTCAATTGGGAGGTCACTGGACAAGCAGAGCACCAGGCTCAGGGTCTGATCCGTGCCTTTCCTCACCACTACTCACCCTGTCGGGGCTCGGAGTGGATGGGCAGCTTGGTGTCCTTCTACAAACTCAAACTGACCAATAACCTCCAAGATCAAGACGGGCATATAATCCTACACTCCCTGCAGCGCTACATTCCAAGGATTCACGTGATTCCCGTCCCGGAAGGAGACGTATTCTCTCCCGACAAGCCCGTGGTTATGGGACCAGAGAGCATGACCTTTACCTTTCCCCAAACTGAATTCATGACTGTGACGACGTATCAGAACTTTCGAATCACCCAGCTGAAAATTAATCATAATCCGTTTGCAAAAGGCTTCAGAGAGGATGGGAACAACACCCGCCTGCAACGAATCACACCAGGAGCTCAGCCTGTGGTGAAGTTAGATATTCAGCCTACTGTTTTAGTACCTGCTGTGATAACTGAAAACCTTGGGGATGTGGATCAAAGGTGAGTTTTTTCTGTTTTTGTTTTGTCTGTTTGTGAACTTAAATGTAATCCTGCACTATATTGTAGCTGTAGTGTTCAGCGATAATAAGTTCTCATATAGCTTACCTCTCATACATCATTTAGAACTCATTATTCTCGGTATTAAACTTGATTTCTGTTAGGGCACTTGATCTGGATAGGGAGATGTTCATGCAAACGGTAAATAGTTGGCATAGGGATTTGAAAATTGATCTTAAAGGTGGGGTAGGCAGGATCTGAGGAAGTGCCAGTTTTTGGGAGAAATCTTGAATGTAAACACTACCTCTCCCAACCAGTTTTCCCCTCAGCTCCTCCTCTCTCCTTCCTCTCTGCTCCAGCAAGCCCCACCCGTAAACAGACGCTCACGCTCGCTCGTATCGTTCCAATTAAATTCAGATATTATGCAGATAAACACTCCAGATGATTACAAATGGGGCTAAGTCAACGTGAAAGTAAAAAGCATTGGTGCTACTGAAGATGCCAACAGACTACCAGCAAACACAATGATTGCAGGACTTCTACAACTAGCATAAAGTGACATAGTCCAGGACAAGAAACACTTCTGTTACACTTGGCTTACTTCGTCAAAGCGGGTTACCTGTCCAGCAGAAAGGTTACAGGGTCCGTAAGATCCCGAAACATCCCCCATCATTGTTGACCCGGCTTCTTAGCTCTTGTCTGGGTGGTTTACCTCTGTTTTAAGTGCCGTTATTCTGCCAGAGTCTCCGGTATTTACTTCATTTTCTTGCTTGTGTCGGTGGTCATGGCTGAAGGAGTATTCAGACAAATTTCTGTACTTTCTGGTTGGTTTCTACTGTCCGATATTGTGGCACGCTAACTTTGTTTGGGCTCATGAACGACATGGGGGAGCAGCGTCTGCCTCACAACCAATCAGCACTGAGGAGCAGCATCCGCCTCACAACTGATCAGCATGGGGAAGGTGGGGAATGGCATTGTTTATAGTCAGAAAGAGCGGAGCGCTCTGAAATTTTAAAATGTTGACTACATAGACATAACAAAACACTGCGATATCGTGACATTACCAAAGGTCATCAATAACTAATAGCTATTGACTGATATTAAAAGCATTTTTGTACATACACCACAAAAAAAGAAGCTTCTTTAACAGATTCCTGCCTACCCCACCTTTAACTGCATTTGCCACTCTTCTGTAGAGTTGGGTGGTTTAACCATGTCGATGTGGTAAAACCTCCCACACATTTTTCAGGGGTGTAGGGTATCACCGTGACACTGAATACATAAAAATCCCCTCCGAGGGCTTCAGAAGAGCCACCTAAGTTTTTAGTTTGTATTGTCAGCATGCTGTCCACATTATATTAAAACAATAAAGAAACAACCTCTTCACACCAGTATTACTTAACATATAATCTACTTTAAAATAAGGTCGTTCATATTCTTTAACTGTCTTTAAAATCACTTCTTGAAGAAAACGAGAGAAAGAGCAAAAGAACATGCAGTTACACACAAAAGTGAAGGGCAAAGAAACAAAAACTTCATTTAGATGTCTGTGCCGATGTTACTCAGTTTACCAGGGAAGTGTGTGAACGTCTTTTCAGGCTGAGTCTCTGTTAGAAAAAGGATGCGGTCTGAGCTCATGCATTTGCACACAGATTTGCATGGGGTTCTATTCGTCTTGACCTGGCACTAGAGGGGCTCTATGGCATCCCTGCAGCTGCCAGCAGGTGATTGATCCTGAGATGGGCCCGTGAAATTGAAGCGTTCCCATCCCTCACTGTGATCATCTTTATGCAAATCTGCACACAGCCTTGACAGGCTTGCTAGTCCCCCCCGTCATTTGGTTGGGACTCTTAATAATGCCAAATTGTATAGGTATTCATTTTAACGGACCTTCGCATGACTCTGGCATGTCAGTGAACAACAGAGAAACAGAGTGCATTTTGATAAAAGACACAAACATTACAAAGGTAACAACCTGAAGGACAACTTGTAGAGAGTCATAGCGTCGGATCTCTCATATGACAATGGTTTGTGTGCTTTAACAGTTTGCTAAATGTCTTTGTTTTAACTTTCATCTGTGCTAACGTAAGCTAACGGTTGTTACCATAGTTTCAGGTGCTTATCTGGTACTGGCCCCGACTCAGTATTTGCTATCATGACAGAAAGCCATCTCAATACTAGTGTCTAATCAGAACTGAAAACAATCAGCGACTGTGGTACAGTTTAAGCTCCTGAACCAAGCAGTGAAACTCACCAAGTTCTCTCCTCTTTTTTGTAATATTGGATGCACCCATGTGCTACGTTTCTTTTTCTTTTGAGAAAGCAAAAAAAGTACCAATTTGCCATCACCTGAAATTGAAGTAGACTCCATTTTTGTCCTCTCGCTTCCAGCCGGGATGCTGGTTGTTAAGGGAAGGTCCCGCCTTCCTTCACCTCTGATTGGCTAGAGGTGCTGACCGTTTGGCTTGAGCGTGTGAGCACGTTTCCAGCTTTTTCTAGCCAATCAGAGGCAAAGGAGGCGGGACTTTTGCCGGGAAAAGTCTTCCCTGGGATGCATCTTTTTCCCCTCGGAAAGTCGCAAAATCGCGTCGGGCTTGATGTGTGTAGTCAGGCATGTCAAAATTCGCCTCCGAATATTTCCTGATTTCGTGTTCTAAATTCGTGTCGGCCCCGGTGTGTAAGGACCTTAAGTCAGTCGGCATTATGTTGTTTTTACAGTATTTGGTGCCAAAGTGTGGGCATCTGCACCTAAATCATCAGCAAGGTTTTCATTGGAGAGCAGAGATCCCAGTGAGAAAGCATTGACATACATGTGTGAATGTTGAGGCCGAGACTTTTTAATGCATGTGATGAATCCAGATACAGATCACATAGTGTAATAACCAGGTCTAAATGCTGTGTTACTCTGATCTTAAAGTCTCTTTGAAAAGTAATATTAGCTCTATAAAGGATGTTTGGATTGAAATATGACTGAGTTTGAAACTTGTACTTTCATACCTAAATCAAATCTAGATCCATGTTTTTATAACTTCAATCATGTCTGATTCAGAAAAAAAATTATATAATCCGTCAGTGACTTTGATGACAGCTCACATCAGCTATCATGTGCGTATTTAGAGGGGCCTGTCAAGATGACTGTGTTATCTGATGTAGGATTAATGGTGAGGAGGCATTTGTAAGCATACCGCATGGTCATGAACTTAAACCCAAGAGACGGCTCATAATTTAACCTCTAGAGTGAGCCTTTAAAACCCCGCGCCGCATGCTGTTTCATCTTCAGTAATGAGATGATCACAGATTCAGTGTTTTCAGCTGTCGGTAAGCTTTATTATGTTTTCCTGTCTTACAGCACAAAGAATGAAACCACCCCTCCGTCTGCTCCGGTAGAGCAAGAAACCAGACTGATCCTGAAGCCCATAATGTCTACCTCTGCCAATAAGGGTGATCCATATGTCCCCTGTATAAGAGGAAATCATGCCCTCGGGGAGCTTGTGCTCGTTCAAAAGCATCCACCTGCGGAAGCTGAGGACCAATTGAATGCTGTCACTGTAACCCAAAAGAAACAAAGAGGCTACAGGTTTTCCTGCAAAGCAAAATCCAGGCCTCCCTCTTACAAAACTTCAACGCGGGGGTCATCACTCGGGTACCACAAGAGGAGGAAAAGGAAGATCAACAGGCGCTGGGCAAATTCCCAGGGAAAATTGTGGAAGGCTGCAGCTGCCTCCCCCACAGTCGTCCACAGTCCGTCATTAACCGTCGCTATGCAACCAGAGCTGGATGATGTAGAAGGCCTGCTGTTTGTGTCGTTCACCTCAAAGGTAAAAACCCCTATACATTACTGCATATCACACTGTTTGTAACATGGCGTGGCGTCTCCTCCTGATGTAATATAAGTGTGCCGTCTCTTCACTGAAACCACTTTAACTCCTATATTGGCGTTTGGGATTGAAAACAATCATTTCAGACGCAAAGTTTCGAGTGTTCTGAAGCTGTGATATTTGTCCATCATGTGACAGGAAGCTCTTGAGGTTCATGTTGGGGACAAGCCAGCCAGTTGCCCATTCTCTGCATCCTCAGTCACCAAAACAACACCCACGGAGTGTAGGAAAACAGGTAAGCTCTTTATATATTATCTCTCTGTTCCTGTAGAAACGTTCTTTCAACTCTTTCAGTTTCTTCACAATGCCTCAGATTTGCACAAAATATAATGTTTTTAAATCCTGTATCGGTTTTCAGGTTTCCTTTTCACGTAAGAGTTTTTATAACTAAGTAGTGGCCTTGAATTTATAATATTCCAATTTGCAGCTCTTTGTCAGGGATCCTGTCAAAGAGCTAAAAAATGTTGTAAATTCTTTTCATGAAACTGTTTTGTTAAAAGCTGTTTATTCGTCTGGTACTTTTGGGTTTCTAGAGGGAGGCCCATGAATACAGATATCTCACTGCTGAATTAATATTAAGCTCCCCTCAACTCTGCAAAATCTGGCCCAATGTTTTCATGCAACATCAAAATCGTTGCATAATTAAATCAAACATGATGCTGAGTTTACAAATCTGTTTTGACGATCCCTCAAGAACATCGGTCCGACAGTAATTTCAGGCTTGAGAAGATTGGCAAGTTAGGATGTTACACTTGTGCTAAAAAGCCTCTCTGAGGGGAGCTTGCAGCAGGCCTGCACAGATACTTATTAACAAGCTTGGCAAGTCAAGGAAAGATTACCCAGTGTGTTTTCCACCTTGCAAGTGGTTCATCCTTCTCGTGAGTCGTAGCTTTTACCAGGTAGTTTTTGACTCTGCAGGACCTTGGAGAGTGTGTGAAAAAAACTCCTCAGGGACTTTTTGGCAAGGACAGCAACCTTTGATACCACTTCAATGCTGCAGCTTGATGTCTTATTGTGTTGCATCATTTCTGAGGTTACTTAGGCCTAAACCCAAAAGATGAAGTCCATTTTGAACCTTGAGTAGAAGTAAGATGCCGCATCCAGCAGCTCCTGACTAGCTTCATTTTTGTATTTCTGGTTCATTTAGTTTGCCCTCTATGAGGTCTGTATCCTCCTCTTGCAGTGTTAAAGAGGTGTAGTCGCACAGACTGATGATGTCTATATCATCCTTGATAGCATTAGATGTTGCACTGTTTGTGTCCACAGTAGAGCATGACACAGGAGCGGATTTTCACCCCTGTCCCGTCACACTCCCAGAGAAAAAATCCGGTCCCATCCCAATCCCGGACCGGAGTAAAAAAATGAATCCTGTCCTGTCCCACTCCCGTAGAATGACTCCCACTCCCGTCCTGCTCCCACTCAAAATTACTCCCACTCCTGTCCCGCTCTCGTTCCAATAAAACCAAACATGTTGAAAAAACGTTGCATTTTTTATTTTTCTTGAATAAAAAGTTTTAGGTAAAAGTGGCAGCCGAGTCGGAGCGAACATGCCCCGAGTTGCTTTTTCACTTCCGGTGGTGACAGGAAGTCAAACCACTGTTGTAGATCTTTTGTGTTGCTAGTGCGGTCGAGAGTGTCGGCTCTCACTGAGAGATGACTACAAAAATGGACGCATCTGTTCATCTGGTTGTTTAACACGGCTGAATATGATCATCCATTAATGTTGTTCCTGTTCCCGTTGCTTTTTTCCCGTCCCGTCTTGATCGCGGGATTAATTAAAAAATGACTCCCATTCTGCGGGAATCGCGTGACCCAGGGGAATTCACAAAAAATGTCATCCTCTAGTCCACAGACAGGGCCTGTGTGATGGTCATCTAGTGCTTTAGTACCAGGCTGACTAGCATCTGTATGGAACCCTATCTTGTCGGCATTCTGCTTATAATTTATAGAACTGAACCTTTGAAGCTAACAGTGGTTGTCTCTTTTGTGAGAGGTCCTCTTATTTGAGGCAGCAGCATCACATTTGGTTTTACGTTGTCTTTAGTGTTGGAGAGAAAGCCGTCAACGCCTCTTGCATTCCTGTTTTAATGTTCTTGTGTGATCTTGTGAGAAAAATGCTGTTTATGGACATTAACTGCTCGGTTTAAGTCTTCATTATCACCATAAACTGGTTTGTCAGACTGATGACAAGTCTGTTGTTATGATAATACTGCTCTTTTTTGGCTGTTTGTGTCCTCTTAAAGCTATAGCTGTAGCTGGAGTTAAAATATAATGGGCTTTTTGGAGGCACAGCAAATATCAGTAAACTAGTAATTCTCTAACCTTGATTCTGTGGTGTTTCAGTGGAGGAGGTTGCAGAGAGCGATGAAGAGAAGATAACCCGCTTGGAGGCCGTCCTGCTGCAGAACCTCAAAGTGTTCAAACACAGACAGGTGATCCATCCTGTGCTGCAGGAGGGTGAGTTCACACAGACACACCAAAACATCCCCACGGCTGAGTGTGTTTATTTTGTTCTTTATTGACGGTGCTGATGAGTTTATCTCGGTGATTCCTTCATGTCTTAGTGGGCCTGAAGCTGACCTCTCTCGACCAAACAAAGCCCATTGACCTGCAGTATCTCGGGGTTCTCCTGCCGCTACCTCAACCCATATTCCCGGAGAACAACAGTGCTGCAGCTCCTGGTGGTGAGTTGAACTGATCGTTGACAGACTACACATGCTTGTTAGGGGTCTGTTACTGTCCTGGGGCATTTAACTGGCTGTACTTGGACACGGAAATGTTTGATGTTGGTTTTGAGTGGTCTGTTGTATGTTATGGGTCTTAGACTGTCCCTGAGCAAAGGTATCTTAGAGGTTACAGAAAATGATCCCAGATTTGATTGTAGAATTGAAGTGATGTCTTTAATATTGGTAAGCCGAGTACTCTAACTAGAGAGACTAACGCTGTTGATTCTCTTTTCAGAAGAAGGGTTACCCTTTATCTCACGGACTGGAAAGACAAATGACATGACAAAAATAAAGGGATGGAGGAACAAGTTTATGAAAAACAAAGAAACCTCTTCTAACTGTGAAGGTAAGTTAATGCAGTGCAGTTTTTTTCTCAAAAGTTTTTTTAATGACCAAAACATCAGCAGAACAAAACTCCTCATGTGTAATTTTCTGCTATTTCTCCTCCTGAAGGATCACAGAAAAACCTGTCCGCATTCTGCAGCGACATGTTGGACGAGTACCTGGAGAGTGAAGCTCAGTACATCAGCGAGCGCGCTGCTGCCTTTTCCACAAACCCTGAGGGCTCTGTGTCCTATCAGCTCCCTGCAGTAAGCTCCAGCTACGTCAAGACCCTGGACAGCATACTCAAGCACCGAAATGTTACTTCCAAACCCTCTGGAGAGTCCAGCAGACCTTGCCCACTTTCCCACAAAGCCGTGGACTCCTTTGGTCTGTCGTCCGAAGCTTTCCCTTTTCAAGAATGGCAGTCTGCATCTACACCGGAGCTAGCAGGAGCTATCACGAAAAAGTACGTCTTGTCATTTGTTTTGTTATTTTAGGGGTTAAGAATTAGAAATATTTTCAAAGCAAGTCAGGGTGAAGCTATTAGACAACATAGTGGGTAAAAAACTAGAGGGTCTGTATATTTACAAGACTTGGTAAGCACTTGATCTGAGTTTGCTCAAAGGTCTTAACAGTTTTGAGTTCTTATTCCTTGATGAAATCTTTATTTGTTAAAGCATCCTTTCCCTGTGTCTTGTTTCTTCGCTTCAGGTCCAGGCGGAAACGGGCCGCGATCTTTGAGCAGAATGAGGAGATGACAGTCAGACCTCCAGGTATCACTAAGAGCCTGGGTAATCTGATGCAGCTGGAGCGGAGGGGTCCACGCAAAACACTATTGGATCCAGACAGAGTGTCAGTGGCCCTGTCTGCTGTACTCACCGAACAGGTATGCAGTACAGCAGGGTCTGTGTTCACTTATATAAATTATGGTTTTAACAGTCACATTTCACCTATCCCTCTTTCCTTTCTCTAAATCAGATGCACCCCAGTCAGCTCTCTAAGGCGACTGAGTTTCTAAAGTATGAACCTGAGAGACCTGAATGTAATCAGGTCTTTTGCAGACTGGGCTGCGTGTGCGCCAGTCTGCATCAACTGAACAGAGGTCCCGTCCACTGCCGCCAATCTGGCTGCATGTTTGGCTGTATCTGTATCAAAAGTAAGATGACCGCAGAGGAGAGTGAGCAACTAAATGATCCTGCTAACAGTAAGAGTTTCATCACTTTATGTTTTTTGGATATCCAGAGAGAGAGAGAGTGCCGAATTTCATTTAAAGATAGAACTCTGAGGATGATGTTACCGGCTTCAATTTTCAGCCCACTTTGTTCACACACCCATCGGTAAGACAAAAGTGTTAATGACTTTGCTTTTATCTCTCCCTAGCCATGACTAATGTGGAGCATGTGGTCCAGTCTAGCTTGGGCTCCCATGCTAAAAGACTGTGGAACCGCAACGTTTTTGACGAGGACCCAGATCCACTCCTAGCTCCAAAATCTGCTCCCACGCAGTCAGTTAAACTCAAGAAACGTAATATGGTACGTCCAGCGCAACAAGTATAACAACATTTCTCCAATTGTGTTTTTTTTTTTTTGCAGTAATTCTTTTTGATTTATGCCTTATACTCTTCATATACAACTTATCTACCTGTGTTTAAAGGGATATTCTGATGTAAAATTAATTTAGGGTCAGACACACTGTAACACTGAATTAGACACCCGGTCAAGAGATTAATGTTAGTAACGACTGCAGATAGCAATACTTAGGGCTACGCGCTCAACCAAAACGCCACTCTATAGCCACAAATAATGCTCAGAACAGCACCTAACTTCATCAACAGTACATATAGGGTCCTAGCCACAGCACTAGCCACCAAACATCTTTTTAGCTTTGCCTCATTTCTTTAGCAAAGAGACTAAACACAACTCACCTACTCTCTTCCAGCAGCAACTTGTTTGTACGGAGACCTCCAGGCAAGTCCATGGACTGCAGCGGGGTGTCGCAGCTCAAGGAGGAACATTCATGATCATTACTTCATAATTTCCTTGAAGTAATAACCACTAAATGAATCATTTTGCACTGCAGACACGGTAGTTCTTCTGCCTTAGTGTCTCAGTCTGATTGCATTTCCATGAAGAAATGATCATAAATGTTCTTCCTCGAGCTGTGTCACCCCGCTGCAGTCAATAGACTCGCCTGGAGGTCTCCGTACAAACAAGCGGCTGCTGGAAGAGAGACGGTGAGTTGTGTTTTTCGGCAACATTCATCTCTCGACGGGGTGTCTAACTCGGTGTTACGGTGTGTTTGACCCTAACTTAATTTTACGCCAGAATATCCCTTTTTTATCGACCCACAAATCTTCCAGAAACTGAGGATGTTACTCTGTGTTCAGTTTAAAACTCAACTCAAACTTCAATGATGACTCTGATTGCAGATAAAAGAAGAGGATAAGGGCCCGGTGTATAAATACCTGGAGAGTATGATGACATGTGCTCGTGTGAGAGGCTACAACAGCAAGCCTCCCCCTGAAGTGGCTGTACCCACGACACCTTATACCTCCACACCAAACACCACTTACAAACCAGAGGAGCCAAACACAGACAATCTGCTGAACAGGTGCCACAAATTTGGTCTGAATGTTAAAGAAGCAGGTAAGGAAGATGCAGCAAATACACAGTTTGAATGAAAACCTCAGTCTGCTTCTTCAAAACATCTTTTAAATATTCTTGGTTGTGTCTTCAAAGCAGAAAAGACCTCTCAGGGATCGACCTCCAGTGAGCCAGATGCAAAAATGACAATTGAGATCCAGTCAGCATGCAAGTGGGAGAAGGACCAAAATGTAGTCCTCGAAGCTTTGTATCGACGTATGACTCAGAATCGGATGTCTCGTCGCTTCTGGGTTGGACCTTACCGCATCCGCCCGCTCGCAAGGATCTCTTTGCAGAAGCCAAGCGGCTCAGTCGTCACGTACAGGGTAAGAGTCTAAGAGATGGTGCATGTGGCAATAATATGACTTTTATCATTTTATAGTATTCATTAATAAAATGTCCTGTCCCCTTCTATTTTGTTCTAGATTCACATCAGTAAACCACGAAAAGCCAGTGATAACGATGAAGACGAGTCTGCTGGTAGTGATGAGGAGCATTATGCCAATAGAAGCCTTTCAGCAAACGCAGAAGAGGAAGCTGGTCCGGCTGAAATCACACCGTTTCTCAGTGGAGTGATACCAGCCGGCATCCTGAGAGTCAGGACCAAACCTGTGAGCTGCCAAACAAATGGACTGATTCAGGTGAGGCTCCAAGAAATGACAAGTATCTGTAACACTGGGGTGTAGCCTGAGGGCTGTGCTATGAGGCAAGGCTGGAGATTTCAAATGTTAAAGGTTTGCTGTAGTTCAACCTCGCCATGGCTATTGAACATGTAACCATACCTGCCATCATTTGGGTTACTGTATTTTGTGTTGGGGTTGCCTTGTATGTATGAGAGTATTTGTATTTAGATTGCTTATCGAATAAGTGTAAGTGAAGCCGCACACTTTTTTGTTTATTTTAACAATAACAAATTGTAATAAAAAAAAAATAATAATAATAGCTACGACATGCCTTGAACTTATTTAGTCCACTAGCCTCCTGACTACCAGTAGTTCAAATTTGTCCTCTGTGGAGGACCATTGTAAACCTCAATATCTCCCACCAACTGCATACTACTGAATTAAAAACTGAATTCCTTACTCAGAAAAAATGGCTGCCATCAGTGCATTCACATTTTATGGGAAGAGGAAAAGTACTAAAGCCCCACCCCTTCACATTTGGTATCATTGAAAAAAGGGGGTTTTGGTAGATATGCATGTAACCCACTTTGGAGGTTGTTAGAGTTACAGTATTGGCTACAAAGAAGATACCCATTTTACCCTTTTCTCTCTGGGAGTATACACAGTATACAGTCACTGTGTTACTTTCTGTATACACTGAGCACACTCAGGCTCGATCTGTATTCATAGTGTAACAGGGATGATGATGATGATGATGATGATGCAGGAAATCTGATTCCCTTTTTGTTGTTTCCTGTTTGCTTCATGCACTCTTCGAATTTTACACACAGAGCACCCAAACACAGCAGCTACAGAGCTTTTCTAATGTTTATACAGTTTCTATCACAGCAGATGCTCAAAATACAAAGATGATGTATCAATGAAACCACTTCAGCTTCATTTTGGTGATGATTTATCTTTTATTCTTTTACTGAACAGGTAAATGGCAAATACTACAACCAAGCCAGACTGCAGCTCGGGAACATGGGAGCCCTCCATCCCGCCAACCGCCTCGCAGGATACCTCACAGGCCGCCTTCACGCACCTGCTGATATTTCTAAAACAAGCTCTCAGAAATCAGAGCCTCCAAAACAAACAACCCCCCTCAGTGGCCTGCACATTAAGGCAGCGGGTACAGTGGTCCCTCCAGTCATAACTGCAAGGAAAACCAACGATCTGAAGACCCCAGTGCAGCCACCAGGTACAAACATCTCTCCTATCCCTGCGTTAGCACACACATCTAAACTTGTAGAAGGAAAAATAATCAACTCAAGAACCCTCTGACACAAACAGACCTGCAGCTACTGCAGGGAATGGAAATACCACCACCTAAATATACCCCTCTTATATCAGCAGAGGAAAGCAGGAGCGTTAGTTTTGTACGACTCCTCGTAATTCTAAAGAGAACACTAATGGATGCACATCTATTTGTTCACTGCATGTTATGTAGAATCCCTTCTGCTGCATACTTTCCAGCAGCAATTTTAAAAGAGAGTGATCTTCTAATTGAGTATTTACGAAGGTAAACTTTGCTTACAGCCTCTTAAAACATGGGTTTCTGTCTTTTATTCCCCAGGATTTAGCTTTACAGTTTCCTAGATGTGGCAAAAATTATGCATGTTTTCACCTTTTTTGTTTTTTAAGTTTGTCAAGAAAGTCAAGAAGAAACTGGTCAGAGATTTTTTTGGGAGTTTTCTTTGTATAATAGCTGACTCTAGGAGTATTTATTCTCAAAACATAGAGGCAAAAATCAATAAATACTCAGATACGAATGTTGAATGCTGATTCTGATCAAAACTTTTGAACTATCTCAAAGTGAAGTATTTGTGTTTCTTTCCCTCTTATTATCCCATACATTTTGTTTTTCAGTCTCTCTACTCAGACCAGAAGAAATAGGAATGGAATCCAACACCATGCCAAATAATTCTCCAAGCTTGACTTCCACCAACTCGGTCCAGAGTTTCATAGACAAACAGCTCAGCTCAGCCAGCCCGTTCCAGAGCATCTCTGCGTCCTCGCCTGTCTCTCTCACAGTCTCGCCATCGCTGAAAACCCCCAGCTTCTTAGCACAGAGAGGAACATATTCATTCAGGATCTGCCCTCCAGCTAACCAGGGGACTGAAGGCAAAAACTTCCCAGGAGTCCCTCTGCCTGGGGGCTTCACCCTCGTTCAGCTCCCTAAGCCTAAAAGGGAAAGAGCTTCACAGTGGTCTCAATCCGTCCCACCACAAAGGCCTGGTTTATCAAACTCTGGTCGCTCAGCACCCGTTCCAGATGTAAGGTGGCTTGACGTTTTTGCGCGAGCTCAGGAGGTCATCAAATCCGCACAGCCTGGAGCCTTCACGAAGCAGATGTTTGATGAGAAGATGCGATCAGCTGAGAATGAGAAAGCCAAAGCCTGGAAAATGGAGTCAAGTTTTGATGTAATTTCTGAGGATCTAAGCTCCGACTTTTCAGACTTGGAAGAAGAAGCTGATGAGGACGGGGAAGATGTAAGTTTGAGAAATAAGTCATTTTTATTAATGGCTAAAAAATCGAATAATTGTTAATATTGTATTAAAACCAAATCTGCATGTTTGTTATTTAGGAGGATCTGGACATCGAGACTGTGGAAGAGATGAAAGAAGGGCTGGCAATCACTAAAATGAAAGACGCTGTGCGCATGGCTTTGCAGGACACAAGGTAATGCAAGTGAATAATTTTTTTTCACTTAAGGATGTACAATATGTTAATTGTGCATATTTATTTTCTTGCTTTAAATAAAAGAGTTAGAACTTTAGCCCTTCATGTTTTCTCTCTTTTCTGCAGAGATTCCTGCGAGGGGTTTGGATTAATTAGCACACTGGCTAAGGTAAGCATGTCTGGCTAAGTCTTTGTCCTTGGATTTATGAGACATTATCTGTTTGGAGAGTCCACTGTGGTGTTGTGGTTTTTTTCCTTATTTTTATTTGATATCATCTCCTCTGTCTCTCAATTTCAGAGTCAACTGGAGGAGCAAATTGATGCCATGTCTAGTCATTCAAAACTCGGTAAACAGAAAATGTTAGAGAGGCAAAGGCGCAAAGAGCTGCGGTGTCTCTTCGACAAACTCCAGAACATTCTCCCGAGTGACCCCAAAGCCCCAAGGCTCCGTGTCCTCTCAATGGTAAGTTCAGCATCCTCATCAGCAAAGCTTTTCCCTTAGTTAAGATCGTCCACGACACAACAAACAACTGTAAAAACTGAGACTAAGGATAACAACTTCACTTCACTACTTCACTACAGGCGGTCGAAGAAGTCCAGAGCCTGGTGGAGACCTCTAAATGTCTGGAGGAGCAGAAGCGGAAGCTGATACAGGAGCAGTCGTCCTATTTTAAAGAGCTCTGTACTTTGTTTGGTGGGCCCTGCTTCTGCTGTCAAACTTAAATTGATTTAGATTTCTTTTTTTTATTGCATTGTTAACACAACACTTATAGATCAGAGCAAGTCCACGTGTTTTAGATTTAATGGAAAAGGAAAAATAAACCCCTATCTGTTGTGTCTCCTCCAGGGAAAACAGATGAACTGATTGATCACAGGCTGAACATGATCAATGAGATGCAAAAAACACAAGAGAAGACCAATAACTTCAGACCCTTTTTCTCGCAACTGCTCTTGTCCAGAGCTGCTCTACTAGAGGCCGGGTCCAAGCAGCCAGATACACAGCCCGACTCACCCAACGATGAGTCTCCTGAACTTCACCCTCTTGTGGCTGCAGCGCTGAACACTGTAAAGGAGAACCCCAAACCCAAACCTCCCCTCGCACCCCTAGCAGTGTTCTCTGGAGCGCAGCTCAATTTCAATGCAGCCCCACCACAGAAGGAAAAGCAGCCAGAGGACTTGGAGGCCCCTGAGAAAGATCTACAGATTCAGGTGAAGGAGACTGTAGAGCAGCAGGAGACAGAAGTCAGCACTCCAAAATCCCAGACAGAATCCCAGCCTCAACTACCAGCAGTTGCAGCTACCTTTCAGGACACTACAGCCGAGGTGGCAGCCCCATCTGAGTCATTATCTGAGGAATCCAAAGAGCTTCCTGCTTGCTTTCAAAAGCCCGTTCCTCTGCCCCTGATCCGCTCCAAGACTGGCAGAATTATACTTCCTGCATCCCTTAAACCACGTAAGTGTAAACATCATGATTTCACACATGCTTCAAACTTCCTCAAAATTGCTTTCTCACATCTTTGATTTCTTCTCTTCTCACAGTTGGTAAAGGCTACTACACATTGACGTTTATGAAACCCAGCGAGAAAAAGCCTGTAGATGGGCTTTCTGTTGTTGACCCATCCAAAAGCAAAGACAAGAGTTTACCTGGATCCAACCATTCAGATTCAAAAAGTACACCAATTCCTGACAGCCCCCAACCTCTAAAACTTCCAGCAAAGCCTCCAAGTCTCCCATCTCCTGAAGTTGACCTATCCAAAAACGAAGAAAAGAGCTTACCTGGATCCAACAATTCAGATGTGAGAAGTACTACAAGTTCTGACAGCCCTCGACCTCCGAAACTTCAAGCAAAGCCTTCAAGTCTTCTATCTACCAAAGTTGCCTCATCCCAAAACAAAGACAAGAGCTTACCTGGATCCAAACTTTCAAATGCAAGAAGTGCTCCAATTCCTTACAGCGTCCAACCCCGGAAACTTGAACCAAAGCCTTCAAGTCTTCCATTTCTCATAGTTGACCAGTCCGCAAACAAAGACAAGAGCTTACCTGGGTCCAATCATTCAGATTCAATAAGCACTCCAGTTCCTAACACTCCCCGACCCCCGAGACTTCAAGCAATGCCCTCAAGTCTTCTGTCTTCTATAGTTGACTCATTCCCAACCAAAGACAAGAGCTTACCTGGGTCCAATCATTCAGATTCAATAAGTAGTTCAGTTTCTGACAGCCCCCAACCCCCGAGACTTCAAGCAATGCCCCCAAGTCTTCTATCTCCTATAGTTGACTTATCCCAGACCAAAGACAAGAGCTTACCTGGATTCAACCATTCAGGTTCTCCACTTTCTGACAGCCCTCGACCCCCAAAACTTCAGGCAAAGCCTTCAACCCCTGTTACCAACTCATCCCAAACCAAAGACAAGAGCTTATCGAGACCTAACCTTTCAGATTTTAGAGGGACTCAAATTTTTGACAACGCCCAAACCTTGAAATCTCAACCAATGCCTCCAAGTTTCTCATCTCCTCTGGTCCTTCTCAACAAAGCAAGTCTAGTGCCTTTTGTGGCTCTGCAAGCAGTTAAGGAGACAAGCTCCACAGCAACTGTAACAGAAACACAGGGAGCTGCTTGCTTGATTTTCAACGCGGTGCCCACGACTCCTACAACGCCTGACCCTGACCCACCTGTAATCCGCCGTGGCAGAGGAAGACCCCGTAAATACCCTCGTCCTGAAACGTTGCAATCACCTCTACCCTGTAAAATTGAAAACCCTACAGTGGTTGTGGAGATAAAAACAGAAGACCAGGCTGTGGAGGTGACAAGAAAACTAGCTGTGAGCACTCCCCCACCAGCCAAACGGGGCAGGGGAAGGCCGCGTAAGGATAAATCCTTAAAAATGTGGAGACCTTCAGGTTGTCGAACGAAGCCTTGTCCCTCTCCTAAATCTGAAGAGGAAAGTTCTGACTGGTCCTCTAACAGTTTTCGAAGATCAGGCGGTCAATATGAGGCAGACACCCCTCTCATGGTAGTTAAGAGCGAATCCAGGCCTTTGACCCGTGGTGCTTTGGGGAAGGACTTCCCTAGCGCAAAAAAGCGCTCGTGGATAGACGTTGAGAAAGAACTGGAACAAGAGTTTGAGTTCGAATAGTCCTCAGATCTGTCTGTCCCACTAAAGCCAAGTACACCATCCGATGACCTCCGTTAGCCCAGCTCAATGCTGCTTTTTTCTGTGGGCAAGTACAAAACTCAGTGGATTTTTTGCATACTCTGAAGTCAAAATTTCAGGGTATAAAGAATTCTGGGAAAGCATTAACTGACTCGCTGAATGTATAAATGATGAAAATAATTTAGCATTCAGTTTTGTTAAAATTTCTTTATGGTTTCTTCTTTCACTTGTATGAGTTGCTCATCTAACACCCCGTACACAAATGGAAATAAAACTGCACAGATTGCGTTTATTCATTCTGAGTCAAAAATCAGTTTCCTGAACAGGATCAGATGTTAAACTTGTTTTGTTAACTGCCTTAAATATTAAATAATGTCTGTTTACGGTTTTATGAGAGATAGTTTGGTGTAATCTTACTGTGAAATGGCTTTTGTTACTAACTCAGTGGAAATCATCTGTGGTAGCACTTTATGATTTTATTTTGTAGAAATGATGTCTTTGCTTTGGTTTGGTTTGTAAACAGCAGTGATCTGCGACCTGGGAGTGATCTCCTGATGATTTGTCTAAAGCAATCGAGATGAAGGTGTTCAGCCATATATTGTACTGTATCCATGAAAATAACCTGTAAATATTGTATTCCTTTTTTTATCCCAGTGCATTTATTTTGTTGATGATTTCGAAACACAGGTTGTCCTGTTTTTCCAGTTATATTGAAAATGTGAAAAATTATGAGGCCTTTATTATTAATAAAATATTACATGCATTTATCAAATTAGCATCCAGTTTTTCAAAAACAAAACATCTTTTAACTAAATTTTGTGGTAGCTGTTGGGTCGACTGAACACAAATAATCCTTAGTCTTTATTTAAATAGAACTACTTAAAGGTTGCCTCGTTTTGAGAGACTCACCCAAACTATGCAATTATTTCTGTTAGAATAAGCATCCACGTCCGTATTCATTAGGAGAAACATCACTAAGGTATTTTCGGATTTTCGCGCACCAGTTGCAGTTGCCCCCTACTGGCGAGTGGAAAGAATGCATGTTTAGTTTGCTTAAATCAGAGCCTATAGTACTCATAAGCTGTAAAAAAGATAAAGACATCCAGTGTAAATCTTGTAGTAACTGATGTATTTTCTGTCATGCACCAGTTGCCCCCTACTGGCGAGTTTGAAGAATGCATGTTTAAATTAGCTTGCATAAATCCAAGTCTGTAGTACACTTACTGCTGTAAAAAGATAGACATGGAGTGTAAATCTTTGAGTTACTTAACTATTTTCTGTTTTTTGCGTACCAGTTGCAGTTGCCACCCACTGGTGAGTATGAAGAATGCATGTTTAAATGAGTTTGCTTAAATCAGAGCCTGTAGTCTACTTGAAGCTGTAAAAAAGATAAAGACATGTAGAGTAAATCTTGTTTAAGTATTTTCTGTTTTTGGCGTACCAGTTGCAGTTGCCCCCTACTGGCTAGTGGGGAAAATGCATCTTTAAATCAGCCTGCGTAAATCCGAGTCTGTAGTACACTTAAAATAGATGAAGACATGCGGTGTAAATATTGTAATTACTGAAGTATTTTCTGTTTTTCGCGTATCAGTTGCAGTTGCCCCCTACTGGCGAGTTGGAAGAATGCATGTTTAAATTAATTTGCGTAAATCCAAGTCTGCTGCACATTTTAAGTTGTAAAAAGACACAGACATGCATTGTAAATCTTCTCGTTACTGAACTCTTTTTTTTGTTTTTCTTGCACAAGTTACCCTTGCCCCCTCCTTGGGATTGGGAAGAGTGGGTTTTTCGCGCACCAGTTGCAGTTTCCCTCTACTGGCGAGTTGGAAGAATGCGTGTTTAAATCAGCTTGCATAAATCTGAGTCTGTATTACACTGACATGCAGTGTAAATCTTCTTGTCAGCGTCTGCTAATGACTAAAACTGCAGCCAACTGGCGTTAAAAGACTTAAATGGGAGCAGAAGATAAACTTTATTGTCCAATCAGCAGTCACACATGGGACTGAGTAAATAAACACCCTCTATTCAGCTGTCAGACTGCCCACAGTCTCTAATCCTATCAAATCAATTAGGAACAACAGCTACAAAAGCAATCATTGATGCAATCATGAGACCATGATATTGTCGTGGAGGAGAAACAGCTGATTGGCTCTTTTTTTTCTGGTCAGTGTTGAAATAAGACACCCGTCTAGAAATGTTAGCGAGAGGAAAAGTGTTTGATTTCAGGAGACAGCAGAGAACTAAACCCACTCAAGAGATTAGCGTCCACATGTCCCGGTAGCAGGAACACTGTCCGACTTTGTAAACCTCCGTGTGAGTCTCTGGTGGAGGGTTGGAGGTGGGAGGATCGTAAACAGTAGATCCTTCTCTCCTTCAGTGTGCATGCAGACTCCGCTCCTGCAGCAGTTCTCCGAGAGGTGACCAAAGGCTGCAGACACAATGCCTGGAGAGGGATTCACCATCAAAAGTCGAATCAGGAATTTACTTCGCTCTCCATCGATTAAGCAAAGGACCTGGAAGAACAGGAAACAGGATCTCAGCAGGGTATTTATGCACAAATCCTCCATTTCAAGTAGGACAGGTCGAGTGATCAAGTTGACACGCAATGTGAGATAACAAATCAATATGTGAAATGAGTGGAAAGTTCGTGTTGTGTTACAAAATTATGTGTAGGAAAGACTACAACTATGTTGCACGTTATCTAACGTGTCTTTAGTGCTGTAAGATAGTATAAACACAAGCATGTATTGGTGTTTTTTTTAACTTTGCAAACCAAATTTGTTCTATTGAATGGTTTAAAACTCATTTATTTTGCTAAGTAAATTATCTACTATAAAAGGAAAGCTAATGAAAGATTACATGTTTTAAAAACAATCAACTCCCTTTTTAATATGTATTTTTATTTTGTCCATAAATCATTGGTAACACTTTACAATAACCATACAGACCATTGTTAAATGGTAAGCCAGTAGTTTGTTAATGTGTAAGCATCATTTATAAATAGCATATAGACCATTAATAAATTGTAAATTTTACAATTTTAAAAATATAACCCTAACTTTACAATAACCCTCTAAGGAATGTTTATAGATGGTTTAAAAACCAAATATTAACCATTTACAAAGTGCTGCTGACACACATTTTAATCTAGCTGTTTTACAATCAATATTTAAACCCTATATAAACCTTTGATAAATAGTCCTATTAATAATTAATGAAAATTATCAATCATATTTCATTGCTTGTTAATGGTAAAGTAACTCAATCAATCAACTTTATTTCTATAGCACATTAAAAAGAACCACAGGGGTAGCCAAAGTGCTGTACATTGTGACATAAGAACAAATAAAACAAGCAAAGAACAAGATAGAGCGAGCAAAAATACATAAATGCAATAAATAAATAAATATATAAATAAGCAGGCTCACGGTAAGTGCTAAGAGGAAAACAAAGAAAATAACACTAAAATGTATTAAAAGCCAAGGAATAAAAGTGAGTTTTTAAAATTATTAACTTACATTAATAAACTATCTATTTGCCATTTATAACTGGTTTCATATTCTGTTTTTAAATGATGATTAAACATTAATAAACTTTTTATTTACCATTTATAAATTAAGGTTATTGTAAAGTGTTACCAAATCATTTACCAGGCTTTTTAAATGAATTTCAAATCATCCATAAAAACAAACATTGATTTAGGCCGTTTTGCTTGTCCACGTCTGTTAAGTTATGATCGGTTGTAAATGTTAATTATCCAATAATACCTCAGCCAATAAAACAGGCTTGTCAGTAATAATTAAAGAGGCCCCAGTAGAAAGTTATATCCAGGGAAACATAAACATCACCCAGCTTTTATGAGTTGTTTTGGTTTGATATCTGTCAGACTGTGCTTTTAATGATTTAATATTATTGTTTAGTTTGACTCGGGTTTGTTCGTTTAATCAATTACTCTCAACAGATGCTTCATAATTCCTGGGACATACTGACTGCAAAACTTCCCAAGCTGTCTGCCAAGTTGTCTGTTTATTTATTACAAGCTACCTGAGCTGTGTCCTCTTTTTACGATGATTTTGAACACCCAAAAGATGAAAAGATGATATCATTTTGGTTTGACATTTGGAAGAAAGGAAAATTTACACTCTGTAGGTCCCAGACACAACGCATGATCACAGAGAGAATAATCAATCCTGAGTTTCTCTGCAGGTGTGCTGACGCTGATATTTATTTTTAATGTGGCAGTTTTCACACCCTGAATAATCCTATATCAGTTGCATATATACATATTTTTGTCTAATTTTTATCCTAAACTGCCATGAAAGCCTCTGAGAGCCTCTGAGACTCAGGTTTGACTGTAGTAGTCTGCACATTTTCTTCACATGCTGTAACCTACACTAATCTACTACTGCCTTTGATTTATTGACGAGGATGTGAAGTCCTATCACTGCTGGTAAAGTCTGGTACACCAAACTGCTGAACATTAACATCTCTCTGCATACAGGTGACTTTGGAGAAGGTGCTGGGGATAACTGCATCAGGAAACTGCGGTTTGGCCTGTGACCCCCGATCTGGACTGGTCGCATATCCTGCAGGGTAAGGAGAGATAGATACACCATTTTTGCATCCTTATCTTTTCATCCGACCTTTGACTTATCAACACTCGCAGCTTCCCTATCACATCTACCTCACCCCGATGCTTAGTGTGCAAATAACTGCGACTGTGGGGCTTATCTTTGCTCTATCTCGGAGGAACTAAAGAGATTGTAGGCTTTCTCATCAGAGGAACTCCACAGCTTCCTTTTATCCTCTCCTCAGGGTAGCTTCCTTTGACTCTTTCTCTGATTCACTGAATTAAAACATTGTGTGGTATGATTTAATCTGCGCAAACAGTAGCACAGGCTGTGTTAACTTACTTAGTATAGACAATACAATAAAAAGAGACATGCGAGGAGTAAGTTGGAGGATGAAGATCTACAGTAGCGATGCTCCGGGCCCTCAGCCGGCAGGGTGAAAGCACAGTTAAAAATCAGGCAGGCTGGCTCCCACGAGGCTGTTACAGAAACAGTGCACTGAGCTTCTTTTGTGGTGTTTGCAAATCTTCTGACAAAGCTGAATTAACACTAAGAGGGTCATTGGCTGTGTGGAGTATTGTGTGTGTGTGAGAGAGAAAGCAGCGCTCGTGTGTGAGCATGCATGCTTGGGCATTCCTGTGCATACATGTGGGTGGGGAGCCGTCAGTGTGTGTGTGTGTGTGTGAGAATAAATCTGGTTCTAACTTTTGCTTCAGCAAGCTGTATTCGAATTTTTTGCACAATCTGGCAGTCCACCCACAGTCTCAGTTTAAATCAGAGCAAGCTGTGGTTCCACACATAACAGGTGGATTATTACTCAGACATGCTTGATTTGAACAGAATGTAAAGGGGGACCTTTCTTGGCAGGAAACAATGGGGTTATGACTGCTAGGATCTAAAAATGAAAAAAAATAGTGAATGTTACAGCTTTCATTGTATTCTTAGTTTCTTGGCAAGTAGCTTATCATATGCTGCTTCTTAGAATCGTCTTGCAGCATAACAAAAACGTAAACAAAATATCTGCACGATAAAGTATTTGACCGTACAAAGTGTATGGATCGTCAAACCTTGTTGCGTAATTTATGGATATTTAGTAAAGCGCCCAAATAGATGCTCTGAACGTGTGCAAACGAGAGCTGAGCAGCTCTGTACCACGTAAAAAAAAAAACATTATTAGACGCTATAGCGCTTAGACATGATCCTGGTGTCTTAAAAGAGTCATTCTTGCCCTTTATTATTCAGCTATTTTGTTGTAGTATTCGGTTATTATAAACTACACTTTATTTCATAATACTTAATGAGGTTTAACCGGTGACAACAGACCTTTGATTAATCTCAGTACAGCATGTAATGTATACTAGAGCTTAATAATGTAATCTGTTAACTATTTAATGCATGAATAAGTACAACGATTCTGCATTTAAGGAGTTAATGTATAAGAATATTGCCAAGAAAGCCCCCCAAAAGTAATTCTGACCCTTTATTATTCAGCTTTTGGTTGTAATAATTGGTTATTATAAGACTACCCTTTATTTCGTAATACTTAATGAGGTTTAACCGGGAATAACAGACCTTTGATTAAGCTCAGTACAGCATGTAATGTACACTAGAGCTTAAAAAAATATAATCTGTTAACTATTTAATGCATGAATAAGTACAACGATTCTGTGTTTAAGGAGTTAATGTTCTGTGAAATATGCAAACAGGTCACAGAATAAGGTTTCATTATGGCTCAACCAAGATTAGCCACTTTGGTTTACTTCAATAGAAATTTGTAACACTGTATGAATCCCTGTGTTATGTCAGAGTTGGTAAGGACACAGTGTGTGTTCAAGAGTTTAAGGATCTGTAAACTGTGCGTCATTTGTTCTTCTGTTGACTGAAAAGACTTGCATTAGAAGAGTGTTGGCATATCTCACTCACACTTTACCTTAAGACTTAAAAAAACACATGAAGTTGTTAAGAAGAATTGTCAATTTATTCTTGATCTTCTGTGAAGGTGTGTGGTTGTCTTGCTGAACCCCAAAAAGAACAGACAGCATCACATAATCACTTCAAGGTGAGTAAAACACTTAAAACATCTGCATGAGTGTTTCATATATTGTGTTATAGATTACATTTTTAAAACCTGAATATAGGCCGTCTTGTTTTCATACTCTTGAGTGCCTTAATTTGAATTATAAAACCTGAAATAACCAATGCTGACTTTATTTTTGACATTTTCACAGAAAAACAATCACAGCTCTTGCCTTCTCACCTGATGGAAAGTACTTGGTCACAGGAGAGGTGAGTCTGCAGCCATTTTTGGCTCTGTTGTAACCTGTTTCTCACCTGTGGTAGATTGATGAATGTATGGTGGGTCAGTAACACTTCACAATAACCATAATTTATAAATGGTAAATCGAGCATTTATAAATGGTAAGCAGATATATTATCAATGTTTAATCATCATTTATAAATAGCATATTGACCATTAATAAATTGCAAATTTTACAATTTTAAAAACCTAACCCCAACTTTACAATAACCATCGAAGTAATGATTATAGATGGTTTAAAAACCAAATAATAACCATTTACCAAGTGCTACTCTAGATGTTTTACAACCAATATTTAAACCCTATATAAACCTTTGATAAAAAGTCAATTAATAATTAATGAAAATGATTAATCATAATTTAATGCTTGCTAATGGTAAAGTAACTATTAACTTACATTAATAAACTATCTATTTGCCATTTATAATTGGTCTATATGCTGTTTTAAATGATGATTAAACATGAATAAACCATCTATTTACCGCTTATAAACTATGGTTTTTGTAAAGTGTTACCGGTGGGTCTTATTGTGAAAGGTCCTATTCTGACTTCTCCCTGTTATGAGTTGGTCAAACATCTACAGTTATGTTGTAGTAAGACCATGTGCCCCAACACAACACGATATCTTAATCTGCACCGGCCAATCAAAGCGGATTAAAGACTTCCCTGTGTAAGTGGATGGACTTGCAGTTGCCATGACAGCAAGGACCAAGTTCAAAGATCATACGTGTTGAGGATGAACTCTTTTGCCGCCACTTAAAAAAAAATACAGATTTTTGTAGGCTGCCAGCATGTAGGATTTGACTTTTTGAACAGATATTCAAAGCTTACAGATCTGATTTACCAACACAAAACATTAATATAGTCAGAAACCAGAATGATTATGGATTTTTTTAAATCTTGTTTTCACTCTGTATTAAAAGCCGAGACTATCACAGCTCTATTACAGGATTTCCTGACATCTTTGAAAGCTGGGAAGAGCTCAAGACATTGTGATGTGATGAAATAGTAATGTAGATTAAGGACATGAAAAACACATCCTTTTTGTTTCTTCATTTTATCATTTTAAATCTGTATTCGGTCTCCTTTCTATGCAGCTCTTTGTTTATTTGAATGTGGTCCATTTGCAGCGTTCTGCATGCTTTCTCTCCTCCCATTTATTAACAGTGACCTTTTAAAGGTTGTTGTACTACATTAGAATAAGAGACTACACAAATAGCATGCTGACCCTTTGATCCTGAGAGAGAATAATGAGAACAGGTTGAGGGATAAGTAACTGTAACTGTTTGCTGTGAGCAGGGGTCAGAGTGGATAATCTCTCGGAGAGCTGAATAGAGTGGACTGACAGGTGACTACTATGGCGCTGCCTGAACCGCTGGATTTACAGACAAAACAAGAGACCTTGTCAGATCAGTTGTTTTACCCAGTTTCAACTGTTTTCCTTCAGAGTGGTCACCTCCCCGCGGTGAGACTGTGGGACGTGGCGGAGCGCAGGCAGGTGGTCGAGCTCCAAACGCACAAATACGGCGTCTCCTGTGTGGCTTTTTCCCCCAACGGCAAATATATTGTCAGCGTGGGGAACCAACATGACATGATGGTCAACGTCTGGGCCTGGAAGGTACATCGTACTCAGAAGACACTTCTACCTCTTTGCCAAGGCTGGAAATGCAACAAATATATTCACACAATTTCCCTGATAGAAGCTAAAGGCTGTAAACTCCTTATCCTTATACCTGGCATCAGGTCCTGATGTCCTGTCAGAAGAAAATCATGTTTAATAACCTGTAAGCTTCTTCAGGAGCTAAATGTAGCCCTTTAGCTATTTAAAGACAACAGCTAATATTAGCACGCAACTGCTTCCTTGCAGAAATTAAGTGTGACAACATTTTACGGCGTCCCTGGAAAGCCAAACAGCTGCATTAGTCACCACCTGGCTATCATTAATAATTAGTAGTGGCAGAAGGCTGACTTCTGCAGTGATAGCTGTGACAGAAGCTAATAAATAACATTTGCATGAAACAAAGCGATGCTGCGATGTACAGGAAGAAGGCTTTCCCCACTGTAGCTGTTGAGTTAAGTGTAAGAAATCATACAGCGCTTTGGAGGTGATTTCCTTTTGAGCGTAAAAACTAGAAATAGTCAGACACAGCTCGTCTTGTTTTGCCTGAATATTCAAGTTAATATAGTAGCAAATGTATTTGTAGTATTGCTTTTCAATGACACATGTTGGTTTTTTAATCTCTTGCAGAAAGATGTCATAGTGGCGGCCAATAAAGTGTCCAGTAAAGTGACAGGCGTGTCTTTCTCAGAGGACAGCTCGTATTTCGTGACTGTCGGGAACAGACACGTTAAGTTCTGGTATATGGACCACTGCAAAGCCAGCAAGGTATGAAATGATGATGTAGGTGCTACATGTTAGTTCTTGAGCTGTCTGAGCTATAGGTGGATAAACCGTCACAGTTAAACAGGTTTGTTCATAATGTATTATGTGTTGAATCCAGCGCTTGTAATACTGTAATACTGTCCTCTGTTGTTTTGTTGATGTGTCCAGACCAATGCTCCTGTCCCTCTGCTGGGACGCTCAGGACTGCTGGGGGAGCTGAGGAACAACTTCTTCTGCGACGTCGCCTGCGGTCGAGGCCCCACGTCTGAGTCCACCTTCTGCATCACCTCATCCGGCCTGCTGTGTGAGTTTGACAGTAAGAGGATGCTCGACAAGTGGGTGGACCTCCGGGTGAGTGACTCACAGCGTTGTTTGGACATTGCTCACTTTTACCTCTAAGGTGTTATCTCTACCTCCTGATTTAATGTAGTAAAATTATATGTTGGTGCATTTTGACATTTATCTTGAGCTTTTAAACGCTGGACTGTTGCGATGATGGACTGAATATAGAACGGACAGCCTCCTCGTTGGGTGAAGCCACTCCGAGAACAGCACACCCTGGTGAAGGGCTACAGTATAGGTTATAAATCCCGCCTCCGCCAGCAAAGCTTATGGAGCTGTGGACAAACTTTAGAAATTTGTTACACAGAATATACATTTTTCTCCCCTCCTGCTTGTGATGTTGACATGTAGTTATTGTAAGACTGGTTGTGCTCAAGTCCTCTTTTTTCTGTGCAGCTCCATTTTTAAAAGTTATTAGGGGGTTCATGTTTTCTACGATTGACACTTGACAAAGCCTATGGGCGCACGAAGATTGCGTAGCTCACCAGGGGGATGTGCTGTTTGAGCCGAGCGTCATCACAGCCACTCTTGTTGACTCTCCCGCCGAATGTGAACAATGCTGCTGCGCATTTCTGGAAGTGGAGAAAAAATGCAGAATTACCGAAAGCTTTTTGACTTCAGATCTGTATACTGGCGTAACCAAGTTGTCCATAGTTTATATAGTCTATGTGTGGAAAAGCATGACACCGTCCCTTTAAATTAGGCGTTGATGGATGATAAATTACAATAAGTAACTTCTTTTTTTTGCAGTGTATGATATCATTACACGTGAGCGGTTTAACTGATATGAGACAACAGGATGAGTTTTGGTGAAACTACTTTGTCCACAGGGGGCGCCACAGTCAACAGAAACCAAAAGCTCCACATTAGAGCTTTAATATATGAAATTTCATTCATGCTTACATCAGTAAATACATGCCATAGAAGATTAAGCATGCTGTTCCTAATCCAGTTTCTTAATCTTGTTGCATTTGACTCAGTTGTCTTAGTTTTTCTTGAATTTGAGTTTTGAAATGTTACTTTTACTCACAACACAACAAGATAACATTTTACACCATTTCGTGGTTGACTCCAGTTTCGCTTGATACAGCCTATGGGCGTACAAAGATTGTTTAGCTCACCCGGGGGATACGCTGTTTGTGCTGAGCGTCATCACAGCGACTCTTGGCGACTCTCCCGCTGAATGCGCACAATGCTACTGTGCAATATTGGTCTCAGGAAATGGAGAAAAATTGCAGAAATACAGAGAGCTTTTCGGCTTCAAATCTGTGTACAGGCGGGAGGCGAAACCAAGTTGTCCATAGTATATACAGTCTGTGGTTTTGACTCAAATAGGCTGGACTTAGACTCCAGAGGTTTACTTTCATTAAAAACTATCAAATAAATCCTGAATTTCTTTTTATGTATTAGTCTGTATAAGTGAGTATTATCCAACTAGTAGTTTTAATGATCAGAGTCCAGCTGTGATCCTTCAGAGAGAGCTGGAGCTGAAGGTGTGCTCGTCCTGCTCTGCTCCTGAGTCCTGTCAGAGGATCAAAAAGGGATTAACAAGGAGGACAAGGACAAGTACAGGATGTGTGTGGCGGTTTTCCAATGAGGACGCTTTTATATTCCGCTGCCACCTCCTGTCACCTCTGTCCTGACTGACCGACAGGGCTCTCACGAACTTTGCTGCATTGGATTGTAATCTGATCTGCAGATATTGAATTTACTCACTGTAAAATGCTCTACCATTTGCTGCCTTGCAGACGGGCATGGCTCAGTGTCTGACTCTGTCGGAGGACTTGATCTTCTGCGGCTGTGCGGATGGAACTGTGCGTGCCTTCAGCCCGGTTGACCTGCACTTTGTCTGCACGCTGCCGCGGCCACATCCTCTCGGCGCTGACGTCTCCGCCATCACAGAGGCCAGGTGAGGAAGAGCTCAGGAGGAGCAGAGCCTCTTCCTGGCAGGGATCCTCTGCAGGATCAGATACTCTCTATATATAGTCCCTCTTTTACCATGAGGCAGCTCTTCACAGTATAGTCAGTTTGGGATCGGTCTGTAAGGGTTAAACAGAAAAATCAGACGCATTCATTCTCGACAAAATACGCCACGTGTCGCAACATTTTTCAGCCAAACTCGCATGTTAGCCGGAGGGAAACAAAGAGATAGTTCACCAAGCTGAGTGTGGTGATCCTGGTGTGGGTGTTTCATGAATATTCTGCTGACTGTTCAGTTTGGCTGCTGCAGCATCTGTGACTGGCAGACAGATCTCTTCCTTGTTATCTGAAGAGTCTCTAAACAGAACTAAGAGAAAGTCAGTCCCTATCAAAGATATGAGACTAACACCGCAGAGGGAGAAACTGATCAAATCTAAGTTTAGGAATAGGCAGAGTTATTGACACTTTTGCTTTAAATTACCTTTAAGTGTTAATTATCAATACAAAAGAGAGTAGAAAATCAGCATTTCGAGGTGCTATTACACACTAATTGTACTATAGGGCTGAAAACAATTCAATCACACAATCGTAAACTTAAAATTAATCTACTGCCTTGAATCAGACTCAGAGCGTTGCACAGTTACTCTATCACTGCCCTGATATAGCTGCTGCTGTTCTGTTTTTATTCAGTAACTACTTTGTCCTATTTGGTTTTTTTTACAACTGCAAACTATCACATGATCTCTTCTAAATGTACCTCAAAGAGATATTTTGGTAACACTTTATTTGATGCCTATCTCTATAAATCATTATAAATATATGTATAATGCGTAATATTCACGTTATAGCACTGTATAACTGTAGTTATAAACACTCATGAATGATCATAATGCTTTATTGCAATAATCAAAATACGTTATAAAGCATTTAAATGACTTACAAGGTCAGGTATTATAATGTGTTATAACTGTTCACAACTCACTGACAGTTCCCACATAGATAATATATTACACATATATTTATGATGTGTTATAATTTGCTTATTAACTTGTGTAACTATCATTATAAACATTCATTAATTATCATAGGGCTTTATAACAATAAGCATAACAAATTATAATACATGATAAAATGCTTTATAATATGTTATGATTACAGCTATAAAGCATTATGATCATTTATGAATGTTTATAAATATAGTAATATATTGCTATAGGATGATTATAACGCATTATGCATATATTTATAATACGTTATAGAGATAGGCACCAAATTAAGTGTTACCGATATTTTCAGAGTTTGTTTTAAAGATGAGATTAGACAAATCGGTTCCCTTTAGTTTGAATATTTGCTTTGATATTGTGGTTTTCATGATGAATTTTGTGGTCTCTCAAATTAAGTTAAACCGGTTGTTATTCCACATGTTACATCTATTTTATTTCATGGGGAATTCAGATCTCTTCTCCAGAAAAAACCTGCATATTCCACCACATTTGAGCACTTCTAGTGACCTTCGCTCTGTAGTTATTTTACAGATGTGACCTTGAACTCATCATAATGTAACACTAGTTCGTTCAGCGAGCCGCCCAGCCTCCATCAACACTGGAAAACTAATTTTGATGACTGGGACTTGCTCTAAAGTCGGGGTGTGCTTGCCAAAGCTGCCCTCAGTGGAGTAGGTGGAGTGGAGTGTTTTGATACCAATGCAAGTTTTTAGATTGCACTCCATGCGCTCACAGTCTAGACAGTGAAACGATAGGAATATCAAACTTCTTTAACAGGGTTAAAAATTACCTTGGGCTTGTTTTTTATGTCGCTCTCATTCCTTTAAAAACCATAAATTCATCTTATCATGTAGTGACCCCTGCAGAGGTCCTCCAAACAAATCTCCATCCTCAGTGTTATTTTTTAAAAATAAGCATCTTTGCCTCAGTGCCATGATCTTAAAAAATGTCCTCTCATCCCGTTTCCTTCCAGCCATCTATTTTCCAACAAGACAGACACTCGTTACCCTGACGCCATCGCTCTGACCTATGACCCTGTCAGCCACTGGCTCAGCTGTGTTTATAATGATCACAGCCTGTACGTGTGGGACGTGAGAGATGTCAACAGGGTGGGGAAGGTGCACTCCGCTCTCTTCCATGCAGCCTGTGTTGGAGACTTAGAGGTAAACGGGAAAATCCAGGATACACACAATCTTGACCACAGCGTTGTGTCTTTTTGGTTTGAACACTGATAAACTAAATTAACTGTATATTAGTTGTACAGTCTCAGAGCCGGCCCAAGCCTCAATGGGGCCCTAAGCAAAATTTGATTTTGGGGGGCCTCTATTTCTGCCGATAATATTGATCATTCACACACCTTCACAAATCTCTTCGATTAACATTCCATAACATGCGAACATACTTTGCAATTTTCCCTTCTTCATCCCTCTTCTTCCTCTTTCTTTTCTCTGCTTCTGAAGGATATGTCCTTTTTTGCGACATTGTTTTGCCCCACAACTACTTGCTCTTTTGATGCTCAGTGCACATCGCACAGCAGGAGGCACATAACGGTAGTGAGAGCTTTGACATACGGCAGTAAGAATCATAGGCCTACATCAACAGCAGCAGCACTAAAATCTTTACTTTATTTTATTTTTTACAATAATATTTATCTGATCACACAGAAAGCATCGCTCATACATGCAAAAAATAAAAAAAATATTTAAAAGGATTTTTTTGGTTTGCTCTTGGGGGCCCCCTATTGGCCACGGGGCCCTAAGCAGGCGCCTAGTTTGCGTATGTCTTGGGCCGGCTCTGTACAGTCTGACTACTAGGAAAGGAAATTAATCATCTACTGGATGGATATGTTCAGAAATCGTAATGTTCAGCCTGCTGTAATGGATATCACTGACTCCTGTATTCCCCAGATGTTTCCAGATGTTCCTGGAGAATTTGGCGCTGGTTTAACATCAGGTGCGTTCCTCAGTTGCTCCGCTGATAACACCATCAGACTGTGGCGCACGGACGACTGGACTCAGTTTCAGAACATCCTCAGCAGTGTGAGTTTGTCGTGAGCAAAAGAAAATGTTCACCCTCCAAATTAACAAATTTTTCTATTAAAGGATAATTTCTCTGTTTTTCGTTGCTCTGCAGGATCTTCTGAAAATCATCTACATAGACGGAAACACTAGTGCCTTGTTGGACCCTGAGTGCACAGCTAATGTAAACACAGACAAAGCCGGCGGGGATGGACAGACAGCAGAGAGCAGGACAGGTATCAGGACCATCTGTGTCAGTCCAGACGGCAAACACCTGGCATCTGGAGATCGCAATGGGATACTGAGGTAGGACGGCAAGGTTAAAGCTCAGACTGATGGCCAACTTGAGTAACCTGCTTTCTAAAGAAGTGCATTAATATTCTGCAGGGTGTATGACCTGAGCAGCATGGAGGAGGTTCTCAAAGTGGAGGCCCATGATGCGGAGATCCTCTGTCTTGAATACAGTAAACCAGAAACAGGTCAGTGTGTGATTGTGACTGTGGAGGAGAAGACTATTTCTGTGCTGGCTGACATGTGTGATTAAGCTGTTTTATTTACTGTCAGGCCTGAAGCTGCTGGCCACCGCTAGCAGGGACCGTCTGATCCACGTCTTGGATGCTGAGGATGACTACAGCCTGGTACAGACTCTAGACGAGCACTCCTCATCCATAACAGCCGTCCGCTTTGCTGGTGAGCCACTTGAGACACTGTCAACATCTGACAGCTAATCTTCGCTTAATCCTCGCTTTCATCTCCATTCAGTCGCACACAAAGTCCCTCTTTTATTCCTCCTGCAGTGATGTTTGTTTAAATAATAGATGGCGACTATACATGTGTATTTAGGTGGAGCTTTGTTTGTTAAGAGAAAAGCCGTTTCTGTGGTGCGCTTAATTTCTCTCAGCTGTCACCCTGACATTATTCACAATTATTGAGTCTCTGTTTGGAGTTACGTTGTTTACAATAGCTGTAAATGTTCCTCTTGGATTGAAACTCCTTTAAAAATACATGAAGTAGCCGACGGATTGCATAATCACTTACAGGCTTTTAAAAGCTGAGATACTTTTTTAAAGTTTTAAAAGTTTTGGTTGAATTTTGTTCCTTTTACAGCCAATGACAACAAGGTGAGGATGATCAGCTGCGGGGCGGATAAAAGCACCTATTTCCGCACTGCGCATAAGGTAAGACATGTTGAATCTGTTTATTATTGTTTTAATGTTATAATAATAATTTGTTTTATTTATATAGCGCTTTTCATGATACTCAAAGACACTTTACATAAAGCACACAATTTGAATATAGTGATAAAATAAATAAATATAAGTAAGTAAAATAGTTACATGTTAAAAGCAATTTTAAAAGGTGGGTTTTCAGAAGGGAGTTGAAGGAGGGCGAGTCAGTGCAGGATCTGATCTGGACGGGGAGAGAGTTCCAGAGGGAGGGTGCGGCAATGGAGAAGGCCCTGTCCCCCCAGGTTCGATGAGTCATTCGGAGGGGTGGGGACAGGAGGTTGGCATCGGAGGTTGCGGGGGGGGATTGTGCCTGTGGAGCAGGGCGCTGATGTAGGAGGAGGCCTGATTGTGAAGAGCTTTATGGGTGAGGAGAAGGATTTTGAAGGTGATACAGTTTGAAGGTGAAGCGGGTGTGGGTGAGCAGGCGGGCGGCAGAGTTTTTGATGAGTTTGAGGATGAGGGTTTCTGCAGCCGGGGGGGAGGTAGATGGGCGGAGGCGGGCGATGTTTCTGAGGTGGAAATAGGTGGTTCTTGTGATGTGGTTGATATGTTGTTCAAAGGAGAGTTTCTGAGTTGTCGATGGAGAGGTGGAAGTTGTGGGCGCTGTTGATGGAGGTCTTGGGGTCGATGATGATGAGTTCCGATTTGTCGGCGTTCAGCTGGAGGAAGTTGGTTTGCATCCATGATTTTATATCGGTCAGGCAGTGGGTGAGGGTGGAATGCGTTGTGGTGGTGATGTACAGTTGATGTAATGTTGAGATGTTGTGAATTTTATCTGTTGTAGGAGCTATGCTGCTGCCCTCTTGGCCAGGTCTCCCTTGTAAAAGAGATTTGTAATCCCAATGGGACTAACCTGGTCAAATAAAGGCTAAATAAACTGTCTTGCAAATAATCACCATCAAACATCCAGTCTTATATTTTAGTTTTCTGAAAGACTACTACTACTTTCTCCACTTTCTCAGCACAGTTAGCTTAGCTTTAGTTACTGTTTCCCCCCTTTTTAGCCCCTCAAACTAAGAACTGCATCGTCACCATAACCCGATATATTTATCCTCTGTGAGTGAGTAAATCTGGACCACAATAGGAGCTTTTAAGCTTTAACTTGTGTAACTAAGTGATGCAGCCTCTAAATTTGCTTCTGGGTCACTGGGGCAAATTTCTGTTTGGTCAGAGTTACAGATTTCTCCTTAAGACGCGAGTCAGGCCACCGCGGTGACTCATAGGCGTTCGATTTTACTGAGGAACAATAAACAATGGCTCGTTGGTCTTTGGAAAAACTCCTCTGCGTTCGGTCATTTCCGCAGCACTCGATGAAGAAACGAGTTCTGACAGGTCTGAGCTCGGCTGCTGTAAAGGAGCATCTGTTATCAGTTTCTGAGTCGTACTCCATGTTCTGCCTTTAATGTAATTAAAATTAGGGATGTGCCAAAGCAATTAATTCTGTTGTTTAAATGAAAAACTCAAATCAATACTAACTGGCTTTCCTAAGGGTGGAAAAAAAAATCAAACTCTGTGTAGTGCAGCATTAAAGCAGTGGCTGTTTACAAGAGCAACATTCCCAAGACACACATTTCAGGCCTACAGTAATAGAGATACAAATTTAACCAATTCTGTTGCCTGCAAGTAAAGGTGACTACTTGCACTAATTTAGTTGACTAATCTGGCACGTCTTAGGTTATCCCTTGCATATGTGAACGCCCGCTTATATAAAATAACATTACGACACTGTATAAAGTTGTTCCCTTCAGCTTTAAGATTCCTGGAAGTGCTGGTTTTCATACTACAGCAAAAATGCATTTTAAGTAGCTGCAGCCTCTGATTCGTCTCCTGTGTCATAATAAATTTATGATTACTGGATTGTGGTTCATTTTTATTGTTTCTTGTACAAGACTGAGGAAACAGAGATAAAAAAAACAGGTGAAAAATAGCATGCACACAGACTGTAAGGTCAGTTAGTTGAGGGATCACAAGCAGTAATATTGAATTTTGGGGGATTTTTAAATAAAATCAACAAGACAAATGCTGCGTTCCAGTTACCTCGGAAGTCAGATGTCGGAGCTGGGGATGATATTACTCCCGAGTTGACGGCGTTCCAGTTAGCGATATATTTTTTTGTAGGATAATAGGGGAAAGTCCAGCCTTCTCCGCCTCTGATTGGCTAGAAAAGCTGGAAACATCATCACACGCTCAAGCCAAATGCAGGCTGTCGGCTCTGTACGCCGAACAGAACGTTAGCGAACATGATCACACTTTTGAATCGCCTAACCCTAGCCCCAATCCCAACTCTAACCTTAATCCGACAGATGATGACATTTCATAGTCATAAGGAATAACCAATCGGAGCCCAGCACTTATAGCCAATCAGAGGGGAAGGAGGGCGGGACCTTCCCTTACCATCCTACAAAGCAAAATTTCGCTTCCAGTCAACAAGTCAGAAAACCAAGATGTACGCCGACAGTTAGCCATTGTTAGCTGTTGTTTACAATTGTCAGTTGTTGTCAGCCGTTGCTAGTTGTTGTTAGCTATACCAGTTGTAAACAACGCATAACACAGTATTTTACACTTACAAACACCATAGCACTGTGTTCACAGTTAGATGTTGGGCAGTACAACATAAACCACTTATTTAATTTTACAAAAACAAAACAGAAGTGCTAATAAATAACACACTATGAAAGCTTTCACTGTTACTCTTTACTGTTGATGCACTGTGCTACCATCTTGGATTATGACGTCGTCAAAGGGGGGTTGAATTTCCAACTCGGAGCTCGGAAATCCCAACTTCTGAGTACAACTGAAATGCATCCAAATACATGAATGAAAGACTGGAACATATATAGACAGTTCATCAATTATTAGTTAGGATAAATTTTCAGTTTCTGACATTTTGTTTTGCAGACTGATAGAGGAACTGAGTTCAGATGTTCCCACCACAACGTGAGGAAGACCACGCTCTATGACATGGGTGTCGACCCCACAGGCAGGTACACTGCTGTCGCCTGTCAGGACCGCTTTATCAGGTGAGCGTGTGTCTTGCTTTTAAAAGTCCACAGGGTAAGAGATGAGGGTAAATGCTTTTAAAGACCTGATCTTTTGTAGTGAAGTAGTTTGACTAAGTTTGCAATTGTTTGCAGGATTTTCAACATCAGCAGCGGTAAACAGAAGAAATTCTACAAGGGGTCTCTGAGCGAGGACGGCAGTCTGCTGAGGGTAACATATCTCAAACAGGCAGAAATATCCTGGCTATGTCGTTATCTAAATAAGGAGCATATTAATATTTATTATTTATTGCTCATTTATTTGTTGACTAATTTTTTGATTCGGTAACACTTTACAATAACCATAATTTATAAATAGTAAATAGATAGTATATTAATGTGTAATCATCATTTAAAAACAGCATACAGACCAATTATAAATGGCAAATAGACAGTTTATTGATGTAAGTTAATAGTAACTTTACCATTAACAAGCATTGAAATTATGATTAATAATTCATTAGTTATTAATGGACTATTTATTAAAGGTTTAAATAGGGTTTAAATATTGGTTGTAAAACATCTAGATTGAAATGTGTGTCAGTAGCACTTTGTAAATGGTTAATATTTGTTTTTTAAACCATCTGTAAACATTACTTAGATGGTTATTGTAAAGTTTCAACTGATGTTTTTAATACTTACTAATGTTTATAAGTAGTTTATAAACTAAGTATAAACATTACAAGTTAGGGTTAGGGTTAGGTTTTTAAATGTCTAAAATTTACAATTTATTAATGGTCTATATGCTCTTTATAAATGATGATTAAACATTATTAAACTATCTGCTTACCATTTATAAATGGTCTATTTACCATTTATAAGTTATGGTTATTGTAAAGTGTTACCGTTGGTTTAATTTATCTTTTGAATTTTTTATTGTATTAGGACATTCCTTTATTTACCTCTTCTGTATTATTCATATCTTTATTATTATTTTCATTTCTGCCATATGTTTAAATTATTGGATGTTGTTGCATAAATACAAAAATGTTTAATGTAAAAAAAAAAGCCTATTAATGTGAATATTTCTTGTCCTGGCAGGTTCAGTTCGATCCCTCTGGTCAGTATGTGGCCACCAGCTGCTCTGATAAAAACATCAGCATCTTCGACTTCTTCACTGGGGAGTGCGTCGCCACCATGTTTGGACACTCCGGTAAGAAAATCACATCTTTTTCCGTGCTCTAAAAACACAAATACTGAAGCAAATTAACTGAACATCGCCGTCTGTTTTGTTTTGCAGAGATTGTTACTGGGATTAAGTTTACCAACGACTGCAAGCACTTGATCTCTGTGTCAGGCGACAGGTGAGAAGCAGTAGTGTGTTTAGTGGCTCGACTGGATACACAGTGGGTGAAATCCAGCATATTTAAGTGTATGGCTCAGACTTCAGTAACAAGCACAGCCATAATAACAATGAGCCATCTAAATATGAATAACTCGGTGGAAGTGAGGAACTGTAGAGGAGCAGTAGTCTCCCCTCTACTCTACCCAATTTTAAATCATCCTGAGTCTCTGCTGCCAGAGGAAATGAGCAGGGAAATGTGTTTGCAGACAGTTTCCTCAACAGTCGAGCTGAGATGAAATGCTGAATTTTTAATGCCTGAATGCTTTTATCTCCCAGCTGTATCTTTGTATGGCGGCTGGCTCCAGAACTGACAATCAGCATGAGAGAGAGGCTCTGCCAGCTCCGACAAAACCAAAACACATCTCCTGGAAAGACCCCAAGCCTCAGGTGAGGACGCACTAACACCACCTTCAGCTCTCAGAGGAACGTTTGGTGGTAGCAGTTATTACAAAAAACCCTTTTTACTCCAGATAAGACAATAATTCATATGCTGAAATCCGTGTCTGTAAATCCAGGCGAGAGGTGTACAGCGCCCCCACTCTGGGCGGCCTGTCCTCTGACAGTGACCGTGAGCACGAGGACGAGGACGGAGCAGAGAACGACAACCACATCGACTCAGAGGACATCGCGACAAACACGTCCTCTGACAGCAGTCACGGAGAGGAGGACACAGGTAGTTTATAAACACAAACACAGACCAGCTGTTTACTGAGTCAGAACACGGTTTCAGCGAGTACATGTTGTTTGTGTTGGAAAGAATCTGCCACCTGTAGTTATCCTGTCCTCTGTCCTCTCTGCGGCTCGACTCTCTGATGAAACATCAAGAGAAGAGCGAGCGGAATTTGTTTTTAAGCTTCTGATCAGTGTTCTCTTGTAATCCACAGGCTGCTCAGATGAGGGACAGAGCTGGACGCCGACGAAGGTTGGTCATTATTTCAGTATGAAAGCTTTTCTTTTTTTGCCATATATTATTTATTTATAAATTTAGTGTTGTTGACAAAAGAGAGTCCATAAATCCTTCCCAACCCACCCACTCTCTTCACATAGCAACAGGAAGGATACCATTAAACAGAGTAAATAAATAATAAGTAGATTAGTAAATACAAATCTACATGAACATCTGCATGTACATTACACATGCAGGTAAATCAAATTTCATTTCCAGAGTTTTCAAAATTTCAGAATTCATCATTTCAGAAAGAGTTCAATCTGCCACATCCTGAAACCTCTTCTTACTTTTAACACAATTAAGTGAATTCGAGGAACGTTTCCTCTGCCATTATTTAGTCATTTTGAAAACCATCCTTTCTCTGCATCCTCTGTAAATGAAGATTTCAAGAATAAAGTCCTAAATTTGTGAAATTAAAGTCACAATCTTGTGAAAAGAAACCTTCTTCTCTTAAGTTTACAAGTGTAAGAGTGAAATCTCTTTTTTTTCCCTGAAAGGAGGCTCTTGATTTGTGGAAAATCAAAACTAAACATCAAATTTTCTACAATTTTCAGATAAATTTGATCAAAACTGATCATTCAACAATGCAATAATATTACAAATAAAAATCACTGCAGCCCCTTAATTTAATTCTCAAACACTGTGTAACAATCAGTGAATGTCTGCGGCTCCAGCCTTGTATCTCTCTTTGAGTTTTCCATCAGTACTTTAGAGGGACTGAAGTGGCTTAAAGGATCTCGGCCTTCACTCCACCACACATGAGATTAAATCCTCCATGATGCACCAGAGGGGAAACATCCCGCTGAGTCCAAGGAGCGATAAAGGCCAAATAAATTCCACCGTAAAACACGCAGTTAGAGTCAGAGCGCTTAAAACCAGATCACACAGACGACTCCGATATGGAAGAAACTGACTCTTCAAGTCCTTTATTCTCATTTTCAGATTTATTTTTCACTGTGTCAATGTCAATCTGTGTGTTTTATTTTTTTTCTAGCACGTGGACCCCGGCCAAGTTACTCCAAACCCAACTAAGCGTCCTCGGAGACGCTGGTCTAATCGTATGGGCTCTCTGGAGGTGATGGTTAAGTCCATGCTGGACCTGAGGCAGCTGGACTCCTTCTCACATAAGAAGAACCCAAACTGTCTGCGTCATGATAGAGAACGTCAGAGCACAACCAGCCTCCAGGAGTCTGAGGTAGGCTGAGATCTACTCTGAGTCCCAGAGAGCGAAACAAAAGGCTGCATGTGTGTGTAATACTGAAATGTAAAGATGTTATGCTAATTTTCTGCCGCTGCAGTTGGAGGAGAGAGCCAAGAGGCTTTGGCCTTGGCCCCACTCTGACTGGCTGTCCTCCCACCCATCCAAGGGCATCAGGGGGACTGATGGAGCTGTGCTGTACCCTGAAGAGAACGAGAACCATACAAGTCCACAGAGCAGGTAAATCTCCACTGACGTAATCAAAATGACACTGATGGGGATTAAAAATGCTTATTTTACGTTAATTTCTGGTTTCAATGTCCCCCTCCTCTCCTTTTTCCAATTACACACAACAGTGAATACAAAGTGAAAGAGCAGCACTGCAGGATGCAGGGGCGAGGGACTCACAGCCAGAGCCAGGAGAGCCGCAGCCCAGACAGCGCCTGCTCTCTGGACTACGACAGCAGGGAGTCCAGCCCGGACCAGCTCCAGGAAGGTGAGATCCTGAGCTCAAGACACACAAACAAAAAAATCAATATCACAGTCTAAAAGTCATACAGAACTTTATTTTTTAAATGTTACCTTCTTTGAACCAGCTTTGTCCTCCCAGTGAAGAGGCTTTGTTCAGATCAGTATGGGAGAGGTTGACGATAAAAAAGTAAAATCAAAAGTTAGATTATGAGTCTGTTCGTGCACAGAAAGCTTAGACTGAGCAGATTTTATCATCAGTTCGAAGGTTCAAAAAAAAGGGTCCAGATTGTACCGTGTGTGAAGTGTAGAAACAAAAAGACTTTCTTCCTCAGTTCAAGAAATTACACAACACACAGAGAGAGAGAAAGGATTGTGGATTTCATTGTTCAAGTTTCAGAGGAAGGATAAGCAGTTTGTTTTTCCTAGAATGGGTTTGTAAATCACACACTCCTGAGTCTGGGTGGAAATACTCTGAATACAGGCCGCTTCACTTTTCATCATCAAATAGGTGGTGAGTTAACGCACAGTTACACAAAGTCTCGGGAAAATCATCACTCGACTTTATGTCTGTCATAATCTTTGTCGCAGAGGTGTGCTCAGATTATTTCGCAGAGGTGAAGCAGCTCGAGCACTGACTAATAAAGCATAATTGCATATAAATAATAAGCATTTATTTACGCTGTTTGTCTCCGGTAATTATGTCTATGAACTAATGTTCATGCGGTGCACAGATGTATTTTTTCAGATGTATTCTGCTACTATGCAGTTGTTTGCTACTTGGTTCTAATTCAGCACATAATTGGTTCAGCGTGAAGCAGACCCAGAGCAACTCTCCTTTTCATCGGTTATTCATATAGTCTACCAAGACATGGCAGAATGCCGACTATTGAAAAGAATATTGACCATGTTTTATGTTGATATTGAGGGAAATTAATTTTTCGATGTATATCGTTATCATTTAATCGCCCAGCCCTATGTGCTACGAAGAAAGCAGCCTTTTGCAAAATGGTCTCTGATGGGTCCCACCTCTGACCAAGCAAACAGCCAATCATAGCTATTGGGGGGTGGCCAATTATTTATCAAGGAGGGCCCGTGACATGTGTCTGAGTAGACAATTAAATACCACCTCCCCATTTACACAAACCAATTCCATCAGACATGCCTAATTTATGATCTTGAAGTGTCTAAGAAAATAAGTTTGGTTTTCCACATTGAGAACAATTAATGGTATACAAAGCTGCCATTACGCTTCATGAAAGATAAGATGAGGATAGGATATGTAAAGCTGTAAGTGGCACATCTGACAGCATAGAAATGAAAAGCAGGCATTGAACTATAATGTTACAGATAGTGGGCCAAGAACCAAACCATGTGGGACACCTTTGTTGACTTGGAAGAACCTCAGAGGAAGCATCCTTTAATTGAAGTAGCTTGATTTGTCCAGTGAGATTGTTTGAGGCTATCTCAGTGTAAACTCAGGAAACAAACAACTCAATAAAGGGAGGTTATAATTTAAACAATGATTGGGATTAAATTTATTGAATAATTTGTTTGGAGAGAATATACACAAAAGTCTAAATGTGGGAAGATGTTCATTTAAGGACACTTTAACAGAATCTGAACATGTCTGAAAGGAGCGCTCCTGTAGAGTAAGCTTTACTTATGTTTCAGTAACTCTGAATTGATGTTAAAGTCAAACCTGTATGTTTCATCTGAGTATTTTCTGTTTCAAGTTAAAAATGTCAGCTCAAAGTGTGTCAAGTGCTGGATTTAAAATGAGAAGTTGAAATATACATGAAAGCCCCGATCTCTCTTTAACGTGAAGTAAAGATTTAGTCTGCCGTGTGGGGTTTGAGCGCACAGAGGCAGAGTTTTAATTCACCTTCAGACGTCTCTGCGGCGTAAACCTCTGTGCTCTGTCTGGTCATTTCTTGAAGATTATCTTAGATCTCTCTTCTTTATTCAATAGATGTAAAAATAAAGGTCAAGGGGGGGCTTGAAAAGCTGTTTTTTTTCTCTCTGTCTCTCTCTTCCTTGTGCCTCGGCTGAACTTTTTCACCTTTTATGCTCCAGATTCTGCTGATGTCGAGTCCCTGAGCCCAGACAGCTCTGATGAGGAGGACGAAGACACAGAAGAGGAGGAGGAGCAGCAGGCGGAAGTGACGAGTATAGACGAGGCTCTGAGGACAGTGACTGATACTTCTGAACACAGCCAAGAAGATTTCCTCAATCAGAACTTTGAAACCCTGGGAGAGGGCTCCAGTACGGGTAAGTGATGTTAAACACTTCAAAAACAGTCAGAGAAATTCTTCAAAGTTTGGTAAAATTGGACTCTTGTAGCTGCTGTGACTAAGATAAGAAATTTGAAACCACTTAGATTTTTGTCTCATGAATATGCAGTGAAGCTTTGAATCTAACAGTCGTAAGATTGGTGTATTTTTTATCTCGTCTTGCAAAAATAAACCTTTATACACACACACACACACACACACACACACTTATATATATATAGTGTCGCTGTCCAGTAAAAAAACAAGAATCTCCAAAATTTGTTTTTTTCAGGAACATTAAAAAACAATTTTATTCATAAACTACCTAACAGAATAAACCCAAAACACTGTAATTAGACACAATTAGGACCTGCAATCAAAATCTACATTTACACAGTCATTAATGACCTGTTTGATATTTTAAACAGACTTATGTACTTTACGTTTTGAGTGATAATGGACATAAGAGTTTTTTTAATAATGTGCTCCAATAACATTTGGTTATTTACGAGTTTTTTTCAAGTATCCTGTTTATGTCTCACTATGTTGATGAACTATTGATTGCAGGCTATCCTACATTTCCACGTAGCACATTAGTTGCCAAACTTTTTGAGTCACGAATCCCAATTTGGTGTCTGCGACCAAGTGTGAGAGAGAAAAACAGCAGCAGCTTTGCCTCTAGGGATGAACTTTGGCTCAAAAAATTTAACGGACAGATAAGCAACACCGTCAGAGTTAGAAAAAAGTTTTATGTGAGGACATGAATGTAGCATTACCCTGAACTGTAATGAGTCTGTCACAGTGTAAAAACGTGAAAATGCAGGGCCAGGGCGGGAGATACGTGCTTTGTTGACACTTTCAACACCCAATTGAGATACATGTTGAAAAGATGTTATAAAATGTCTTTCCATCGGTCATTTGGATACCTAAAGATTAAAAATTAACAATACTTGTGCAACAGGTCGTACTGCAGGCCTGTTTTGAGCCTCTTACCAAAATGGAGTGCACAGTAGTATTTTGCTTTTACAAATAAAGGAAATCACAAGGTTTGAGGAGGTTAGTAAAAATAATAACCTACAGGACAAACTAAAGCAAAAAGCTACAACAGCTGACTTTCAGACCTTTGCTGAAGTAGATAAGATCGATGGATATAATCGGTTTTCTGTGTAAGGATCAGCTGATCCCCCAAAATTGAGGAAATCAGCTGGACGATCGATCGCTGCATGTTTAGTCTAGATCGCTAAAAGTGGAGATTCACGCTTTCATTGGACAGTGACGATATATATATATAGAGGTTTATATTGCTGTTCCCCTACACTGTATTTTTGCACAGCATACTTTGGGTCAATCCACTCTGCCCCTGCTCCTTTTTCTCTCTGTGTCTCTGTGTGTTTTCACTTCTCCCTGCTACTTTCTCCATTATCCTTTTTTTTCTCTGTGTCTGTCCACAGTCGAGCAGAGCAGAGTCCCCAGGCTCAGTATGTCTTCACGCTTCCTGGCCAGAGGACATAATAACAGGTACTGTTGTCCACTTTAGCCCAGTGTGGACTCACAGCTATAATTGCAATCCTATGTGGACTCATGAACACGGCTCTGCTAAACCATCTGTGCAGCTTTGTGATGGAGCAAAGCTGTCAGGTTAAATGACAACTATGTTTGTTGTTATTTCGTGTTTGAAGGATCAATTTTTCTATTAAAAAGTGAGGCCTGTAGGGTTTGAAGTCACTGTATATTTTTAAAAAAGACTAATGTTTTGGGAAATATGTTTATTCCCTAATCTGCAAGCTAAATATGAAGCTACAACTATTATTTCAACTGCTTAGTTTTGCACATAGGCAGCTAGCGTGAAAAAACAACCTGTAAACCATTTACTGTGTTTGTGCTCAGCTATATTAGTTGGCTGCAGGATATAATTTCAGGTTGAAGGCACAGACATGAGAGAGGAATCATCCCTCTCATCCGACTCTGCAGGGATGTGAACGAGTTTGTTTCCCAGCACGTTCAACTTTTTCCGCAGGAACACACGGCATGTTTCTCTCACCTGCTCCCCCTAACCTTGTGATGCGTTCTCCCGGTGTAGGGCAGTGCCCCCATTTGCCAGAGTGCATGGAAAGGAACAAGGCTGCAACTCCGCTAAGCCCCCTGTGTCAAAAGTTCGGCCCATGATGGATGATAGCCAGAGCAGAGACACTGAGGAGAAGACCCCCGTGTCCCCTGCAAGGTAGGGAAAAAAATCACAGGTTAGGAGGTGTGCAGAGTTTATTTTTAGGCAGAATTCAGCAAAAGTTAACAAATAAGACACTTGTACAACCCAATTTCTATAGATGGAAAGAGATTTACCATTATATGAGAGACTGGGTGAGGTTATAGGTCAGCTACTCCGGAATGATGTTCCTGGGTTAGGAATTTTAGTAACACTTTATTTGACGCCTATTTCTATAACGCGTTATAAATATATGTATAATGCATAATAATCACGTTATAGTACTGTATAACTATAGTTATAAACATTCATAAATGATCATAACGCTTGATAGCAATAATCATAACACATTATAAAGCATTTTATCATGACTTACAAGGTCAGTATTATAATGTGTTATAACTGTTGACAACTCACTGATAATACCCACATAGATAATGCAATGCAACTGTTATTAACAGTTATAACACATTATAATACCTGACCTTTTAAGTCATGAATAAATGCTTTATAATGTGTTATTATTTTTGCTATAAAGCATTATGATCATTTCTGAGTGTTTATAACTATAGTTTTACAGTGTTATAACGTCATTATAACACATTATAAAATATGTTTATAATGTGTTATAGCAGTAGCGTCCAATAATGTGTTACTGGAATTTTATCATCTATGGTAAATAGTATCACTGAAAGATAAAAAGAATCTGGAGAAATCATGAGAAAAATAACAAAACTGGACCCTCAGGTGGCCCCGCAATAACAAAACACAACTCTGTGATGGAAATCACTGCATTTGCTTTAAGCCACTTAAAAAAAAAACATTGTTTATTTCTGCATCTGCAGCTTAAAACTGCACCATGCACACTTCCATACCTGTATAAACATGATGCAGCACCTGAAATCTTGTATCAGGCAAGAACAAGACAACATATCTCCTATAAAACTCCAGAAACCTCTCATCCCCAAACACATACGAAGAGCCCACTGAGCATTTTCGGTCTAAAAGAGGTCTAATAGACGTCTAAATGTGGCCTGGACGACTGGTCTAAAATCAGAGCTGAATCTGAGCTATATCTATACTACACAGTATATTGCTCAACAGCTATCATAATTATTTTGATTAAGTACTTGAAGATCAGTTGTGCAACTCATAGTTGCATTTTGTAATAAATAGTTATTGAATAATGGGTTAAAGTGCAACGTCTAAAACTATACAGAATCTAGACAGTTGAAAAACTAGATTTCTAATAGCCGTCTATTGCTCAGGGGGGAGTTATGGAAAAAAGAGGTGATGCAACACAATGGTAAACCTGCTCCAGCTGTGTTTGCAGCATCTAATTTTAAATGAACTTCAGCTCTTTATCAAACAGTAAAAATGTAATATTTGAATGATTTGAAAACCGTCAAATTCTGTTTTTATCCACCGTCCTGACTCTTATGGAAGTGGGATCGTAGATTAATTTTAAATGAGGTAAAACAAATCAGGGAAAAATTGAGCAAGTCCTCTTATATATCTGTGCACTTGCAAATAAACCCAAATGGTTTACAGCATTGCTGATGAAATGATACACAAAGTTTTACAGAAGTATTTTCTCTGACGGATGTGACATGTGCAAAGTGATTTTAAAGCCTGTGTTTTTCTCCTGTCTGCAGGGTCAGTTCACCGAAGGCTGAGAGCGCTCCAACCCTTAGACTCATAAAGAAGAAGGGGCCCCACCTGTGGAGGTTATCCACTCCCCCGATCAGAGCTCCGCTGCCGTTCGACAGAGAGTCGTGTTTACAGAAGTCACAGTCTGTTCAGAGCCTGGTCTTGGACTGTGAGTTTCATCTTCTTCTTCTTTATCCATCACTTCAAGTTTAATTTATATTACCCATTAGTATCTAAGCTGTATTGGCTTTTGGTTAAGCTGTACAAAGACTGCATTTAGACATAATTCCTCTGTGGAGTTTTGCAAATATGTTTAAATCAGGTTAGACTTTGTTTGGATATTGCTTTTAATTTGCAGTGATGGGTTTATAGCACAGAAAACTAAGAGTTCATTCATAAAACTTTAACACAACCTCATAAAATGTCTGTTCATTCTTTAAAAGAGTCAAAATAATCTCCTCTCTCCCTTTTTACTCCAGCTCCTCACTCACCGGAGCCCTCTAGTGACCAAAGAGAGTTCTGCAAGAGACCTCAGCAGCTTTTTCTGGATCCCAGCGCTACCAGGCCGTCTTTCCAGTTATATTCCCCCTCCTCCAGCTCCCCTCAGTCGTCTCCTTCTCCTCTGCCCTGGGAGAGCCCCAAACTCAAGCCCCCGCTCTCCTACATGAGCCCCACCGCCAGCTCAACAGCCAAAAGCAGCCGCTCCTCCTCGCTGGGAGAGGGCATCAACATGAGCACTCCACCTTGCTCCCCCTCCTTCGTCAAAGGCAGGAGGTCCTGTGGCGATGTGGACATCCAACCTCTGCTCACCTCGTCTCCCATTGCGGCGTTCCCCTCCGCAGCCTCATCGACATCATCTCTCTTCTCGTGTCCTCAGTCGAGCAGCCCCTCTCCAACTCATACCCACCCCACTGCCGCAGTTTCACCCACTCCCTTCTCCCAGAACCTGCCGCAATCTCGCATCCCGCTTCCCAAACAGCCTCTCAGCCCCAGACGCAGCCTCTGCCTGGACGTGATACCTGGGTCGAGTTGGTCCGGAGGATCAGTGAGGGGTTCAAATCCTGCAATTAACTCTGGATGTGACACTGCGGCTCCATCAGGACACAGAGGTGAGAAAGAAAGACTCATGCTGGAGAGAGGATAACCAAACATGTGAAAGTAAGAAGCTGAAATGACAGGTTGTGTGTATTTTGTTCGTTCCAGCACTGGGCAGGCGGCTTTCTCTGCGAGTAGACCCGTCTGTACAAAGTTCAAACCGAGGGAAGCTGAAGAGAAGCTCGCTTTCAGAAGTGTAAGTCTTTACGATTCTCTTTCACAAGTTCTGCTCACAAATTTGCCTCGATTTGTTTGGTTTGATTGTCGAAAGCAAGAGTCAAAATTTTTCCCGGTATGTTATTTTGATGCATGTTCATGATTCTTCTGTCCAGTGCCAAGGAGTCTGCACAGCTAGCTGTAACCAAAGAGAGCCCCCTGGTGTCTGGACAGACCCACACATCGAGCGCTGACCCTCAGCCAGGTGTGACCTCAGAGAGCTCATTTACTAACCTGTCTGTCGCTACTACCGCTCCTCTTCATCGCTGCATCTCTTCACCCTGCTCGCCTTCGGCCTTCTGGCCCGTCTGTCCTGTTCCTCCGTCTGTCTCTGTGCCCTCCTGCTGCCAGCACTGCGATTACAACAGTGAGTCCACTGATGTCATGTAGGATAACATGACGTAAAGTAGATGTTTGGAGATATTTGAGTGTTAGATTTGGTAAAAACAGCACATTGTTTAAAATGAAAAGCAGTCGGTAAGCTTTTAAAATCAAAGTTAGAGCCACTGTGTGTTTTTTTTTAAATAAAACACACAAAATTAACACTGATCCCTTTATATGACCGGCAAAAGCAAAATAAAACTGTCAGTAATAAATATGTGTTAAAGGGATATTCCGGCGTAAAATTAATTAAGGGTCAAACACATCGTAACACAGAGTAAGACACCTCCTTGAGAGATGAATGTTGCCGACTGCTCGCTTCTCCAGTTATAAATAGACATATACAGCCTTGAATACAAAGCTTAAAGGGATACTCCGGCATAAAATTAAGTTAGGATCAAACACACCGTAATACCAAGTTAGACACCCCCCTCGAGAGATGAATGTTGTCAATTACAGCGGGGTGACGCAGCTCAAGGAAGAACATTTATGATCATTACTTTATCATTTCCTTGAATTAATAATCACTATATAAATCATTTTGCACTGCAGACTTTGTAGTTCTTCTGCCTTAGCGTCTCGGTCTGATTGCATTTCCATGAAGTAATGATCATAAATGTTCTTCCTTGAGCTGCGTCACCCCGCAGCAGTCAACTGTAGGTCTCGCTACAAACAAGCGGCTGCTGGAAGAGAGTAGGTGAGTTGTGTTTGGGCTCTTTGTTAAAGAAATCAGGCAAAGCTAAAAAGATGTTTGGTGGCTAGTGCTATGGCTGGGACTTTATATGTACTGTTGATGACGTTAGGTGCTGTTCTCAGCATTCTTTGTGGCTATAGAGTGGATTTCTGGTTGAGCGTGTGGCTCTCTGTATTGCTATCTGGGGTCGCTACTAAAGTTATAACTAGAGAAGCAAGAGGTTGGGAACATTCATCTCTCAACAGGGTGTCTAACTCGGTGTTAAGGTGTGTTTGACCCTAACTTAATTTTACACCGGAATATCCCTTTAAAGAGCATTATCAGCAGAGATATATGAAGTACTGCATTATACACAGGGGCCTCCATAATTGAACAGGAGTTCCTCACAGCAGCTTTAAAATGTCAATAAATTAGATTCTTGAGAACCTCAGCAGAGTTTAGTGCAACAGGTTTGATTGTGCAGACTCTCCTCACCTCTACTCGACTCTAGTCATCCACTGAATCTTTAAAAACAGGATTTTAAGCCTCGTTATACAGCAGAAAGACTTCACTGAGAACCACCGACCTTACTGATGCAAAAAGATCCCCTGATGACGCTCAGTGAATGATAACTAAGTCAGCAGTTCGTTTTTAAAACAGAAGCCAAACAGAGGTGATCCCGTCTCCTGTTTTTTTTTTCCTACAGCTTAGTTTTTCTGCAGAATAGAAAGTCGTGAAATCGTTTTTCTCGGTTTCACTGCTCGCACAGCTTCTGCTCTCTGGATTTGTTTGTGCGGCAGCCTCCTCCTGTGTGTTTCGATCTTGCTAACTTTACTGTGTTTTTTTCCTTGGGATGCTCTTTAACATTTGCAGCGGTCTGTTTCACTCGATCATCGTGTGTTTCTGCGAGCGCTGCTTTTCTCCATGCTGTGTTCGACTTAAGAGTAAAGAGTCTTTTTTTCTCTCTCTGTCCGTCTGCAGATCTCTCCATCACCGTGGAAACTTGTCGGCAGGCTGTTTCTGAGCTCCACAGCAGTCTGAGGAAAACCGTCATGCTTTACACTAAGGTCAGAAAGGCTGTGCGTGTGTGTGTGTTTGTGTGTGTTTGTGTGTCGAGAAATATCTCATCATAAAATGGGAGCAACCCCCTACAAGTGCCTAAACAAAGTCAGCTTGTTTTCATGGACAGAGGCACTAAAAGAGCTTTATCTGTAGGAAAACCTCCTCCTGTCTGTCTGCTCTGAACATGAATAAATCACCTGTCTGTGTTCATTCAAACCAGGTGCTACAGTGTAACCAGCAGCCCAGTGAGGATCATCAAGAGATGAGGAGCCTCCTGTCTGAAAGTCTGTTCACTGTCAAAGCCGAGCTGGACTCTCTGCCTCACCAACCTTCCTCACCCTCCTCCCCTCTGTGTGAGGGTCTGCGTTTGGACCAGGGATCCAAAGTGGAAGGGGAAAAAGCTCTGGCTCTGCTGGAGCAGTACGCAGAGCTGCTGCTGAAGTCTGTGGAGAGGAGACTGGACACCAAGACCTGATGAAACTGACTGACACACACAGACACAGACAGCAGCAGCACTATGAGCCCCACATCTTTTATTTGCACAGAGATCTTTTTTTTATGGACTGGATGCGGATGAGATGTTTGTGAGTTATATGCACTGAGCAATGTTGTCTTTTCATGCCGTTGCTCTTTATCTGTTTCATTTGCAGTAAATAACAAAGACGGGTAAAGAGGATGGAGATACAGGAACATTTACTTATCCGGTTTTCAGAATGCACCAGTATGTCACTGTTAAAGTGAACACATGAAGTCTAAAGCCTCATTAGCACCCTCTAGTGGCTGCAGCTTTACTTTCAGTGGACGAATGTAAAAGCTTCACATAAGCCTGTGGTTGTCATAACCATAGAATAGGGCTGGGCGATAAAATGATAACGATTTATATTGAAAATTAATTTTCCCTAATACCGATATAAAACATGGTCTCCTCATTGGTGGTCGGCATTCTGGCAAGTTTTGGTAGATTATATGAAAGCCAATGAAAAGGGGAGTGGCTCCGGGTCTGCTTCGTGCTGAACCAATCATGTGCTGAATTAGAGCCAAGTAGCAAACTGTGTAGTAGCAGGCTGCAGCTACACACAACCATAGCACTTTAACACGTGAAGCCGACAGCACTGTTGGTGAAAAAAAAAAAAAAAACTCAACAGATGATGACATCATTGACAAAACTTGCACGAAAACGTCTGTGGTGTGGAGGTATCTTGGTTTTTTGAGGTCGGACATGAAGCAGAGTGATGTGCGCTGCAAATTATGTCGAGTACATTTTCTCGCAAAGTCGGGGAAAACGTCAAATCTTTTTCACCTGAAGCCGCGCCATGCAGCAGAGCATGCACAATGCAAAAGGTTAAGAACCCCGAGGGGAGCAAGGAGCCCATGGCGCCTGTGCAGCCGAAACAGCCGACCATTCAGTCCACTTTCTCTAGCGCAACGCCTTACGACAAAACATCGAAGAGACGCAAAAAACCTCACAGATGCAGTAGCTTATTGTATTGTAAAAGACATGCTACCAATAAGCACTGTTACATTTCATTTTTTATATCATGATATATATTGATATTGACTGACGTGAAAAAAATATTGCCCATATTGCCCAGCCCTACCATAGACTGTATATAGAATGGACGCCGTCTGCCTCCTCGCTGGGTGAAGCCACCCTGAGAACAGCACCCTCTGGTGACGGGCTGAAGTATAGGCCCGCAGAATGCGCACAACGCGACTGCGCAGTGTTAGTTTCAGGAAGTGGAGAAAAAAAATGGAAATACCAAGAGCTTTTCGGCTTCAAATCCGTATACTGGCGGAAGGCGGAACCAAGTTGTCCATATTATATACAGTCTATGTTCATAACAGAAACTCCACAGAGGGATATTCATTACGATGAGGTTTTGATGAGCAATATGCAGTATTTTGTATTTTCTGTCTGACTCTGGATCAGTTTTATGTAAACGACAAAAAGCCCATACTTTGTGTAGCAGCTGATTTTATGTCCTTTTTCTCGCACTCTTTTTTTTAAAACCAAAAATTAAACATGAGACAAAATTTCCGACTGATCATTTTATTCAAGAACCTCTACAGTTAACAAAACTCATCAAACAGACATCACTACGTTACCATCAATAAGTTAGTTCAAAGTAAATACAGTCGCCGTAGCGTCTTCAAGCTACACATACAGTTTGTGCGTGTGAATAAGTGGTTAATAGCTATGTGTAAAAAGGAGTCATTTAAGTTTATTATGGGATATAATGAAAAGAGCTCAGCTCATGTCATAAATATTTCACACACTCTCATAGATGATGTGTGTGCATGTCTTGATGCAGTCTTGCACTCTCATGCATGCACCTTTAAAGCACTGATGTGTGGAGTGTGTGAGTAAAAGAGGGCCGTCTTATGGAAGTGTCTCCACATTGACGTAAGTGAGGACGACGTCGTGCAGGATGTTGATTCTGTCGATCTGGTTGAGCTCTGTGATGCGGTGTTTGAATTCAAACAGCGGGAGGTTGTTCACGGCCACCCTGTACGAATCCCGGGTGCACATGATCTTCATCTGGAACACAGCAAACACAGAAAATGCACACTCTTCATGAGGGTTGAGGACTGGAGTACATGTGATTAAATTATTCTACGGGGTCAAATCTTCAAACTGTTGGAGGAGATAATGAGTGAAGTTGTCTCCGCTCCTTAATAGCAGAAAACTAAACTCACTGAGCACATGGTTGTTTTTTTGCTCCGAGTGAACATAAACACAGACTGTTAGAGACAGCTTCAGATTAGAAAACCCCTTTACAGTGCATGTAAAGCGTGTTGTTTGATGTTATTGAGCAACATGAGACCCTCACTGACCTCCAGGAGGCTCCCTGCAGGGCAGCAGCTCCTTTTTCTAGGACCCGCTTGCACAAACGACTTTCCAACCCTTTCCATCTTTTCCCAGCGTTAGCCTGACGTTAACCATGAGAAAGTGGCCTTAAATCAGTAAGAGGCACCATGTGTAGCATTTTGTAACATCAACAAATCATTAAAATCGTGGTGAGATGATTAGTAGCTTCTGTTAGTACCATTTGTTTGTGATAACAAAGCAAGTCACCATGTCCACATGGCAGCGACTGTTTCCCCCCTTCATGAAACATTACCTAATGATGAATCTGGGCTTGATCCACGTCCTTACTGAAGGTAATGTCCACTTAAATATATTAAAGCCTATATTAAACTGGCCACTTTTAGAGAAGAATTAAATATACATATACAGCCTTGAATACAAAGCTTAAAGGGATATTCCGGTGTAAAATTAAGTTAGGGTCAAACATACTGTAACACCGTGTTAGACACCCCCGAGAGAGATGAATGTTGCTGACCACTTGATTCTCTAGTTATACCAACTTTAGTAACAACCACAGGATAGCAATACAGAGAGCCACGCGCTCAACCAAAACGCCACTCTATAGCCACAAATAATGCTCAGAACAGCACCTAACTTCATCAACAGTATATATAGGGTCCCAGCCACAGCAGTAGCCATCAAACATCTTTTTAACTTTGCCTGATTTCTTTAGCAAAGAAACTAAACTCAACTCACCTACTCTCTTCCAGCAGCCGCTTGTTTGTAGCGAGACCTCCAGGCGAGTCCATCAACTATAGTGGGGTTACGCAGCTCATGAGAAACATTTATGATCATTACTTTATCATTTTGTTAAAGTAATAATCACCATATTAATCATTTTGCGCTGCAGACATGGTAGTTCTTCTGCCTTAGCGTCTCGGTCTGATTGCATTTCCATGAAGAAATGATCATAAATGTTCTTCCTTGAGCTGCGTCACCCCCCAAGCAGTCGACCGGAGGTCTCGCTACAAACAAGCGGCTGCTGGAATAGAGTAGGTAAGTTGTGTTTAGTCTTTTTGCTTAAGAAATTAGGCAAAGCTAAAAAGATGTTTGGTGGCTGGTACTATGGCTAGGACCAATATGTACTGTTGATGAAGTTAGGTGCTGTTCTGAGCATTATTTGTGGCTATAGAGTGGCATTTTGGTTGAATGCGTGGCTCTCTGTGTTGCTATTGTGCGGTCGTTGCTAAAGTTGGTATAACTAGAGAAGCAAGCGGTCGGCAGCATTAATCTCTTAACGGGGTGTCTTACTCGGTGTTACAGGTGTGTTTGACCCTAACTTAATTTTACGCTGGAATATCCCTTTAAGTCCACCTCTTTGCTGTTTACTAGATTACTGAGAAGTGAGTTGGAGTGATGTTACTCAGACTAAGCTAATGTGGGAAGCCTGGGACATCTGTAGACATCATAGCAGCATTTGAGCTTCCTATCCACAGACTGACGTTAGGGGAAACAGTTGCTGTGTGAATATGGCCAATAAGAGGCAGCAGCTCAGACTTTGTTTCAGGTGAACATACAGGAAGTTTGAGAATGATTTCTTGATGTAAACGTGCTACACATGGCCTCTGTAATCTCCGCTTCACAATCCCGAATCCTCCCTTTCTGCGCTCACCTCAAATGGGCTCCCAAGGGCAAAGGGGAAGGGCCCCGGCTTCAGCTCCCTCTCCTCTGGACCCCAGCGCTCCCCCAATTTGTGGTTACGGACCAGCACCTGTTTCCCTGCCTCACAGAAGCGAGGGTTGATGTGAAAGGCGATGTCGTTGCCTCTCAGAAAGTTCACCGTGAACCTAAAGGGGACCAAAGTGGGTGAGGACTTATTAATGCTCTTCTGTCATAAACCAACAAACAAGCTGAAGTTAGTGTTCGGACTTACATTTTAGCGTTAGGTTTGACATGGCCGAGGATGGTCATCATCATCTTGTCATACACTCCTCGGGCAAGGTTCAGGTTATATGGCACGCTCTAAATAATCACAGTTATACACAACTTTAACACAAGTTGAAACTTGAAGAAGAGGGTTTTGAGGGACATGTTTCAGTGAGTCTTTAAACACTCCAGAATGAAGAATTATGGATCGACTCTGACTTAGAAATAGTCGGGGAACTCTTAAAGGGAACCGTTGAAGTCTGATCTAAATATTTTGAGAGTGACCGCAGCACTTTTTTACTTTAACTTAACATGTTCTGCTCTGTCCAGATGTCAAAAGTGATTTATATCAATCAACATTCAGCTTTTAATTCACACCTGTCAAGATCATGTCTAAATTTTAGGGTTAAAAAATTGTCAGAATAATAAAAACAGTTTTTGTTTTGGTCAGGTAACAGGAACAGGTCAGGAAAAGTTCACCATGATGTGGGAAAGAATCAAAAACAGTCATATAATTTTTTTCATGTGTATCACTAAAGGGGTGGAGGTTCATGGAGGTCAGTCTCACCAGAGGTCCAGATGTAGGTGGGAGCCAGTGAGGAGGCATAAAGTTTGGACTCTGTCCAGGCCATCCTGACTGTCCCGGGTTATTGTGCCAACCAGGATGGGCGAGCCACCTGGAAGAGGGAGAGGGTCCAGGGACTGGGACCGGAGTTGGGGTTGGAGTTGGGTATTGGCCAGGGACTGGGGTTTGAATTGGAGCAGGTAGCTGAGGAGTCTGGTATTGGGGACCAGGCCAGCAAGGGTGGCAGGGCTGCCCTGGGGTTGGGACAGGGGCTTGAATAGGAGCCGGAGCCGGAGCTGGAGCTGGGGCGGGGGTTACGGGTATGGCGGGTGCAGGGGTGGGTGTCATGGCTGGAGCTGGAACAGAAACTGGTGCAGGGACAGAGTAGGGAGATGGTTGTGTCCCAGGCCAGCAGGGCGTGTTGGGCTGTCCGGGCCAGCAGGGTGCTGGCTGGGTGGGCTGAGCAGGCCATGAAGGGAATGTGGGTGAAGGTGGAGGCAGGGTGGGCCAGAGGCCGTTAGGCTGTGGGGCAGAACCAGGGGACGGGCAGCTGCCACACATAGCATCAGAGTGCTGAGAAGGAGGGGAAGACGGGGAAGGAGAGGAGGGGTCAGGAGCCAGGATGGAGAGACGGGGCAGAGAAAGAGTGGACAGGATGGAGGACACCAACTTGCAGTGGCAAACATGGCCGTTTGACATAAGCAAAGATTTAAACAATCACATTTAGATGGTAAATTTGAGAAGAAGATGAATTGATCTGCGTCTTTCTTACCAGTGTAGAGATCTGAGAATTTGAGGAACTACTTACATCCATGCTGCCTGCAAGAAGAAGAAGATCTCTTTATCAGATTTATAATATAATAAAGAAATGAAATGTAAATTGATCTACTATCTAGAAGAAAATACAGATCATTCACATCAGTAACTCTGAGTTGCATGAGCTGCAGAGAGAAGATTTAGTTCTCCATGTGGCCACCAGAGGACTCTACAGAGCACTCTACAAATGCTGGGTGAACGTCTGTCTCTTCATACACAGGTAAGCATTGTTTACTGAAGCAGTGGAATGCACTGATTGAATGATGAGCACAGCAAACACCCAGTCATGCAGGGATATAATAGTTTATCGATTCAGGGTTGTATCAATGACTTATGCGCTCTCAGAGAGGAATGTGCAATAACAACAACTACAGACAATACAGCAGTAAGATAAAGCTGTCCTTGTGACTGCAGATTCAATTACTGGTACTGAAAAATGAAACTCTTTATGGCCATTGTGTTGAATGTATAACTCTTCTTGTTCTCTCTACCTATAATTACAGCAGTCTCTTTTCATAATTTGCCCATTTAAAACACATTTTTTATTTACAAAAACAACTCTATCACTGAATCTAAGTGTAATTTCTTGTTATATATTTTTATTATCATTATCTTTCTGTAGAGTAAAACAGATTATTTCTAAAAATTGAGTATCAGTATCACTATGAATGGGTCTGTGCCTTTAAAGATTCAAATCAATCATAGTTTACAGGAGAAATCACATCTTAAAGTAATTTTATGGTGATTGGAAATGTCCAAAAGGATGATTAACTACAAACAGGAATCATTTAATAAGACACAGTATCCATATCAAGATAGATTACAATCTGAATATGATGAATTATCTTAAATGTTTACATACCTATAAATCTTAAACCTCTTTCCCCTGCCACCATAAAACATAAAGTATTAGGTATAAAGACGCTTTATTTGTCTCTCTATATAAATCTAAAAATGAGAAGAAAGACTAAGTTACCTTTTCTTGTCTTTAGTATCCGGACGCACACAGAAGCAGTCAGCGACGAGGTTCAAGTCAATCAGTCAGCTTGTAACCAAACATGTGGAAACTCTCTTATATAGGCCCTAAACTCTCCCAGCACATGGCCACTCCTCACCTCATCACTCCACTGCCGGAGGAGGATGCCACACCCTCACGTGTTACCAAGGAGACCGTATCTCAGTAGTCAAACAGTGATGAGAGTTGCAAACACGATTGATTAAAGGGTGGCAATTGAAAAAGGGTGAAATGCCAGATAGGGGATCATATATATATAAAAAGTTAGAGTATTAATTGTGTAAATTGTTATATCCCTTTGGATTTTGCTTGTCTTGACTTAAGCCGACTCCACTGACAGCAGACTCGTGTGTTTCGAGCGGGACAGTCATGGGACTGTAACACTCTGAGTAACACAATTACAGCAGACAGAGCACTCAGAGATGTCAGGGCTCAGAGCTCTTTTCTGTGCGTTTCAGTGACTAAGACACTGACAGCTGAACAGTCAGACATACCAACACAGTTCACATCCAGGTTGAGTCGCTGCGCCGGGTTGGGAGGTCAATTAAACGTCACATTCAATATTCGTATGTCTCTGATTGGTTAGTGAATGAATCCTGCGAATTTCGTAACTTTGATAGTATTTAACTACATTTTCACATGATTATCTGATAAGTCTCCAGGGTAACACGACATAACAAATGGCACTCTCAGCATGGAGTCAGACAGATGCTGTGGTTGTCCTCACACTGTTATTAGATTAACATCATCTGAGCTGAAAACTGCAAACACTTCTTAGAATGCAAAGACCGAATCTTCCAAGAATCCAGCGCCTGACACTTATCAGGCTTTTCAGACTCGGTCTAAAATTTAAACTAAACGTGGAAACACAATATGAATATAAATCCTCTTTAAAATGTGTACATCTCTTTGTAACTCCTGCTGTGCATTTTGACCTTTTGACCTAACAGGAGAAGACTTTTATAGTGCATCTATCAGTGTGTTGAACTGAGTCCACTTTATTTTTCACAAACTACTTTCCCTGCTGGTTTTCCTCAGAGCCACTAAGTTCATCAACTGATTAATATATAAGCTAATCAGTAATAATTGTAAACTTAATCATTTGTTAACCGCTAATGATTGTGTTATGTTGATAAAACTTAACAAGTAACTAAAGATTTAGAGATATATTTTATTCTTTGTTGTTGTATTTTGTCACATCACATACAATATGAATGTAGTGGCTTTTATAACAGAGGGCTTAGTTTAGCGTACTGTAGCTTCGACTAGTTTGGTTAGGTTTAATTAGGTTAATTTTAAGTTAGCTAGTTTGATTTGGTCAGGTTGAGCTTAGCTTGATTCAGTTAAGTTTAGTTAGGATGAGTTTAGTTTTGTTCAGTTGAGCTCGACTTAGTTTGGTTTAGATTTGTTTAGTTTAGATTGGCTTACCTTAGTCAAGTTTGGTTTATGTTGGTTAAGCTTAGTTTATGTTTAGTGTAGCCTTGTGAGTTAAGCTTAGTTTTGTTCAGTTTAGTTAAGTGAAACTTATTTTTTGTAATTTATTCTTGCTTAGTGTAATCCAAGTACCTTTGTTTGAGTTGAGTTATTTTAAATCCAGTTCAAATCAGTTTAGTTCGGTTAACATCAGTTTGTGTTTGATGTTTGTGAGTAAATTTTGGTTGGGCTTTTATTTACAGATTGAGGACTGGAGATAGAGCAGGAAGGATAAGTCTGGTTTATTTTAAACAAGTCTATATATTTAGTTAAGTTATGATTAGTAATGGTAAATTCTGGTTTATTTAGTCAGTTTTAGTTGTGCTGGTTTAAGCTGGTTTGATGAAAAAATGCAGAATTGTATCCGATATCTGATTAAGTATAGTGTTCAAACATGGCTTTTGTTCTTATTAATGAGCTGATTAAGCATCACAGCATGACAGAACTCCAACATTGTAGAGTTTTGTCCACACAGGGCTGGAGGGAGGGCTGTGACTCATAATTACTGAAACAAAAAAACACTTGAATATTAGCTCACTTACCATTTTATACTCTGATGAACAATACAAAGGCACTTGTATACACACGCACTCACACACACACACTCACATTAATTCCTCATGCATGCGCCCTGCAGTCTGACCTCGGGATGTCAGCTGAGGCTCACAGTGACACACATTAGGCCGGTGAAGGGTGCAGCCGCTTGGACAATTTTGGAAGTTGGCGCCTCCAGCTTTGTCTGTCTGTGTGGGTGAGTGTGTGTGCGCCTGTGTGTGCATCGGGATTGTGTTTGTGAGGCAGCAGCAGCAGGATCGGTTAAACTGAGCATCTGTGCTGATTAGATCCTAATGTCTCCTCATCTCCTACAAGCCATTACAAGGCAAACTGTGCAGTTTTTGAAACATTTTTTAATAGATTTCGAGTGGCTCCAAGACTTAAATTATAAACAGATAAATGTTTATTATTTGCATATGCAGAACAGGAAATGTTGTGTAGAGCAAAAGCTGAAATAAGCAGAAATTGGACAAGTAATTAAACCCATTTATGATAAAGTGATTTGTTCTCTTTAATTAATACTGATGTAAAAGTCATGAACTTTGACAGCGGGTCAATCTAGCTGACTACCGCAGGCACTAACCAGTATTTTCAGTTACACTATGGACCAAATAACGATAATTGGGTTTCATGAGCTAAAAAACCACATGCAGCTTTTATCTTTTGTCCCTGTAGTTCCCCGCAGCTTTACAGACCAGCTCAGTGTCGCACAGTTTCTTCCTTAAGTTTGTCAACCCATAACTTTACTCTCGCGATGAACTCCCTCAGCTCTCATTAGTCTTGGTTTCAACTGCACCTGGGAGCTGTTTTTATAAGAGAAAAAGTCCCTGATAATCCACCATGCGACAACTGCTTTGGCACCAAAGATCAGACAGAAAATGTGAGAGACAAGGTGGTAAACATGTCAGCTGCTTCAGAGATATTATTTCACTCTTGAGAGCTTTCAGAAAGCAAACAGAGAAACAAATAGAGTGACCATGAAGCTCAAAAGGTCAAATGAAGCTTTTGAAGCTTTCATATCTGATTAGGGTTGCAAAATTCCAGGAATTTTCAAAGTTGGAAACCTTTAATGGGAATTAACGTAAATAAATCTAAAATTCACAAAATTGAAGATTGGCCCTCAACAGGGAACTTTAATATAGTTGGGGAAAATATATTGTAGCATAATTTTGGCTAAAACAACCAGATTTACTGTAAGTACACTCCTCAATCACATGCACACAGCACACTGCTTATTGCAGGGCTATTGAGGCCGCACCCCCTACACGCACTGTGGATTCCTCACAGACACAGATGATTTCTTGAACCCTGGAGGCCACACTTTTGTGCCCAAAGCACGAGACATTTGAGCCCACAGACTATATAAAGTCAAATAAGTTTTGATCTATAATAGTATTCATATTCAACTTGCAAACATTTAATAAAAATAGGTGCTAAATGTAAGCTATTTTTCATGTCATTGACCATTCAAGGGGCTAGCTTATTATGGTGGTGCTGTTTCTTCTGACTCCTGCAAGACGGTTTTCTGTAACCATACAATAAGTTATACATAAATTGCAAAATATTTGAAGACCATTCCAGTTTTTTAGCCAACTATATTATTGTTGATGCCACTGCATTTGTGTTTTTACAAGCTTTTTTGTTATTTTATTCTACAGAAAAATGCCACCTTCGCCAACTGATGTGTGGAAGCATTTCACAAAGCCAATGTTGAAGGAAAGTCTTTGTGTAAATGTGTTATTTTATGTATGATATATGTGTAAATATTGTGGAAAGACGTATGTGGAGAATGATACAGAAATGCAGCAGCATATTGCAAAGCACCAAAAAATATTTACATTTATGTTTGGATATGATACAGTTTGTTTAAATTACCACCAATTTCCAGTTAATTCCCCAAAATTCCCATAATTCCCATGGAAAGTTTCCAATTTGGAATATTCCCCCTGCTTAACTACCCATGGAAAGTTTCTGGAAATTTGCCGGAAATGTTCCGCCCCTTTGCAAACCTATATCTGATGGATTTATGTGACAAGAACTTTTGAATATAAACTTTGTCCCTTATATTGAAACAAACAGACAGTTTCATTTGAAAGAAGGCTCACATGGTCATATTTTCAGACTTCAGAAACCACAAAAATGAATTGTTTAGAGAGGATGATAGGAAATTGTTTTGTTTGGGCTGCATATTGTCAGAAGAAATTTCCTGCCAAGAAACAATCCTGAACATTTGGTCCGTGGTTTGTCTCCAGGTCCAGCCTGTCAGGAGCTGGAACTAGTATCTCTTCTTCGGCACACACACACGCACACACACACACACACACACACACACACATAAGCCAATCTGCTTCTGTAGAACAATGTGAGGATACAGTTGCTCTGAAACCCTCCTGCATGTGAAACCGATACTCCAGTTGTGAGTGAAATTGGAGAACAGATAGGGCGCTTAATTGGAGCGGATGTTCAGCATGTGGTCATGACAGGAGCTGTGATGGGAAAGGTAGTAATGATGTCACTTGTAGGAGATCTCCCTCTCTGGTTGCAGCCAATGAGGGAGTTGAGGGAGAAGGAGGAAACTGTGAGGCGTGCTGCTGTTAGGCAGAAGAGAGCAATCTGGCAGGAGCAGGGTTTTCCAGAGCGACAGCGGTGGCATTAGCCTCTGATAAGCTCTGGGCCTGCTTCCAACACTAGTAAACTCCAACCTCTTTACCTCCTTCCTCCCCTCTTTTTCACTCCTCCTCAACACTTCTGTCCTTTGAAAGATGCAATAACAGGTTGATTGGAGTATAAAAGAGACAGGTTTATAAAGTAATCCTCACTTAAAGGTAACATTTTCTGAGTGTTTTCTCTGAGATAGTGTTTCTTAATAACTTGTGGCCGTGCGCCTTTAAAGAAGGAGTGCGCGGCGAGGAGAGATAAAATCAAAGAGTGTGTGTAAGAGTGGAGTAAAAGCTGAGAGGATGGTTTCAAAGAAATTGCTACAGTTGCCATGGGGACAGCAGCACATTTTTAACAGGAACCTGTGTGTGTTTATGTGTGTATTTGTGAGTACATGTGTGTGGAAATCATCATTATATCACGATGAGATCATTTAAACTCACAAAGGGGGATATTATTCTCTCGGAGAGGTTGTGCTTTATGTTTCATTGTAGATTCAACCAGCTGCCATGGATGCAACTTTGAAATGATTGTGACCCGTGTGCTCCCATAATCCGCCACTAGATGGAGACGTCAAATTCTCATATAGGGGGTAGTAAACATGCGGTGAGTAACCCTTACTCTACAGAGGGCTTTAGGCTGGAGGGGGGGCTTTGAGTAAATATCGAGCTACTGGATCAGCAGACTTCTTAAAGATATAAATACAAACGTAAATGCATGACATGACCGACATGACTCCTGTTTCTCCTGTTTGAGCTGCAGCATAAAGGACTTTGATAAAAATCTCTTATCATCCATTATTGCCACGGTTATGTTTTTGTTGTTATGGTGGTATCATTACAGATTTCAGCCCATCAACTGCTGCCAAGTGCCTCTCATGCAGTCAGGATATAAGTTTTGATGTGGTTAAATAAAGTATAGCTTAATTGGTTCAAATACAGCCACATCAAGCCAGCAAACCTCTCCAAAGTGTGATGCAACAGCTCAAATACAGGACTATTTTGTTCCTTTAAGATATATTTAGGGTGAAGGATCACTTCACACCTCTTCTGCCTCCCACAAACATTTCTAAAAATGAAAGACGGTTCATCTCTGAGAGGTAAAAAGCTCCACTGTCTCGCAATATATAGAGTCCAGTTATAAAAACGCATCTCCAGGCCTCACTCCACCTTCCTCCAACGTGGCTGGCTATATGAGGATAGATGTGGCTCCATAAAGCCCATAATAAGTGCAGCGCAGCCTGAGCTGAAGGGGTGTTCCCACAGTCTTGGCTCACATTTCCCAGGAGGATTTATGGGTGGTAGGGAGGCCGCATGGGAGACAGAGGAGGCGAGGACAGTATCGTCACCCAAGGATAGATCATTTGAGTGAAGGGAAGATCACACCGGGATGAAAAATGTCTCTGTTTGCTGAGTGCATGCCTTCTTTTGCAGGTATCACGTCTATGCTACAACATGCGCTGCACATATGAGATCAGGAATGCGTTTCCAAACTCCCTTTGCCGGTAGTTTTAGGGTCTCCACCTGAATGACATGCTGGTTAAAGATAAAAGATTGTAGCAAGGCAGTCAGCTGGTGAAATTTATCAGCCATTGAGCCAGAGCGGAGTTGGAAGGACATGATGAAGCAGCTCTTTCATTGATCTCTGTGTTAAACAACAACACAAAGAGCCAGACCTTGGAGTTATAATGGATACTCTCTGCCTCCTCTTTCATTCTCTCCTCAGTTAACCAGACAGTCAGACTTTCCTGTCACAGTGGGAGGAATTGACTTATGCCCTTGCGCATTCACTTACTGTAGTCTGGGGAAGAGGCCTGTGTTACAAGCGGCTCGTCAGAATCAGAGATGGGAGATCAATGAGGGCTGTGACACCGTCGGAGCTGGCGGAGGCTGTCACACTGTGTGAATCCTCAATGCTCTGGGGCTACAGCCTGCGTCTGGCTTCACATGAGAAACACTTTCATGTACACTCATGCCTTACCGTACTCTCTGAAAGCAGAAAAATGACTACTTGATACAACAGAGAACTTAAAGGGTAAAAGGCTAAGTTTTGGTTTAATGCAAGTTAAATAGTTCTGTTAAAGATTAAATAATGAATGAATTTGGCTGATTTCAAAGCATAAATTTTAGTTCTTATATTTTGCAAAGTCTTGAATCACTGTTACAAAGCAAATCTGGGACTAGGTGCAGTGTTTTCAATACTCAGTGAGCAGCGTAGTAACCCTGCAGGCATTCATAAGTCACTTTTACCTTTTATTTTTACTTTTTCATTCATTTCTTTTTCTTTCAGCCCTGTGTTTCTTTCCTTTTACCTGTACCTGGCTACCAAAACCATCAACTTTTTCAGCTATTTTAATAATTTTCTCTTACTTTCAGCAAGTTTAACAATCTACTCATTGTATTGGTTTAGCTAGCTCTACATTCTTACCCACTATGTAATCTCTCCACTTGAAAATCCTATAAATGAACTGAACGTACATTTGTTTTAACCAGATTTAGCTACGTATTTACATCAAGACTGGATATAATGTTTGGCACCCTCTGGCTAAATATTTCACGTGTTTCAGCCATTTCATTTTATCTAGGTACTGCAAACACTGCACTCAAGCTATTTCACCCTATCCAATGCAAGTCTTCATATATTTTGACTGTTAACTTTAAGCTTGCATTTAAACTTTTCAGTCATCTAGCTCAACCATCTACGTAATGAAAACATCCTTAGCATGACAAGCACACCACATATCTATCTATTAACCAACGTTTTAATAACTCTTTGTTCACTTTTTTTACTTTCAGCCTGTAACTTTTTGTTATCCTGCCTTAGCTAACATCTTCAAAATGAACATTTTAAGCACTGGATGATAGATTAAATATCCCCACTTATTCTAGCCTCTGAAAACAGTAGACTAACAGGAATGAAGCATTTTAGGTTGCATTAGATGTGATTGGTGGAGACAGTAAGAGTAAACAAATGCTAGTGATTCATTGATATGTTTAAAGGAATTTATATGCCACCCTTTGCAGAGAAAGTTCCACATTTGGTCCCCCCGGTTCAGAAAGGCTGGATCCACCCCTGTAACTTAGATTAAGCAATCAGCAAAACAAATCAAACAACCATTTTTGGGAATAAATTAATAGGATCCAACCTGTTTAAACAATTTAGCAATTGTTTGCAGCTTTTTGATAAACTATACTTTTAATATTAGGCCTATTTTGGATCACTACATCAAGGAAATCGTAGTTTTGTCTCTAACTCGTGTATCTGCATATATTTCAGGATGTTGTGCATCCCTGCAAACCAACAGAATGAGTGTAAACATAACTGTCTTGATAATATAGCATGCCAAAAAAAGTGGTCTCCTATGGTCAACTTACCCCGTGTATGGGGTAAGTTGACCATAGGAGCGGGTTAAGTTGAGCTGAATCCCAGGTGTCAATCAAAGAAAACATGAACCCCATAATAACTTTTAAAAACGGAGCTTCACAGAAAAAAAAGGACTTGAGCACAAAACAGTCTTACTGTAACTACATGTCAACATCACAAGCAAGGGGGAGAAAAATGTATGTTCTGTGTAATAAACTTCTAAAGTTTGTCCACAGCTTCATAAGCTTGGCTGGCAGAGGCGGGATCTAGGACCTATACTGCAGCCCGTCAACAGAGGGTGCTGTTCTCGGATTGGCCTTATCCAGTAAGGAGGCAGACTCTGTCCATTCTATATACAGTCTATGGCTCCGACAAGCCAAAAGGATTTTTAGTGCACCTTATAGTGCAGAAAATACGGTAATATTATTATGACTTTATTAGTCCTCTAAGCTAAAATGGTGGACTTTAATGCTTGGTTTTTGACCTCATGTTGTAGCTCATAGATACCACAATTGATGTATAAAACAAATTTAAAATGATCTTTTTTGGTCTGAACACAATTCTAATAAAATTTATGACAGACTAAATTCACTTTCAGGAGTGAAAAATGTTTTTTTGGAAATTAATCTCTAACCCCTCTTCACCCATGTGCTTCTAACCTTCACAGACTCCATGAATTGTTCCCCATCTCCTCAATATTTGGTCACATGATCAATTTCTTTTACAATTTCCAAGCAACAGGGGGTGGCTCAACTTACCCTTTGGCTCAACTTACCCCACTCTCCCCTACTAGTCATGGTATTTCCACCATATCTTGCCAACGTGATTGAGATTAATGGTCAAATACCCGTTTTAGATAGGAAAAAAAAAAAAAAGCTTTATGATGCTGACCTGAAACGTGTGTGGAAATGTCCACAGTGAGTGGTCGTGTCTGAAAGTTGCCCTTGCTCTGTTGCACAGGTGCTCCACATATCCACAGCGCTCTCCGCCCTCTCCGTCGCCACACACTGCGCCCATTCGCTCTCCTCAACAGCCCGGATGTAGCGCACAGGACCGCACAGTCCTCCTCTCACTGAGAATAACATGGCGCTGGCAGACACATAACGTTGCCCACCATAATAATACTACACACAATAACAGACCAAAATAAGCAACGGGACATGTGAGCTCTTCGACCCCGGGAAGCAGGTACGTACGAATCCTTTTATTCCACACACACGCGCTTTGACGACGTCTGTTTGGCGTAAATGTGGCTGCTGCTTCTTGTTGCAGGGGGGCAAAAACGCCGCTTTGGAAAGGCGAAATGCTTCTCTGAGGGGTTTAGTTTGTATCCCTGTCTGGATGCCCCACTGGTTTCATGCAATCCCGTTGAAACAGCAGTGTCATTCAGGGCAGGTTTGCGTCGCTGCTTACGATGCATCCGTGCAGAGATAAATCAGTCATTTTGTAGTGCATGTGTGTTGTCATGGCTGTCAGGCTCTCCGTGCGTCGGCCGCTGTCCTTGGTATTGAACTGGGTGGGCAGCATCATACCTTAACATGTTGCAAATAGAGCCGAAAAGCCTGTTTATGTCTGTTTTATCCCCTGAATGCTCTCTTTAGTTCTGAAACGATGAGTAGACGGTCGATTAAAAAATCACTGTAATGCATTTACAGCCTCATCATGGAGCAGGACTCAGTATGTGGTGCTGAATGGTGAGTTTGCAGCCTCAATGGTGCCCCTCATGTTATATTTCTTTACTTCCTCTACCATGACAGCTTCTCTTTAATTCTAGCACTCCTCCTTATTTATGGCTGGACTCTATGACAGTGATGATGACAGTGCAAGACATTAATTTGCACTGCCATGTTTTCCCAGAGATTGTGTGTGCACAGGGCTAATGTAGGCCAGGTAAGGGCAGGAACAGATGGCTTGTTTTCAAGTTCAATGTGGCTTTCGGATTAGGATGTGCAGACGAAAATTAAAAGTGGTGGTTGGGCCTTGTGAGCAGGGGTCCCCTCCTCCTCCTCCTCCTCCTCCTCCTAAGCTTATAATCACCCTAACAGCAACACACTGTTTGTAGGGGGTTATGATAACATGTAGCATCAAACCTCTAAAGCTTTCATGAGGGTTTTTGTCCTAAAATATGGATTAAAGACCACTATGCTTATTATGTTTAGCCTAGAAGCAGTGTGCAGTGGTTCCCTTTTAGAGCAAACCATCAAATCCAGTCAATAACCAGCCCAGCACACATAAGGGATAGTGGGGAAAACAACAACAACAACCCCTCTACTCCACAAAAACTGAAAATGATACTCCAACTACTTAAACAAACGAAGAGTCATTTAAATAACCTTGCAAACAAAAATGTTTAACATTATAGGTAGGGGTGCACCGACCACAATTTTCTGGCTGATCACAAATCACCGATCTTTAAAAAGCTCGGCCTGCCGATTAGGGCCAGTTTTAGCCCGTTTGAGACTAATCGGAAATCAGCCGAAACTCGCCGATTGTCGCCAATGTTTTCAGAAAGGAAATGCGGAGAATAAGATTCGGTTTCACTTCAAAAACGTTCCGCCCTTTTAAGAGATCCCCCGACATTGAAAATGCTTTTCTGGTCTGAGTATGATTCATGATAACTATGTGGAATATTACTGAGTTACTGAGTACGGTTGTTTTAGCAGTAAAAAGGATTTGAAACAAGTTTTCTGCCTTTAATTCTTTAAGAAGTGTTTGGAAGGCTCAAAAGCATCCATTTGTTAAAAAAACTAGTAAATATGTAGATATATTCCTTAATTTAACACAATTTTAAAACAATAAAAAATTTAGAAAATTGGCAGAGTAATCGGTAATCCGATCCCCCTCCTCCCCAATAATCGGTATCGGCATTAACCCCCAAAAAATCCATATCGGTCAGGCCCTACTGCCAATACCAATTTTGGCCGATATCCGACAACATACTTCGATACTCCAATCTTATTTTAATGAAAAACATTAAACAATAGTTGTTTAATAGCAATAGTTTAGAATATTGCTGTCAAAACTACTAAATTATATCACTTCCTTTTAGTCTTTTATTTTCCACATTTTAAAAATTAATAATACTTGTGCAACAGATCGTACTGTAGACCTGTTTTGAGCCTCTCACCAAAATAAAGTGCACACCAAATAAAGGAAATCACAAGGTTTGAGGAAGTTAGTAAAAATAATAATCTACAGGACAAACTGAACTGGTGGGCGGGCCTGTCGTTCTGGTAAAAGCAAAAAGCTACAATGGCTGACTTTGCTGAGGTTTATCAGATCGGTGGATAAATCAGTTTTCTGTGTAAGGATCAGCTGATCACCATTCCCCCAAAATTGAGGAAATCGGTGCCGGTCGAGCGGCCGGACGATTATAGGTCTTAAACCTAACATAAGGAAGTGCTTCTTCTTCTCCCTCATGTGATTGTAACTGCATCATTGGATTGGAACAATAACAAGGTACCTGAGGATGTGACCTTGCGCTTAAGGAAATCTGGGCTTAAGTTTGGCAAACAATTAATCAGTTACAGGCTCGGTAATCCAATGTAGGGTTGTAGATCAACAGTTGGCTTTTATTTACTGCTGCATCGATGAAGGCAGCGGTCAGCCATTTCAGTCTTTTGGGCTTTTAGCTCTGCCTGCAAGTCTTGGGAATTTCATATGCAGATTAATGCAACATTCAAATGAACAGATTGAGACTCATGAACAGCCCAAAATCTTAATAAGCTCATGCTTGTGGTGCTTTCATGGAGTGATGTGTGCATTTTGAAGATAATGCTGTCATAATGTGGAGAATATAGCAGCTTTTATGTGATAAATATAAGAATTAGACGTTAAACTCCATCCTGCGGGAAGCTATTGAGGATAAAATGACTCGAAGAAGGTTTATCTCGCTCTGAACTGCGGTGTTTCAGCCTCCTTTTTTTTACGATCATGTTTTGGAAAGTTTTGAAGCAGAGATAACCTTGATGATATCACCGTTTCCCTCAGAGTTTGCACAAATTCTTCAGGTTGAAAATAGACTTTATACAACTGTTCTGGCAGGCTGTGCGTGTGTGTCTCTTGTACTTGTACTTGCGACTGTTACAGCAATCCTCAGGTGCAAAACTGCTGGAGTGTCCCTTCGAGCACCACAGATAGCAGTGTGGAGTATCTCGAAACCATCTTTACATCCAGATCACACGTCAAGGTGAGATTAGATAAAACACATACTTTCATTGTCCTTTAGAGACGAGGAGGGGGTGTGTTATATTAAAGTCGGGTGGAACTTAGCAGCTGAGTCAATATGTCGGTCTGTGCGCTCGTCCGTTATCCGCTCTGTAATGTATTCAGTGCCAGCGCTGAGCACAACAGCTTTACATAATGATCAAAGCTTGAGGGATGCCAGAGCATGGCTTCAGCCCGCAGTAATAATAATAATAACCTTTGAAGTTATCACAATCCCACAACCTCATTCCCCTCAAATTCTGCCCCTCTCTCTCTCTCTCACTTCCACAATCCACACATGCACAGACCCACTCAGAGGTCCACCCTGTTTGACGCTCCTGGATCCGGGGGTGAGCACTTAAAAAAAGAGGATAGCGATAATGAACACATGACTAACTATTTTAGTCCCTATGGCTCTGCACTAGACTGCTCAGGCTGGCTATGAGGAGGCAGCCGTGCACAAATTCACAATTACATAAGAGTCCGAGGGAGTCACACATTGAATAATTTGACCAGAAGAAGAGACTCTTCCGCTCTGCAGAGTCTATTACGTCTTCTCTATCGGCGCTACCTCCTCAACCTTCAAATCAGACCCTACGTGCTACCTGCTAACATTAGCGCCGCCTCCCTCTCTGCTTAAACGCCGTTTGAAATGCAAGGGTGGGAGTGTGTTATCTGTAATTGAAGCTCATGATTCAGCTCCTCTTTTCATATAGGAGCCTCTCCAAAGACTCATTGGACAGTTTAACCGAGTGTCTGGCAGGCCTTCGCTGGTCGATCTTACTAATCAAGGAGCCGAGCGAGGCCGTATGCAAACAAGGGAGAGAGAAGAGATGAAGTGAGGAGAAGGGAGAGAGAGGGTTATAAGTGGAGAGTAGACGTGAGGAAGAGGAGGACAGGTGACCGTAGAAGAGGGAGGAAGACAGAGATAATCTGCAGGCTGCTGCTGCTGCTGCTGCTGATGGTGGTGGTTTAACAGACAGGGCGACATGAAAGGAAAAATGGGTGAAGTGTTGGGATAAAATGTGAGGATAAATGGGGGAGTGAAGAATGAAAATGAGGGAAAGGGAAGAGGGAGAATAAGAGGATCAGTCTAAAAAGAATATAAGAGGAGTGACTGCTATCTGTGTCTGTGTGTGTGTGAGACAGGGAGTGTGTGTGTGTGTGTGTGTGTGTGTGTGTGTGTTGGAGGAGGGGGCTCTCCTTTTTGTTTCAGTCTGTCTGAAAGCCGGACTCATCTTCAGATGTCAGCACTTTTGTCCCAGGTTATTGCATTTTGCTGTTTTTTGATCCCTGGGATTAAAAAGAGAGCTCCCCCTGTGTTTTTCTGCATGAACTGACATATCGGATACAAAATGAGATGTGCGCTTGTGCATGTGTGTGTGTGTGTGTGTGTTTGCGTGAGGGTGGAAACAGGAAGAGACTGAGCATGAAAGAAACATTAGGACAAAGGGGACGATATGTACCGATTATAAGGCAATTTAGAGAGATGCAGGGAGATATAAAGTGAGTGCATGTAAAAGCTGTGTGTTCATGTTCTTTTAAGGCTGCAGAATGGAAAACTTCTTCTGTACACTTAAATATAACATGTTACATAACAGCTGAAGCATGACTGAATTATTCTTTACCAGGATTACATTGTAAGATTGAATGCAGGATGCACAATATGGATTTTTTTTTGCCAATATCACAATACCTGATGGTAACCTGCTCCCAGTTCAAGTTCTGCTTGACTCTGTAAACTGGAGCATGCTCTCCTGCACATGCAATAATGTATTTTTCATGCCAAAGTCTTAATCCAACAGAGGTCAGTATGCTGGTGATAAAACTTAAGCTGCGTTATTAGATGCTAAATGAAGTGATGTTGATGCTTTAGTTCTTGGGTTGTCTCTTGTGAACTCTCATCAGTTTTTACCCACCCGTTGAAGTAGCTTTACACCTCTTAGGGTCTTAATAGCAGACATGCTAGCTGCCATCTTCATTGCAATAAGGACTGTGAACTTTTGCAAAGTTCAAACTCTCGGACTGTGACTTATCAGCATTTTTTTTTCTTTTTTTAAAAGTTGTAGTTGTAGATAGTGAAAAACATAAACACCAAGGGCGTTGTTTTTTACTCTCATCTGCTCAGTGTGGCTGCATTTGCTCCTCTGTGCTCATAATAGAGGATGTTACTCCACCACCCACTGCGTTAAAATGCGAAGGCTTGTCAAAAAGTGAGATAAAACCGTTTTTGTCTGTCGTTTGTTATCAGATAAATTATATATTAGAATAAGATTTTCCTTTTATCAGGCTGATAAACTTAAACTGTATATTTTGTACCATTTCCCCCCCTATTGGTAGCAGTTCTGATACTTACTTTAAGCTCATGATTCACCAGTTCTGACCACTAAATAAGTTGTGTTCACCAAAATCCAGCACCAAACTCAGCCTGTGTTGTGCCCTTGTCTACACTTGCAGCTTAACGTCGCTCACACACAGACTGTTTCTTCACTAAAACTGATTGGCAATGCAATGCAGTGTCAAATAAAATGCAGCTGGTCTTAAATACAAAGTCTTCTGGAGCATGTTGGTGCAAAATATCGGACAAAACTTATTCTAATTCAAGCCCCAAAGTTGACTACGTTGGCGTATTTGTTGTTGATAAATGGTGTAATAATAACAGTCTCAAAAATTGGATTCTGGTAGGTTCAGGTGTATTTTGCAAGTTTTGCATCTTTCCTTTATAATGTGATTTGTACACCCACCCCATTTTGTGTCTAATATTCAGCAGTTCAAATAAAGTGGAGCTGAGATGTTGTACAGACCATCTTTGTGCTGTGTCATGAATTCGTCTTTTCCCAGGCAGATAATACCCACATAAATACCCACATGCACACAGAAAGAGCTAACCTAGATACTCCCCTAGCATTAGGATCAGCAGAAGAGACACAGTCCACTATAACCTACATCCTCTACAGTTTTCTCGGTCTAACTTGTCTGTGTCTGCGCTCAATGAGGCTGTTCTACTTCCTTCCAAATTCCCCTCTCGTCCAAAAGGCTGGAATGGCCTGACTGACTGTGCTGGGAGTATGTGTGTGTGTGTATGTGTGGTTGGTCATGGGTCTGAGGCATCAGAGGGCACTGATGAAGAGGCCCAGTGAAGCTTGAATACCCAGCGATGCCCTCAGGCCCCTGAGCGCTGCATCTGCCTCTGTTGCTGCCCAAACACAGCGCTGGCCCTCACAGCTCTGTCACCCAGCCTCTGGGCTGAAGGAGTCGCACTATTTTTGTAGTAGTTTGTGTGTGAATCCGTGGTTGTGAACTTGCATGTTTTTGCTCTGTATGTTGCCAAAAATGAGGGTGATGTTTGCGCACGGTGCCGGCTGTGCAGTTAGGACCTTAATCTATTGCAAAGGTGTTTTCCAAACTATTATCGATCTCTGCACTGCTGCTGCAGTGACCTGTTGGAGCCTAATTCCACTTTAATCACTATTAAAGTGATACCTGTTTGGAAAGGGCAGCCTCAGAAAGCCAATTGCCGTGTCTGCGCCCTTCCCCCCCAAGGACTTTTTCAAACTGTGATATAGGGCTTTAGATCTGCACATCTATACCAATACAAAAGACAGCGACAATTTCCTTTTGTAGCTACTCCAGGAAAAAATCTAGGATATTTATGATTTTTAAAGAATAGTTTATTTGAATGAGAGGCAGGATGAATCTAAAAGCAACCGGTGTATAAAATTGCATAAAATATGATAAGTTTTATGGGTAACACTTTACAATAACCATAATTTATAAATGGTAAATAGGTTGTTATTTAATGTTTAATCATCATGTAAAACAACATATAGACCAATTATAAATGGCAAATACATAGTTTGTTAATGTAAGTTAATATTTACTTTACCATTAACAAGCAATGGAATTATGATTAATGGTTTTCATTAATTATTATTGGATTATCTTTTAAAGGTTTATATAGGGTTTAAATATTGGATGTAACACATCTAGATTAAAATGTGTGTCAGCCGCACTTTGTAAATGGTTAATATTTCCTGGGTGATTTTTATTTTTTATTGCTATTATTACTATGATGATTAATATTATTACATAATGATATATATGATATATATTTAAACCATTAGTGTAGATATGGGGTGGGACTAGATAAATCTCGGATTCTTCCCACTCCTTTTTGAACTCGAATAACTTTTTGTCATTTGTTGTTGTGTTCTTTACTTTTTTTATTGTTATTTCTTTTTTATATGTTCAAAATAAACTTCAATCAATCAATCAATATTTGTTTTTTAAACCATCTATTAACATTACTTAGATGGTTATTGTAAAGTTGCAACTGATGCTTGTAATACTTTGTAAGTGATTAATAAGTGGTTTATAAACCATCTATAAACATGACTTAGATGTTATTGTAAAGTTAGGTTTTTAAATTTGTCAAATTTACAATTTATTAATGGTCTATATGCTATTTATAAATTTTGATTAAACTTAATAAACTATCTGTTTACCACTTATTTATAAGTTACGGTTATTGTAAAGTGTTACTGTTTCATGTGTTATTTCTGTGTTTTTAAAGGCAGTGATAGCGCATTATTAAAAGTCCAGGAAAAGTTGCAAAGATAATCCTCCCAAGCAGCAGCAGCAGCAGCAGCAGCAGCAGGAGCAGTTGCAGCTATGCGCAGCTAAATGCCGTTGGCAGTCTGTTGCATGCTTTGTCTATGACATCCCACTTTTTAATTACTTACTTCTTTTGTTCCTCCTGGCAGTCTATCCACCTTTCTTGAATACCGCAGGCATACAGATGGGCTCCAGACCTCTACAGAGCATGTCGACTGTTGTGCTCCTCCTCTCATATGAAGTGTGAAAAAAGCCATTATGCTCATTTCTGTGGACTAATGCAGAAGGCTGACGGTAAATTATGAGTACAGTGAGATTGCGGTGTGTAATGTAGTCAATGTGTTGACTTAATCTACAGGTTGTCTGTTTCACATAGAGGATCAGTTAAAAATTTTTTAGGATATTTTCACATACATGTTTTTGCAGCACCTGTGCGTATTTGTAACACAAGGTTCCAGCTCAAACTTACAATAAATGTTGCCGCTTTTGTCTAAACTCTCCCCTGGGTCTGTTCTATTCTTATAGATGCAGAGAGCTGTGTTGTACTGGCATCAACACCATTCAGCAATGAACACTTGGAGTCAAGCCTTATTGCAAATTTAGGCGCTCTCATCAGATTTCAGCCTACTCAGTGATCACAGAGGAAGTTGGAAGGAAGGAGAAAGAAAAAAAAAAAACAAGTGCAGGAAAGAAACAGAGAAAAGTATCCTGAAGGGATCCTTGAAGTCGCTCGGCGCTCTCCATCCCGTTGCCAGCCAGTATAGCTTTCATAACAGTTGTCAGCAAGCTCTCGCTGTTTTGTTCTGTGATTTGAGATCAGTCAGGTGGAATTTCATCAAAGCAGACTTGAATAAGGAGATTCATTATGGCTCAGCTTGATTCATTACCAACCCCCAGCTCCCACTACCCCATGGGGAGACTTCAAAGGAAACAGAGAGGGTGAAGATGCGGGCTGCTATCGCACTGAGGCTTATATCATAGCATCCTCCCCGCCATCCACACTCCATCTGAGACGTGTTTATGAGACAATGTGCAGCGGTGGACCACTGTGAACTAACTGTTTACCTCAGTCAGACCTTTAGACCTCATTCTCAGTAGTTTAATTTGAGAAAATACACCTAAGAGTTTATAGAGCAAACCGTACCAGAGGCTTTTTTAATTTAAAGGCATGTGTGCAGTTTTTGTCTCTAGCTGACTCATGTTAGTTTCAGACGTTTTAAATATACAATCAACGGCTTCAAATAAATTCTATAGTGGTGGAAGAAGAAGCTAAAGTCAGAGCAGCTGCTGTATTTACATTGAACTTAGACCTAACTGAACCCTTTGTCCCTCCACACTCAACTACACTCCAGCAGAGTTTCGCCTGAACATCTCATTTCTGTTTTAGACAAACTTAAGAGGGGATTCATTATTTTTATAACTCATTAGTTGATGATATTAAAGGGATATTCTAGTGTATAATTAAGTTCGGGTCAAACACACCGTAACACCAAGTTACACACCCCGTTGAGAGATGAATGTTGCCGACCGCTTGCTTCTCAGGCTATATCAACTTTAGTGACGACTACACAATAGCAATACAGAGAGCCACACACTCAACATATTAATCATTTTGCACTGCAGACGCGGTAGTTCTTCTGCCTTAGTGTCTCAGTCTGATTGCATTTCCATGAAGAAATGATCATAAATGTTCTTCCTTGAGCTGCGTCACCCCGCTGTAGTCTGTAATGGACTGGCCTGAGGTCTCACTACAAACAAGTGGCTGCTGGGAGAGAGTGGGTGAGTTGTGTTTCGTCTCTTTGCTAAATAAATTAGGCAAAGCTAAAAAGATGTTTGGTGGCTAGTGCTGTGGATGGGACCCTATATATACTGTTGATGATGTTAGGTGCTGTTCTGAGCATTATTTGTGGCTATGGAGTGGCACTTTGGTTGAGCGTGTGGTTGCTCGTCGAGCAGTGACCTTCAGCTCTTGCTGGGGCGGTTCGCGGCCGAATGTGAAGCAGCTGGGATGCGAACCAGCACCTCCAAGTCTGAGGCCATGGTCCTCAGTCTGAAAAAGGTAGATTGCCTTCTCCAGGTCGGAGGGGAGGTCCTGCCTCAAGTGTTGGATTTCAAGTATCTCGGGATCTTGTTCACGAGTGAGGGTAGGATGGAACGGGAGATTGACAGGCAGATCGGAGCGGTGTCAGCAGTGATGCGGACGCTTAACCGATCAGTCGTGGTGAAGAAAGAGCTGAGCCGTAAGGCGAGACTCTTGATTTACCGGTTAGGGTAAATCGGCAACATTCATCTCCCGACAGGGTGTCTAACTCGGTGTTACGGCGTGTTTGACCCTAATTTAATTTTACGCCAGAGCATCCGATTAAAGCTTTTCCATCATTAGCGGCGTGACTGAGGCTAAAGACCGCTCCTATCTCCACCTCTGTGCTTCTTGTTTTGTCAGCCAACAATTGAGGTTAAATCAGAGTGTCTAGTTACATCCCAAAGCTTCAGAAACAGTAAATGAGGTTGCAGAGACATGTTCTACACAGTTGCCTTTTACGCAAACGCCTCATTTAGCAGTTAAACACTATTTACATTAGTTTAAACCGCAGAACATGCAGTCTTATCCACGTTTTGTACTTTTCCTTCTTCAACCTTGATTTTGGAAATGCTAAAAAAGGCACCACCCATCATCATCTTACTCATCCTTGCGAAGGAATCAAGAGATCGATAACTCCACCTGACTAAAGTTTTCAAGACTATGATTTGACATGTAGTCAGCAGTAATAAAGATTGGATTTACACCATCATTACACTGTTATTAGTCAACGGTACAGAGCCTAAGCTGGACAATTGTTTTCATTTATTGACCAGTGAGTACTGGGAATCTAATTTGTTCTGACCGAATGAGTGAAATTCATTCAATCAGCATTACATGCGACAAACAGCATCCTGTTTTTAAGCTAATTATTCAGAGTAGATGCCTTTCTGATTGGACGCAGTCAGTTGACAATGATTTATACGAGCCAGGGAGACAATTTAATCTATCCTAATGTTTGGTTTGTGGCTCTATAAAGATTGACTCCAGCCCGTTCCCAGAGTCAATCAAGATTCCTGCCGTGCCTTCAGCCAACAGTGGACGTGTTCATGTGTCAGCCTGTGTGGGATTGTAAACACAGGCATGATTTACTGAGAAACAGTGAAACAGTTTTAATACGTCTATGATGAGGATGTAGAAGCTTAAGGGGGTCTCCACGTCTTTTCTCACCATCCGTCTTTTCTGGTTCTGACCTAAATTTAGTGCTGCTCGGACACTTTACCATCACATAAATTAACATGTGTGATGTGATGTCTTGATGTGGCGTTCAGCAGGGAACCCAACGCAACTTCAGGCATAAAAAAAGTCCCTCATTATCCTTTCATGTCGTCCTCTGTGTGTGTGTCTGCGTTGCATATTTAGCCTGATTCCTGCATGAGAGCACACCCAGACATGTGAGAGCTCATACGCAGCTCGTACGTATCTGTGAGCGTGTGCAGCTGACTGCGTATAAACCCCATGAATACTCATATAATTCTTTCTAGCTATAAACACAAATACACATATTAGGGCAGGCGGCTAATGACGTAGCGTAAGACGGAGTGCACAGATGCGCTGGCTGAATAGATTAAAGCATTCATCCAGTGACACAGCTGTGCTCTCTTTGATGCCTGGGCATGAAACTGCAGGAAATTACAACAAAAAAGAAATCCACTCTGACGTGTACGGCATGTTATGGAGAGTAACTTGACAGAGCAGCAGCTGCAGGCTCCAGCTCATCAAATGTGCCCTTTTAGATTGATTGATACGCCGATGTACTAGTAATACGGTGGACCTTTAGACCTAGGCAAAAAATCTTCAACTGTTTCTGTTATGTAATGTGGCCGGCCGTGCACGGTTTACAACTTCATTATGTAACTGTAAAGGCAGCCCGTTGTTTGCGGCCTCATAAGATTCAAAATGGTGATTTCGCAGGAGGCAGCAGGTGTTTGCGTTTGATTGGACTGACCTCCTCGTTCATAGATGTAGCTACATGTGATAGGAGAGGCCAAATGTGCAGCAAAAGGCCTGTTTTTTCGTCAGAGCTCCAGATCCTGTTAGTGCAGGTCTAATTAAGCCATGCACAAGTTTCATTTAACACCCCCCCTTGTGTGTTTCAGAAAAAAAATCAAATCCCAGAGTCAGCGGCGAGATGCAGGAAGAAAATAGGGAGGAAGCTGCATGCTGCTGAAATATAAATGGGCTGCGAATCTTTTGTTTGTTGTGAGTTTTACAGCCGTGAATCCAAGCAAAATGTTGTCACCCACTTCAAACTCCCCCGTGTACCGGCTCCCACAGTGGTCAGTCGCTTCTCTTTACATTGTGAGTTTAAAAATAGCACGCCCTCCTTCACCTGAAAAAAGTAGGTCTTCACCTCTTTCAGGCCTGTTCGCAGCTGTCTGGTCTCTTTTGTAACGCTCCAGGAAAGCGTTCTCTCTCCTGATCGTGCAGTTATGCAGCGCGCTACGATGCATTATAAATTATTTGGCTTTGTTTTTTTCCCCCCCATCCTTCTATTACGCTTCCAGCTAAGCCTCTTCATTTCCTCTGCCTCTGATGGCTGTGCCACTGTGCATTTCCCTCCCTGTAATTTATCCATCTGCAGAAATGGACCATGCCTTAGTGTGTGTGTGTATTTATGGTTGTGTGTCAGCGTGTGTGTGTGTGTGTGTGTGTGTACTGAGTAATAGGAAATGTTGTGTTTAAGTGTGATGATTGCTTCGGCCCTCGTGGTTTACAACCAGACAAGGTAATGATGGCTGCTACTTTCTCGGCCAGCTCCAGTCAATCCCCCTGAAGTGAGTCTGTATATATGTGTGTGTATGCGTGTGTGTGTGTGTGTGTGTGTGTGTGTGAGCTGAGTGCTGGTAAATTGATCTAAAAGGCACACAGAAGCTTGAGACTGGGGATTATCTGGATAAATGCCATTGTTTCTGAATGTCTCTTGCTGTTTTTATCTAGCCAGCTTATTTTGCCGATATTAGCTCTGGGAATTTGTTAAAAACTCAACCGTGAGCTGCAGGACTTGCAACCTGTTCCCCCACAAATCCCTGCAGTTGTTCTTGGTTTCTGAAATAAAGCTGAGCATCGAGTTTTAGTAGAAATCTTGCAAACATCACAAGTTATAGAGCGAACATATGATCCAGCAGACAGAGACGTTTAATCATTCCTCAGAGATGCTCCAAATTGACTGATTCCCCAGTTTTTAATGGAATTTTGGAGTCTGATTAATCGGCTCATCTAGAGGAAGGGAAAACAGTCAAAATTAAACACAATTTATTAAACACAATATTAAAACGCTGCCAAACTGCTCCACATTTCGGCACGTCATCTGTCATCCGCAGACGTTAATCAGAGCTGCAGCCCGAGCTACCACTATAACTCAGACACAACATACGACAGTTCTGGCCTACAATAATAAAAAGTTGCAATAATTTATTACACAAGTTTCAGTGACTGCTTATGTGTTGAGTTGAGTTGAGTTTGCTCTGACTGCAGCTACACTTCCTCATAGGGCTGGGCGATATGACTTCAAATCAATATCACGTTATATTAAGCAGTTCACCTTGATAACGATAAATGGGCAATAACTTCTCCACAAGCTGCTCACCCCCTCCCACATTAACTTCGTCTACTTCAGCCGCTACAACTTTTGAACTTTTGAACCGTACTCCTTCTCCGTCTTTCCCTCTTTGTTACGGACTGGATGGGTTGAAGTCACGTCCCCGATGTAGGACAGCACCCCAAAGGGACATGAGACCATGGCCTACCTACACACATCCAAAACCAACTTTAATTAATTTTTTTGACACTGAATATATTGACGTGGGCAAAATGACGTCAGTTATTGTCATAAATTTCAGTAGTGGTAAATTTTTGGTTTATCGCCCAGCTCTACCTCCTCAGAAATGCTGCCAAGGCTACAACTATTGTATATGTAACTGGGTGTATGCACAATCTTGATAATTTGGCTCAGTGGTTTCTGATGGTGGTTACTACACTAGAAAAGTTTACTTTAACTTCTGATGCACCAAGCTTTATTCAGATAAGAAGCATTTGGACATGCGCAGAGTTGTCTAATTCGCTAAAACAACTGCAAGAGGAAGAGTTGTATTTACGCCTGTGCTGTCAACAAACCAACAAACGCGGTAGTGGCTCAGTCCATCCAATTCAGGAGTTTCCCCCGGTTAAATGTTGTCGCTAGATGGCGCCCCTGCATACGACATCATTACACTGTATTTACGCCTTGTTATTTTATTGGAGGAGCAGACATGGCATCTGCGGTTGTGTTTTATGCCACAGTGTTAATAATGAAACCTCCTGTATCCGCCCCAATGAATAAGCCAAAGACTTAAGAGTAAAGACAGAGTCAGGTTAGAGAGTCACAATCGAAAGAAATGTTAACATAGACCTGTTTCGGAATAGAAATCGGCATAAACCACACGTCTCGATCCGAATACAATTTCTTTCCAATTGAGCCAAATTTGATCAGAATCTTCCGATCGACATTTTCACATGACGCATTTTTATTCTGATTGGGCATTTATTCAGATTATTTGTGCCCATGTAAACGCAGCTAGTGTGCCCACCACTTGAAATGGCCACAACACATATTAGCAAACATTCACATAACTCTGAGCTAAAATTGAACAACAACAGATGAGAGAGAGGAAGAATCCTCCTCTGCACAGATTTTAAAAAGTGTTTCTTTCTCGTCCCAGATTGTGATCGTGTTTCGTACTGCTGTAAAAATGGACATTTAAACTCGGGGCTTGAGTATAAAAACTCCATCAAATTAAAGGTCACTCTGATTATAAAGATGAGCCAATAAAGAAAAGCGAGTGAGAGAGATACTTTGGAGGAAAAAAAACAAGCGAAGAGAAAGAGATTTGGGTGGATAAGCTCGTATCAGATGCAGTGTCACTTTGTAAGAGGCTAACATCTGATTTTATTAGGCTTTGATGGTAATTTCTATTTCCACTTCCTCTTCTGGGATATAATGAGTGTCTGCAGTTGTACAGGAAGAATAAAACCAAAGCAACCCGGGGAAAGAGAAAAGCTCTTTTACACATCAATACCATTAGGGGAAGTTTAGAGTTGCTCGAGCGATCCACATGTCTATTTCTGGTCTACTTAATTTTGCATTTGTCTTTCATTAGCACTGAGCAGTCGTCTATGCATGCCCTTTATTTTTTTGTTTTCAGTACTTTGCTAAGTAATTTACTGTAAAGCTTTCAGCCATAACATTTACAACAAATGTTTATGATCCTCTGAACACAAAATGACCGCCGCCGAACAAGAACGCAGCAAAACGTGAGGTCTTAAAGTGCTTATTTCTCAGGTTTTTCAATCTTCGGTCCCTTCTTAACATACAACAATCCTCTGAATTCATGCTGGGACACCTCAGGCGTGTCCCAACTCTTAAATTTTGGAAAGACTCTCTCACATCTGGTCTGATAGCTGCTGGTGGGTGCTACCGGCATGAATCAGAGGCTGTATGGGGCGTGCGCATCTGTGGTTTTTCCACGGGTCTTAGGCCTGAGAACAGCAAACAAACACACTTTCATGTACACACTCGTATATCCACACACACTGTGGCCTTAATCCAGGCACATTATCAGCGAGCATCAGTTTGTGAAGTCATGTGGACTGGTATGAGTCAGCGGCTGAGGCTCTAACTCTGTGCAGCTGAGATCCGCTGATGAGAGCATCTCCACTGGACGCATGTCATCCTTTCACACCCGGACTCTCCACTGCCTCACAGCCCACATTAGCTCAGAGGAGAACGCAGGATATATTTAGAATTTGACGTAGACAAGAAACTCTGTTGACAGAAGACCACTTAAAAGTTAGACGTAGTGAGAATCGTAAACTTTTGCTGCTCACGCTTGATCAAAATCAGGGTGTTTTTTTCAAAGAGATGTGTTATTATAGGCTGTGCAAACTTTGAGGAGAGGGGAAAATGTTTTATAAAAACTACGAATGTCTGTTTTAAGCTTTTAATATCGACTTTTACAGCGTTAACTGATCAGGCACTCATTTCTAGAACAGGTTTAAGATTTCTGTCACTGGTGTTTCAATTCATAAGCCGACGTTTGTTTCAATTTTTGTCCAATCATGAATTTATTTATATTACGTGCTCACTATAAAGTAAGATACAAGACAGGAGGAAGATAAACAATCATTAGTAAATGACAAAAATGAGGAAAAACCTTTCTCTTAAAGCAGTGGTTCTCAAGTCCAGTCCTGAAGCCCCCCAGTCCTGCATGTTTTGGATGTTTCCCTGCTCCAACACACCTGATTCAAATGATCAGCTCGTTATTAAGCCATTCCAGAGCTTGATAACGAGCTGATCATTTGAATCAGGTGTGTTGGAGCAGGGAAACATTCTAAACATGCAGGACGGTGGGCCTCGAGGACTGGACTTGAGAACCACTGTCTTAAAGTTTATAAAAGTCTACTCCCTCTTGCTTGTTTCATTAAAGCTCCAGTGAGGAGTTTTTTGGCGTCTATGAAACAGACTCAGATTCATATTGATGCCTTTTTATGATCTACAAAAGAAAACTTGACCCTCAAAGACAAGATTGGTGGGTTTTTTTTTTAATTTCATTCGTAATGCTTTACACCGGTGGGAGGGGGGAGGTGTCAGCTGAGATTTCCCAAAGAGATTTTATACATATATATATATATATATATATATATATATATATATATATTTTTTTTTTTCTATTTTGATGTTTTTATTGCTCGTATCCTGTTGTTTTACGTTGCTGCTCTTACTCTGTAAAGTGTCCTAGAGTGTCTAGAAAGGCGCTTATAAATAAAATGTATTGTTATTATTATTTATTTTCCGAGATTTTCCGTCAGAAGGCACCACTTCAGCATGTACTGAACATGAGACTGATTTTTCCCAAAGGGGGCGCCAGAGAGGACACAAACAAAAAGTTCCTTACAGGAGCTTTAAGAAGTGGTGTGTGAGGTCGTGTGAGGTTGAAACACTCAGTCCTTTAGTCGACTAAACATGCACATCTTTAGTCCCTCCTCTTTGCTCACACTATGACGTTGATTTGTGGTTTATTAATATTCATAAGTAGCACCACCACAGACTGATACTGACACTGGAATCATCATCATCAGAACAACTGAATGATTTTACAATAACAAACAGCAGAGATGAGTGTGAACTCATTGTTTCCCTCGTGTGCGTGTTTGATTGTTTTTCTTGGACATGACTCACTTTAGTTTGCTGCTGTAGTGCTATCATTCAGTGCAGGTTATTTTTAGACTGTGTCTTTTCAGCTTTGACTTCTCCATCTATTATCTCGTAGTTTTATGCTATTTAATGTGCTGATCAGTGACGTTTCTATTCCAACGTATATTTAATCCTACGACTCAGTAACGCAGCCTATAACTGTATTACGCGATGACGTGTCAGCCTGTACTATTTCAAAGCGCCCTCACTATCTAAAACTGCATTAACAGAAAATACAAGAGGCAAGGTGGTGAAAGACAGCGAGGCCGCTGAAATGAAAGAGAATATTTCAAAGCCAAAGTAAGTGAACATCAGCATTTACCTTTCAGAGATGAAAGGAGGCTGAGGAGTGGTGCAGATGTTTTTTATTGAGTGCTGCTGAATCGGGCGCTATTTTATTGGAAGTTTGCTACTTTGTTTTGCTTTTTTGCAGGAACACTGTTGTTATTCTGGGTCAGTGTTGAAAATGAACTACAGCTTGTTAGATTAATAGAGCCAAAAATGTTTTTTTTATCTTCACAATTTTGATGTTTATTTATTTATATATCAGCCAAAAAATCCACCGACACTTTTTTGCAGCACGGTATCCAAGTCTATTTTTGTTCACACGCACACGTAATACTCTCTGCAGACGCAGACTCCTGTTTTCTGAACCTTTACACTACATTTGCACTTTGCAAACACAAACTATCACTCTGTTGTCGTTTTATTGAACAGCGTGTAGAGCCTGTGGGGGACGTTGTTTGTGACAGGCTGAAAGCTGCAAGCATTGATTTTCATCCATAACTGGCTCTGGACCTGTTTTTTTTTTCCACATCGAGTCAGACAATAATTTCTGCCTCGGTTAAAGAGACACACACCACTTCATACTCTGGCATACAGTCTGGAGAGGGAACAGGTAGTATTTACTGTACGTTAACATCCAATCAATGGTGTCATATTGATCCAGACATGATTTTCCAGATTTGCTTCAGTGCATTGTGTAAAAATCTGCATTGTAGCTGTGCGAATGGTGTAATATAGAGGTAGAAAGATTAGAAATTCATGCTAATTTACTTGTAATAAAAGGAAATTCTCCCCTTCAAAATAAAACTCTGCTGTAGTTTATCCAGCTCTTTTCAAACATACAATACCCTGCTCCCAATACAGCACCGCAGCATGCACTGTTGAAGTCCAATCAATGTTTCTTTCCATGGCAACAGCCGTCTCAAATGTAAGCCTCACTGTCTGCTGCTTTATGTTAAAAACATATGGGGCAACACAAAGGAAACTTGCAAGGTATGTCCAAATAATCTCTGCTGTTCAATCTCATGACCGGTGTAGTTTATTTTTATTTTTATTTATTTGCAGTCCACCTATATGAGGAAAAAAAAGCCCAGCTGTGTCTGCATGTTTGAGATAATCCAGTAAAAGGATGGCTCATCTTTTTTACATTACTGCACTCTCTATATCATAGATGTAAAGTCCTCTTCCTAGGCCTGACAGGATGGTGTAATGTAGGTCAACAGGTATAAGCCTCCATCCACCATCCACAGCTAAAGACAAGTGAGGTGGAAGAGGAGGCAGTGGGATGTAAGCATGGCACAGAGCGGACGGATAGTGGAGGGAAAGAGGACAGTGATTGGTCCACAGACTGTAGTAGTGGCCTGATCAATGTTTTATAAGTATCACCGCTCTGTTTGTAGGTTAGACTTATCTTTCCTCTCCCATGTGTGGTCTAATGGCGGAGCCGTGAGTCACACAGGGCTGTGCATTAGAGATAACCCCCTCTTGTATTGTGTCTTTGCACGCGTGTTTGTTGTTTTTGCTGCAAAACAACCAAGCACCGTTACTTTTAATTTGTAGGGCAGGGAGCCTTCTGATTGATGACATCCAGTACCCAAAGGCAATCTTGCCGGATTTGTGTATGTTGCTATGGTAACAGTTGAGCTGTAGACCCGATGAAGATGCTGTCCTGGTGAAATTTGTCTTGACTGTTTTTGCCACAGGGTGCAGATGATTAAATCTTTGATCATTTCATCCAGTTCAGATGAAATGGTTTCTGTTGTTGTGATTTCTGTTTGTGGGATCAGTCTTTGGTGTTATTAACGTTTTAATTTAGGAAATGTTTCCGATACAGGCCGTCAGTGTGAAGAGCAACAGGGGATTGATGCAGTCCTCAGTGATGCAATTATGGAAACACATTGACATAGCTCTACTTAAAGGGATATTCTGGCGTAAAATTAATTTAGGGTCAAACACACCGTAACACCAAGTTAGACACCTACTTAAGAGATGAATGTTGCCGACCACTTGCTTCTCTAGTTATACCAACTTTAGTAACGACTGCAGATAGCAATATAGACAGCCAAGCACTCAAACAAAATGCCACTCTATAGCAACAAATAGTGTTCAAAACAGCACCTAACTTCATCAACAGTACATTGTTGGGTCCCAGACATAGTACTAGCCACCAAACATCTTTTTAGATTTGCCTAATTTCTTTAGCAAAGAGACTAAACACAACTCACCTACTCTCCTCCAGCAGCTGCGTGTTTGTGAAGGGAGCCCTGACAAGTCGATCACCGAGAGCAGCGGAGTTTCGCAGCTCAAGGAAGAACATTTATGATCATTTATTTATAGAAATGAAATCATACAAAGAACTACAGCGTCTGCAGTGCAAAATAAATATAATGTTGATTATTACTTCAAGGAAATGATAAAGTAATGATCATAAATGTTCTTCCTTGAGCTGCATCACCCTGCTGCAGTCGATAGACTCGCCCGGAGGTCTCCGTACAAACAAGCGGCTGCTGGAAGAGAGTAGGTGAGTAGTGTTTAGTCTCTTTGATGTTTGGTGACTTTGCTATGGCTAGGTCCCTATATGTACTGTTGATGAAGTTAGGTGCTGTTCTGAGCATTATTTGTGGCTATAGAGTGGCGTTGTGTTGAGGTTTATGTATGGTTCCATAGACTGCTGTGTATTGCTATCCTGCAATCGTTACTTAAGCTGGTATAACTAGAGAAGCAAGTGGTCGGCAACATTCATCTCTTGACAGGGTGTCTAACTCGGTGTTACGGTGTGTTTGACCCTAACTTAATTTTACACGGAATATCCCTTTAATGTCTTATATCTGCATGAGAGTAAAGCAAGAATCCATTCAGAGACCTCAGCCTACAAAACAAAATTCATAATTCTATTGAGGTTGTCAGTAAGTTTAGCAGCTGAGTCAAAAATAAGCCTGCACTCTGAGGCATATCATCAGAATTGAATAAAGCACATGAAGCTGCTCACTTCCAGATCAAGGTATACCATTATCTCTTGAGAATTCAGCGCTCTCCTCGTGTTCTTCGTCTCCTCCTCTTAACTCACAATTACATGGTTACGCGACCTTCTGAACGAGGTCACTCACAGCCCTCGCCGCTCCGTGTTTGTGGCTTTCTGAGGATTAATAACGTAGTAGCACCAGAAGTGGCTCAAAGCAGTGGTGTTAAACTGGACAGTCTCTGCCGTTGTGGGTAAAATCCCAGCCTGCATCATCCGTCACAGCTGTCATTTTTCTCGGTGGCCTTGGCTGAATTGTGAGGGATTGATATGCTGTCAGGATCGTGTCACCGAGCTCATAAAGAGCAGGCCTTGCCACAGCTTTTACAGAGCCGTGACCCCCTTGTGTTCAAGCGTGGTGTATAAAAGCTGTTACGGTGTTTCGCAGACGTCGCTTAGACAGAAAAGCTGTCGAATCACAGTTGAGTGATGAGGTGTCTAGCTTATCAATTTACCCTTTCTCAAACCTTTACACCTGAAGCCAACTTTCAGAGCTTGTGTAAATCCTCAGGATCTGCCCTAGCTGTGCAAACGGGACTCTCGATCTCTTAGTATATTAAGCGTTCAAGATCTTTTTCTTGTTTTGAGACAAGACGCCAACATGACATCTTCAAATATACAGCAAAAGTGCAAGAGCTTCAGAAATCCTCTAAGCCATACTGAAGATCTGGAAGGTGCTAACACAGTTTTTTTTTTTTGGCATCCCCTGTGATTTATCCATGCGTGTTCTCGCAGCTCAGCAAAAACAGATCCAGATTACGGGTTTCGTCATAATGAGCAACATGTGGCGTAGCTCGCTCGCTGTCACATGCAACATTTGGAAAAATTCGACTTATTTGTAAATGGATCTTATGAAGCTCATCACTGCCATAACCTACAGAAATCATCCAGTGTCATTAACCTTAATATACTGCCCACAGAGTCTCAGCCCCACACTCGGTGAAGGTCTGCTTCTTTCTATCCTTCACCTGCTTCTTTTACATCTCAGCCTTTAACCATTTCCCCATCACACCAGGAGGGCCGGCTTCCTGCAGAGCTATCAATAATAAACGATTAAGAGGAGGGTTTAACATCCTTGTGTAGATAATGGAGTGGAAAGACGGAGGCTTTCAAAGAACAGAGTGCTTTTAGTCCAGAAAACCAGCGGCAGGAAGTAGACGAGTAGAGATTTTATGGGTCAGGACCTGAAGGCTGTGGGTTACTTTCCAACATCATCCGTCACCAAGGGTTACTGATTTATTTAAAATTGGTGTAAAATACAACTAAAAAAAGGATTATCATTCTGCTTCATTTACTAATTTGTTGGTAAAACTTCATGTTCAAAAACACGTGTGTTAGTGACCGCATTTTGGAGGTTACTGCCATATTATCCTGAGTATAAGAAAGACCTGATGACTCTAGGGTGGAGATCGATTTTCTACTCTTACACTGTGATATGACTTGTGATCTTCATCTTAGTAGTGTAATTCAATGGACCCTTTTAGTATAAGTGAACAGTATGTTGATTTTTGGTGGGTGGGGCTCAGCTCAAAGCGAAACAACCCTACAGACTTGTTAACCAGTTTTTAAGGCTTGTTTTAACGTCCGGGTCCAAGAGTTGTTTGAATGATTTAACTCTGATGGACAAGAGTTAAGATCAGGGTTACAACTGTTACCTACAGATTATCCAACAACCTCGATTGAGACACTAGGGAATAGGCCTGTCGCGATAATCAATAAATCGCCTTATCGCTTGATAAATAAAAACGAGGTCGATAACTTTGCCACCCTCGATAATTGACGTGCCTTTGTTTTCCTCCTCTCTCGCTACCAAACACGCTGGATGAGAGAAGAGGTCTCACTCTGCGCATTGTTCTCGGCACCTGGGGGCGTTGGCTCTATAGCGGAATGAACGGAGTTAGTGAACCCTCCTGTCAGTCATTCAGTATCTTTGTCACGAGGGGGCTGGCGCGCACAGGCACACAGACACAGACTTTTTGGATACAGTGCTGCAAGTGAGCGTCGTGAGTGAAAAGCAAGCTAACAGAATGAACACGACAGCTTTGGTGTCTAAACCGAACGCAACAGCCCAAGTGTGGGAATATTTCGGCTTTAAACCAGTTTTGTTTTCGTCAACCACAAAACTCCACGTGTGTGTGTGTGCGCGCGCGCGTGCGTGTGTGTCTGTGTGTTGGAGGAGCACAGCAGGCTGATGAGAGCTGTCAGAGCGGACTGAAGCTGCTCCTATATGTTTAGCGTTTAACTGACTGAGTTTTGCAACTCTGTTCGTCATTTTCGTCTCGTCCCATCAACGTAAACGCACTTTCGTCTCGTCACATTTTAGTCATCTCCGACTTAGGTTTAGCTCGTTAACGTTACGTCTTCGTCGTGGGAGAAAAGGGAAATATTTTAGTCAACGAAAACAACCAGTGTTGTTCTCGTGTGGAAATTAAAGTTTATCACTTTTGACATGGTGTACTCGCATTATTATGCCATATAATATCATTATCTATAATTTAAAAAATTGTGTCAATAATATCGTTTATCGGCGATAATTTGTAGCACAATTATCGTCCAGCAAAGTTTGTTATCGTGACAGGCCTACTAGGGAACTATTTTTATATATTTCTGTGTTTTTGAGCCTTTATCTGGAGGTAGGAATTGTAAGGGAGACATGCAGCAGTGGGTCGTGGCTGGGGATTGAACCAGCAACCACTGCAAGAAGGACTTCACTCTCTTTACACAGGGATCTTAGACCGCTTTGCCATCAGCCTCCCAACACTGCAGAGCATTTTAATAAACTCCGCTTCCCAGAGATCCTAAGGGTTCGGTCCTGTAAAAACTCCATAAATCTATAATAACACAGTTGAGGAGTATTGAATTTTTTAGTGGTTTTTCACTACTTCAAATTTTGAAATGTGCCAACACTGTTTTCTGCTGCCCCACACCACCGAAACATAATGGATCTAAAGGCACGGTGAAAAACTGCATTTGTCAGTTGTACATTTTTCTCCGTAACCCACCTCCTGATCCGAGCACAGACCTCGGAGAATTGAGCTGTCACACATTCATTGATTAGAAGAGAAATCTGTGTGAAATAATTCTTATAAAAGGCAAAGCGAGCAAGAGTACAACAGTGCAGCGTTTTTAAAGCTGTATATCTCTCCCTAACACCTGTCACAACTGCTTTTTTTAAGTCTGTTGAATATATAAATATATAAACACGCCTTATATACCGAATGAATCAATCACAACAAAAGCAGATAAAACCAAGTTTTCATTCAGCTCGCACTGATGAAGACTGACGGGAGTCCGGCTACCAGCACGTGAAAAGACGACTGTGCCATATGGTGTTAGTTTCAGTGCTGCAGGGTTAACATCTGTATGCAGGCTGAGTTCACATCCAGACTGAGGAGACAAATGTTTCTTTTTTTTATAAAACAGAGAGAGCAGTCTTTTCATAGTCCTGCCATTTCAATGAGGAGCAGTCAGACATAAAGAGAGTGACTGGCAACACTGCAGGGCCCTCTGTGACTATTTGTTTGTGTTAGCATCTGGAGGAGTGTGTGTGTGTGTGTGTGTGTGTTAGTATAAGGGTGTACACATGAGTAGCTCTGTGTGTGTTTGAGTGATGGTCAGCTATTGATGCACAGAGAAGCAGATTCAGCTTTATGTGTTGAATGTTAAATCATGGCAGGATGTGAAGGCAGATTAGATGGGATTATAGAGCGTACAGAACGATATAGGACACACTTTATTTACAGGGTAATAGTATTGAGCACCTACTGTTAGATCAAAATCACTTGATCTATTTCTGATTTTCTCTGGCGCATAAGGCAAGTGTCAAACAATGTCAAAAAGACTGACATATTTTGACCTTTCTCCATCTGAACCGCAGTGATTGAGAAACTGTCTTGACTCACATTCAACCTGAAGACCCTCCAGGATCCAGGGAGGTTACTTTTGAGGGTTTAAAGGTAGGGCTGGGCGATATGGCCTCAAATCAATATCACGATATATTGATGGACGATAACTACTCCACAAGCTGCTCACCCCCTCCCACATTAACTTCGTCTACTTTAGCTGCTGCTCAAGCCGCTATAACTTTTGAACCATCCTCCATCTCCTCACCTGTCTTTCCCTCTTTGACTGGATGGGGTGGAGTCACATCTCTGATGTAGGACAGCGTCTTAAAGGGACATGAAATCATAGCCTACCTACACACATACTAAACCAACTTTTATTTATTGATTTTATTGACACCAAATATACCAATATGGGCAAAATGACGCTGGTTATTGTTGTAAATTTCAGTATCGGTAAATTTTCAGTTTCTTGCCTAGCCCTATCTCAGACTGTTGATCCATCATCTTGAATTTCTCCTCGGTCAGTCACTGTGTACCTAAAATGCTCCCATACTGCGGTCTTCTTTGTTTGTTTGGTCCATATAAAACTTTACTGCTTGGTCCCTCTGCCACGGTTAAGCTAATGTAGCGTAGCAGCCGTGTCTCTCTTGACATGCACGGCACATTAAGCCGGTGCACCATAGGTGTCACTTTGTGCAGGTTGCGTCGAACAGATTGTATCATTTTGTGGTGAAGACTTGGTGAATGGGAGCCTTTATAAGAATAAATTAGTTAATCATGAAACCTTTAAATTTCTTCAACTTGGACTAGGATATGACGGTGAACGGGTTGACAATATCCATCAGTAATTCAAGTCTCTAATATGGCCTGCAACGCCCCCACATTAGGCAGAATTACAAAAGCACTTAGCTTCCTGCAGTGATATTTCTTCAAAGTTCAACATTAAACTTTGAAAGAGACACTTTTAGAAGCTTCTCTTCTTTGCTTTAATGTGCTTCAAAGTCACAAGGACGCACACAGCTGAACACAAACACATGTGCGCGCACTCTTTCTCAGACTTTGACACACACACTGTTCCGTCCGCAGGTCTGCAGAGATCTCATTTAGATAGCTCACCTGATCTCCGTACCGCCCTGGGTCGCCCTCCCTGCTGCATTCATCTATTATTTTAGCACATGAAGAGATAAAAACAACTTCAGCTGATCCTTCACATGATAGTGAGCGAGCGAGTGAGATCAGTGCGAGCCCTTAAGAGACAACAGGTCTAAATACCGCGCACCCCCCCTCCATAAATGATTATTTTCAATAAATTTTCTGAGTGTTACACCGCTAATGAATAACAGCCTGCACTTTGCACTTAAACACTCTGCAGGAATTATCATTTATCTCACTAACAAGCATTTGTCTTGTGACAGTTGTGATGTAGCCGCCTATTAGCCATGTGCAATGTGCTGCATTGATGCTTTTAAAGAGCGAGGTACTTAGCATAGCCAAATCAGCCTCAACTGCCATAATTCTAGTTGCCTCTTTCTCTTTTTAGTCTGCAGCTGTCGCGTGCAGCTCCCCACCTCCAGAGTGCTTACATTAGCCCTCTGCATGTGTGTTTGTGGTGGAGAGTGAGGAAGAGAGAGAGAGAGAGAGAGAGAGAGAGTGCTGCCTGCTAAGACCCTTGAAGGTGGCGTGTGTATTTATATCCAGTAGTGCTGGTGAAGGGGTGTGTCTGCTGCTCAAGTGTTTTAACCATCAAACACATTCTGCCTTTCCCATAATCTTAAAGAAGCTCTGTGGGCAAATGGTCTGATATGAACTACGCAAGATGCAGCAGGTTGACCTCCACACATGCATCTCAGTTCCGCACCATTAAAAAGTGCAACAAATAGTGGATTCTACGAATTTTTGTTTCGAGGTAGAAAATGTTTTTCACAGTGCAGGTTTAAGACGTACAGAAATTTTGCAAATTTTGAAGGTTTTGTTGTTGGACATAAAAAAAAAAAAAAAAAAAAACATGATAAGAAATAAGTATAACATGAGGCAAAAACAAACTTGACTGAAGCTCTGATGTTTAAAGCTAGAGTGTCCCGATACAACTGTTTTACCTCTGATACGATACCAATATTGCAGCCTTTAGTATTGTCCGACAGCAATATTGTAGCCTTTATTATTGTCCTACACCAAAATTGTAGCCTTTAGTATTGTCCGATACCGATATTGCAGCCTTTTGTATTGTCCTACACCAATATTGTAGCCCTTAGTGTCGTTCGACACCGATATCGTAGCCCTTAAGTATTGTCTGATACCAATATTGCAGCTTTTAGTATTTTTTGTCACTGATATTGCAGCTTTTAGGATTGCCAAAACAGATATTGATCCGATATTAGCACAAATTTGTGCATGAGAAGTTTTTCATTCTGCTGTGACGTCTTTTTCGGGCTTTAACGTAAAATACTGCCACAGGGCCGACATCACTCCTACTCCTTGCTACTTTGGTAGTACATTTGTACTCACTGTTGTTGTGATCATGTGGGCTCTAAATGCTGGATCAGGGTGCTGCTAGATAGAGGTGCTGGAGAGGAGTCTGGAATGGACTGCCTGTATCGGAGTGCTGATATCAGAGATTTTAGATGCTAGCCAATATTTGAATTTTTGCCGATATCAGACCGATATCAATATTGTATCAGGACACCCCTATTTAACGCATTGGCACCTTGATTAGTCTGCAGCTGTGCAGCTTTGTACACAGCTTGTGATGCTCCATGTTTCCTATACTGACTAATCAGAATCATTCATTCATTGTCTACATTGCTACCTGTTCAGGTCATGAGCGGCTGGAGAAGCAGAGGACACCATGAACAGGGTTGTCATCACGGGGTTGACATACAGTCAGACAATCAGTCACTTTTGCACAGGCAGAATAGAACACACAGACTCCACACAGGAAGGACCCAGACAGGATTAAACCAGAGGTGTCATCACAATGAAGCGATATTGATAACCTGGAAGACAAAATGTTCACTTCCCATCGCCAGTCTGTGGTCTCGGTGTCATAGCTGATCAGTGTAAGTGCTTGTTATAGGAAACTGATGTTGATGGCAGCCATGTTTTATTAAAAAATCACCTTCAAAGAGGCGCTTTGTAAAACATAAAACAGCTGAACCCTGTCAAATAAATCACTTGTGAAGTTCATAATGATGTTTGTGTTAGTCTGACACTGAATATTTTATTTGATCTGACTTGATAAATGATGTAAAGAGCTGCATGAACTCTGTGAAGCTGTGATGCTGTGGGCCTGGGTGTCTGCTCCCCTGTAGAAAGGTTTCATTCAGAAAATTAAACAAACCTGCAGGACGCGTCAGCTCTTCGCTTTTGTGAGTGTCCAAAAATCCCTGTGTTCTCACTCAGGGGGGAAAAAAAAGAAAAGTTTTTGATTGTTATTCAGGAGTGTAAAAATGAACAATAATTAGGGTGCCTTCCTTACTTCCCAACATTTGGCTCTCTATGCTGGCTGTAACCGAACCAACAGTGATGTGGGTGGTATATGAGCTCATGAGTAATAATAAAAACTGGCTGAAAAGAGCACCGTCTGCCTGGAGCTTGGAAAATTACTCTTAATATAAAATCATGTACATAATGTTGCCCCACTTAATTTTTGAAACCCACATGCACATCTTAGTCCAGACCAGGATTAAAATGTAGGATTGCATACTTTTTGGGAACCCTCTTTAAGTGTCAAGTAGGGCTGGGCAATATGGCCTCAAATTAATATCACGATATATTTAGCAGTTCACCTTGATAACGATAAATGGACGATAACTACTCCACAAGTTGCTCACCCCCTCCCACATTAACTTCGTCTATTTCAGCCGCCGCTCCAGCCACAACAATTTTTGAACCGTCCTCCATCTCCTCACCCGTCTCTCCTTCCTTGTTACAGACTGAATGGGGTGGAGTCACATCTCTGACGTAGGACAGCATCTTAAATGGGACATGAGACCATAGCCTACCTACACACATCCAAAAACAACTTTTATTTATTGATTTTTTGACACTGAATAAACCGATATAGGCAAAATGACGTTGGTTAATGTTGTAAATTTTGGTATCACTAAATTTTCAGTTTATCGCCCAGGCCTATCTAAAGGTCTAGCTGTCAAAGAAAACTGCGATAAATAAACACATTTAGGCTTTTTAAAATTACGAGCACTTGAATACCTCTGTTTTTATTTGTGGCTGGTATGCTAAATGCTAAAAAAATGGTTTCACACTACCTAAAAGTAGGAGTAATTTCTAAAACTTACTCCCTCTGTTTTTATCAAACAGGACATCAGCAGCAACCTTCCCTCTGTAGATCATTTCAGGGCCGACGCCACGAAGACATTACAGTTTTAGTTGGAGGCAAAGCGAAGTAAATGGAGAGACCACCACAGGGTAGAAGATGTCTTAGAGGTCTGAAGATGTCGTTTTGATGCACAACAGAAACATATAGCATGTATGTACAGTTAAAACCCTAATCCTAACCCTAACCCAGACGTAAAAAACAGCCTTAAAAACTGGTTAACAAATCTGTAGGACTGCTTTGCTTCCAACTACCAACATAGGCAAAATGACATCAGTTATTGTCGTAAATTTTTGGTTTATCACCCATCCCTACTCCAGGGGGTCCTGACAGCTTTAGATAACTGACTCTGATGATAGGTGCAAGAGTATTAAGCCAATAAAAGAAACAGTCTAGTATGAAGGTCAGGAGTTCAGACGGTGCCATCACTGTAAAAATAGTTTTTTCCGCTCTTTAAAAATCAAATCGTTTTCTATTGAATGCTTTCTTGTAATTTGGCCTGCAGCTTGCAGAGGTGAAAATGTCCCTGCAACCTCTACTCACCGCACTCTCTCTCTCTCTAAGTCTCATGTAATCCTGACAGCCTGCCTGCCTCTGCCTGTGTGTGTCGTGTGTGTTTGTGTGTGTGTGCCCTTAGCACCAGGCCTGTCCCTGGCTGCCACAGCTGAATGTCCCCTTAGCATCGGCAAACGGCCAAGCTCTGTCACAGCCGCTGACTGCACCAGCTGTTTGTTTCCCTTTCTTCCATCTTATCGGCTCTGTCACACTATCTGTCTTCTTCCCTGTGAAAGAGGCAGCGATAGGGCGCCTGGTGGTGCTGCACTTGACACCAAAGTTGATATCCACACATGCTGGCATCAGTGGGAGACGCTTTTGTGTGCGCGCATGTGTGTGAGTGTGTGTGCGTGTGTGTGTGTTTGACAGGGCAGCCAGGACACAAACACCCTCCTGTGGATTGTGGGAGCTCAGAGGACACTTAGACTTTTTGTTGCTTTTGTGGCTCTGTTGACAGACGGACAAGTGGGAGGACAGTGGAGGTCAGAGGACTGCTCAGTTTGGGACGCGGCCGGTCAAACTCACTTAGACAAACAATAAACGTGAAATGGGACGGGTCCGGGCTTAAGCTGTCTGACCATGCCTTGGTCCAGGCTGCTGGCGTAGGCGCTTTTTTGTGCCCTGTGCGTCTCACATCGAGAGTTATCAGAGCATGCAGGCAGGGAGAGGCAGAGCAGCAGCGGGGTAGCAGTAGTAGTAGTAGGAGCTCGCTGGGGGGGCTGCACAGGGTCCTCAATCTGACCTGATTTGTCAATTTGATAACTTCACTGGAGTGTTGCTGCACTGGGGAAATCATTGCTTGTAATTTTAAACCATGGTGTTGGCAGGAGATTCAATATTCTATGTTTCACTGAAAGCAAAACCTGGTTTGATGTATTTATTAGGAGTGTAGTTTGACTTCTCAGGAGGCGCTGATTGTCTTCATCATGGCTTATCCAGAGCACTTTGACTGGCTGAAAGACAGCGTCAGTTTTTGGCCAGGTAAGAGAAACCGTTTTATGAATATTTTCATCCGGGTGAAGTGCGAACGGTGGAGATACTATGAAATATCATCATCAACAGAGCTGTAATTTAACACGCTGCAGCCCCTGGATCATCCTGACTCATGAGAGGGATGTAAGAAACTTCTTAGCGATTAGATGAAAAAGCGTCTTCTTCAGCTGATGTTGTTTACTGTCCTACATCTGCAGGAGGAGGAAGGTGAAATGCGTGCGTGTGTAAACAGTTTTTGAGCCAATTAGATCATCTGACGAAGCAAAGTCTGCAAAGAACAAGTGAATGCTAATGGGACAGGATTGACGGCGCACAACAAAGCAGGCAGGCCAAAAGAGATGTTATTGATGAGCACGTTTCACCTAGCTTTGTGCTTTTTTTCGCTGTCAGTCAGGCTAGTAAAGCTGCGTTCAAGAGCACCAGGAAAAGGATGATACCTTGAACAAGAACGCACCAAGTTTTGTTGTTTTCCTCTTATCAAATTTGACCTTCTTCTTAAGTTGAGAACTCCTCCCCTCCCCTGTGGTGGTGGTGAATGAAAAGGAGAGCATCGCCCCTCCCTTATCTTGTTTATCAGAGGGAACTTGTGTCCTTTTCATGTTGCATTTTTAATTATGCATGAAATTAATTTGCATACTTGTGCATGAGTGAATGAGCTGCATCTCGATATCAATTTATGCCTCAAAATTACAGTCTGCGGGATACAAAATTAATGTGGCGTTGGGAAAACACGAGAATGCATCACACTGCAGCAGACTGTTAACATGCACTCACGCACCAAAAATAGACACAGTGTATTGACAAACACAAACACACACACAGACACACACACACAGGCATAGAGGCCTTGTTTCCTGTTGAAGTCTGTGTGTATGTTGAGGTGTCGTACAAAAGGGGAAATGCCTGTGGAGGCTCAGATGGCGACAGATGGTTTAGAGACAAATCAGCCTGGGAGTCAGGATCTCTGCCCTGGAACGAACGGTTCCTTTAAGTATTTTTGTATCAATGAAGTGGTATTTTTGTGAGTTTACGTGGAGCGTGTGCACTTTGACAGTCTTTTTCCGCATTAAAGACAAAAAACAAGGAAGGGAGTGCTGTTATTCAGTACAACAGCACAACCTGGAGTTCGATATCGCTTTAATGCAACTGTGAAAGCTCCGATTGATAATAGCTGTTGGTTTATTGAATCGATCACCAGGCTCTGCCAAACCCAATTGCATCTGCGACATGACTGATGCCAAAAACGCTCATACATAGTGCTGTAGACTTTGGGTTTAATATGCTTTTGCTTCTGCAAGGTTGAATTTTGCAGCTTTACCTGCAGGTTTGCTGTAATACAACTTTTTTGACGGTTGCTTTGGTGGCGTTAGTTAGAGAGATACCAGCATGATCATCAAGGTGTAATACAGAATCAAAATCAGAATCATATATTAATGGCCACAAAACAGGGTTGATGTGTTAATTTGTTTTCTTGTACAGCACATCATGCTCACATCTCTTGTATCAGATACATACATGGATGCAGAAATAAAAAAAAAAAAACATTGCAACAGTATGATACACAGTGTCAAGCCCATGCATTGATATACTTAATATAGGAACTCCCAGATGTAGGGCTGGACGATATGGCCTCCAATCAATATCATGATATATTGAGCAGTTCACCTCAATAATGATAAATAGACGATAACTACTCCACAAGCTGCTCACCCCCTCCCACATTAACAACTTTTGAACCGTCCTCCATCTCCTCACCTGTCTTTCCCTCTTTGTTGCGGACTGATGGGGTGGAGTCACGTCTCCAACGTAGGACAGCGTCTTAAAGGGACATGAGATCATAGCCTACCTACACACATCCAAAACCAAGCTTTATTTACTTATTCATTTTTTTGACACTGAATATATTGACATGGGCAAAATGACGTTGGTAAATGTTGTAAATTTTGTTATCTGTAAATTTTCAGTTTATCGCCCAGCCCTACACAGATGCCCTTTTTTGTTTCTAATAGGACTAAAATTTGTGTGTCTCTGCATAATCAATTATCTCTCTGTTGTGTTTGGTTGCTTTATGCAAAATCCATGATGTGTGTGTATTTGTGTGTACATGCAGTTATGTAATGCATCCAGCACAGCAGTGAATGAAGTGAGCCAGTAGCTTGAGAGTATGTTGATTGAAAAGATATCTGTGTGGTGGAACAGTTAGTTATTTTTTTTCTACAATACTCTCATAGATAGACACTCACTTCAGTTTACTGCACCTAGATTAATGGAGTTCCATAATCTCAGCCATATATTACAAAGTGCAATTTCTCAACACAGTGACATTGTTACTCTTTGGCAGAATAACCTTGCAGGCATTAGTCTGAAACTTCCCAAAGTGTTTTACAAGCTGACCATAAATTACAGCTCTAGAGGCGCTTATGTTGCAGGTGGAGGGAGTTGTGCAGTAAGTAGTTTATTGGCGTCTGCATGCAGGGCCATTCCCAGAGGTCTCTGCACTTCAAGTACATCTCAGTCCAAACCTGTTTTGTGGAAGGACTTCTGCTTAAGGAAGGAAGTTAGGGTTGTGTGATTGATAACAAAGCAGCTCTGTGTTTGTGTGCAGGTTTGTTGCTGCGCCTCTTTTGAGCTCAATCCTAACGTGTGTCATTCAGGTCAGGAGTTTTACACTGAAGTCGATGTAGATATTAGGGATAAACTGATCCGATATTTTGATCGGATATTGGCTCCAGTATTGACAAATTAACTGGATCGGATATCAGATCAATTATGCCGATTCAACGTTCCGATCCAGTCTTTTTTCTTTTAATAATTTTTCTTTCAATACATGGAAGTCTTATTTCTTTTTGCTGTGTGCTCATGTGCAGTTAGTTATTTGTCAATAATAATATAAAGTAAATTTATATCTTTGTTCATTTGTTACTCTTTTTTTTAACAAGGCTAATCTCAAGCCTGATGCCTTCACTCACAAGGCAAGGTATACAGTTCATTCATTCAGCAGTAGTAAGGTCCTTACACACTGGGACTAATATACAACGTGAAATTACAAAATATACGCAGGCGAATTTTGACACGCCTGATAATACACATCAAGCCCGATGCGATTTTGCAACTTTCTGGGGGAAAAAGATGCGTCCCAGGTGGAGGACGGAAGACTGACAACAACACGCAATCTGATTGGTCAGAAGTGGACACAAAGTATGCAAAACTTTAGAAAAATCGACCATGATCCAAAAAAAATAAATGCCGCAATATCGCAGGACTGGAAAACGTCGCTGATGTGAACGCTTGTATTGACAGGATACGGGTTCTGAGAAAAATATTGACGTCTGAAATAATCGCATGAAAAAAATGCTCCTGGTGTGAAAGGACCTTTAGATCGGTATCGGATAGTGGCCGATACCAGCCCAAGTATCAGTATCGGATTGGATCTGAATAAATAAAAAGTTTATTTAAGTGTCTCTCCTGCAAAGTCAAATATAAAAAAAGAGTTTTTTCATTTCCATTCTGAATCAGCAGGAGCTCATTGGGTTGGGAAAGTGGGAGTTTGAACCCCGGTATGGACTGAGTTTTGAAATCAGGTTGGAAGCTGGAGTGGCCCCAAGTCACCAAAAACCAACTATTTAAAAGATCATCCATGTGCAAGTTCCCTAATTCTGACAGGAGTGTGTTTATGTGTTTATTTCAGCCCGTGATCGATGGCAGAGCGTTAAAACCGGAATTTCTCCTCAGGACTCGATTAAGTTTTTCTTTTTCTCCTAATTATCACCTTCCTTACGCTACAAACCTAATTCTTTGTTAAATCTGGCATAATAGGATGTGATTTTGTTTTTGTTTGTACATCGCTCTAAGGAAGCAAGTGCCTCAGCTGCCGCATGTGTCAGCTGATGATTCAGTGCAAGACGGCGATCCAGCCCCGTTTAGTCATAGTATGTTTCACTGCTGTGACTGCAAAAGGCAAATTTACAGTCCATATTTACAAAATATTTGAGCGTTGCCTTCTGCCAGTGTGTCTCTCTCTTGGGAGTGTTTTCCGGCTTCATCCTTGACATTGTCTTCATCGACTTTATTTTCAAAACGTCATTTGTAATCAGTTTAATGCCTACATGTCAGTGTGTCATGGCGCAGGAGCCGCTCTGTGTACACACGCTGGAAATAGTAACAAGGTCAGAAACCTCGGGTTGATGTGTGCAGGTTTTAGTGGACATCAGCCAAAAGTGGAGAGAGTTGCTGTCATGTTCACATTGCATAAGAGTTTCATCACTCAGCACAAAGGGGAGAAGAATTTTAGGCATCTGTGTCCACACCTGAAGGGAGTATTTAAGGTCTGCTTTTGTGAAGCAGAAAATTAATCAGAGGGGGGAAAGGAGGAATTGTGTCTTTAAGAATAAACCGCTCTCTTAGCTCTTTGCACATTTTTGTGTTTTCAATTTAATTGCTTTTGAATTTTAAAGGCCTGTCATCCCCCCAAAATCGCAGCCTTACTTTATGTTATACTTGACATACTTGACATTCACCAAAATACACATCAACATTTCTAACTCTGACTGGTACGAGGGATCTCAAAAGACAAAGTTGCATAAAACATTTTTTTTTTTAAGATTTGCTGTTTTGCCCTTTTGGGCCACAATATGATATCCTGCTGTGGAAGTTCTCGGTGTAGGATGCATACAGCTCGGTGATGTGGTTTACTTCTGACTCATACATGAGTCACTTTTAAAGTTCAAAGATATATCAGTGTTTTGCACAGAAGAATTAAGATTGCATCAATATGAATAAAAAGGGGATGTGCTTTGATTTTACACACACACACCTTGCTCATTGTCTTTCTATCAGGATGACCTGGTGATGTTATTCTAGTTATATTTGATGCATTAATCTTTTCACTGTAAACCAAGGCTGACTGTGACTGCAGGGTAAAGGGCACAGTTGTGTAAACATGCCTGTGGGACGAGGTTTCTATCTATGATTTAACACCTTTTTGATCCAGTATTGAGCTTTCCAAAGGCAGCAGTGTGCTGCATAATAATCTTTGTGCTGTGATTGTGCAGAGCTATGCATCACAAAAGCCTTAAGCCCTCTCAGCTTCCACCCTCTCTGCACGACTCTTTACGTTCTTTCTCTTCCTCCTCACTTCGTTTCCTCCATCCATCCATTTCTCACTCCCTTTATCCTCTCCAGCCTGCTCTTGCTTCTGTTCTTATCTTCCACCCCACCCTGCCTCTCTCTCTCTCTCTTTCTCTCTTCTCTCTCTTTCCCATCAAACTATCTCTCCATCTTTCCTGTTTGAGACCACTAATTTAGTCTGTCTGGCTCTCCTGCAGGGCTGCAAAGGAAATGATTGGGAATGATTTCCGTGATTAAATCTCTTTGCCTTGTCAGTTCAAAGTTACATTTAGGAAAAGATGCTTTGGTGACTTCTGACATTGCAACTGTTCATTAGGTACTGCTATTTCCTGAATCTAACGAAGTTGCTCGAACAGATTTAGCACACTGATACTCACACTGTGAAGCATGCTTGACCTTTTACAAATGCTATTTCTCACACTGGCCTACTAACAAACAGCCACAAACTGAGGTCATGGGTTTGAAGAAGTCTGAGACATTTTTGGTCTTTGTGTAAAAATTCAAAGGATCATCTACTTCATATGAAAGAAATGTTAGCAGCCCTGGTTAGTAAAGGTTAATTAACCTGTTGTTTCCAAGTGTTTATGCCAAAGACAAAGAGCGCCTCATGAGTAAACCATGATAATTTGTTTGGAGACGGTTAATGTTACAAAAAATAAAAAGCTCAGAAGATAAGTCAAGAGGTTAATTATCCTAAAATTAGTGACTTTTTCCTTTTGTTTGCTTACATTCAAACCTCAGAGGCTTCAATAAATCTGCAGTTTTAAAAGATGATCTAGCTATCTAGCTTTACACTAAAATACAACAACTTTAATATGTTTAATCACATAGTCTTTGCTTATATAAAGTGGGCCTATGTATAGGGCTGGTCAATAAAACGATAACGGTATACATATAGAAAATTAATTTCCCTCGTTATCGATATAAAACATGGTCAATATGCTTTTCAATAGTCAGCATTCTTACATGATATGGTAGACTCTACAAACAGCCAATGAAATCGGGAGTTGCTCTGGGTCCGCTTTGCGTTGAACCAATCATGCTGGATCAGAACCAAGTAGCAAACAACTGTGTAGTAGGAGGCTGCAGCTACACGCAACCATAGCGCTTTAAAACGTGAAGCCGACAGCACTGTCGGTGAGAAAAAGAGAAAATGAGTGCTACCCCTGGCAGAAATACAGATGACGATGACGACATCATTTACAAAACTGGCACGAAAACGTCAGTGGTGTGGCTTTCTCTAGTGCAACGGCGTACAACAAAACATCAAAGAGACACAAAGGCCTCACAGATGCATTAGCTTATTGTATTGTATAAGAATTACTACCAAAAAGCACTGTTAAATTTCATTCTTTATATCATGATATATATCCATATCCTCTGATATGAAAAAAATATATCGTGATCAACTTTTCCCATATCACCCAGCCCTACCTATGTAGTCATCTTGTTTATATTTGAGAACTTTTTATGGGGTTTTCCTAGAGGAACATATGAATTGTAAAAGTTCAGGTGTAGACAAAGGTCTAACAACCAGCCCAAAACAGCTTATTGTTTATCTGCACAGCTAACTAAACTCTAACAGCTAACTCTTTAAAATGAAAACTTGACAAAACTTTGAATTCAGATGTCTTCATTTCTTGGTCAGTTACTTCTTTAATTTTTGCATTATACAGTTAATAGCCTACACAGTGCACTTATGTAAAAGGATGAGTGCTCAGTAGGCTGTAAACAGAAAATAGTATATGTGCAAAAGCCTCAACAGAGGGACAGAGAAAGAAAGAAAGAAGATGGTGGTAGGAAGAAGAATGACTTTGCTTTTGTCGGAGAACAATGCCTGCTAGACAGGAACCACACAATGGACTGTATTCACAGAAACACCAACAACATCATGACATTTTGTTCCTGTGACTGGACGCCACGCATCCACCCAAATCTCCAGCTCCACATTGGGATTTCCAAACAGTTTCTCTGAGTGGTGGAGTAAAAAGCACCTGCAGGAGCAGCTGCCATACATGATGAACTTCACTGTGCACTGAATCTGAAATCATCTCCATGAAAAAAAAAACCACACACACTCTGATCTTGGCATCGCATTTCTATCTCTTCTCTCTTTCCTTCAGTGCATTGTTTCCTTTCTGTTGTTTATATTACATAACCAAAGTGGACACTTGTTTTTTTTGAGCATGTTTGTACATTTTTCGCTTGTTCTTTCCTTGTTGTCTCCTGTGGCGTTATGAGGCTAAGCTTAGCCGGCTGCAGAGTTACAGAGTACATAACAGGACATCACAACAACAACAAAAAAAAACAACAACATCCCCAGACACTCGGTTTACAGCAGCAGATCTGTCTGACTTATCTGGCATGCTTCAACTGTGCTGCCTCCAGGCGGGGCAAGGAAACCTAATTGATAACAAGCAAAGTGAATTTCACTCAGTTTAGATCTCATAGAAGTGCCTGATTTTGCTGCATTTTGCTGTTTTAGACGTCATGAACCACTGTGTGGAAGTGAAAAAGGTCTTCACATCCCAACCTGTGTCCATGAACCTCCACAAATGATTTTTATTTTATTTTAATCAACGTAATGAAACATTATGAAGCCTGTTGGCTGTGCTGCTTAATTTTACCTGGGGTAAACAAACTTCAACTTTATCGTCAACTATAAAAAAGCTCTTAAATTTCAAAAGTCATTCATTAAACTGCGTACACAGTTTCATATTAAAAAGCAGTTGTGTGAGGTATCGCCCAGAGAGAGGAGTTGTGAGTAATGAATGCAGCCCATGTCTTCTTCTAATGAAAAACAGAGCCTATCACTGATAAAATGTCACTTAGGAAGACTTAATGAAGGCTGTGCATGACATTTTTGTCTCGGCGACTAAATGGCATCTTTAAGTAGCCTTGAAAAATGTATGCTAATTAAATGTCAAAACTTTGATGCGCATAAGGTTGAACTCGGGTGCTTGAAACAAAATGAATATTGTGTTCCTGTAGGATGGTAGGAAGAGCTTTTCCATACCTATGCGGTATGTTGATTGCGGCACGGATTGAATCATGGATGTTCGTCTTCATCTATCTTCTTTGTTTTCCAGGTTTGCCAGGATTTTCCAGCATGTTTGGGAAGAAGAAGAAACGGCTGGAGATCTCAGCTCCGTCTAACTTTGAGCACCGGGTCCACACAGGCTTTGACCCGCGGGAGCAGAAGTTCACGGGACTACCGCAGCAATGGCAGAGCCTCCTGGCAGACACCGCCAACAGACCTAAGCCTATGGTGGACCCCTCCTACATCACCCCCATCCAGCTGGCGCCGATGAAGGTAGAGTGTGAATGGACAGAGGGCGTCAAACTGGGGAAAAATCGTGTCATTTTCTGTCCTGCCGCCTCTCTTTGTGCATCTTTGTGACTCTTTTGCTCCTTATTCTCATGTCTGCACCCTTTCACTGTTGGTAAAGTAATCCTCTTTTCTTTTTGTCCTCTCACTCTGCATATCTTCCTCTCTCTGTTAAGTGTCACTGTATCTCACCACTCTTTCTTCCTCTTGTTACACTCTGTTGTCTTTTTCTGAGGAAAAATAGATAATTCTCCAGTGCCATCTGGCCACTTCACACTATTACATTTGCCAAAGCCTTTGAAATTACAGTCGTATTTTTATCAAATATATTGCTTTAAATCTGCATTAAGCAATTTTGCCATGTTAAAGTAACGCTGACTCTATTGTGGCTTTAGATCAGCTGTATCATGGTTATAGACTTCTTTTGCCATGTTACAAAATATATTAAGTAAGGACAAGAAGTAACACCAAATATTTGTGAACTGAAGCGTGGTGTTATCACACCTCTTTGCCAGGTTGCTTGATAATTTCTTCAAAGCAGGTGACACCAGTGATTATCCAACACAAGCCAAAGTTATGTGCTGCTTTCCAAGGTTCACTCTCTCCACTCTCACTCCAAAGTAAAGTGACAAACAAGCTCTGACAGCCTGACTGTACTCTTACTGCAAATACAGATATTAGTGATAAAACTATTATTTGGTACAAAGCATTAATTTATGGAATGATAAGATATTACAATTATGAATTTTTTATATATAAACTCAGTATTTTGGTGAGCTTATCATTTCACCACTCCTACACAAAAATGTCAATAAAAGACAAAACTGATGGTTAAAATACTGAATTACATCTTTGAAGGCCCAACAGATGATGTTAGCATCCAACCTAGCGTCTTCGCTTGCCAATTTTACAGTTTTTAATAGTGCTTTTTAACCAAGTAGCAACCTAAACCCCATAAAGGTGGGGTAGGCAGGATCTGAGGAAGTGCCAGTTTTGGGGAGAAATCTTGAATGTAAACTCTACCCCTCCCAACCAGTTTTCCCCTCAGCTCCTCCTCTGCTCCAGAAAGCCCCGCCCACAAACAGACGCTCCTGCTCGCTCGTATTGTTTCGTTTTCTTGCTTGTGTTGGCAGTTGTGGTAAAAGGAGAATTCAGACAGTTTTCCAAACTTTCTGGTTGGTTTCTACTCTCCGATATTGTAGCACGCTAACTTTGTTTGAGCTCGGGGGAGCAGCATCTGCCTCACAACCAGTCAGCACTCAAGGCCAAGTGTCTGCCTCACAGCCAATCTGGTTGGGGGATGCAGAGAATGGCTTTGTTTACATTCAGAAAGAGCAGGCCGTTAAAAAAAATTTAAAATGTTGACTACACAGACATAAAAAAACACAGCGATATCGTTATGTTACCAAATGTCATCATTAACTAATAGCTATTGACTGATATTAAAAGCTATTTTGTATATACACCAAAAAAAAGATGCTTCTTTAACGGATTCCTGCCTACCCCACCTTCAAGTAAAAGTAGTAAAAGCTGCAGTTCCTCAAGTGTCCACTTGGGGCAGGCTTCAAAAGCCCAAAAAGCCACGTACACAAACTCCAAAAAGACATGCCAACATGTTTTGATCTGATTAGCTAATTCCTTTATTTTAACACACTATGTCAGGGATGGTTTTTTTTGTTTTTAAATCCTTTTAAAGACACTAGAATCATGAGTTTCCATAATCAGGGAAACGACTGACTTGACTGAAAGGCAGGCACACTTTCGCTTTTAGGCAATAGACTAAAGGGCTGCCGAGACTCCACCTCTTTGCCTTTTGCCAGTCTGACCAAAAGTTAGATTCAGCATTTCCAACACATCGCCTGCTCACAACAGGCTTCAAAACTTGCTTTAGAAATCAAGCCCAACCACAGCCTCCCATTAAGTTTTAACAAGGACGTGTCTGACCTTGGATGTGACTTGCCTGCAGCTAGAGAGTTGTCAGATATGTCTTTTGTATTGATATGCTCCTCTTGGAAGACGGTGAAATGATAATGATTTGATAACCCTCTAAATATGTACCCAAACATGAGTGTGACATTTGTAGACAACCGTCTTGTAAACACATTAAATAAGCAAATGATCATGACCTTTATTTGTGAGGGACTCGTGAAGCTTTCCATTTTTTCAGGTGGATAGAAACATGACCTAAATGAGACCTTAACGTTGATAAACTTTCGCACTTGATAAACCTGTTGTCTGTCTGCCCCCTGCTGGTCAAAAATTGCTTAATGCAGCTTTAACATCTCTCACAGGAGCTCTAATTCAAAGTGATGTTTCTTTTTCATCCTGACCCCTCTGTGACTGTGATTGTGTGTGTCTCTTCTCCTCTTGTCTCCCAACCTTCTGAGTGTCTCCTCTGATGTGTTGTTGTTCATCGGTTCTTCTTAACATAATCACACATCGACACACTTTGATTAACTGATATACACCCGAGTATTTCTGTGCACCTTTCTCTGGGCTGTAGCAGAACATTACATTTTAGGTATAGGAGGTTTCACAGAGACACTATTAACACAAAGCCTTTTCTCTTCATTGTACTGTCTGTGGTCCCATCATACTGCATGTGTGACCCACTGCCGTCAGCTTTGAAATCCTGTGTGTGTTACAGCACCTGCTTACACCTTTTTCTGTTAACCTTTATTGTACTTATAGACTACTCAACCCCTCACACGAACTTTATTTAGTCTCAGGGGATCCACAAACGACAGAAAACACACGATCAGACATCCACAGAGTGACACAGAACAGCAATATGCCACAGGAGATATCTCTGAAGAGGGGGAAACAAGAAAATAATTCTCTTGCTCTCTTCACAGATATCTCCCAAGAAAGTCCGGTCATCCGAAACGCCGTTGCCTAAAGTATGACTTCCTTTTCCCTTCTGTTTTTAACCCCTCTCCTCCTCCTCCTCCTCCTTTTTTTTTCCTTTTGGTTAGTCACAACCTTGCTGTTTTGTTTCCACATCTCTCTCCCTCCGCTGCTTGCTTCCATGCATTCAGGTGGAGGTGTTGTGTCAGCAGGAGGAGGAAGAAACACTGAGAATGACTCCACACACATGACATGACTACATTTCTCTGCCAGAGTCGCTTTCCTCTCAGGCCTCATCTCCACTCTCCTCTTCCTTCATTCGCATGTTTCTTCTCCTCAGAAATGATGAGACTAACTGTTGCGGCATGTTTCCCTCTTTTCTTCTTCCTCTTGCTATGGAGCGCCATTGATAAAGATGGTGGTAATCTTAAAGATGATGATGATAATGATGATGATGATGGGTGCTGGGATGTGAAGTGCATGTTGCCATGACAGCTGATTTTGCTCTGCTGTAGACTGCCATCCAGTAGAAGCGGGTCGTAGAGGGCTTGCATGCTTTAGGAAAACCCTATCTACAATCAACGACAACTAGTCGAGTGTTACTCTCTCCTCTCCTCTCCTCTCCTCTCCTCTCCTCTCCTCTCCTCTTCTCTCCTCTCCTCACCTCTCAGGACGATGTAGTCAAAGCTGGATTTGGTGGACAGTTTCATTGCTGTACCTTTTATGCCAAACACCAACTCTGCCAGTTAGCGCCTACAAATTGATGATGAAGATTCATGTTTGATAATAAAAGCTTGAATAACAGGATGAAGGATTTGATGATATCCTGCAAAAAAAATTATTTTCCAAGTTGTTAGATAAATAGAAAAATAGATATACCATACTATCATGGATGTTTTATGTTGTTGCTTCTACTTTAACCCAGCCCTGAATTATTAAAGTTGAGAATCTGACAGGTTGTTTTCACTGGGGCAATGTTAGGCCTCCTTTTATGATACTCTATGAGCCACCATTAGACAACAAACTTTAATAACTTTCAGCCATGTCCTTGTAAACTTTTATTTTGGACACACAAGCCTGGAGTAATGAGTATGTTTTAAGCTGACATTGAAGCATTAACTGTGAAGCTCTCCTCTCACGCTTCACATTTCGTTTTATAATATAATTAATGCAGTGTAGTTCTTTATTACAACGGAGAATTAGGGCCACATTGAGAAAAAAAAAATTAAGACTTCGAGATTAATGTTGTTAATTTACGAGAATAAAGTCGTAATAAAGTAATTACTGGTGAAAATAAAGTTCTACTTATGAATTACTTACGAATAAAGATGTTGATGTTTAAAACTAATATGTGCAAAATGAGGCTATTTTCATTAAATGTTACCATGATACTATGAAGTTAACATTGCAAATATTTATAGCAGTGGTTAACGCAAAGGGATATTCTGGCGTAAAATTATACTTATTATTTTTAATTATTTATACCAACTTTAGTAACAAATGTACAATGGCGATACACAGAGGTCATAGGAGCCATAAACAAACCTCAACCAAAACACCACTCTATAGCCACAAATAATGCTCAGAACAGCACCTAACTTCATCAACAGTACGTATAGGGTCCTAGCCATAGTACTAGCCACCAAACATCTTTTTAACTTTGTACAAAGACCTCAGACGAGTCCATCGACCACAGCGGGTTGACACAGCTCAAGGACGAACATTTATGATCATTTCTTTATGGAAATGCAATCAGACTGAGACGCTAAAACAGAAGATCTACCGTGTCTGCAGTGCAAAATGATTAATATGGTGATTATTATTTCAAGGAAATGATAAAGAAATTATCATAAATGTTCTTCCTTGAGCTGTGTCACCCAGCTGCAGTCATTGATGGACTTGTCCGAGGTCTCCGTTCAAACAAGCGGCTTCTGGAAGAGAGTGGGTAAATTGTGTTTATGCTCTTTGCTAAAGAAATAAGGCAAAGCTAAAAAGATGTTTGGTGGCTTGTGCTAAAGGTAAACCCCTGAAACCTATGAAACTACTGCTGTCATTAATGACCGGATGGATTCACCTCTCTTAAATATGGCCGCAACAAACAAAAACTGTTGTCCCTTTATCCTGATACATGTCATATGACCACTTTTTTTGGCGGATATAAAAGCTTGAATACAAATAAAGTCCCTCCAGTCAAGATGAAGCAGTATGCGTGGACTGAGTTGATACGAAAGGGCAATTTTTGAGAGTAAATTTCAGTTTTTTGTTGTGTGTGCATGGTCATCTTGAAGTTTGTCCTCAGATTCCTGTTCTAGTTTCCATGCACTTTAGAAATTAACAGGGTGATTGCCAACTCCTTCTGAATTAATAGACTGAAACAAGACATCCCCACATCTTCAGTATCTTCTTTACAGCTCAATATTTATAGTACCAATAGTGCAGGCGGTGGATGATAAAATATTTTGATGCTTCTTTAATCAAAGCACCCAAGAACTGAAGTCAATGACAGATTTTAAGAGGTAGTTTGTATCAGGCAAGGTCTTTTTGAAGGAATAACAAACTGACTGTTATTGGAAACTTAAGAGTGATGAATTAAAGGAGGAAACTAAATTTGCTGCAGAAGTGTCTGTATTCAGGACTGAAATTGATACTTACGCAGGGGGGAAGTCAATAACAGACATTTGACCTTCTGACAGAATTAAAATCATCGATCAGCACATGTGAACAGATAATCCCGCGGCCTCGCCCCAAAGAGAAAAATCCCATGTGACGGCAGCTCCAGTTTGAGTCTTTTAGACAAATGAAAAAGCTGATCACAGACCTCAGTGGAAAGTTTGATGTTACTCTGAAGTTTCTTAGGTTACTTCACTCCCACGTCAAATCCAAAGGATTATGCATTGCTCTCACTCGTGTGAGCGTGCATGCAGAGAATACAGACGAGTACATTTGTGTTCCAGTGGTGTTCGAGTTTGAAAAAGAAAGTGAAGGAAGCCGTGATTTTTTTGAGACATCGATAGCGCTTCATCACTCCAACTCTGTCCTCTAACTCACAAACTTCAGATTCCTTTCGGAGATTTTGACTGATTTGTGCTCATAAAGAGTGTGTGTTTCTCCATGTGTTAGTGTGTGTGATAGTGTGTGTGCATTAGTGACCATGACTCCAAAGGTGGGTCGGGTTATTTATAGGTTCTCACCCATGGACTGATATACCCTGAACCCTGGTAGCCCTGACGCTTGATTGACATATGGCTTCCTCTGCCTGGCAGACTCCCCCAGCTCAGTTTACTGAGATTGTGTTTAGTCCTGTGTGTGTATTTGTGTGATTTTGGTGTGGAGGGCATAAGATACAGCGATCTCCAGTTTGGCAGACCTCCAATGCCTTCTATACCAAACAGTGCAGAGGGACAGACTACAGTGAAAGGTCAGTGTTGTGTATTTTAGCTTCTGTGTGAGTGTGCGTCGAAGAGTTTGATGGGTGGACACGGTCATCATGCTGAAATAACTGCTACCTCTGCCCTCTGGCTTGTGCGCTCATCGTTTATTCACGAGGCTTGTAGCCTTGTTGTCAGAGCGCTCATCTCAGCTGAGCATTAGTATTGCTCAAAGCCTTGGCTCTCATCTCTTTTCTCCCTCCCCCTCCTCCACCACCAGCAGCAGCAGCAGCCCTCTCTGCACACATGCTAATCCAGAAGTATAGGCTGACACCATGCCCTAACAGCATTTCCATGTTTTAAACATTGTGCTCTTAAAGCTTCTTCTGCACTCTTGACAATCTAAAGTGTGTGTTTGTGTGTAAGCGCGCTGTAGCTGCACAAACAGCGTTTTTATATTGCATCGGTTGAGTTGTGTGCGTGCACGTGTGACTGTAGATTACATGTGTGTTAATGTGTTGCATTCATTAGCAGCAGCAGGGCAAAGCCACGGTTGTTATAAATGGCCATCTCATGTTGCACCTTGACTTTGACACCCTCAAATTGCCGACTCCTATAGAGCTGTGGAGGTAATTTACCATGATGGTGTTTGTGTGTGTGTATGTGTGTGTGCGTTTGTTGATGTGTTGGCTTCCATGCGGGCTTTTTGCTCCGACACTGTGTTCCTTTTTTCTCATGTTTCCTCCGCCGTGGGCCAAAATTAGATGACTGGGCGCCTGAAAATGGGGTAGAGAGTAGCCCAAGTAGGAAAAGCCAAGCGTGTAAATGTAAAGGAGTTAAGTAGAAGCAGATTTCTCTGTCACAGTCTGTATGTTTCCATTATATTACAGCCCCCAAATGAACGCTTTGTCATTATGTTATATACTAAACTTTGAAAATGAAGTTTAAGAGCAGCTACATGCACTTGAAGAAGACTTAAAAATCGCTCATTTTTTACTAGCATGATTCTTTAAAAAACTCTCGATAATACAATCAAGGGAATTAACTACCATCATGCTGCGTTCAATTAGACGGACATTCTTGCCTTCGGCGAAAAAAAAGCTCCCTGACGGATTCTTGACACTGTTGGTGTTGAAGGGGTGAAGGCTTAAGATGTGGATGGATGTGATGTGGTGCGGGGTGGAAGGACCCCTTGGCGCCGAACGTTAGAGGACCGGGGGGTGAATATAGTGGAGGAGGGTCGCATCAATTTGGCTGGAATGACAAGTGACAGTTTTAAAGTATGACAGCGTTAAGATGATGGATTCATGGGGGTTGCGGTGATATGTGATGGGGTCAAATAAAAGAGAGAGGAGGGAGAGTAAATCTCTGACAGTCAGTTTTTTTGATTGAGTTTCCACGAAGCTTCATCTCGTTTCTACTTTTACCCTAATGCATATTCTATTTGAGAGCAGTTTAAAGTTTTTCTTCATCCCTGTGTTATCAAGCAACCCTCAAGACATGAACATCAACATCAGTAAGACAGCCCGAGCTGAGAAAAAATAGCCCTCGAGGAATTATAAACAACATCATGAGACCAACTTGAAGCCATTTCCTCTTAATGCTTCAGTCGCTGCAGAGGAGAGATGTTCACACTCCCAAATTATACATGAACCAGGAGGGATCACAGGAGTAAAACATGCACATCATGTTTGAAGGTAGATAGTCTCCTTTAATCCTTTTTTTTTTCTCCTGCAAATAACACTCTCCTCTCTTTGATAAAGATCAAATCCACCCCCCGTATCACCTGATATCTGGATCCCTCTCGGCAAATGTGCTCTGTCACCATCTAAGGTAGTCCACTCTGTTCTAATCTCTGTCACACTTACAGTACGGCTTCATGATAATGGAAGCTGATGTAATAAAAGTTTAATGGAATGGGTAGATTCATGGGTTTGCTTCGACTTAATCAGATAAGTGATATGAGGAATGGAGATGTTTGGAGGCTGCTGTAACGAAGTCAGACAAACAACATTAACAGAGTACGCGGAATGTTTGCAGGGATATTGAAGCGGCCTGAATTTAAATACACTTTCCACCAATTAATAAACAAACAGAAGAAGCATTTCTATGTTGTGAATTAAAGTCATTGAACAGTTTATAAAGGGGTGAATACATATGCAAGGCACTTCAGATTTATTTAGTAAAAACTCTAGATATCAAAGTTCAGTTAAAGTCATTAGAGATTTTTGAACGAATGATTGTGTTGGTACCAAATTGGTCGTTTATTTAATGTTAATTGGTGTTTTCTGCAGGAAGGCAAATATGTGGAGACACCAACATTAATGGTGTGAACACAACTGTTTAAATAAGACATAACAATTTATTTTGTACTGTAGTTTTAAACTTCCATTAGATTATGTGTGGGGATGGGAATTACCAGGTAACTCAAGACTGGATACGTTATGTCACGTTACAATACGTCATGTTACATCACTTTAAGTTACGTTACGTCACCTTACATTATGCCAAATTATGGTGCGTTACATTATTGTACTTGATGTTACGTTATGTTACATTACGATGCAATACGATACAATGCTACATGATGTGACACAATGCAATGCGATATAATGCAGTATGATACAATGCGCTACGATGGAATACGTTACATCACATTACGTCACATTACGTTACATTACGTTATTGCACTTCACGTTACGTTATGTTACATTACGATGCAATACGATACAATGTTACATGGTGTGACACAATGCAAGGCGATATAATGCAGTATGATACAATGCGCTACGATGGGATATGATACTATACTACATGATTCGATGTGATATAATGCGATATGATACGCTACAGTGCGATATGATATGATGTGTTACGATATGATGTGATATGATGCAATACAGTACGATACCATGCCAAACCATACAATACTATATGATACCATACAAAAGGGTATGATATGATACATTAGGATGTGGTATGATATGATAGGTTAAAATAGGATATGATAGTGTTGAAACTTGATAGCTTTGTAACTGGTTGCTTATGTTATATGATATGATACTAGTAATACTGTTTGTAACCATACCATACCAATTAACTTGTGTATTTACTGCACTTGGGTTTTGTTATGGGGAGAACCTCACAGAAAGGCCCAAGTCCGGATTCTAACCAGTAACCTGCTTGATCTCCACTATGCCACCATGCTGTCAAATAGACATGCTGTAGAAATGTTCAGAAATATCTACACCTTCATTTAGAAAGTGGTTGTCAGTGTAAAAAGGAGAAAAATGTGTTTTCATATGCATTATATCTACCAATTTCCATGTTGATGGCTTTTCTCTGCAGCCTGCCTCGTCCTCTTCTCCTCCTGTTTTTAATGTCTTGTGTTTCCTCAAATGCCCGCTGACAGCCTCCAGATTGCATGCCTAAACTTCCTGCATTGAGCTGTGGGTTACATGCGCTGTAGGTAGTGTAGGTGGAGAGAGCTCGGTGATATTTTGGGTAACTGAACATTTCTGGGCTGTCAAGCCCATTTTATAGCTGCCATGAAAATATTACATCATATTGGAGGAAGAAAGATGCGCTCAGAATTATAACATACATTGCCTGTAGCTACTATTTAAACATGTTAAGTGCATTTTACAGTGCCTTGCATAAGTATTATACTCCTGTTTTTCTTCTCTATAATTGAAAGTGTTGCAACATTGAACTGAAATATGCTTCTTCAGGCATTTTAACATTTACTTACTCAACAAACAACCTCCTAACTTAAATATTCCCAGTTTATATGTAATAATGTAATTTATGTAGGAAAGGTGACATGAAAAGAGCAGAGGTGTCTCAGTGTGTGTGGCATTGAGACTGGCACTCTAACATTAAAAGGCACGTGAGAGTGGACATGACTTGCAGGGTGATAACTGGTACTGCACTAATACTGTAAATGTCAGTGGGTCAGTGCTGGCAGAGGAGACCCCCACCTTCCCCCCAGCAGCTTTTTGGCAGGTGACTGAGGCGGAAACTCGATCATTGGGGTAAGCTGTGTCCAGACTTCCAGTCGGTCCAAGCTGGATTCAGCTGCAGCCGAGCCGGAGTTGACTAATCATGGCTGGGGGTCGAGGAGCTCCAGAAACCGGGGCTGGACTGAAGAGCTGGAGGTCCGATAGAGGGCAGAGAGAGATGGGAAGGCCGAGGCAGATGAAGCCGGAGCAGGCAGAGACTGGGAAGGCGGTGGTGTTTAAACTGCAGCCACAGACTGCACCTAAACAGTTACAGGTGGGCTGTTTGATTGTTTCAGTTTCCGCAGAGCCAAGACCGCATGCTGGTATGCTGGCGATGCAGATTTATGTGCAACAGGTCTCCTCGCTTACTGCCAGCATTAGTGAAAAAATACTGGACCAAACAGTGATGTTGCACGTAGCTGCTTTATTCAGACCTTGTATTTTTTGCTGACACTCCAGAGATGTAAAAAGGTCGGAGTTGTGACTGTTTTTTTTTTTTTAAACCTGCATCTATTTATGTCACATTTCTAACACTAAACTCTGACACGCCATAAATTACAGCTGTACAAAGCGCTGGTTGTTTGCTCATGTTTCCAAAGAGAGGGCAGGTTTGTGCTCAGAGCGCTGAACAGCAGAGTTATTTTTGTAGCATTGCTGGGTTTGCTGTATGTATACATATGGAAACGGAGCTCGGAGAGATAGTGTTTCTGATTGAACAGGGTCACCCAGTCCTTGCTCCAGGGGCAGGAATGCAAACCTGTGTCTTTATTGAAAGGGGAAGTGTGCTATTATAGTCGTGTTATTCGCACACAGAGAGCTGCTAATTTGAGGAGGCGTTTTATTGCAGCGGGGTTTAATGATATTGGATGAGCTCCAGGGGCGGTGAGGTGTCCGGACTGAGAATGAATGAGGTCTAGACAAGCTCTCAGATGTTGAACAGGATCAGAATCTCTAACATCTTGTTTTGTTAAAAGTTCCTGTAACCTAAAAGCCTGTCAGAGTTTTCAGAGTATTACAGCAAACATTCACTACAGTATTTCTCTGCTCTAAATCTGCCAAACTACATTTGTGTTCTTTGCACAAGAGCTGTTGCATTAATTCGACTTCTTAATAGACAGAAGAGAAAGTTGGACTCTGTGATCGATGCGGGTTTGATATCTGGTTTAATTTGAATTACATTACATTACATCCCCTCTTACATTGATTGAGGATTAAATTGGTCAAAGCAGAAATAGACTTGAAGGAAAAATAACTCCTGATTGATGTGTGTCTGTGCAGGCGCGCACGTTTTTACACGCGCGCACACACAGACAGAGGGAGCATCTGTCTTTCTTGGCACTGAGCTGAAGTGGATGGCATTGATTTAGACCTCTCTCATTCCTTCCTCCATTCCGCTCCTCCTCCCCTCGCTTCCCCACTTTGTCTCTTCTCTCGCGGCTGCCATTCACAGTCACACTCTGCAAATCACCTCTCATGGAGCCTTCAGAGCTGCAGTCGGCGGGGGAATTTTGGCTTTCAGCGGCGAGCGTGGTACCCTGCCAGGGCGGCTCAAAATGTCCTGGCTAACAACCATCCTTCAGTGTCTGAATGTGGGCTTTTTTTCTTTTTTTTTTTTTTTGGAGGAACATTTGGGCTGTGAATTTTAAACAGGGATGGAGTGTTGTAGGACAAACTGATTTGAGACGACTCGAGTGTCATACTTAAAAAAAGTGCGAGTTGTAGTTGTAGTTGTCATTTTGAGGTTTACTTTTCAAGATTAAGATCCTTCTGGACTTGTGTTGTACTTCTTTCTTCTTCTTTGTGCTCAAAAGAAAACTTCTTTGGATCCAACTGAAGTGGTCCACAGTTTTCTAAAACCGGTTGCTGTGCACAAGCTGGAATTTAAAAATGACATAACAAAACATAACATAGGCTGAGTAATATTATATCAGTCTTTATTTCTCTCTCTGCACTCGATGTGATGTTATTTAATGACCTGCAGTATCCTCGTGTGGCCGGATAGCAAACTACAACTCACACTTAAACCAGTCATCAGTTATTTGAGAACGACCACAGAATGAAAACATGTCTTGTATCTTTGTATTCTGGAGCACAAAAGAGGAAGCTAAGTTATGTATTATCACAACGCAAGCCTCCTCTGTATTATTGCTTGTTCCTGAAATTGTATTTTTCAGTCTAAGAGAACAACAAAAATAACATTTCTTCTTCTACAATTCTGTACAGATTCATTTTTTTTCTGATCCAATCCAATATCGATACTTGGGCTGAGCGCATCGGCCGATATCGGATACCGATCCAATACTACTGTTGAATGAATGAACTGTATACCTTGCCCTGTGAGTGAAGGCATCAGACTTGACATTAGCCTTGTTAAAAAAAGGTAACAAATTAACACAGATATAAATTTACTTAATATTATTTATTAACAAATAACAAATTGCACCTTAGCACACAGAAAAAAGAAATAAGACTTTCATGTATTAAAAGAAAAATTAATTAAAAGAAAAAAAAAAAAGACTCGACCAGAATGCTGGATCGGCATCATTCATCTGATATCCAATCTAGTTAATTAGTCAATATCAGAGCTGATATGTGATGCAAATATCGGATTGGTGCATCCCTAATATCTATATCAAGTAGAGTGTCAAACTCCTGACCTGGATGACACACGTGAGGTTTGAGCTCAAAAGAGACACAGCAACAAACGTGCACACAAACACACAGCATATAGAAGTGTTTATTTGTCAATATCGGAGCCGATAACTGATCCAAATATCGGATCGGTGCATCCCTACTAATATCTGCATTATGTAGATGAGAGCTGATGTAGTTGTCTTCTATTTGGAAACGATAAGCATGATAAACTGAGAAAACACTGTAACTTTTACCACTGTTCATGCTGCTTTATTACATAAACTAGCCTGCTTTAAGCTGCAAAGTGCGTCTCATGCTTTATTGATACTTGTGATCCTTTATTTTGCACACCTTTGAACTCTTTCTGATAAACACATGGACAATTGCAGAGAAAGATACAGCATAAAACAGTGTTGGAAGAGACCAGAACAGACAACAGAGCAGTCTAATGAGTGTAAAGAGGAGCAGAAACTGTGAATGGATGAGGAGAGCTGGGGCGGTGATGTGATGGGACTCAGATTAATGAGCGTTGCTGTGTGTAATTAATCTATAGCGGGCAGCTGTCTGTTGATCTGTCTCAGGCTTGACAGATAACTGAGAGACGTCTAATTGATCCCCTCTTCTTCTTCTTCCTCTCTTGGCTCTCCGTCTCCTCTCCTCTCTCCTCCTTCAGATCAGAAAGTTTCCCTGACAGTGACGGACTTACTCGGGAACTCCTCAGAAAGTGGGACCACTTAGATCACGTAATTGATCACACCAGCAAAGACTTGACTGAAGTTTGTTTATTCTTCCCATCTCTGTAAAATTATAATATTTTCTTGGGATTTCAGCTGGCCGTGTTTGTAAACCAGTCGAGGTCTGTCAGGGCTTATGAGGGATGAAAAAAGAAGGGTGTCCAGGCTTTGCTCCTCTAATGTGCTTAGGGTCGGGGATTTGCTCTGACTGTGTGTTTGTATTTCATTATGCCTCCACCACTAATCCATTTTGCTGGAGACCATCGCTGGTTCCATGCATTGCACCCTGTGTGCCTTGTGGCTCTTGAAACTTGCGGTTGAAGCTCTGCCAGGCTGGGGTCAAAGGTGACTGGGTCATGCCGGTCTGAGCTGCCGGCTGGGGTGCTGTGGGGGTCAGAGGAGAGAGACATCGCCACAAATAGTCACTGGCTTGTGCAAGGGGCTCAAATATCTCTTTTCAGCAGCATGATACTCACAAACACGGACAATAAATTAACTTCCCTGTATTTAGACAGAGATAAGTATTCATTAAAATAATTGTGGGATGACCCTGACCTAAATTTGGCTTCTCTTCAAAGAAAAAGCTAAATAAAGATTAAAGATGTAAACAAACTGGATATATGAGCTAAGAAGCATAACTTAGACTTTTAAATAGAACTATTTATGTATCTACTTCCCTTTCAGCCACGTGTTGCTGTCCTGGTTTGCCAAGAGGATCTCCCTTTGCAGTCCTTATTTTCACATATTTATTTTTCTTTACCTTCCCACATTTTTCATAAATGGGTCAACGACGTATAAGGTTTTTAAACATGCCAATTTCAAAATAGCAAAAATAAGAATGTATTTTGCAAAAGTTCAAACACTAAGGATGTTATGTATTGTGTATAAATGTTGTGAATTGTCCGTGGCCTTAAAAAATGTCATGTGGTGCGACCATCATTTATCTCAAAATTATTACAATTTTTCAACATACTTAATAGTTTTTTTTACAAATTGTCAGTAATATCAAGTAAATAGAAACAAAGTGTTTGCATTTCATTTGAGTTTTTGTAAATAATGATCTCACATTTTAGCTTTATAATATCACAGTCACTATATTAAATGTAGTTGACTGACTAATTTTTTCTTTAAATTGCAAAATAATTATATAAATGTTTTAAGACTATCTTTCACTTAAGCATATTGTATCAGGTATTAATGTTTCAGTTACAGAAATTTGATATTTTACTTTGTATTTAATACAATGAATGTTATTATTGGTCACACCACGTGATATTTTGAGACTGTTAAGTTCAGAAAAATTACAAATAAGTCCTGATTTTTGAAAAGCTGAAGTGACTACATGTATGAGAGATACTACATATAGAAAGCCTATATTTGTGCGTTTAAACCTTTTTTTACTTAGAAAAAATACAGCCAGACAAAATATTTAGGCGTCACGTCATTGACCCAAATACTTTTACATTTATAAAACATCAAATTATCACATTATGATCAGTTTTAGCTGCATACTTTTAATTTATTCTGCAGAAGTGATATCCACCTATCCGAAAAACCCTTACATGTTCAGACCCTCCTCCTCAGATGATGGTTATTAAACACAGTAACTAACAGGCAACAGGATGGCCCGAGGAAACAGGTCAGCTCACACCCTATTAATCATGGAAACCCTGTAAAATCCTCCCCTTGAATAATCCTGCTAAGACCTTGTGTGCAGTTGTATTAATAACATGTCAAGAAATACGAGGAAGTGCTTTATGAAATCCTTCTTTAAGTATCAAAGGTGGGTCAACCTGTCAGCTCGTGCGGGTCATATTCAGCTGAGGTCAGAAGGAGTCGTCACCGTCACTGAGATTGAAGATATTTGTCTCAGGGAATCAGATTACAAGAAGACTCGCTATTCTCTTCCCTTTAATCAGTGAAAATTAACATCCACGTCATTTTAATTCATGCTGATGTCACAGCCAGTGACTGTGCCGCATGAGATGAAATACACAGTAAGACCAGTAGAGGGCGGCAGAGCGTAATGCACCTCATGAGAGCGTGCTGATCTTTGCTGACATGCTCGAAACTTTCTGGCTTGCTAAAAATTTCTAAAACATTTAATCGTTTGTGAAGTTTAAGTTAAAATCAAGCCTGTCAAAACAGAAGATTAATTTCCCTCAGACCCAGCTCAAGTCTCTTTAGGATAGTTATTCCTCTGAGTAATTGCCTGCAAAGTTTGAACATGAATCTTCTCTTTTGCAAATATCTGTTCAGCCAAAATTTTCCAAAATCAATTAAAGTTTCAGGTTCTGCTGGATCAGTTACTAGCACAACTAATCATCTACAGCTTAAAGTAGTGCCAAATAAATACATGATTTACTCTAGTTTGAGAAGCGGTTGCCCAGGACTACAGTGCCCAGCTGTTTCAGTAAAAATCTGAGATTTTCTTGGGATCAAAATTAAAACTGTAATAAGCATCAAATTAATCACATCGTATTCAGCAGCAACTTCATAATACGAGTTGGTAATGTCGCTCTTGTGTGTAAATCTCTTTATAATGGGAGTTGTTATTGTTTATGAAAAATAGAGGACAGATTGGACTAGGTCTGTGACTATTTTTGCATTATATCAACAACAAGGAAAATACTCAATAATACAAGCATAAGCTAGTCGGACAGCTCATGTTTTAAAAGTTTGAGATGTTTCTTGCTGCAGCAGGACACTGTTCATGCCTGGCAGGTTGTCTATTGTGAAATCAGTACAGCTGGAGTTACCTGCCTGAACTAGTTCAAAGGCTTTTCTGTAATAACTGTCACACAATTTTGTTGCGAAAGATAACTGACTGAGGAACATTTTTAAGAAAAAAAAATTGACAGAAACAGATGCAGTGATTCATGATGATTAGTCTTTATTCTGCTCTGTTTGTCAAATCACTTTGTAAACTTTGGTTTTAAAGGTGCTGTATCCATAAAGTTATTATTTTTGCATTTGCAATAGTGGTGATTTAAGCCTGACTAGCGTGGCTACATTACAGTTAGATGCACTTGCCAAGCTCATCCAGCAGAGGGAGCTAGAGGATAGGGACAAGATAATCTCGCTTCTTACCTGAATCATGAGGGATAATCTATTTAAATCCATGTAATGTTTGCAGTGGATTCGTGCTGTTGTAAAAGATAAGAGCTCTTGGCTTGTACAGTATCACATCAGAGAGGAGACCAACACAAAACAGCGAGAAAACAACAACAAACCTGTTTAATCTCTCTGTTAACCAGTGGTGTTTCATTTCACACATCACTATTCATTAATTTTTTGATTTACTGATTGACAGTTGGCCGTCTTAAATCACAGCTTTGGATCATGTTTGGTTGTTTAAAAGACACTTAAAGAGCAGACGAGAGTCCTGTCCGTCTCTGCTATCTGGATGGTTAGCTGATGTTATCTTTCTTAGACAGCTGTGAATAAGCCTCAGTTCCCAAATCAGTCACTGATGCAGAGCAGAAACAGTTGTAGAAGCGAGTGCTAAAAATTTGCCTTTGTGTGTCTGTGTGTGTGTAGATACACACTCATGCTAATGCTCTGCAGTGAGAGTCGTGACGGAGAGATCCACAGAGCAGTAACAGGCTCTGAGATTAAACAGAAAATTAGGACGACCGCTGTAATGTGGATGGAGGAAGGAGAAAGTATCTGTTGTGCAAGTTTAAAAAAAATAAGTTTTAACAACATGTTAGCTAGCTTGACTGATCCAGTCAGAGAATATTATTTTATGGCAGGACTGAGAGTTTGGAGAAGGTTTGCTGAGGAGGTGATGTTCTGCACTGGGTGTGTGAGTGTGTGTGCGTGTCAGCGAAAGACTAAATGTGTGCGGTGAGCTTTAATGAGTTTCACATTAAAATGTGATGCAGTATGGTAGGACAATACAATATGTTACAATACATATGTTTTGATCGGTGCGATACAATTTGATACAACAGTTATGCAACAATACCATACAATATTATGATACAATACAATACAATGTAATACAATACATCAGGATATGAAATGATATAATACAAGCAATACAAAACGTTACATTACGATAAGATATGAAACAAAATGATACGCCACAATGCTTCATGATATGATACATTACTACACAATGTGATATAATTTTAAACAAAACATTACAATACGATGCAATACACTACGATATGATACAAGACGATATATGTTACGATACTTGTGTTATGATATGATATTATTCATATGATGCGATATGACTATAGATACAATAATAGGGATATGTCACAATACATCATGATATGTTATGATAGGAGCGATACAATATGATACAACAGTTAGCAACAAGTGATATGATATGTTACATTACGATACGAAACAATATGATATGCCAAAATGCTTTACGATGTGATACGTTACCACACAATATGATATAGTATGATATGATTCACTACGAAACATTACAATACAATACAGTACAATACAATACATCATGATACGATACATCATGATATATGTTATGATACTTATGTTATGATATAATATTATACAATACGATACCATATGACGATAAGATAATAATTTTGATATATGTTACAATACGTTACATTCAATTTGATACAATATGATACAATACATCACGATATATGTTATGACACAATATATATCACAATATGATACATCATGATATATGTTATGATACTCATGTTACGATATAACGAGAAGACACAATAATTACAATATATGCTATAATACGTTACATTACGATTTTATGAAAAATGATATGGTGATATGATACAGTTCATCATGAATAATATGATATGATTCAAAACGATACGATACAAAATTATACAAAATTATACAAAATGATACGATACAATACACTTAGCCCCTCTCTGCCCCTACAGAGGTATAAATGTATTATAACAATACTGGTGTGTGAACCACTATAAGTTTCTTATGGAAGATACTTGATGCTCAAACAAAATCCCAGGTGTGGAGTTATGAACAGTCATCAATAAATTCTAAAATCTACTTTTACAAACATTCATCCGTCTCAAAAGTTAATCAGCCAAATGTAACCATTGCATGCTGAAACTTGAGCTAAGAAATGTCGAGGAGCAGTTCCCTTAGAAGCAGATTCTTCATTAACAAACACTTTCAGAGGAGGAATCAAACAGAATAGTCATGCAGCAGAGAAGTAGAGCCTCTCCCTCCTCCTCTTTCTCTTCCTCCTCCTCCTCCTCGGCCCCTCAGTTGTCCCGGGACCCCGCTGGCCAGTGAAGCACAGCCTCCAAACCGGGTTCTAGCAAGGAGTCACGGGAAGGGCAAGCTCATTAATTATCTCTCCCTCTCTTACTCCCTCCATCCTCCCATCACACCCTCCCTTCATTACCAGCAAGGTTAATCCTCCCTTATCTCCCAATGAGCCTCATTTTTCATGGCTCCCGGTCCACGACACTTCCTCCCTCCCCTCTCTAGTCACTCTCTTTTTTGAGTTTCTTCTTCTCTGCTTCTTAGTCACTACTTTTGCATCATCCTATATTTTTATTTTCTTTATTCCCTCTGTGTCTTTCTTACTTTATTTCTCTGCTTCTTTCCTTCCCTCTACTTTCCCCCTTTCCCCTCCTCTCCCCCCTTTCCTGTGCTTACCTTGAACAGGCCGTAGTGAGTGGAGAGAGTAGATCTATTACAGCTTATCACTAAAGGACAGGCCAACGCTGCAAGCCGGTGAAATATGGCTGCTGTCACAGCCACCTCCGAACACGACCCGTGCACAGAGCTCGCGCAGAGCTGTAAGGGCGAGTAAAGAAGAGGGGAGCGGGTTGTGGGTGTGGAGGGGGATATGGAAGCCAGTAACAGACCCCTAATTCAAATTAATGGGAAGATTTTCGGTCCTGATGCTGAGCGTTTGACAGTGATTTGGCACACAATTAACCTTGTCTCCCTCTCCCCTCTGCACCCTCTTCACCTCCATCCACAGCCCCCCTCCCGCTCTCTCTCTCTCTTCCAGTCCTCTGTACCTGACACGCTTCCTGACACTCTCTTATTGATTATGAACCAAATGGGATGATTATGTTTTATTAGATAACTGACACTCCCTACTGTTGTATGCCAATTGAATTAGCCCTGAATCACCAGTGTACATTTGGCGTAACATGAAGTGGCTCTGCTTCATTTCAGGTTCTTCACAAACATTCAGTAATATAATGTGCAGTTTAGAGCAGACTTCTTCTACTTCTACATCTACTTCTTCTTGTATTAAAGATCTCTTCAAACATGTGGTCACTACCTCTAAAGCTTTAAAAACAGCCATAAAGATCTGATATACTGTATATGCACCCACAGGGGCAGGGATAAATGGGTATTCAGTGGTGGCCCTGCCCCTATTACTGAAAGGCCACCTTCACCAGGGTCCAACAGTGACTTTTATTTATTTAATTTTTGAGGTTGGAGCCCCTGACACCAACTTATGCCCCCCTTTATGTTGTGGTGCCTCATATCCTATTGCTGGTCTTGCCCTGATCAAGAACTTTGAGTGTTTCTGACAACGAAATACCCTTACTTTCTTCTAACAATCACCCGTCACCCTCATTGTGAATTTTTGAACTGTCATTAAGAGGCTCTATGTGTCTTGTTCATTACAGGATGCAAATGTTATTGAGCCACAGTGAATAGGAATTCAAGATCCAAGATTCAAGTTTATTTTGTACAATAAAAAAAGGATACTATATATATATATATATAAATAAATATATATATATATATATATATATAAATATATATATATAAATATATATATATATATATTTATTTATTTATTTATTTATTTATAACAGACGAATAAAGTATAAGAGAAATATTTACAAAGTGCAAAAGCGATGTAGTAGATGCTGAGTGTGAATATATGAAATGGAGGATAAGTCGGTGAGATAACTGAGGTATGGAAAATTGCCATATTTCACATGATAAATAATGGTGAACGAATTGTTGTATTGCACATCACAGATAATATTGCACAGTTAAGTGGGTAATTGCACACATTGGGTAATTGTCCGATGGTACTGCCAGGAGTTTTGTAAACAAACTGCATGTGGGTAGTAACTGTTCTTCAGTCTTTTAGTGTGTGCTGGCAGACTCCTTTACTTTCTACCCGACAGTAGTAGACAGAAGAGTCTTTGTGCTGGGTGGGTTTTGTCCTTCATATTTGCAGCATTGCATTTATTCATAAAACGAATAAATAAATAAATAAAACTCTACCTACTACCATCACATGTTTATTCACACATCTTTAGTTTTTCTTTTTAGATAAATCTTGTCCCTTATGGCCTCTTGGTACTTTCTTGACCCTTTGAAAAATTGCACTTCAAGAGGATTTGCAAATATTTCTTATCACACTAGCAGCAGTAATGATTATTTGCCGAGGTGTTACTTCAGTTAAAGCCACGGGAAGCAGACCCCCTGCGGTTTTGATCTTGACTGTATGACTTGTGATCTTTGATATCAGCCTGAGCCCGCTCTGTGCTCTGCAACATCTGTCCAGAGTGTGATGGATTTCCACTCACCGACCTGTTTAAAAGACCATCCGTCCTGCAGCCTATATCCTCTCAGCTAGACTTGACTCACTGCTTTATAGGCCGTTTCACCTTGGGTTCCAGGTCACGGCGCCAAACAGCCTATAAGTTTCAAACAGAGGAGAGCAACTGGAGTGTTTAAGAGGCAGAGAGGAGGTGCATCCAGCCAATAACAGAATAGAGGAGGGAGGTGGTGTGTGAAAGAATCAGGCTCAGTAATAGCAAAGGCTTGTGGAGACACTGGATAGAAACATTCAGTTTTTGAAATGAGGGCCAAAAAATGGCTTATGGCTTAAAAAGAAGAAATAAAATCTTCTAAGAAATATTTCATGAGTGTTAAAAGCAGTAAAATACTGTTCAGTCAGGACCACTTTAGTCAAAAGTAATTATTTATTAAAAGCAAACATTTTACATTGGCGGTATGTCTCTGTTTTGAGAGTTCCCTGCCCTTCCATGCACTTGGATGGAATGCCACGGCTATCCGGTCAAACTCTGAGGTTAGCACAGAGGCAAACAAACTTAAAATCATCAACAAACAGGCCAAAAGTTAAAACATTTGTATTGTGATAATCCGGCAGTAGTTTATGATTTTTTTACTTAAAGCAGCTGGGAGGAACTTTCAGTTTGTGCCAGTTTTGGTGAACAAAGCAGTTTTTGCTTATCTTACCCTCTACGTGCTTTAATTTGATCTCTTTACAATCTCATTTTGCTGACTTTTAACAAATGCATCATTTATTTTATATATTTAATGAGAAAAAAATGTCATTCCTACCAATGATGATCTTCAATGCTTTCGTAAATCATTGAAGGGCATTGACACGAACTTTAGTCTTTCATAAATGTCAAAAAAATCCTCACAGGAGCTTTAAAACAAAAGGCTACAACCATCTTAGCAATGCTATCTTATGGCACAGCCAACTAAGCTTTCATGTTGGGTAAGAAAAAACTGTGTCCTGATAAATGTTAGTACCACTTTTGATAACAGAGATCGCTGGAATAAACCAAAGTTTCACAGATTGACACGGTAAGAGGAAGTGGTTCTCCTGTGGTGGCAGTTTGCAGGTAGCTCAGTAAAAGAGTCTTGAAGTAACTCAGTGTCAGCACAATGTTGTGGAAAGATGATGATTATCCAGTTTTTTTTACTAGACTCAGCCTCAGGCAGCACCGCGTGACACGGACAAACTATAGCAGAGACGAGTGTGACGGTAAAGTGACGGACAGCGAGGCGTGAGCGCTGTCAAACGGTGTCAAAGGACCTGCTGATCTGACGCTGTCAGGCCTGAGAGTGCAGTTCAGGGAACACATGTAAAGGTGGAAAAGAATGACAAGTTTTCATGCGGTAATGCAGCGGAGAGTAACATGACACCTATTTAAAGTGTAAAAAGGAAACTTGTGGTAGATTGAGTGACGTTTTTACAATTTTACTGCCGAAAGTTTCCAATCTGAGGCGTAGTTTAGACTCACTTTAAAGCAGTCAACAATCACATACCTCTTGAATACAACATACCACATTAAAAGAAACTGCACATTTCAGTGAGTGCTCACAGTATGTAAAGCAGTAGCTGCCTTAGTGGGCATTAACAACAGACAGCACTGTCAACAGGTCAAGGAAGAAATTTCCATTTTAAACCCACTTTTGCAGCTTTCAGGTAGAATCTAATATTAACTGATATGTTTTTCAGCTGGGCGGCACAGTGGTGTAGTGGTTAGCACTGTAACCTCACAGCAAGAAGATCCTGGGTACGGCTCAGGGTGTTATTGTGTGGAGTTTGCATGTTCTCCCTGTGTCTACGTGGGTTTACTCCGGGTATTCCAGTTTCTTCCCACATCCCAAAAACATGCCTAAGTGGGGTTAGGTTAATTGTCCACTCTTAAATTGCCCTTAGGTGTGAATGTGAGCGTGGACGGTTGTTTGTCTCTATATGTCAGCCCTGCGATGAACTGGCGACTTGTCCAGGCTGTCACCTGCCTTCGCCCCACGATGCTGGGATAGGCTCCAACCCCCCCGCGACCCCTAAAGGGGAATAAGCGGTAGTGGATGGATGGATGGATGTTTTTCATCTTGGATATTTTTTTTTTATCTTGTACCAACCATAAAAACTCAAAAGCGTAGTCCTGGCTTTTCAGAAAACTTAAAGACACAAATACAAGAAAAAACTCATGAAGATACCAAGATCTAAAGAGGGCATGCTGGGTAACTTTTAGCTGTTTTAGCCCCTGATGTTTAAAGGGATGCAATTTTTGTGTTTATTTAGTATCACTTGATTTTGGGGCAAAAAAGGGACTTTGAAGACAGATGGAAACTCAATATTCTCCTGACGTATGATCGGAGCATTTGCGAATTACAGCAAGCGTGTTAATCCAAGCAAAAGTCCTGATGACAAGATCGTGACTGGATATTTTTGGTTCTTGATACTTTGATACTCAGAGGCTGAAAAGCACCTCTGAATTACAGTGAGATCCACGAAAATAAAATGTACCAGTTTAGATGGATAACAAAATCTCTCAGATAGATTATGTAAGAGCTTAAAATCCTCCTCTCAGCTCTCAGCGGCCACACAACATGTGTCTGTTGCTCTAATGCAGTGTTTCCTGAAATGTCCAAGTGGCACAGAAACAGGTGGATGAAAGCAGCGCGTCTGACTTTTGCCCTCGCTGTCACGATTTTTACTGGATGGAGGTGGTGATCCTTACCATCAGCAACACAAATACAGCAAATGCGGAGCTCAGTGCTGTACCACCAGTTCCCCCATGACTCACGACACATCCGTGAAAAGGGCTTAACACAAGGTAGGAGGGGATCAGCAGCGCCCCGGTGTTCGGGCTGCATTTGCTTTGAAGCAGATGTGAGGGTGTGCGTTCGCTCTCTCTCCCCTCTCTTCATGTTTGCGCGTGCGAGCGCGTGCTGGTGTGCTCATGCACCTCGCTGAACGTCACGACTGTTAATGCATCACGATCAGCCCACTGAAAATGAAGCTAATCTGTTGCGAGGGAAATGGGGCAGGAATTAGCTCCTTCAATCCACCACTGGTTTCCTTTTAGCATTTGAGGAATTTAGTCACTTATCTTCATGCATTTTCTAGCTGCATCCCAACTCACAACACACGGTGGTTGTGCGGCCTGTGTCCTTACAGACGACCAGTTCCAGCGTTCATTTATTACAAGTGATGATTGATTTCACACTTGTCACAAAGCCCTGATATACATGAATTGAAATTCCAGCTCAGGAAATCGACATGCTTCTGTCTAAACGATCTAAATCAAACAGGAATTTCAATTCATTCATTCAGTTTTCAGGCTGGAATGATTAAACTGAAATTGAATGTCCTGCAACCCAAATATCAGGGCTGTCCTCATGAAGCATCAGGCTGAACAGTATCTTTAAGTCTAAACGTGTCCCTTCTTTCGGCAGACGATCGTTCGAGGGAACCGGCCACCCAAAGATGCCTCCATTAACGGTCTACTGGAGGAGTTCGACAACATCTCAGTAACACGCTCCAACTCCCTGCGTAAAGAGAGCCCACCAGGCCCCCATCAAGCAGGGACCAGCTCCAAACCCTCGATCAGTGGTCATCCTAACGCGCCAGAGGAAAATGGATTCAACCATTACTACTCGCGCTACTCCTGTGATCTCGACACCTCCAGCAGAGACTTCTCTCTCGACCACAGCAGGCCAAACTTCTCCATAGACGGGGAGTGGGCCATTGGGAGGCACTATCGGTTCACCAAGCAGAACGGTCACTCGCACCCCATCCGCAGCCCCTTCTATCCAGACGCCATGCCCCAAAAATCAGACTATGGCAAGCTTCCCCCGGACTACCACACCTACTTGGAGAGCAAAGGCCGCTCAGCAGATGAGGTAGCCTCCACGGTGGGGAGCGGGGTGGGCTCCAGCGGCTACTACCGGGCGTCTGTGGGCGGCTCTTCCAGTCAGGACTATAGGGACACTTCAGTGGGAACACCTTCCCGAGCCTCTTTACACAGCGAGCAGATCAACTACCCAGACAGTGAGTGGAGCTACGGCGGTCTACGGGACGACTACGATAAGCGGCCTAAGAGTTCTTATGTGACGCAGACCAGTCCCACACCAGCTATCAGGCAGAGGTCTCGATCAGGGTCTGGACTGCAGGAACCAAACGTTCCTTATGCAGCCAGTGGGGCATTCAAGAACCCCCCACAGGCTCATCCGTACAGCTCCTACACCTACCCCCGCCTCTCTGAGAGTCTCGGCAACTCACAGACTCTAACCAAGGTAACCACACCAAACACTGAAACTGCTTCTGTGTCGTAAAATTATCCAATTGTCTTTGAAATTATTGTGACAGGGACTTTGATGGGCTTTAATCTGATATGTCAACACAGATCTGTAAACATTTTCCACCGCCCACCACCTTCAGTGCCCGTCAAACCTCCTTTCTCTCTCTCTCTATGTCTCTCTCTGTATCGCTCTCTTTCATTGTCTGTCTCTGCCTCCAGTTCTTGCTTATTCCCGCCTCGTACCTTCTTTCTGCATTTATGTTGAGATAGACTGTGTCAGCTGTTGATCTGGTCTGGTCTCCACATCCTGATTAACCCCCTCTTCGGGAACCACTTTGTCCACACACAAATCAATTAATGCTCGTGCTGACTACCGACCGGAAAGCTCTGACTTACACAGTTACAGAGGCTAAACAAAGAAAGGCTCACAGAAGTGGAGAGAGTAAATGAATAGATGATTTTACAGATATTAAAATTAATGGTCCACTGAGGAGACTTTTGTAATGAAAGAGCTGGTTAGCTGATGGCTGATATATAATGCCGATTTCACATAGTCGCTTTCTGCATTTAACAAAATAGAGCAATTAAGACATGAGGAATAAATCAAATACATTTGTTTAGATAAGACAATATTTGGTTTCACTCAATATTGCAAAAAAAGGGGCTGCTAAGGTATCTAATATTGGGGTTAAAATAAAAAAGGAGTCATCTAAAAATCCATTGTTTCAAAGCCATTTACCCTGACATACATACATAGTTATCTTAGCTAACTTAGCTAAGAGAAATTCAGTGTTTAATGCTATAGATTACGGAGCATGGCTGATATACATGACAGGTGCAAAGTTTAACACGTAATTCAGTACATCATAACAGAATTTATATCAAACCACTAGCCAGGAATTGTTTTAGGTTTGAGATGTGGTATTTATTTTTGTTTTGAAATGCCATCAAGCGGCCAACAGAGTAATCGGTCTATCTCTAATAAAAAGTACAACAAGAAAAAAAAAGTCACTCCCATGGCACTGGAGGCTCAAAATCCATCGTGACAAACTAATATTATACTGAAAATTTCATTCTGGTCAAGCTAAAAAATTTTAGCTGACTTGATTTCCACAATTTAATATTTATGTTGATCTTTCTGTCGTAATTCAGCTCTCCTCCTCAATGCGTTTGACATAACTTCAAGGATAATTAAGGCACACTGCAACTTACCGTTGTCTTGATTGCAGGATGAGAACTTACTCCACTTTTCCTTTTCAGACATAGTTAGGTCATAATACATTTACCTGCAGTATTTACTAATTGAGAAAGCTAAAGGAAACTAAGATTTTTACTGGAACGATGTGAGACGATATGATGTGTTTGATCAAGTTATCTCATCCGACCAATCAGAGTAAGTTTAACTCAGCTGGCTTCTATTTGAAACTTGAAAAGAAAAACACAAATAATACAAATAAACAACCTCTGATTCAGTGGTTTAGATAACCAAGTAACATGACCTCACATAGATGTCATGTTTCATAGCTTGCAGCTGTGAATAAAACTCTCATATTGTAAAAGACGTAACACAGCCTGTGATGTGCTCCAGTGGAGCAGCAGGAGAGACTGAAATACTCCAGAGACTCCCCCGCACAGAGACTCGACAGACAAGAGCAAACAGACCTCACATGCATTATCACAGTGTAATGTAACCATATGTTTCCAGTGTCTGCTCCTCCAGCTGAGTTTTTAAACCCTTACAATATTATATATTATACCAACATCATACTGATCTGCTGTAGCTACAGTAAAAGAGGTGAGAAAAGGTTGTGAAATAGTGGGGGGTAAAAATGCTGCCAGTCACAGGGATAGTGGTCTTTCTGCAACATTTTCTTCATATCATTTCTTTATATTGCCCCATTAGGTCCATTATACAGGTGTGCATACTGAAATCACGAGCCGTCAACCATCCCCCCTCTTCCTTCACACACAGCAGGTCCGGTGGCTGAAAGGAAAACCAGGTTTGCTGATGTAGATCCCAGGGTGCCTTGATGAAAAACCATTTAACCTGCATGCTTCAGTAAATAGCCACTCGTAGAAAAAATAACGCCATGGAGAGTGCAAGAGTAGCAGGACTGGAAATGATGCAGGAGAAGGTCATCTTTTTGCAAATATTGTTTATTATTATCACCTTTTTTTTTTTTTTTTTGCTTTAAGAGGCAAATTCGGTTTCCTGAATGTGCAGTTTGTAGAGTCACGTGAAGACCGGAGTCACAAAAATGCCTCTTTATTAATCCGAAAAGCTGAAAATGCTAGAAGAAATAAACTCCCACAAACTTTCTTCTGGAGTGTTGTTACTATTTAGTGCTTTGTCAAATCTTAATTTAAAATAAGGGCATGGTGAATGTTGGCTCAGAAATAAAAGCACCCTCATTTGTTTTGTGATATTGGCAGATTTTGTAGCAGTGGTGAGAAAAAAAAGAGAAACAAGGAGTCATGCAGCAGCTTAAAAATCACTATTCTTCTCGGCTCATGGACCCTGTAACAAACCCACCCCTCTCCCTCTCCTCTTGTTCTCCTCCTTTTCTTCTCTCTCCCTCATTCAGCCCACTCACACTGCTGAAGTAAATCCGTCTTTCCCCCTGCTGTTGTTTGGAGCCGGTGGGGATGTAACAGTAGACCGCATGGAGTCTTGGCCACACACACACAAACACACACACTCCTTCTCTCTCTCTCTCTCCCTGTGTTTTGTGGCATTGTGAGCTCAGTGCCGCAGCTCTCGGTGACAAATTGATGTTGCGGCACTTTCCCTTTCTGCAGCCTTAGCATAAAACCGGCCGAACGATGTTCCACCGCGGAATTCAATTTCACAGTTGAGTTAGGTTGTTGATTACCCTGCCAAACTCAGATTAATGCGCGTTTAACCAACATGGATCAGGAGACCCTTGGCTGACAGCCAGCCAGCGGTGCCGGCCAGCGATAGGGGGGCTCAAGACGGGGCTGTCCCGGCAGCTACATCCCCCTTCCTCCCTCCCATCTCCAAACACCTGCCTCAGAGTGATTGATTAAAAGAGTTCACACCATGTAATTATACACCATCCCAACACATCAGAGCTCCTCCCCCTGCCCTGTCTGTTCTGTGTGTGTGTATGTGTGTGTGTGTGTGTGTAAAGAAAAAGAGTGATCGGCTCAGAGACAAAAAAAGAAAAAAGAAAGGAAAGGTTTTTATTATCTACTTCGTCTCTTGAGGATTAATAGGAGAAAAAAAGATGGTGGTGAAAGAACATTATAGGGAGGTGTGGCAGAGGTTTAAACTAGAGATTTTCTCTTTGTTTAGTTTTTAAAACAACATATTAGTCGTATTAATGCTTTGCCATTACACCATAACCTTATTATATCGTCAGATACATATGAAGCATTCCTGTATTGGATACTGCATTCTGATTGGTCAATTGCTGCATTCTAAGGTCTGCTATTTCTGTATAAGAGAATGCTGCTATGGAGAACAGCCCAACAGGAAGGCAGTTCACAGCATTACCCTATCTAAGTTTTAGCTGGCTCACTGTACATTATAAATTAAACTGTGAATTAAAGGGATATTCTGGCCTTAAATTAATTTAGGGTCAAACACACTGTAACACCGAGTTAGACACCCCCTCGGGAGATGGATGTTGCCGACTGCTGCTTCTCTAGTTATACCAACTTTAGTAATGACAGCAGGATAGCAATACATAGCGGTCTGAGGAACCATAAATAAACCTCCACCAAAACTCCACTCTATAGCCACAAATAATGCTCAGAACAGCACCTAACTTCATCAACAGTACATATGTACTATCATTTAAATATCATGCAGCCATGATTTATGGTTCCTACAAACAAAAAAAACAAACAGATTCCAGCTTCATAAATTGGTATTTTTGAAAATAGATCATAAGTAGTGGCTTAAAAGTGCAGAGTTCTTACTTTCCTCAAGATTTTCATGTGTGTGGGTGCATTTGTGCGTTTGTGAGTCCTAGTATGAGTCAGACCATTTCTGCTGAGTCATACAACTGTGCTTTTAATAGGTCCTTCTGAGTTAAGCTCTACTGTATCACTGCGTGTTTGTGTGTGTGAGTGTGTGTGTGTGTGTGGGGTTAGGAGAGGTTTGCACTAGGTATGTGGAGACTGGGATTGGGAGTCCCTGGGATTCAAAGGAAGAGGTGTGTCCTAGATCAGGATGCTCCCCGTGCTCCTGCGTGATGAATGGAGGAGCTGTGGAGCATTGTGGGGAGTAATGATAATGTATGGCCCCTGTCCTTAGGACTAAATGTCCTCCGTTAGCTCGGTCCTGGGCTAATGTACCTGCACACACACCTGGCATTTTACTCCTGACAGATGTGCGTGGTCTTGCATTTTAGCTGATGAAAAATCCTTCAGCAACATACTCAAAGCCATGCACAAATCAAATAACTCTGACGCCGTGCTGTCTCTCCTGCAGGGTGACTACGAGCGTCCGCTACGTGACGGCAGCCCCCAGGTTACAGGCGGTGAGACCTACCCCAGAGGGCCTCTAAAGCAGCCTCCAAGTCATCCCAAGCCACCCGGATACCCTCCAGCACACCTGCCCTACCCTCCTGTCTTCCACCATTATAAGCCTTCATCTTACCACCACCCTCCCTCTCAGCCGAGCCCACCATACACCCCTCAGGTACAGTATGTTCAGACTTAAGGGATATTCAGCTTAAAATTCATGTTTCAGTCTAACTCGACATACTTTACTTTTATATTTCAATCATAGGGGGCCTACTCACAGCCTTCGTCACCTTACATCCCCCCGGGGGCCTACCCACCACCTTCCTGGGGGTCCAGCTCTGACACCCAGCCCTCCAGAGTCTCCCATGAGCAGTTCAGAGCTGCACTACAACTGGTTGTCAACCCAGGTAAGGAATCAAAGTTGAAAAGTAACTCTTGCGTGCATCCTTATAACAAAATTTCTCGCACTTTGGAGCCCCCCAAAAAATGAGCCTTGGTTGTATTGGCACACAGGTGACCCACGGGAATACCTGGACAGCTTTATCAAAATCGGTGAGGGCTCCACGGGTATCGTGTGCATCGCCAGCGAGAAACACAGCGGCAAGCAGGTGGCCGTGAAGAAGATGGACCTCAGAAAACAGCAGAGGAGAGAGCTGCTCTTTAATGAGGTGTGATAGACTTAACTGCAGTACATTTAACTCACACCCACAACAGTGAATTATCACACTGACTAACACCCCTGAGGTTTGTTGCTTCACCCAACAGATTTAACAGGTTGTGTATTTATTTTATAAGACAGTAATCAGAGTATTTTTTTTATTATTCAGAGGCTGGAAGCTGTATGTCATCCTGTTACTGTCGGTCACTCTGACCCAAACCAAGAAAAAGAAACTCCCACTCTCCACATGTTAGATCAGAGCCCATGTTAGTCATCTATTGTTGATAACTTAAAAAGGCAGCAGGAGAGATGAAACTGGCGTAAAAGCATCATTAAACGTGACTTATTATGTGCTAAAAACATCAAATTAATTCTCACCATCCCGGAGAAGAACAGTAGCATGCTTACTAATGGAAAAAATAATTTGCCTCTGTTCCACTGACATTTATCCATATATATGGCAATCACACCACCGACACGTTTTTACATCTGTAATTGCATTTATTTCCTAAGTAGCATTCACACTGTAAAACCCGAGGCAATACATTTATTCATAGCATTTTCTATTCATAGTATGCTTAATGTTGAAAATTGAGCTCTGTGTCATTTTTCACTGCCACTGAAATTAATCATATTTGGAGACAAAATTTCAAGATTGCTTATTTGGCAGGAGGAAATTAATCAAGTAAAGGGCGACCCTTGAATTTCCTTTATCTTGCATTATTGCTCCGTTCTATTTTGGGGTGTGTGTGTGTGTGTGTGTGCATGTCTATAGGATAGAGAGGGAAAAAGAGTGGGATAAGATTGCATTTGAATATGTCAGTGTGTGTGCGCAGAGTGAACACAGATGTGAAGCAGTGGGTGTTCAGTTAGGGACTAATTTGCTTTGTGTAATCCCATTAATCCTTAAATTTAACCCTTTTATAGTTAAGCCTCCAGAACATGTTCATATGAGTAATATAGTTAAAGTAATTGAAATTAGATAAACCAACTGAACGAAGATTTAATCGTTGAAATGTAAGTACATTTAGATTTCAAGTTTGTGACTGTCATAGCTTCATATCAACAGACAATCAACGTACAAATACAGGATGAAAACATTTATATCTGTATTTGTGTTTGTAGGTGGTGATCATGAGGGACTACCATCACGAAAACGTGGTCGACATGTACAACAGCTACCTGGTGGGAGACGAGCTGTGGGTCGTCATGGAGTTTCTGGAGGGTGGTGCACTCACTGACATCGTGACTCACACCAGGTAACCATTTCCTAAACACAGAAACATAAAGTGGACCGACATCAGCAATGTCATAAAAGGAAGCCCAGCTGGGGGTGAGGGACAGTCCAAACAAACCAGATGCTCATGCAGAGCTGTAGGACTGATATCACAACCTCTCCATCAACAAAACGTCAAAGATCCCCAGGTTCAAGGTCCACAGCAGAGCAGACACTTAAAGTTATGGAAAGTTCGATGACTCTATTAAGTAACTTTGTCAGTGTTAAAATCTAATAACTAGCTCAATCGGAGGTTATTCTGGTTTGAGTGCAAATTAATATTGAAGTTTGACCTGAGGAGGCGGAGCTTATGCACCATACAGCAGCCAGTCACCAGGGGGAGCTCTAAATATTCTTGCTTCACAGTCAGTGAACATTATGGCATCTATTTTTAATATACAGTCTATGGTAAGATTTGAAAATGTCATCTGTATTTGATGCAGGAATAACTCACACTGTTTAATATGAAGCTACAGCCAGAATACTTTGATTTAAGCCTATTAATAAGACATGCAAAGATTAATGGCTAATCCAGCTTTGTCAAAAAGCAACCAGATTCCTCCATGAGCATCTTTTAAGTTCAGATCCAGGAGCATGAGGGCCTGTTTCTACTAACAGCTTTTTTTCTTTTTTTCTTTTTTTTTTTGCACTGGCAGCAGCAGAAGCTTTTTTCAAAAATGCAATTGACTGATGCTGTAGAACCAAGGTCCCCGCTTCTGTATGTCACTCATATTTGTGTGATTGTCAGCTGCGTTGAATGTTCTCAGCTTAAAGGGATATTCCGGCGCAAAATTAATTTAGGGTCAAACACACCGCACCACAGAGTAAGACACCCCCTCGAGAGATGAATGTTGCCGATCACTTGCTTTTCTAGTTATACCAACTTTAGTAACGACCGCAGACGCAGTAGTTCTTCTGCCTTAGCGTCTTGGCCCGAGGTCTCACTACAAACTGTCGCTGCTGGAAGAGAGTAGGTGAGTTGTGTTTAGTCTCTTTGCTAAAGAAATTAGGCAAAGTTAAAAACATGTTTGGTGGCTGAGACCCTATATGTACTGTTGATGAAGTTAGGTGCTGTTTTGAGCCTTATTTGTGGCTATAAAGTGGCTTTTTGGTTGAGGTTTGTGTGTGGCTCATCAGACCGCTGTGTATAGACCTTTTTCACAGTTCGCCGAAGTAAGCATTCTGCTCACTTCCGGTGTTAGCGTGTGGTGGAGCCACTTAGCATCTCCCATAGACGGCCATTCATTTTTCACGATATTAACAAGCTCACGACTCGTGTTTTTGAAAGGTAAAGTAACATTTTATGCTTTGTGCTGTTTTACTAACTCCTGTTTTTCATAACACTGTCCGGATTTTGTACTTTATTTTTCGGGAATTATGTTTAATAGGTCATTACTGAAGAGCAATGGTTACCATCATCAGAAAATTTCCAGACCTATTAAACATAATTCCCGAAAAGTAAAGTACAAAATCCGGACAGTATTACGAAGAACAGGGGTAAGTAAATCCACACAAAGGATATAATTTTACTTTACCTTTCAAAAAAAACAAGTCGTGAGCTTGTTAATATCGTGAAAAATGATTGGCCGTCTATTGGCGATGCTAAGTGGCCCCACCACACGCTAACACCGGAAGTGAGCAGAATGCTAACTTTCGCGTACTGTAAAAAAGATCTGTTGATATCCTGCGGTTGTTACTAAAGTTGGTATAACTAGAGAAGCAAGCGGTCGGCAACGTTCATCTCTCGAGGGGGTGTCTTACTCGGTGTCTGTAACAGACTGTAAATCTGATTTTTCAGTCACGACTGTGATTAAATATTCGTTTCAATGGTTGTTCAAAACTCCTGGGGTTATTTTGAGTAGTTCGCCCCGTACATCAGAGACTCCACGAAGACGCACTATTTCACAAGACGAGCCGTAAAATAAGCAGATGGTCTGTAATCCACTCCAGTCTTTGATTGTTTGATGATTATTGTTCTCCAACTTTTCTTAATTGCTTCTCTGTTGTTGAGTCGTGTTTCTGAGCTGCTGCCTCATTGTTTTAAGCTTACTTTGTGCTTGGTGTTTAATTACAGTCATTTGCGTGAAAGTGTCAGCATTAGCGCTGTGCAGTGTCGGGTGCTAATAACACGCTTTGGTGAGACTGAGCACCGTTGCTACCGTGGAGTATTTTGAACCATCTCCCACGCAGATGTTGGCCTGTTTGTGTGTTTAGTGTGTGTCTGTCTGTGTGTGTGTAAATGGGAGAGTTTTAGTATGCATGATTGCTTGTAGAAGTGCTGATGGAAATTTCGCTAAAGGTGGTATTATTGGACGCTAATGTTCTCTGTTTTAAACTTCTGGTTGTTTTTTACAAGTCTGTTGAATTTTAAATGGAAGTTAACATAAATATTGTAATTTATACTTATGGAAAAGACAAAAACAAGAACTGAGATATCATCATATTATAAGGTTGAGTGTCATTTTAAAATTTTGACTGTAAAGCAGGAACAAAAATCACCCTGTCAGTTTTAATATAGGCTGTTTATGCTCTATCTATATATCAGTTTATGATGTAGGAATACAGCAGCTTGTTCTTTCCCTGTAATTTCAGCTGTGTTAGTCCAGGTGTGACCTTTGCACCATTTCTGTTGAGCATTTTGTTGTGGAAATAACTGCTGCCTGCCTTGCAAGCCTCATCAGGTCGCTGGGTTGTTGGCGGCAAACACACACACACACTCACACACACACTTAGAAACACGAACACACACATACTCAGGCGAATCAGCAGCACCAGAGTGGGCGTCTGTGTACTTTAACTATTTCTATCACGTTCAATTTTCAATTATACTTCAGAGTTTGGTAATGAGCTGCACTTCACAGGGATTTTATCTAATGTAAGTGCAAAAGCATATGTATTTGTGCCGGTGTGTGCATGTGTGCGCAATTCCCCTCCCCTTGGCAACCTTTTCAGGCTCATTAAAATTGTTTTTCACTTTGTGTTTGAAACAATTTTCTATTTCACTGATCCTGTTTTCCCTTCAACATTGTGTGTGTGTTCAAATGTGTGTGTGTGTTGGAGGAGGGTGGGGCAAAGAAAGGCAGTGAGAGGTAAATTATTTTTTTTAATAGATGTCTCTATCTAGTTCATTTTGAGTTAGCGGGTTGTTTTCTCATTAGCAAAAAGCTCATTTATCTCCTGTGATTGTAAATGCATGCATGTGTGACAGTAAAATCTGCTGCAATCTCCATCTATATCTATATGTGTGTGTGTGAGTCATTCAGTTTTAGGCCCACACATTGTGGACTACCTTTGCATTAACATACACAAATAAAACAAATGAGTGTGTCTTCATCCCTGTCTATGCACTGTATGTGAGGTGCACACACACTCATAAACACACAGCCTGGTAGGGCCAGCTGGGTCTGGATGTTAAATGTTCAGTGGAGCCGTGAGTTTTGAGTTCAGTCAGTCGCACTGCATCGCCCCAGCTCTCCATATGGGACCCTTCTGCTCACTCTGCACAACATGGCTACAGCCGCTGCGGGCTACAGGGGGAATTTCTGCTCTTTTTTTTATTCCTGTTTCACTGTAATCTCTATAACTCTATAAAATTACAGCAAAGACTGAGGCCTTCTCTGTGCTGCAGGATTAAGAAAAGCCACATTTTTTTTGCCAGTTTGACCTGAAATGGTTCAACTGTGAGAACCAGATGAAACCCTGGCATGTCATCCCTGCTCTATTTCCTAGTTGCTAACTTTATCTTCTGTTGTATCCTCTAAAAAAGGCATACACATTAGATAAAAGACTGAAAAGAAGTAAATTAAGCCAAAAAAAAATTAAAGGGTCAAGATCTATTTCTCATATTGTAAGATATAGTTGCTATAGAAATTACTACTAGATGTCCCTGAGCACCATTATACCATAGGCTCCGCTGGACTGCTGCTGCAGACGTTTTGCCTCCGTGGACCTGTCTGCTCTACAGCTGCCTCAACGGCATGCATCTGTCCATCTGGGGCGGCAGTAGCTCAGGAGGTAGAGTGGTCGTCCAATAACTGGAATGTTGGTGGTTCGATTCCCCCCTATCCTGAGTCTGTCCGTTGTGTCCTTGGGCAAGACACTTAACCCGCCTTGCGTGTGAGCGAATGAAAGCGCTATATAAAATCTGATGCATTATTATTATCCCTCTCTTCTTAGTGCAGTCTCAGCAGATCACTGTCTCACATGAATCTGGTTCTGCTCAAGGTTTCTGCCTGTTGAAGGAAGTTTTTCCTCTCCACTGTATGCTGCAAAAAGCTACACTTATGTAGCTGAAGATGGGATGGGAGTGGGTCTGATTAAGGTCCTCTATCCTTAGCCATTACTAACACATATTAATGTGTGTATGTCTGTTTTTTGTGTGTCTCCCCACAGGATGAATGAGGAGCAAATAGCTACAGTGTGTCTCTCGGTGCTGAGGGCTCTGTCTTACCTGCACACACAAGGTGTCATCCACCGTGACATCAAGAGTGACTCCATCCTGCTAACGAGTGATGGCAGGGTAAGTGCACATCATGAATGTGTGTGTGTGTGTGTGTGTGTGTATATGCATGTGTGTAAACCGGACTCTTCCCTTTAGGACATAAGAATTTTTTCCGAGCTTGGATCTTACTCCCTTAACTGCGACCCTCGTTCCTGTCGCTGGTGATTTCAGTCTCACACACACTCTCACACACTCACTGACCTTCTGTATGGGTGCCACTCCTCCAACTCGTCACCATCCAGTGCCAGAAACTCATCATCATCAATTACCACCCGTGCCCCAGTAATTAAATCCTGCCTAACGCCTCCTAACGAGCTGATAAGACATGATTAATTGAAGGATAATTAACTACTAATAAAGGAGATTAGTGTCTTCTATGAAAGCTCTTCATCATAACAGGTCAGCGCACTTCCCAGCACTAAACAATTAGGTCATGATCTAAACTAGTCCGTACCATGGGACCCCACACCTGCAGAGGGGGGAGTGAAACCTGAAGGCAACACTTTATCTGTGTGTGTGTTTGCAGATCAAGCTTTCAGACTTTGGCTTCTGTGCCCAAGTTTCCAAAGAAGTGCCCAAGAGGAAGTCTCTTGTGGGGACGCCCTACTGGATGGCACCTGAGGTTATCTCTAGACTACCATACGGGACTGAGGTGAGATCACCAGTGGATTTAAAATTCCTGCAAGAAAGATTTCCTGTTAACAATGTTTGTATATATTTTTTCGCTCACTCAAGATCCAGTTGAAAATGTAGATGTTTTTTTTTTCCAGGTGGATATCTGGTCTTTAGGCATCATGGTGATTGAGATGGTGGATGGAGAGCCCCCGTACTTTAATGAACCCCCTCTGCAGGCCATGAGGAGGATACGAGACAACCTGCCTCCAAGGCTAAAAGAGTCGCACAAGGTGAGAAAGCACTGGGTGCAGGTTTTATCTTGGTTTAGCATCTCAGCATGCAACTAGCAATTAGCACAAAATACATGGTGATTTTATTGATCTACAAGTATTTAGATAGATATCAAATCATGGTTTACTAAATTTTGGCTTGATGATGGTGTCAGAGCGGCAGTGGCTTAGGAGTTAGAGTGGTCATCCAATAACCGGAAGGTTGGCGGTCAGATTCCCCCTTATCCCGAGTCTGTCTGGTGTGTCCTTGGGCAAGACACTTAACCCACCTTGCTCCTATTGTGTGTCCTCTGATTGTGAGTGTTGTGTGGTGGTGGTGGTCGGAGAGGTCGTAAGGCGCAAACTGGCAGCCACATTTCCGTCAGTCTGCCCCAGGGCAGCTGTTACAACTAAGGTAGTTTACCACCACCAGGGTGTGACTATGTGAGCGAATGAATGATGGTCTCTGATAAAGCACTTTATGAAATCTGATGCATTATTATTATTATATAAACCAGCTGACACTGCTGTTTCACCCTCAAGTAGCTGATCTGATGATAATGACTTTTTAAGACATTTTCTTCGCCCTGAATCTTTTTTTCTTCTTCACATAAATCGCGAACATCCCTCCTCGACATACATTTCTCTGTATCTCTTCAGGTGTCGTCGGTGCTGCGCTCCTTCCTGGACCTGATGCTTGTTAGGGAGCCATCTCAGAGAGCTACGGCTCAGGAACTCCTCCAGCACCCCTTCCTCAAGCTGTCTGGACCTCCCTCCTGCATCGTCCCCCTTATGAGACACTACCGCCACCGCTGACCTTCCAGGCCCCCTGAGCTGCCCCTCTCTGCACACACAAACACACACTTGAAATAAAAAAATACGACACTTAAACACACTCATGATCAGGGTGGCACTGCCCTCACCCAGCCAAAACACCCCACTGCTTGGTGGAGCCCTACAAACACCTGCACCTGTAACCGTGACATAGATTAGCTAATTATCTTAAAAAAACGTTTGAAAAACACACAACAGAGAAAAGAGAAAATACTGTCTACCAATCTGAAACTTTGAACTGGAGGTGAAGAGTGATTTCACCAGTCCTTTCTCTTCCTGGATCGTGAGTCTTTAGCTCTATGTAGGCTTGAACCATCTGCAGGAGCATCAGAGGGGTGGTGCAAACCACTGATGAGGTGGATGGACCCTGGGGCTCGGTGCTGGGCTCCAGACTAGAGCAGCAGATCGCAGAACAATCAGCAATGAGGGTTTTTTTGACCGGTTATGACTGTTGGGTTGTCGGTCCACCAGAAGGACGGGCTGCTGCTCCCGCTGGTGGAACAGAGATGTTCTCTCTGTCTTCTCACACACTAACAGTGAAAATGTATTTTAGAGAAACTTGTAAGTTTTTCTGTACAGTTTTGATAACTTGCAGTATTTTATCGTGTCGTAACCATTGTGATATGAGCAGTATTAAATAGAGTTTCTGCAGAGATCTTTCCTACTGTTTATAATCCAGTTTTTGCTTAAAAATATAAGAGATATCCCAAATAAACCCACCTAAACCTAACTGTAACTGAAAATACTAAATATATTTATTATCTTACATTTGTAGACAGAACTTCCATTAAATGTTGGAAAAAAAGGGTAATGTCAGAATTTTGTATGACGTTTTAAAGTATTTATTTATTTATTGGATTTGAAGGTTTATTTTTTTGCTAGTGTGGCCTTTTCGTTTACTTTTTTTTTGTTCTGTTTTTTGTTGAGGTTTGTTTTACATTTCTTGAAGCGCATCGGCAGACAGTTGAATCAGTTGTTTTATCATCCAAGCAATACCCCAAACCTCTTTTTAAAGCCCTGTATTTATGATACTGTAATTACACCATGCATTTAAATGTAGCACAGACTGAGTGAAGGGATTTCTTCTACACAGGCCTCTTTTCTTTTTTTTTATTCCGAGTCTCATCCTGTTTCTTAAAGTGACGCCCGCCTGCCGCGCAGATTTCAGGCTGCTGATAAAAGGTCTCGTTTTCTACTGACATCCTCACTGTCATCATCTCACTCCTTATCCCGCCTCAGTCAGACACACACACATACACACATATACACACATACACAGACACACACGCACTCGCTATCACTGGAGCTGTGCTGCCATCCTCATCTGTGGTCGGACCGGGAGAACAGTGTAATCCTCCTCCCTGCATCGTTTTTAACCATCATTCACTGTGATATGTAAATATGACTGTGCGTATATGAATGTGTGTGTGTGTGTGTGTGTTTGTTTGTATGTCAAAGAGTAAAAGATGTAGAGCGTGTTTATCTCTGTACAACATCTGAAAGTGTGTATGTGTGTGTGTGTGCGAGTGTTTGCTGGCTAATCCTCGACACTGTGTCAGGACCTGAATGAGTAACACTTATCTGTGGTGTTGGCTTGTACAGTGATATTGCATGTTTGTTATCAGTGAAGCTGGTTTCAATTAAAAAAACGCCCATAAAAACATTGAGATGTGTTGCATGAATTTTTCCTTCATTACTACAATCTCTTCTTCTCCTACTTCGTCCTCTTTCTTCTTTCTTCGTTTATGTCTCTTTTCTTTTCCTTCTGTGTCTCATATCAAGTGGAGATTTTTTTAAACAGCACACCGTCAAATTACTCCAGGGACTTTCTTTCAGCCATCTACAATTTATTATTATTTTCCTTTTGTCGTTTTGGTCCTCCATATTCTCTAAAATCAACGGTTTTCATTTCAAACTCTTCCACCCTTAAACCTCACCTCCGATCAGAGAAGCAGAAAGACACATCCATGAATGGGTGTTGCTGTAATATACAAGGTTATTTCTCTTTCTTTCCTCTAAGCTATTTCCCTCTGAAACACAATAATGGGATATTGATTCAGCTCAGACAGAGACTAGAGCTTCTTTCGAAGAGAAAAATACCTCAGCTCACAGCCCAGTAAATAAAAGCACCAGTACTGAGGCCAAAGAGGCCACAGGGCATCAATGAAGATGAAACTCAACACCATGGAGTCACCGAGTTACCGTTCAAGTGAAGCACATGAACCAATACGACCAACTGTTGCAAGCTTGATGATCAAATTACAGATTAGGTTAGTGACTGACATCTTTTATTTTTTGGAAAGCTCAAAACTGGGAAGATGCAGGAGTAGCCTCTTCATATCACCTTTTATTACCTTTTCAAGTTGTGTCACATTTCTAAGGTGTATCAGGTCATGCAGGTTTATTCTTGCTGGTCTTGTGTCATTAGCTTGCTTTTGTTGCACCTGTGTGTTTCCTGTGTTCATGCATGTCACTGCAGGGTGCAGAAGAGGGACTATGAGGTTTTTCAAGGAGGAGTAGGCTAACATAGTAATATTGCCATTTCTTCTCTCTCTTTTTTAATTAATTTTTGCAGCTGTTTCTAAATTATGTTTGTATTTTGACCAGTTAAATAACAATTGAGATTTGGACTTCCGTGAAGGCTAACGTTCAAAAACCCCGGAAGTAATTCTTGAGAAACTTTTCCTTGTGGCTGATTTCTGTCTCAAATAGAACCAGACTTTCGAGGACGCAGTGTTGGAACCCTTTGAGACCCAATAACAGGTGAGTTTCACCTTATTAGGATTACCATACTATCCCATGATAGTTTTTATCAGAATTCTTAATAGGACTAGTTGTTAAATATCCCTAATATTCAGCACATCAATTGACAGTCATTGGAGATGTCCTCTAATCTTGAGTGGGGTGGGAATTGGCAATGATCACGTGGTGCCACCAGCACGCCACATCATCAGTTGTTCGCCCCGACTTCATTGGGTGTTTCGGCCACTTACAACAAGACACCCTCTGTCAGGGTTGGCCCACCACAGGATGATCAGCCCTGGGTGTGTGGTGTACGGTGGCACCATGCGGTCACTTGGCTGCCCATACTGCATCTTTACGTTTCAGCCATAGCCAGTGACTGCTCCGTTCTGCTGTTGTGGCAAGTTCTTTAATTGCCTTCCGTTGGGCCTGCCCTCTGATTCCCAATTCCTTCAGGAGCCTTGTGGCAGACCTGGCTACAAAGCCTCTGCAGCAGACCTCCACTGGCCACACCTTCACATTCCAGCCCCGCCCCTCTGCTTCAGCTGCTAAGTATGCATATCGCAGTCTCTTTCGCTCGAATGCTTCATCGATGGCATCTTCCCATGGGACGGTCAGCTCAACGATGAAGACATACTACCACATTTTTATCAAACTGTTTCACCCTAAAATTCGAAATTTTTCACATACTATACTAAATTATGACACTTATTTTTATATCAAAAAAAGATTTTTTTCACACTAAAATATAAAATTTGTAAAAAACTATACTATAACACCTTTTTCATGCTAAAACCTGAAATATTTTTTCATCTTAAAATTTGAAATTTTTGACATACTATACTATGACATTGATTTTCTATGACATTTTTTTTCACGCAAAAAAAATGTTTTTTTTTCACTTTGAATTTTGAAATTTCTTAAGTGCTATACTATGACATTACAATCATACCATACTATGTGATTTTTTTTCATACTGAAAATAGGAATTTTTTTTCACACCTATGTATGAAATTTTTAACATACTATACTGACATTTTTCTCATGCTAAACAATGAATTTTTATTTCACCCTAAAATATGTAATTTTTGACATACTATACTATGACATTTTTTTCATGCAAAAGAATGAAAATTTGTTTCACCCTAAAATTTGAAATTTTTCACATACTCTACTTTGGCCCTATTCCTATACTTAGTTATGACACCTATTTTCATTAAAAAAATATATTCTTTTTTTCACACTCAAACATGAAATTTGTAACATACTTTACTATAACACTTTTCTCATGCAAGAAAGTGATTTTTTTTTTTCACCCTAAAATTTGAAATTTTTGACATACTATACTATGACATCGATTTTCATACTATACTATGACATTTTTTTCATGGAAAAATTATTTTTTTTACTCTGAAATTTGAAATTTTTATAATGCTTTACTATGACGACATAATCATACCATACTATGACATTTATTTTCATACTGAAAATATATAACCTTTTTCACACAAAAAAAAATGAAAATTTTAACATACTATACTATGACATTTTTTTCATGCAAAAGAATGAAAATTTGTTTCACCCTAAAATTTGAAATTTTTCACATACTCTACTTTGGCCCTATTCCTATACATAGTTATAAAACTTATTTTCATTAAAAAAAATATATATATTTTTTTTTTCACACTCAAACATGAAATTTGTAACATACTTTACTATAACACTTTTCTCATGCAAGAAAGTGATTTTTTTTTTTCACCCTAAAATTTGAAATTTTTTGACATACTATACTATGACATCAATTTTCATACTATACTATGACATTTTTTTCATGGAATTTTTTTTTTTTTTTTAATCTGAAATTTGAAAATTTTATAATGCTTTACTATGAAGACATAATCATACCATACTAAGACATTTATTTTCATACTGAAAATATTAAACCTTTTTCACACTAAAAAAAATGAAATTTTTAACATACTATACTATGGCACTTTTTTTCATGCTCGAAAATTTTAAAAAATTTTAACCTAAAGTTTGTCATTTTTGAGGTACTATACTATTTTCATAATGAAATATGGCAATTTTTTCACCCTAAAATTTGAAATTTTTGACATACTATAATATGACATCGATTTTCATACTATACTATGACATTTTTTTCATGGAAAATTTTTTTTTTTTTTTACTCTGAAATTTGAAATTTTTATAATGCTTTACTATGACGACATAATCATACCATACTATGACATTTATTTTCATACTGAAAATATATAACCTTTTTCACACTAAAAAAATGAAAATTTTAACATACTATACTATGACATTTTTTTCATGCAAAAGAATGAAAATTTGTTTCACCCTAAAATTTGAAATTTTTCACATACTCTACTTTGGCCCTATTCCTATACTTAGTTATAAAACTTATTTTCATTAAAAAAAAAAATATATTTTTTTTTTTCACACTCAAACATGAAATTTGTAACATACTTTACTATAACACTTTTCTCATGCTAAAAAGTGAATTTTTTTTTTCACCCTAAAATTTGAAATTTTTGACATACTATACTGTGACATCAATTTTCATACTATACTATGACATTTTTTTCATGGAAATTTTTTTTTTTTTTTAATCTGAAATTTGAAATTTTTATAATGCTTTTCTATGAAGACATAATCATACCATACTAAGACATTTATTTTCATACTGTAAATATTAAACCTTTTTCACACTAAAAAAAATGAAATTTTTAACATACTATACTATGGCACTTTTTTTTCATGCTCGAAAATTTTAAAAAATTTTAACCTAAAGTTTGTCATTTTTGAGGCACTATACTATTTTCATAATGAAATATGGCAATTTTTTCACACTAAAATATGACATTTTTGACATACTATACTATGACATTTTCTTTCATGCTAAAAAATGATGTTTTTTTCACCAGAAAATTGTGAACTTTTAACATATTATCCTATGACATTTCTGACACACTATACTATGACATTTTATCATACTTTAAAATCAAATTTTTTTCACCCAAAAATCTGAATTTTTTTTAACATACTATACTATGAATTTTTATCATACTATACAATGACATTTTTTTCACCTAAATTAGATTTTTTTTTCACACCTAAATATTAATTTTTTAACATACAATACTATAAAATAACATTTTTATCTTACTAAACTATGACATTTATTTTCATACTATAACATGAAATTTTTTGTTCATACTCAAATGAGATTTTTGACATACTATACTGACATATTTTTTTCATGCTAAAAAAAATATATTTTTTAGCATACTATAAGATGACATTTTTATTCAAATACTTTACTATGATATTTTTATCTTACTATACTATATACTATATATTAGAAACACATTTCAGTTAATACCTTTCTGACAAGTTACATTTGATAACATGATTGCACAGACTTATTTGATAAGGAACCAATTAAGCTAAATATAAAGTTTGGTTTTTAAGTCTCAACTATTGCTGTGATTAATGCAGAAGTAGAAGGAATAATCTGTCCTTAGAGTATAATTTGGACCTGACAGTTTTCATTAGTAGATGAAAAACTTCCCTGGTCATCATTTCACATTTTGTTAAGAAAATCTAATTTCCTCTAAATCTTTCCCCGCAATGACGTGGCGAGTCTGTGTGAAAAGCTGGATTATTGTTTTTGACTTTGATGACTGAGGATGATGTATGACATACACGCTGCAGAAACAAATTGGTGTAGCTGACACAAATGCTCTATTTATTTTCAATTAGACTTGTTCATATTGCGTTTCCTTTTGAAGGCTGAGAGTTGGATGACAAAATCAATACCTCATTCCTGCAAGCGGATCCTCTGACAGGGGCATCAGTCACCTTTTTACAGTTGCTCTGATTTATTGCTTCTTTGTGGTGTTGTTTTTCCAGAAATTCATGGCATCTTTTTTTTTTTTTTATTTAATAGGTTTGAAAGAGTGTCGTAAACTGCAGTGCCGTGATGGATAATAGAAATGACTGGAAAGGTGTTTAGAGATGATTCCGGCAATTTATTTCAATGAACAGAGGAATACTGCACGAAATTGCATCAGCAGAGGTTTATGCATAGACTTTGATTCTGAAAATAAAATACACATATATATTTTTTTTATTTGATAACCTCTCTGTATGTTCACAAACACTCTCATATGGCATTTAGATAAATTCTCGAAGTACAGAATTTTTTATCTCTTTCTTTCTTTTTGATATGTTCCATTCAATGGCATGAAGGAAAGATTTCTGTTGACATCAAAGCAAAAACATAGCAAGTCTCAATGCCACTGCACACACTACAAGACTGGTCCACTGTGAAACACTATGGCTGCATTCAAAACTAAAATTAAATAAAAAAAGAACAGATTCTTGAACAAAAAGATACCAAGATTAGCAAATACAGAACCAACAATGGGTGTTAGATTTATCTAGCAGCAGATTGAGAGAGACACAGAGGAGCAGACGACAAACAGATGACAGCATAAGCTCTGACTGTTTCTGGCTTTTCTTTTACAGAGAGAATGGATAAACTAGCTGGAATGAAAATAAACTAGGTTTCTGCATTGTCAGGGAAAAATTGACAAGCTGTAGACTCGCGTTGATGACTTTCAGAAGATAAATCATCATCATCACTTTGAACAAAATTTATAGTTGTTATCATAAAAGCATTAATTTATATTTTTATTTTCATGAAATACTCCATTTATGTTATGAAGAAAATGATTTCATGAAATTAGTTTTTTAACTCAGCAGTCAGGAAAATCAAGTTTTTGTGGGTTTATACCTCTGTTCACTTCCATGCTAGGCTTCTAGCTGTCCCATTAACTTCCAGTGTTTCCGTTAAGCCTAGGGTAAAGGCTACACACACTTCTGTGTCAGGGATTCAGTCCATCATACGGCACGTTCCTCTGCTGTTGTAGGCCTGGGACATCGAGGAGAAAGAAGTCTTTCAGAATCCGGTTGAGCTAAAGAGCTATGGGCTACATGTTCTTGTACATGGAGCGGTCTCGGGGGAGCTGTGGCTGGCTGGCCGTCAACTTCAGGTGGAAGTGGTAGACAGTGAGTGTGATGACGATTACGAGGCCCAGGATAAAGCCCAGGATAAGGGGGAGGGTCTCCTCTAGGCGCTCCCGCTGGTCTGTGATGCACTTGTAGGCTGTAGAGACAAGGAGGAATGAACAGAGTCAGCTGCTGAGGCGACTGAACATGGATGACAGGAAGGCTAAACAGGGCCGCACTAGTATTTTTACTTTCCTCCAATCCTCCAAAGAAGTCTGGTTTATACACCACTTCATTTCAACATCATGTGAGCATTTTACTAAACTCTGCAAACAATATTTTCATAGTAGTTTGATTCAAAAATGATCTTTTAGTGCTTTTCAAACCATTACTTACAGAACATATCATGAAATTACTCGTGTGAGGACAAAATCCAGCAAGCATCCATATTTGAGAACCTTAAACTTGTGAATTTCTGGCTCTAAAGTCAAGTTTTTTTGTTTTGTTCTGTTTTGTTTTAGTGGCTCTAACTTATCGTGCCTGATCTAATATGACAGAAAACAATATATATACTGTATATATTTTTGTGTTGTTTTTCATACACCGAGGTTTCTCTTCTTTCTGCAGCTGGAAGTGAATTGAATTTTAAGTGAGTTGTCATTTCAGTCACATGACTTGGCCTGTCGTACATGAAGAATACATGAAGAATACATGAAGAATGTAAAGCATCTGCAGTGTTGCATGGTTGCACGGATGTAATTTGTACATGTTTGTATATCTTTTTAAAATATTCATGTTGTTATTTAAGTCATGAACACACACTTTCAGGTTACAGAAACAGGAGAAAGAGGACTTCCAGGCAACCAAATTGTGTGTGTGTGTGTGTGTGTGTGTGTGTGTGTGTGTGTTTGAAAGTTGGAGGTGTTTGTCCCTCTGGATGTCAGTAATTCACAGCAGGAGGAGGCAGTGAAGCAGAGCGCAGCCTGGTTTACAGCAGCTCACTGCAAATGATTCCTCCAAGGTGATCGGCTGCAGAGGACGAACAGGTACACCGAGGATGTCTGTAAACGCTGCATTCAGGGCGAAGATATAACCGCACTCATAAAGATCTAATGACCCCCACCCCTTCTCTCACACTCTCTGTGCGTCACTTACGCCTCTCTTATATCCCCACCCCCTCTTTTTCTTTTGTCAGTCCGTCCCCCTCTGCAGCCCTCTGTGTACTGCAGCAGTTAACTCACAGAGGTGTGTGAGAGAGAGTGAGAGTGGAGGGAAGGATGTGAAGTTGTAGCACCCCCACCCTCACCCCCCAACACACATACACACACACACCTCAGGATTTCTCTTTAACTCATTTTGATAAGCATAGACTTGATCATGGATGTCTTAAAGGGGTTGTGTGTGTTTGTGTGTGTCGTTCTTACGTTCACTGAACACAAAGTCAGAGGCGATGTCGAAGGGTTGGATCTGGATGTCGTACATGGACACTGTGATGCCTTTCTGGTGGTCGCTGGAGATAAGGGTGAGGGTCTGCTGCGCCGTGCAAACATAGGAGCGGCCGGCGGGCGTCACCAGGGCAGACAGGCGGTGGGTGCTGGCTGTGTGTTTCCCAGCTGGAGAGAGGAGAGGATGAGTCATGAGAGCAAATGGAGGAGTCATGAGGGCCCCAGTCTGAGTGTGTGTATGTGTGTATGTGTGTATGAGTGTGTCTCAACAATTTTACTTCAACAACATTGGAGCAAATCTTAAAATTCATACATAACATCAGTTGGGGACTCATTTTTGAGCAGGAGTAGATATCAAAATAAGAGGAAACAACCCTTTCAAAATAAAATGGATCAACAGATTTTACAATTTCAAATCAACTTGACAAAAAAATAAATAATAAAAAAAAATAATAAAAAAATGGCCAGATTAGAAAAAATCCTCACATAGAGAATTGTGCAAATTTAAAATTAATACTAAAAATAAAGAAATTAGGTTGAGTTAAACACTACAATTATGGTCAAATAAAGGAATGTGCATTTTCAGGGTGTAAAAATGCTCTTCTTCAGACTGATCTACAATCTGCAGTAATTCCTGCTGAAACTCAGTCCAACACGTGGGCGGAAATCTTAAATCCGAGTCTGAATCAGCTCCCTGAATCAGACTGAATGAGAGTGTGACATGAATGAGAAGAGGAGGCGATCAAAGCAGGCGGGATACAAATGTGCTGAGTCGCTACTGTACACACACACACACACACACACACACACACATACACATACACACACACACACACACACACACACACACACAATCGCTCTGCGGTGCACTCACGGTTGTATGCGTTGATGAAATGCGATGTCTCCGAGGTGTCGTAGACGAACTGGACCTTGCTGATCTTCCACACCTCGACGCCTTTCTCCCGGAACTCCTGCCATACACGTAGAGACACACACACCAGCACACACGCGTGTCAGAGTGGGCTTTTCCACTGTACGGTGAGGCCCTGCTGGCCCTCTGCTTAGAAGAATATCTTCTTTTTTTGCTATTGTCCACTAATGAAGTTTGAATATATCTGATTTATTATAAAGATTATAAAGAACTGTAGCTACACAGTGAACGGATTCCACTCAGAGTGTTTATTGCAAAGAAACGGACACATTTCGACGTAAACTCACAGGCCAAATTGCGTAAAACGTTTCCATATTGACATTAAATTTGTAAAAAAAAAACATATTCATGTGATTTATGTGGCCTAGTCTTTTTTTCATTCTCCTTATATGACTCAGATATTCTGTTTGATTGAAGTTTATCCATTCAGGCCGTTTCTCGCCCACCTTAGTGAAGTAGATGCGAAGGGTGTAGGCTTTGTTTTTCCAGGATATGTGGATCTCAGACTCCGTGCGCGCACAAACCCCCTCGATTTCTGCACCACGGGGCAGGGTGAACGCGGCTTGCTCGGTGATCAGCTGCAAAAAGAGGAAAAAAAATACACGAGAGGTTAACAGATGAGGACTTGGAAAAAGGCCACCAATGAGGCTGGTCTTCCGTTTTTACGCACCAACTCATAAATGCAGAAAAACATATATGGGATGAGATAATATTAAGGTGAAATTTCAGTACAAACATTAAAAAAAGGGGGAAAAAATAGACAATATTCTATTTAAAGTCTGTTGTCAATGCCTGTAATGAAACGTGACCATTTTACGCACGACTGCTCACTGGAAAAACTGCTGAAAGAGCACTTTTAGTCCTGTCAGAAAGACTTTTCAGCTGTCAATCAGACCGAGAACAAAAAGTCAAGAGGGGAAAATAACAATTTTTCTCATCGAACAATAATTTTACAGTTGAATCCACATTTACGCACAGATACCCTCATAATGTCACCAAAACGCTTTAGTCAGCGTCTCCCTTTTTTTTTAGGCTCTTTCACTTTCCTCATCATACACATTTATTAAAATGCACGAGGGGATTCCTTACGTCTATCCCGTTGAGCGCGAGCACGTCATATGGCACGAGGAATCTTACGGCGAACTCCACCATCAAACATGTCGTGCCGTTCTCCCGCACAGCGAAAATGGCTTTATCCGGGTTGGTGGAGAGACCGGACAGGTTCTCTCCTTCCTGCTCCGCCAGCACCACGGACAGCGCGAGCACACCTGAGAAACAAATAAAGAGGAGGGGGCTTAATGTTAGATGAGACACACGCATACACACACACACACACACACACACACACACACACACACACACACACACACACAAATGCACACCAAAACATGCATAATCAGCAGAATCGTGATTTTTGGCGGAGACTTCCTCGCGTCTTCAGATCGCTATTCGCCACCTCTGTTTTCCTCACACGGCAAAGTCAAAAGCAGGTTGCAACACCTGAGAGTGAAATCTGCAGCATCAGGGGAGCAACAGCACGCGCCTGGCTGCAGACTAAACAGCGTCAGAAAGTGACCAAGTCCAACTCTGCTCGGGTTTTAACACTTTCAGACTCGTCACTCTTCAAGAGAAGCCAGAACAGGTGATATGTATATGTGAACATGCACAGTCAAGCCTAAACAAGGGTAGAGGGTGTGTACGCACGCACGCACGCGCACACATCCACGCACGCACTCACTGCAGTGAGTAGTCACGACAACTGTACACACTCGTACACACTAACTTACCGAACAGGAGAAGTCGGGCGCTCTCCGTGGTGCTGAAACCGAGTCGTCCTCTCATCGCTCTCAGCTTCCCCAAGCGCTGCAACAAAAGGGGCTAAAGTGACTGGGCAGCCGGTGCTGAACCCACGGAAAGAAAGGAGAGAAAGGAAGGCAGAGAGGGGGCGGGAGCAGAAAGAGAGAGAGAGGGGAGGGATGCCTCCACTCAGCGCCCAGAAGTCACGCTCAGATCATCGTGAATGCAGCAAAAATGTCTCCAGGTCGGACGTGAGATCTTGTGCAGGAGCCGTAAGGAGCAGCTCGGAGGAGTTTGTGACTGAACAGACCTCTTCTGCAAGGTTGAAAGGCTTCAACCCCGTGACAGCTGCAGCACTGAGCTGCTCCTGTGCATTATGAACAGGATGAATAAAAGTCCGTCACCTGAGTTTGTCTCCTGTAAAGAAGAACCGGGCAGGCAGTCTCAGTTATTCCCGCATTGCTGTAATCTCCATCTCCGTGTAGCAGATGTAGGTTGGGCTGAAATGATGTATGTCTGGAGGGAAACGCCGATAACACCCCCTCCTTACCTCCTCCTCCTCCTCCCTCTCTCAAACTCCTCTCCTGCAAGGTTGCAGCTGAGAGTTTCCCGAGATCGAGTGCTGCAAATGTGATTTCGTTTTACGCACGCTGAGATTCAATAACCTCGAATGTGCAAATTTGGATGGAGACAGTTTTAGTATTCACCTCTGCGAAGAAAGTTCTTTTCAAATATCGTGAAGTGATTCTAAAACTGGAAGTAGAGGATCTTTTTCACAATTATTGGCCAGATTTGACCCCAAATCAAGCGAAAATAAAGAAACTACACCAGTTTATGTCTTACCAAGAATAATACGAAAGGCTAAGTTTGAATCTTTATGGTATTTTACTGTGTTCGACAAAGACAATGACACCCCCCCACCCCCCCACCCCCACACACACAAACACACACAATTTTTTTTTATTTCACAGAGCAGAACTTTATTCACCGAGTAACCATTAAAACAACTCTGAATATTACACATATGTGCTGAAAGATGAAAAAATCTGCAAAGCACAGTTGGAGTGGGGTTTTTTATTTACTGTCCATCAATACTCCACCTTCTATTTAGCCCCCTCCCTCACCAAAGAACCTGCAAATACTGCTGATCACAGGAACAACCATCCACAGTGAAACTAGAAGTTAAGACCTCATCTCTGGACTAGTTTTTTGCTCTGCAGTTGCAGCAGAAGCCAGCTGGCTGCTATCGACTTTTTACGCACACATTTGGCACAAAGTACTCAGTGCTTTGTGTTGTTGGTTTTCCAGTTATTCTGATTACTTCACTTTCTCTGTTTTCGGTCGATAGCGTCTGGATACTAATTAATTGTTTTTGGATGCTCCAAAAATTCGCAGAGAAGGTTGTGAGGATGGAGTAAATCTAGGAAGGATGTGCGCTTTTTACGCGTGACGCACGGTTGTTTCTAAGAGTTTTACTTTCTGACATGAAAGTCAAACTCACATTTGACGGAGCTGATGCTGTCGACGCTGGATTTACTGCCTACTTTGGGGTGTTTTGATATCTGTGGAAAAGTTTCTGATCGCGGCATCAGCCCTGAAGTCTTCACCAAATCCTCCTTCTCCAACAATTTTACGTCCTTTTTAAACTCAGGGGAAGTAAATCTGCGTAAGAGTTTGGTTAAAGTCGTGGTTGAAGTCGATGTACTCTGAAGAGGGTCTGTCTTGCAGGGAGAAGCTTCGCGCCTCTTTATGGTTCTGGATTTACGCAATGGCACCAGTGTGCGCTCTGGAGGTGTGGGGCTGAGGATGCTGTTCGGCAGACTACACCTTTTCTGATAGTAGCTCTCGTGAAATCTGTGAACATCTAACATATTTGACTCACTAGTCTCTGATTCATCCTGGTTTTTCTTTGCAAGGATGGGGGTCAGTAAGATTTCCAGAGCAGAAGGTCCATTGCGTTTTGGTGAGTTTCTACCAGGACGAGGTGAGAAGAAAAGAGACTTTTGAGCCTCACAGCTCAGTGTCAGCGGGGGGAGAAGATCATCACAGGGGGTTAGCCTCTCTCCATCTTTCTGTTTAGGGTTGGGGGTGCGGTCTAGAGACCGAGGAGGGGGTTTGGGGGTGAGGACACCCGAGAAGACCAGCTTCTGAGGAGACGAAGTGAAGCTGTCGTCTTCTCTTTCAAACTCTTCTATGGAGTCCATCGAGGGCAAACGACTCTGCTTCATCCACGGCCTCTGCTGCCAATCACAAGTTTGAATTGTTTGATAGTCTACATGATAACTTGTTTGGAGAACCTCAAGTTTGTTCACCACAGGCCCGAGTTTCATTTGAAACTTTTCATCCAAGTCTCTACATCTCAGACTTCTGCCCTCGGTCTCTCGGTTCTTCTTGGAGCTGTGGGTGAGCGCAGAGATGCACTCTGTGTGACCGAGACACTTGGCTACCTCCACGGCAGAGTTCCCAGCTTTATTTTGTCTGTCTACTTGAAGACCCAGCCTCTTGAAAGCTCTTACTAGAAACTCAACCACAGCGGAGTGACCTGACACTGCAGCGTACATGAGCGCGGTGTTCCCCCAGGCGTCCTCGATCTCCGGGTCCGCGTTGTTCCGCACCAGGATCTTGACCGCATCCAGACAGCCTCTCTCACAGGCGTAACTGAGCGCGGTGCGTCCGTGGGCGTCCTGACAGTTCACGCTGGCTCCTCTCTGCAGGAGGAGCTCCACAAACTTGCACCGGCTCAGACTATCAGACAACAGAATGGAGGAGATGAGAGGGGTCTGCGCGCTGTCTGATTTAGAATCCACGATCCCCCCATCTAGCGCGTCCAGCACGAACCTGGCCAGGTGGACTTGATCTCTGGAGATCGCCTCCAGGAGGAACTTTGTGCCCGTTTGTTCATCTGACTTCACCTGAGCTCTGAGCATGATTCTGAAACTTATCGGAGAGATCTCATCTTCTTCGACCACTGAGCAGGTTTGGAAACGTCTCTCGCTGAGGACTGCTGACTAAACAAACCATAACTCCTCTTTTTATAGTCAAGAGGGAAGTCTCGGAGTTGCTGGGCGACGCAAAACCTAATTAGGCACTTTGTAAGTCCCTTGTCATGGAAATACTCTGCTTATAATAACAATAAAGAGCTGCAGCGCTGTCTGCGTTCAAGAGTGGATCTAGGATATTAATAATTCAAGCTGCACTTGTTGAATATGACTGGAGAGCTGTGGTTATTGTCTGAGGTTGTGTGTACGTGCGCTCTGAGCTCCTGTTGGCAACAATAAACAGATCTGCAGACACAGAATGACCCTCTGAGACGTTTTCTCTCCCTGTCTGTAGCATCTTTCTGGACCTTTAGCTGCACTTTGAAGAAACACACCAGAGCCACGTGATTATGTCCCATTTTACACCTTGTTTTTATTGGTACACATACTATAAAACAGTATTAAAGGAGCTGGATAACAACAGTATTTTCATTGCTTGAAGTTCAACAATACAATATAAATACAAAAACACACACAGAATGGTTTGTCGACAAGCTACGGTCCGAATAGAAAACAAAGAGGAGATACAGTAGAAACCAGGAAATCAAATCAGTGATGCTGCTCTGCAAAAATAATCTGCTTTTAGACAAACTAGAGAGTCAAAGTTTACATGTATCACACAACAGAAACATTCAACTAGTGCAAAAAAGCCTCTAACAAACAAAATAATCTTAAACTACACATTATATCTAATATATATAATATATATATTCATTTATTTATATATATCTTCATATAAATAACCCCTTAATTTGGCATTTTATCATTCATAAAATAATTGTAACTTCCTACCAGACACTGAGTGGCACATTTGAAAGCGATGGAATAAAATTTAAAAGCACTTTTACTCGTTTATCTCTGCACTAGATATGTGGTGAGAGCTTCATACTGTGTTGTGTTGGTGCAGTAAGGGCAGACCGGAAACAAACAAACAAACCAGAAAAACCCAGTGAATGATACATGTCTATCCCAAACACCCAACAGACCCACTCCATCCCCTGAGCCCTTGTATAACAGAACACAATTAGTCAAAAAAAGTAAATTAAACTACATACATTCCAGTATATACAATAACATCCCGTCTACCCTTAATGTGTTACAGCAGAATAAAACAGAAAATAAAGGTTAAAAAGGCCAAAATACCTGTAGGAGCTGTTATCCCCGTGTTTTTGTGTGGTTTCATACCATCAATACGACAATTTTGTTAGTGTTGCACCGTGCAATGTGAACGCCTGGCATGATCATACTTCTCTACCCACGTGTGATTTCATAACATACTTCAACTTTACATTTCTTCTTCTGGAGGTGTTGTTGAGTAGAGTCAGCAGGTCTGTTTTAAAATAGTGCTTCTTCACAGTCCCATTCATGGTTACATCTAGAGCAGGGCTGCGCCATAAAAACGGATCATTTTGAATCCTCAGTTGAGAAGACTGGGGTCAAATAATCTGCTCGCATTTTTTTCAGTCAAATCCCCACTTAAAAAAAAAAAATCATTTTAGCTGTGTTGTTGTAGGCACAGCAGAATGTTATAAACCAAAGATGAATCAGTGTTGTTTTCGTTGACACCAACGAAAACATTTCATCAACGCCCCTTTTTTTCCACAACGAAGACCTGACGTTGACGAGCTAAACATAAGTCTTAGATGACTAAAATGTAATGAGACAAATGTGCGTTTACGTTGACGAGACTAGACGAAAATGTTAGTGGTGGACGACAAACAGAGTTGCAAAATTCATGAGCATTTCGTCAGTCAAATGCTAAACATATAGGAGCAGCTTGGGATGGGGTGGAGTCATGTCGCCGATGTAGGACAGCGTCTTAAAGGGAAATGAGACCATAGCCTACCGACACACATCAAAAACCAACTTTTACTTATTTATTTTTTGACACCAAACTTATTGGCATGGGCAAAACGACGTTGGTTACTGTCGTAAATTTTGGCATCAGTAAGTTTTCGGTTTATCGCCCAGCCCTACTTTAACAACACACAAAGTGATTAAAAAAATCAAACCAGGTAAAGCTGAATGAGTTGACTAGTTTGACTGTGAGGAAATGGACTGATAGTGAAAGTTTGTGATTGATTGGACTGAAAAAAAGAGGAGCCGGTGCAGCCCTAATTTAGAGGGAACCTGATTGGGACACAGAGGAATGTCATCTTTTCTTGCACACGGATTCGTGAGCAAATCTGAAGCAGTTTGTCGGTCCGATCTCCCCGGAAACAAAGGCCGGCGGAGAAATTAGGATTACAAGCAGAGGCTGTTAAGGTGCAGTCGAAAAAGCTATTAAGGGAGCACTTGACTTCAACAGCGTCTTTCATGAGTGATGACTCGGCTCGGACTTCTTTCTGCCAAGTTCTTGTTTTATGATGATGAGCTGCTCAGTAACAACAATTAAAACAGCAGAATTAATACGCTGCCAAGAATGGATTATATTGTTACCAGTGTATTACAGGGTCACGAGAGGATCAAGTGCAAAACGAGTCTCATTTTAATCCCGCTTAATATTTTAGTTGGTGTGGCATACCCTCTTTATTTCTAATACGGCATACTCAAGCCTAACCTTTGAGGGGTTGCAGCTGTTTCAATTTGATCTGTTATTCTGTAATATTTTGATCTGGACCTCCCTTTGGTCAGAGTTTGTTGTCAGATTAATTCTCTGTATTTTGCACACCTTAAACTTCGAGGATTCATGTCTTTGTCTTTGCATAGTGTTACACGGTTGGAGCCTCAAACTAGGATTGTAAAGCTTTAGCACAAAAAAGAAAAAGAAAAATAGATGTGCTTCACTCGGTCTTAAAAACGCTCTGTAATCATTTCATTTCCAAGTCAAAGTGAAGCGCGGTTGTTAGATAATCTCTTGGTTATTCCCAGTAATTAAAACAATGTTTGATGATAATTAGCCGCGTTTATCAAAGTGAACATCAATCTGTCGTGATCCCTTCATAGTCTTCTGACTCAGCAGGATAATAAACCGTTTAATAGGGGGCTCATTGTCGAACAACAACAAAGAAGTGATACCCTCTGTGAAGATAAACAGCTTTCATTGTTTTTTTTTCCTCTCCTCTCTTTCATACAGTGATTTTTTTTTTTTAAGTTACATTCTTACTGAAATACAGAAATCCTACAGTAGTGCACTGCTACATTTTCCACATTGTTATGATGGCCTATCACATACAAAGTGCTCAGGACAGGACTGGTGTGTAGCATACAGTGTATTTTCCACAAAGTTACTCGTTTGTGCTGAAACAACATTAAATCTTAAACGTACTCCTCCCCTCTCTCCCTGTGTCTGAAGAGGTTTGTCGGGTACCGATTTTTAAAAAGAAAAAAACGTGAAAAGGTGAACGAGAAGAATCCACTTCGATTTGAGTGAACGTGTTTGTGCGTGCGTCGTGTGTGTGTTTGTGTGTATGTGTCTACACCGAAAGCTGCAGCTTGTGTTGCCTGTATGAAGCAGAGCACATAGAGGGGGGGTAGTGGTAGTAGATTCAGGTGTAGGTACAGTGGAGGAGGGGATGCGTCTCACTCTGTGATGCTTTGTCTCTGAGGTAACATTTCCTCTTTTTAATAAGTGGTTAACCCTGTCAGACAGTGATAAGCGCCAGTGGCTCAGTGGTTTAAAGGTAGTGGGCGGGGTCAGGGTGTAGAAACTCGAGTGGAGGTGTGGGCTACTGTGTTTGTGTCGGAGTATAAAAAGAAAGCACAGAGACAATGGTGTGCGCTGGGGTGACGTCTCTGGGCTGTGGAGGGCTTTCTGCGCTGGAGTGTTTCTGCACCTGCATGAGTGTGTGTGTGTGTGTGTGTGGACGTAAGTGAGTGAGTGGTGTGTTGTGTTTGCGTGTCAGTGTGTGTGTGTGTGCTTGTGTGGCGATCTCAGGGGCTCACACCACCGTGGCAGGTCTGCGGTCCATCTCCTCCTCCAACTTCACCATCTGCTGCATGTCCTTGGCCTTTAGGGAGACAGGAAGTAAATTCAGAGGCAGACAGATGCAGGATGCAAATGTGCAGCACTTGCAGAGGATCTATTTTCAACTCAGAATTTATTTATGGGCCTTTTAACTCGGTTACAAAGAAAATAAGTTTAAACTATCCCACTCTTTGTGAGTTTAGTTTGATTTTCCTTATTGTTTGGACTCTCTGGGGTTTGTTTGAGAAATACAAACAAAACAGAAAGATTGTGACGGACAAGTTACTGTATTTTTCAGACTACAAGGCGCACTTAAAATCCTTACATTTTCTCAAAAATTGACAGTGCGCCTTATAATCCAGCGCACCTTATGTATGATTACTTGTTGTGCCTACTGACCAATTTTATGTGGTACAATGCGCTCAAAAATCAGTCAGTAGTCTTTACCTGGACTCTGCTCACTGTTTTACATACATAAGATTTTACTATTTATGTTGTTTATAGTGTAAATACTTGTAAATTATCTCTATGTTTTTACCTATTTTTACTTATTTTATCTTTTTATCTCTATATTTATACTTATTTTTAATTATTTTATATATTAATCTCTATATTTTTACTTATTTGATCTATTTTTCTCTATATTTTTACTTATTTTATCTATTTATCTCTATATTTTTACCTATTTTTACTTATTTTATCTATTTAGCTCTATATTTTTACCTATTTTTACTTATTTTATATATTTATCTCTATATTTTACCTATTTTTACATATTTTATATATTTATCTCTACATTTTTACCTATTTTTACTTATTTCATCTTTTATCTATATTTTTTATTTATTTTTACTTACTTTATCTATTTATCTCTATATTTTTACTTTTTTTTACTTATCTATTATTTATCTCCTTTTTTACTGTATTTGCACTGGAGTACTGTGACAAAAGCAATTTCCCCCTGGGGATTATTAAAAGTATTTCTGATTCTGATTCTTGATTTAACAGACTGTGTTGTTTCGCTTAATGCACCTCCCGAAAATACGGTACTTTTTGGATCAAACAGTGTTCAAAAGTGCTGCGTCTGATCTTAATGTCACTGTTGTGAGTTTCTATAAACCTTTCCATACTGTGAACAGGGTTCTGCCTACAATCCAGACACTGCCTGACTTTGATGCTTCTGTTTCAGTGCAGCACAGAGGAACTGATCTCCGGTGTAAGGCGTGGATCTAAGCTGCTGCGAGGACATGTCTGGTATTTGCATCTCTAAACATTTCTGTAAATAATTCGTCTCTTCTGTGAGAGCGCTCTAATCTCTTCAGCATCTACTTGCTTTTACGTTCGCAGGTAAAACCGCCGTACGCTCATAACGAGTGTTGTGTGATGTTTCCCACAAAATGCCTGCAGAGGGACACCGTCACGGTGTTACTATGAGAGGCAATGAAAACAGGTGGGAGTAAAAGCACAGTGGGGCAGGTAGAGAGCAGGCTGTGTGTTTTTTTTTTTGCTTAGTAATAGCTGGTGAGTCATGGTGATAAATGTCTGAAGCTGCTAGTTGGTGCTGCTGACACCCCGAGAGGAGAGCTGCAGAATGAAACGTGGAAATCAAAAACACTGATGTGTATCACGTCCCTCATTTACTCAAATGCGTTTCATTTAAATACTCATTTCGAAGCACTACACTTGTTTACATGACTGCCAGGAAGAAGGACAGAGAATGGAAAATGCAGTATCAGAGCGATGAGAGATGGTATCAGAGGTAGTGTTAAGTGAGATGGAGATGCCTACCTTGAACCTGTTTGTTTGCATGGTGTGATTTCAAAAGCTGTGGCGGGAGAAGCAAATTATATTAAAAACAAATGATAATGTGCAGACATGTACAGGTGACAGTGACACAGATGATGAACTAAAACAAAGAGATGGAAATATGACAACTTTATATACACCTAAATATACAGAAGAAATATACGATTGTTTGATTCGTACTTTTAAAAAGATAATTGGCAGAAACACTGTGCTGGGAAGTGTGTCCGATACATGTGGTAGTTAGATGTTGAAATGTTGAAATGGAGAGTTAATGTCAGTGTGAATTCCAGCTAAAATCCTCAATAGATAAAGAGTAAAGTTCTGACAACAAGGATACCTGCTCATTGAACTTCTCCAGTTTCTCCACCTGTTCTCTCTGGTTTTTCTCTAGCTGCTCCATCTCCTTCTGATGCTTCATGGCCAACTACAGACAGAGATAAAGGTGATAGGCATTAATTCAACAGTTAAAATACTGACAAGTCTCAAGCTTTTGAAGTGTTGTTATACTGCAAATGAACAGCTGATGTAAAAATATCTCTATGGTAGTCAAGCCTGGCCTCTGCGCATCTTATGGGTGAGTCCTTGTGTATTTTTCTGGGGTAAATATTTGAACTGCAAAAGAGCAAATAGCGTACCCTCTTCCTCTCATCCAGGAACTTCTTGGTGTTGCTGCTGTTTAACTCTCGCACTCTCCTAAAAAAAAGCAACATCATGGTGTTATAAGGTGTTATAAGTAACATAGACCATCAAGTTATAGATGTAAGATAATAGATCAGAGATGTAGTGGATGTGTGACCCACCTCTCTCTCTCTGCTTTATTCTTTATGCTTTTGTCCTGGCTGATGGCTTTGCTGTTTTCCATGGACATCTTGGCCTGGTTAGCTCGCATCTCTTTGCTCTGCCTGAAATCGTAGGAATCGTGATTACAATAATCAGCCCGGACAAATTAACTACTCTACACAGACATGCAGTCCGGGGGGTGCATCTGTGTGTGTGTGTGAGTCTCTCACCGTTCATGGATGAGTTTTAGCTGCATCGTCTGCTGCTCCTGGACTGTTGCCAGGAGTTTCTTGAGGTGTTCACACTGCTGCGTGACGTGGCTGTCCTTCATCTCCTGCTCCTCGCTGCTGTGACTGCTGATCAGCTCGGACCACTCTTTAGTGTGCTGAGCTGTGATGTCCTTTACCTGCACACAAACAAACAAACAAACAAACAAACACATAAGGGGTTATCCTGGGCTCACGTTTTAAAAACTCTACTAGCTAATAACTGTGTCGAATTGATTCTGTTTTATGGGTTGAGAAATTTCGTGCTACCTTGACTTTGTGATCAGCGATCAGAGTTTGGATCTTATCTTCGGTCTCCTTCTTCAGCTCTTGGCAGTTGTTTTCCCTGAGAGGAAACAACATTCAGAGGAGAAAATCTCAGACTTTGAAAGCGCAAATCAGTCAAAGCGGTCCCGTCTTACAAAAGTACCAGCAGGAAAGTTCGTTTTGGTTAATCAGGACTTTATGAAGAGTGTTTTTTTTTCTTCACTAACCCTCGTTTCTTGATGGCTTTCTCCAGCAGTTTCTCCAGAGTTGATTTCTCCTTATCATGCGCAGACACCATTTTATCCACCTGGGTGCAGTGAGATTTCTGCATCGTGTTTTGATCCTGTCAGAAATGTAAACACAGATATCTCTTAAAGACCCACTCCGATGAAAATCATATTTTTCTTGTTTTCTACATGTTCATATGGCATTTTTCTAAAGTTATAGGGCATATCATGAGAAAAATAAGAGTGAAACTGAATTTTGGAGTATTTCTGCATATAAGTTGCTGTGAAACTCTGGCAGACTCTAACGGCAGGTTCAGAAACAGTGAGATTTCCTATGTCACAACTCCAAGCTCCGCCCCCTAGAGCTATGCAGACCAGGCTCGAGGCAATAGAGAGGACGATCATGGAACAAGCGTGTGCAGTAGCGGATTGCAATCCCACTGAGCATTTTTTGGTCTAAAAGAGGTCTAATAGATGTCTAAATGTAGCCTAGACGACTGGTCTAAAATCAGACTACCACAGGTTTAAAAATGAAAGTTTATCATAGATATCTAAATTTAGGCCAAGTTTAGACTAAATCTAAATCTGGGCTTAATCTTTACTACGCTGTATATTGCTCAACGGCTAACATAATTATTTTGGTTAAGTACTTGGAGATCAGTTCTGCAGCTCACAGTTGCTGTTTGAAATAATAGTTATCGAATAATGGGTTAAAGTGCAACGTCTAAATTCTGTCTAAAAGTATAAAGAATCTAGTTGAATCTAGGTTGAAATTAGGTTAAAAAAACAACTAGACATTTAATGGCTGTCTTTTGCTCAGTGGAAATGCTTGTAAGAAAGCTAAGTATAGTTTTCGTCATGTCCCTAAAGACATTAATGTCCGAGAGTTGAATAGCTCCTATGTTACCTGCTACTTCTACTACACCGGCAATGTTAGGCTGCAAGCTAACGGAAGAAAAGCCCTTGAAAAAGACACAGGTAACATGATTTTGGCTAAAAACTTCATAATCACAATTCAAAGACCACTGAGAACACTTGAAGTAATTAAAAAAATTGATCAGAGTGGGACTTTATGTATTTCTTTGCACTGAGTTAGAGCAGTTTTAACACGTACCAATAACTGAATCAAACCTCTTTAAGCAGATCTAATAAACTGCAACAAAACAAACGGTACAGTTGTTATTGTTGTTGTCTGTGAGTCATGAGCCAGCACGCGCCATTATTCAGTCAACAGATGGGTCCGGGTGCGATCATTTTACACGTGTTATGCAACAGGATTCGATACTGTTACGCTCTAATTAGTCCACCTCGATGAATGAGCCAGCAGCCACCGTGGTCTCTGTGTTCAGCTCTGGTCAAAGCCAAAGCCAGTTTTAGCAAGTCTAATTCCTAATTTCAAAACGTACATTATGCGTGTTTGTATCGGACAGATCGTGTGTTTGTGTTAACACGCTGATGAAGCAGTATGCAGCAGACTAAGATAAAAGGTGAAGGTTTTTAATGACCGTCCAGGAAAAGCAGCAGCCTCTTTGAATCAGCATCAGACAGCCCAGCGCTAAAGCCGTCACCCACCTTTGAGTGTTTCTTCTTTAAAGCGTTGAGCTCCTTCTGTTGCTTTTTAATCAGTTTAAGGTACGTCTGCAGAGAGAGAAGAGAGAAGAGAGAGAGAGAAGGAAGTTTGATTAAATAAAAAACACATTTCTACATTAAGAGAGAACTTTTCAAAAGACACAGGGATCCTACGCAAGTATGAAAAGTACAGAAATAAATTTGATCAATTTCCAGGTCTTAAAAAGTGTAGAAAATGAAATATAAAATGTGTTTCCAGATTATTACCACAGTTATGAAATACTGTTTTCTAAAATAGAAAAGTAGGTTTTTTAAGTAGGGTATGGAAAAGTATGGGAGTTCCAACTGTGTAGGAATCCTGAAGACTGTTTTATTGATAAAAAAATATATATATATATAAGTGATGATTCCATGCTGAAAATTAAACATGTCTACAAGCTGAGTTATCAAAGTGCAGATTAAAGAGTAGGACTTTTCAAAACCAACCTTCATTTGTTTTAAGTCATCGATGCAGACAGTAGGCACGAGTGCATTTTCTGAAACAGCAGAGAAAAGTCCATTTAAACCCTGTTTACATAGCTAAGGTGTATTTAAATGTTGAAAATGAGTCCGTTTGCAGTGAGTGTTTACCCTTCTTGGTTTCTGCTGTGTTATTTTGGGCGGAGTTGGAGGTCTGGGCCGTGTCTGAGCTGGCCTGAGGTGTCACACTGGCCTTCACCGTGTCTCCTTTCCCCTTTCCCTTCTTGTCGTTCTTTGAGCTTCCGCTGGGAACATCTGCAATGTCATTCTACAAAGCGGAAATAGTTATTTTTACAGCATAAATTCAGTTACATAGGTGGTTATAGAGTAGCTGGATGTAAAGTGAGTACCGTGTCGATTCCAAGCGCCTTCATTTGGTCCGCTCTCTTTTCCGCGATGGTCAAGAACTTCTTTGGGTCTGATAGGGCATCCACAATCGCTGGAAGAAATGAAACAGATTTTTAGTTTTTGAGAAAGAGTTCTGTTTTTATTCTTGTTAGAGTTTTAAAACATCAAAGGCTTGGTCTACTAAAGGTTTGCGTGTGGAAAAACACATGCAAACTTGATAGCGCGGCAAACCTTATCTACTAACTGGGTGCACCGAGGATTGCGTCTGTCAAATGAGCAAAACAGCACACGCAGTCGATTTAGCGTGTTTGCCTTCATGAATATGCAGAATGTATGTAGATCATCAAAACGCGGAAAAATTCTGGGAGGAGCAGATACAAATGGAATCATTTAGCACCCGCAGTGAGATTTATCAAACTCGGAAACCGGTCGCTGTTTTGCGTCTATATTTAGCACGTTTGAAATGCACGTGCAAACTGGAGCAGCATTACGCGCGGTCATTGTATTTGTATTTTGTACTTATTTATTTAGCACAGATTAAAAACAGTGCAAGGAGGGAATGAAACCGATAGTTTTATACAAAGTTCCACTCCCGTCAGGGCAGAGAAAGCAGAAGGTGCAGACAACTAAGTAACTCGGACATAGACAGGTTACACATGTACAGTGATTAGGGAAAGGTCAAACAGATACAAATTTCCATAAATGGAACACAAACTATTCATCAAACAGTGATAAAGACAATAAAGTATTCATAAAAAGGAAAGAAACATGATCATAACAAATAATGACGTAGTTAAGACATGATTAGTCGAGATTTTAATTATATTTTTAAGGAGTTTTTAGAGATGCATCCAGATTATTCCACAGTTTCGGACCTCTAAAAGTGATGCTAGACTGATGACTAGAAGTTCGACATGAAGGTAACTGAAGACGACATTTTGTCTTGTTGAGTACGGGTGAAGGTCGGATGAATTTTCAGGAAGGTCTTGTTTGTGATTGATGAATTTGTGGACGTACACACAAGAGTGAAAGACATTGAGTTTGTCATTCGGTAAGATGGAGTATTTAGGAAAGAGAGGTGCAGAAGGTTCGTGTTTGCTGGATCGTGATATCATTCTTAAAAGTCTTTTCTGGATTAATAATATTTTCTTGAGGAAAGTTGGATACGTTGCACACCGTACAATATCACAATAGTTCATGTATGGAAATAGAAAGCTGTGATACAGATTGTGGAGAGAAGGATGCAGAAGTGCCATGATTATTTTACGATAAGAAAGGCTGGTAGAGTGTGTTACGTTAAATCTTATACCTCCTATATACTCAAGTGTCTCAAAGGCTTTCCTTCTGCATCGTAAAAAACTGCTTCATCATTCTGACACAGTGTATTAGTAAAGACCGGGTAAGAATCTTGTTTAAGAAGAAAGACTAAGATCTAATTATTTCCAGCTCCTGTTACAGAGCTGTGTGTGGAGAAGTAAAGTGATTCTGGCAGCAGATCTCCGGGATGAAAAGCTAATGGTTACAGTAATGGTTCCTCAGCGCTAGCCCCTTGGCTTTATTTAATGACGATTCCAATTGTCCTGCTCATTTGTATGCTGCTGCCTGTTTTAAAACTGTTTATTACTGCAGATTCACTGTCATCATCATTTGCACCATGCCATTACTCTGAATGTTCAAACTAACCAGAGGCAGAGAGGAAATGAGCGAAAGAGAGAGAGTTGTCTTTTTTCCTCTCCTCCCTAAAGGCTACACGAGCAACTTTATCATCATCCAAACTCACAAAGTGTAAAAAAAAACTCAACAAACACTCATTAAGCTGCAAAGTTTTCTTATCTGTGTGTTGTTTCCGTCTCACCTCCAAAGCCGTCGGGCACGTAGGTCTTGAGGATGATTTGGCAGAAGATGGTCGGCAACGACAGAGGCTTGTTGCCCTCGTTCCTCAGCGAGATGTGCCGGTAGCCGGCTTGCAGGCCGTCCAGAGGCAGGATGCGCTGTCCAATCAGCTTGTTGTTGTCGTCGTAAACGGCGATGCGCAGTACCGCCAGGTCCGGCAAGATCACCTTAAGAGGGAGGGGATGAATGGAGACGTCGTGCGGGAGGGAGAAGGAGCCAGAATGTTGGTTAAAAAAAAAAAGGAGTTGAGTGTGAGAATGAAAAGTAGGACAAATAAATTAGTCGTTTAGGGGTCGGTAATCGTCCTTAAAAAACTTGTAAACTCTGCGTAAGTCATTATAGCGCAGAAATAGACAAACAAACTATTTTACAGCCAGCGTGGTAAAAAGTCCCTCTATTTTAAGCTCCAGTAAAAGCTGCGTCTTTAAGGGCAAGGTCAAGGATGATCCAGCAGGGGACACTATCAGGAACAGTCTGGGAGCGATACAGGGAGAGTGCATGATAGCAGCAAACACACAGCATATCTTATTTCTGACAAGGCCATCTCCCTTGCCACTACGCATACAGGGAGCAGAGCATATCTTGTATATATGTATGTGTGTGTGTGTCTGTGTGTGTCTGTGTGTAACTTGTGTCTTTGCATGAGCCTCTATGTTCACACCCTTGAAAAAAAGACTCTTGTGTGTGTGGAGCTAAGTGAGCGCAGATAGGAAGATGATTAATAAGACGAACGGAAAGGCAGGAGATAAGGCCGGGAAATACTCACTAGAGATGAATGAGCGGAGGTGTTGGCTTGTTTTTGTGCTTACCTAACTGTGTAGCTTTGCTCATCATCTGTAAGTACGCTGCTGGTGTGTGTCGCTCGCTCTGACAGTGCCGCGTGTGAACGCACGTTAAAGGCGTGTCGGTATTTGGGGGCATTTGTGTGTAGATATGAGAAACAAGCCTTACTGGCAGCTCTATGTGTGATGCCCCTCTTTGATAGCACTGTGTAAGTTTAGGTGTGTGGGTGTGTGTGTGTGTGTGTGTGCGTGCGCCTAGAACAGCACTGCGGCAGGCTGTGATTGATGGTGTGTGTTAGGAAGCTGGAGTCACAGTCATGGCTGAGAGACTCCTCATTCTGCTGAGAGCAGCACTATTACACACACACACACACATACACACACGTTTCTCTCTCTCTTTTCCTCTCTTTATCTCCGATATCTCTCGTTCTTTCTTTTCTTCCTCTTTCCCTGATTGTTTCTTTCTTATTTCCTCGCTTGGTTCCTTTGTTCTTGGTGCCCTTTTATTTCCGCCCTGGTCTCTTACTCTGAACTGAAGAAAAACAGAAATACTTTTTTATGTTTGTCACACTCTGTTTTGGTTTGGGATACTTTTGCAAATGACAATAATAATTCTTCCCTGTCTTTATTCGAAGCAGTATTATTTAGAAACCACTATTCTTCTGCCTCAGTTTTAGTCCTTGTTAGTTCAAAAATGTGTTTTTTTTACATTTTTTGCCCCTCCATCTTTTCTCTCTCTCAAAGTGTAAGTATATCCAATCAAGCAAACTTCCAACCTAAATCACAGCTGCTCTCTGCTTCCTCTTTTTTCTCCTGGTTGCTGAAATTTTGCAGCTTTCGTCATAATGCAGGCAGCGTCTGAATGCTTGCTTGCTTTGCCTCCCCAAATTCCTTCTCTCTACCTTTCTGAAGACGAAGGGCTCCTCGTTGTACGCTGGGTTCAGGCCGTTGTTCATCACCATGCGTGTGCGGAACTCTTTCCTGATGGTGTCCGTCGGCAGTCCGTACATGTCGACCTCGACGTATGTGCCGATTTTCTTATCTGACAGGAACTGCCCCGAAAACACCTAAAGGTGAAAATGTACAGATGGGAGACAGTTTTAAATATTAATAAACCTTTAGATCTGACAAGAGTTATGATCTTGTGATTGGAGCTTAACATAGTTGGCATCAGGGTAACGCTTTCTGTTACAGTACACTTATTACCAGGTAATTAACAGGTAATTACCTAGTAACAACATGATATTATCTGGTAATTACATGATAACTACTGAGTCAATACTGTCTAGCTACCAGATCATCATACAAATCTGTTCATTAAATTGCTTTCTCTGCTTCCTGAAACCACCACTTGCGCAGTAGCATTGTACACATTCGGCGGGTGAGTCGCTGTGATAACGCTCGGCTCAAACAGCGTATCGCTACGCAATCTTCGCACGCCCATAGGCTGTGTCAAGTGTTAATCATAGAAAATAAGAACCCCAAATAGCTTTTGAAAATGGAGCTGCACAGAAAAAAGAGAAAAAGAAAAACTAGACAGTATTGACTTAGTAGTTATCATGTAATTACCAGATAATTTTATGTTGTAACTAGGTAATTACATGGTAATTACCTGGTAATAAGTGTACTGTAAAAGAAAGCGTTACCACAAAAGAAAATCTGTTTAGAATCCTTTTTCTATCCTGCTTCCTTTTATATTTCTTACCTATTTTATATTTTTATTTTGTTCCTCATGGTCTCATTTTATGTTGTAAGGTTCTTGTATTGTCTGGATTCCTTATGACAAATAAAACTGGCCTTCAATCCAGAGGCTTTGTTTTGACTGAGCTTTTGTTTTTAATTTGTTTTTATTTCCATGTGCTGATGTCCTGTGTTATTATTATTATTATTATTATTATTATTATTATTATTATTGTTTTAAGAACAAAAAATTATCTTCCTATCTTGGTTAATGAAAAAGTTTAAGGTTAAATGAACAGACTTTCAGAACAGAACTTTATTTCTAAATGCTCAAAATGACTCAAATTATCACATTTTACATGCCAAAAAAATTCAAGGATGCCTAAAATTCAAACCCTCTTGAATCAAACAATTAATTTATTGAATTTATGGAAATGCAGCAGTTTGTGTCATCGTTAGATTTTTACAAATATGATTATGTTTGTTCTGCATGCGTGTATGTATCCAACACAGGAGATGTGAGCCGTACCGGAAATCAAATTCTGATTCTGATTCTTCTGATATACAAACGCTTGTCTAATAAGTTGTAACTTCAGCACGAGTGTGTGTAATGTTTTCAAACACAGGTGTGCTGTCAGATGACCTGACCTGTACACTGCAGGTCGCGGCAATCACACCATCCACGGGCGTCTCTGAGAAAGGGTCGAATGTTCTGTCCGACCGCCGCATGAAATCAGGCTTCAGCAGGTACCTGGAACACACACACACACACATAGATAAACACACACATGACAAAATCTATTGAACAATTCCTTAAATTAGAATCAGTCACTAAAGTGTCAGTAGCCCCACGTTGGATTTTTCACTATATAATCGAACCTCAGCTCTGTTTTAATCTACTAGGAGGGGAAGGTACCTCTGCTTTGTGTGTGGGAGCAAGTGTGTGTGTGTGAGTGTGTGTTAACTGCGGGCACAGCAGAGTGACATTAGTAATGATGGGTGTCTTCAAAAGCCCTGATCTTCCCACATATGAGATTTTCAGCATTAGCGGAGAAGCCTCTGCCCTCGGGGACAGTATTAGAGCCGAGGGAAGGAGACGGCGATGAGGAGAGGAGGAGATAGATGACTGCAGAGAGCCGGAGAGGCGGGCGGAGAGGAACTCTCTTCCCCCGAAGCACTCATTGGCTCCTGGGGCAGACAGTAGCTACGATCGCTACCGGCAACCACTAATGAGATGTGACATGCTTTAATTGATGAGCTTTAGGAAGGGGCGGAGAAGGGAGGGATGGGACGGAATGAGAGAGGAAGAGGAGCGAAGAGCTGTTCTCACCCACAGGAGCCGTTGTACTCAAACTTTCCCTGATTCAGCTGCATGGACAGATCTGAGAGAGAGAGAGAGAGAGAGAGAGAGAGAGAGAATGAGAGGGGGGACAGAAAAAAATTTTCATCATGTTTGAGAACCGTCTTCCTTTTTATTTCCTCTCCTTCAAACATCACAGAAGCTCCATCTCCTGTGTGACCCCCCCTCCAGCCCTGCACATGCTCAGCTCTCAGCAGGCCATATGGTCCGACCCCCCTTTCGCCTCCAGCCACGGGGCAGCAGCTGTTTTCCAACAGGCATCAGTCACTGCGTAGGTGTGTGTGCGGCAGTGACAGTTTGTAAAAATACGACGCGTATCTGGGTGTGTAACAGGGTTTGTCGGGTTAAAACTGAAGCGAACTGATCCTTTAACTTTGTAAGAAATGCCCTTCTTCGCCTTTTGTGTATGTGGATTTGTGTATGTGCAGGTTTGGAGTGTGTGTGTGATGGATTAGTAGGTCCGTGTTCATCCAGACGGCACATGCAGAGGATGTAGATGATGCTCTCAGTGTGACGTCTGGATGTGTGGGATCAGAAATCCACCTGCTGCTCTTTGTTTGATCAGAGTTGACCGAGTGCACACATGTGTGTCTGTAATATTTTCATGCTGTGTGCAGAGTATGGGTGTGTGTGTGTGTGTGTGGTCAAAGGTCACATGTTGTGTGCTGTGGTACCTGGGGTCTGGAAGTTGAGTGAGACCATCTGGCAGCCTGCGTTCCAGAAGATCTGAGGCATGTAATTACTGGAGTCCACCCGGCCCCCTTTGGGGTAGATCCGGCTCATCTGACGCTTGTTGTAGCTGCACTGGAGCTCAGGAACATTTTTAAAAAAGAGAGGGGAGAGCATATGTGTGTTCCAACACATGTGTGAGTGTGGGTTTGAGTGTGTGTATAAAACAGATTGCAGAGCTATTTTCAGTCCGAACAGCTTGGGTCAAGCAGTCCCATGTGGGGTGGGGTGCAGGGGGGAAAGAGAGAAGCAAAGAGTACATGTGTGTCAGGCCAAGCCACAGAGTCCAGCAGCCTCCAGAGGCCTCATGTTCTTTCCGACAGCAGAGTGGAAACAAATATGTCTAAAAAACATCCGCTGTGACCCTCCACCAGCTCTCATTTAGGTGACCTCGATCTGTGAAGTTAAACTCTGACCTTATTAGACTCAGTCTCACCTGACGTGTGTCGCGTATGTAGATGTGAAATAGTAAAAGAGGATTCCTGTTGTGCTGTTTGTTGTTCTGCTTCTGGGCTTATAAACGTCACTACTGTGTTTTAGTCCCGTCGTACTCATATGGACTCTTTTTGGACTCGGCGCACAGACAGAAAACAACCTTGACAAGTGTAGTGCATAATAAACAACTATTTTTTCACAGGGACGAAAATAGAGGGGTAATGTGCAAGACAAAGATAAAAAAAAAGAGACAACTCTGAATAAATAGTTTTGTTGCTAAGGAACTACTGGATGTGTCAAAAGGAAACTGATGGCCAACAGTTTGCAGGGTTTCTACATAGTTGGAATTTCCATACTTTTCCATACCCTACTTTTTTGAATTATTTATAGAAATACCAACTTCTCTATTTTAGAAAACGGCATTCTTTTTACCCTGGTAATAATCTGGAAAATAAACATTTTTCTATACTTTATTTTTTCATTTACCATACTTTTTAAACCTGGAAATTGATCAAATTACTTCCAGACTTTTCCACACTTTCCATACTTGCATAGGTGCCCTGAGTTTGCCATATAAACCAAAACTGTGGTGTTACCTCAGTACAGTATGAAGAGTTAATTTCCTCTGCCCCCAAGTGGTTAAAGTAAGCTTTAATCACAGACATCGAGAAACACGAGGATGCTTGATTTCAATGACAGTAATTGTTTTAAGCACTAAATTTCTTACACTGATGGATCTTTGTTCACTCTGTATTTTTCCTCCCTAAGAAAATCTTTCAGTGTAGACAAATACAGCACAGCTATGACTTTAAGGTCAAAGGATACTTGACAAACTCTATGGCGTTCGTCTTCAGGTAGCCGAGACCAACAGACTCGTTGAAGGATGACATGTTGTGGTGGATGTTCTTATCTGAAAGACAGAGAGGAAAGAGGATAAATGGGACAGAGAACAGAGGTTTAACAACTTCAAGTCAAACTAGGAGTCACCGCAGAGTTAAAAACAGTAAAAATCTCACCCTCTGCTACATCAAAACTCTGGAACTTGACAGGCTGTGCGTAGTTGACCATAGCTGAGAGATACGGGTGGATGTTGGTGGTGGCTCCTACATATGTGTACTGAGCTATGAGGGCCTCTTCAGAGTTCTCCTCTTCTCCACCTTCTCCGCCCTGCACGGGAGACACACACACAAAAGAGACTTCTTAGCACACTGAGATATATGAGTGATCCGTCTGTGTGGGGAGGAAAACTGTGGTTTTACCTTTTTGTTGTTTTCTTTGTCGGATGCTTCAGAGATATCTGTGGCATCTGTTGCTTCTGTGGCTTCTGATATCTCTGTGACATCATCATCAGGCACCTAGAAACAGGCGAGACACTCGGAAATGTTAAATGAAACGTTTCCTCAAAGCATCCATCTCAGCTCTGCGGCTCTTTGATGAAAACAAAAAGGATCTTACTCTCAATCAAACTAAGTGTTTCTTAGACAAAGCACCTTTTTGATACTGTTGTTGCGCTCTTCCTCTTTTCCAGTGCTCACGGCGTTAGTCTGGGAAACACTGTTAGTGTCTTTCTCACTGGTCACCTCTGATTGGATGCTGGGGGCCTCTGAATTCAGATCTTTATCCTCAGTCTCTTTTTCTCCTGCACAAACAAACGCAAATTCACATGAAGTCTAAAACACACATTATCGATTTTTGTGGAAAGTGTTTCCTTACTTTGTGCTTTCAGTCTTTATCCTTTTCCTATTATGATTATGAATGTTATGATGTGTATATTAAATCCTCCTTTATAAAGTGACCAATAAACAGTTTTACTCCATATTGTGAGTCAGCTGACCGTTCTCTGTCTCCTCTTCGTTCTCCTCCCCCATGATGATGGCTGGGGTGTTGGTCTCTCCCGCCTCCATGTGTTTCTTAAAGGCCTCTAGCTGCTCTGTATAACACACAACACACATACACTTGTTAAAAAAAAACACACACATTAATAAAGAAAAGGAATATATGAGTTGAAGAGTGTGAAATGTTTCCTTACTCTGTTCAACTTCAGGTTTCAAGCGTTTGTTTTTGATGAGGATTTTCCGTTTGAGGTCATTTGGAGAGGGTAAGGGGCGCCCAGATTCAATCTGAAGAAAATCATAGATAGATGGATGGATGGATGGATGGATAGATTGATAGATAGATTACATTACAACTCAAAGCCATGTAATATGTTTTGTCTCATTTCCCAAGCTTGACAAATTCAGTCTGCTACAATAAAGTCTCCCTTAGTTTTTCATAATCACCTAATTCAAGGAAATCAACATAGATAGAAGACATTTAACGAACAAATACCTCTCTTAAATCACTATATTTAGGGCAGTAAAACAAAAAGTGAACCTCATTTTCAATTTCAACTAGTTTGCAAAACATACACCATCTCTCCTCCTGGTAATGGTGATGTTCCTGACCGTATTTGTGCACATAGAGATCGCTGTCTTCTGCTTAAATTATATTTCACATAAGGCTCAGCAGTGTACCTGTCCTTAATGAGACAATAAGATCACAACTTAGGTTTCTACCAAATATCATTACTCCACTTCTCTTTATATCTGGAAAATATTGCATTTCTTATTTCATTTACATCCCATTGTAGTTTATTATCATACATTTGAACATGGATGAGAATCACTTGTGACGATAAACTCTGAGAAAGTTTTAAATAAGAAAGTGAGTACTTACAGGGAAGTTATCCAGAGGTTGTTTAAGGAGGAAATCACCAAAGATCTCGTCACAATACTTGGCCATCTTGTACTGCTGTGGTTTACTGACGACACAAACAAACAGATTATTCTCAACTCAGAGTAAAAACACTTTGTAAAATCACCGTCACTCATTACTCCTTCTGTACATACCTGCAATGGTTTTCAAAGGACAAAATAACTGGGTAGTCTGAAGTAACAAATGCTGTCTCCTTGATTGCTTGGATGACATCCTGAAGAAGAAGAAGAAGAGATGAAGCATGAGAACAAGGAACAAACTCAGACTAACGCGATACCAAACTTTCAACACCAGAGGGCAGCCATACCTCGTTCAATGACACCGATTTAAAGCAGAGAGGAAAAGACTTCAAAGTGTTGCAGGTAAAAGTCAGAAAGTGTGTGTTTGTGTGCGTTAACCTTAAACAGGATATCTGTGCACATGGCCTTTCCATGAGTGATAATTGGTTCCTGGTCTTCTCCTTTTCCATCCCAGCAGTCCAACTCCACACACCTGAAGAGAAGGAAACAGAGAAACTTTAGTGAAGTATACAGCTTTGACTTGACTCTCTAACTGTACACCATGTGATTAGAAGATTTTATCTGTACCTGCATCCAGACAGCAGAACCTGGCGGTACATCTCTACTGAAGACTTCCCTCCAAACTGTCTCCCAGTCAGGTACGTGTTGTGGGAGGAGCTGATGAAGTAGTGGGCCAGCGGCTGGTCCATTTCCTGGTACGACTCCAGCCGGTCCAAGAAAACTGGAGCATTTTCATCAGACATCAGATATCTACAGAAGCCGTCACTAGACATGAGACCTGGAGAGAAGAAAAGGAAGGTTATCGCTTGAGACTGAAAGTAGTAGTGTAATCCTTTTAAAGTATTAACATGAAGTTTAAAAAATGCAGATATTCAGCACTAACCGATGTAATGATAAACTTAAAAGGTGGGGTAGGCGGGAATCCGTTAAAGAAGCATCTTTTTTTGTGGTGTATATACAAAAAAGCTTTTAATATCAGTCATTAGCTATTAGTTACTGATGACATTGGTAACATATAAGATATCGCTGTCTTTTGTTATGTCTGTGTAGTCAACAATTTAACATTTCTGACTGTAAACAAAGCCGTTCTCCGCCTCCCCCAACCTGATTGGTTGTGAGGCGGATGCTGCTCCCCAAACAAAGTTAACGTGCTACGATATCGGGCAGTAGAAACCAACCAGAAAGTATGGAAAATTGTCTGGATCCTCTTTTGGCCACGACCACCAACACAAGCAAGAAAACTAAGTAAATACTGGAGACTCTGGTGGAACAACAGGCGCTTAAAACGGAGGTAGACCGGACAAGAGCTAAAAAAGCCGGGTCAACAATGATGGGGGATGCTTTGGGATCTTACAGACCCTGTAACCTTTCTGCTGGACAGGTAAACCGCTTTAACAAAGTAAACCAAGTGTAACAGAAGTGTTTCTTGTCAAATGGGACCTGATGCGTGTTGTAGCACCGCTAAACAGTTGACCTCGGGTCCTGGACTATGTCACTTTATCCTAGTTGTAGAAGTCCTGCAAACATTGTGTTTGTTGGTCGTCTGTTGTCATCTACAGTAGCACCAATGCTTTTTACTTTCACGTTGACTGGGCCCCATTGTAATAATCTGAAGTATTTATCTGCATTATATCTGATTTTAATTGGAACGATACAAGCGTCTGTTTGTGGGCGGGGCTTGCTGGAGCAGAGACCGAGAGGAGAGGAGGAGCTAAGGGGGAAAACTGGTTGGGAGGGGGTAATGTTTACATTCAAGATTTCTCCCAAAAACTGGCACTTCCTCAGATCCTGCCTACCCCACCTTTAATGCACCACACTGTAGTTTCAAATATTCACAGGCAGGTGGCAGTACAGACCAAGGTATCTCTGCTTCTCTTTTACCTTTCTTCTTGAGGGCATCATCTCTCTCGTATTTGTCGATGATCTGTGTCGCTCTCTTGGGGTCGTAGAACGGGAACAGGATCTCATTTAAACGAGGGTCACGCTGGTTCTGAGGGTAACACATGCAAACACAGATTGATCCAAAAACATACCGTTTACTCACAAACTATACGTCTGTAAAAAACATAAATAAATAGCTTGCGAAGACACACAGGACAGGGGGTCAACTTAATGCAACATGGGACAAGGTGCTGACAGTGCCTACTTCAAGAGCTGTAATTTTCTAAAGTGGATGACTTGATGGTTAATCAATCTAGTTTCTTAGAGAGTCATATTCACGAAATACAAAGCAGGATGTTTTAGACAAAATAGTCCTGAGATGTTTTCAGGAATCTGAGAGCCGCTCTAACAGGTGCAGTGATTATGTGTTTGCTTAAAAGCAAGGCGGTTGTATGTGTTGGAGAGGTTCAAGACAGCTCTACTTTATCCAAAAAAAAAAAAAAAACAACAACAACAACCCAGCAACCATCATTACTAAACCACTACCCACTCACACAGCCAGGTGGGGGATTCATCTAACCGAAGCTTCAGCTCCATTGGCAGGTCTGATGAAGCAGCACACATGCAGTGGGAGACTAAGCAGGTATTCAGCCACACAGAGGAGCACGGCCACAGAAAACAGACGCAGACAGCAGGAAGCAACAGGATAAGAAGCCTCTACCCTCCCATTGCCATGGCAACACCAATCAGAAACAGGGAGGCTAGCCACGGCAGGAGAACATAAAGGATAGGGATGAGGGTTGGAATGCAGGATGGGAGAGTTGGTTGAAGTTGCTCTTGCAGACCGACTTGAAGTTGAATATCTTACGGGTCTCATTAAATGTCGTTTTAAGGGGGGGGGTTTAAAGGCGTCCAGTCTGGAAGGCAACTTCTACCACCTACTTCAGGACAGGTGGGACAGATGCGGAGGCAAGGGGGCGGGGGTCACAGAGGGCATGGGCAAGCAAAATACACAGAGAAGTTAATGAATGATAAAGAGCTTACTTCATTCAGAAAGCTGACTAACTGGTCTACAGTTAAATAATCAGTTTTGTTCCCATTGCTGCAAAGGAATTAATTAGAAAACAAAACGTTACGCTTCTCAAAATGAACATCCTCACAAGTCATTCGCACGGTTAAAATTAGAAAGCAGTCTTTAAAAGGGCATCACACTAACATGTTACACTCTCAGTAATAATATGTTAATCTTGATATTTTATTAATGTTGTACTGTCAAAGCAGGTTAGGCTGTCCAGACATAGTTAGTGCAGCAGGCGCAGAGATATTTGTCCTGATTATTTCCAACATGATGCAGTCGCTCACGCTGGAGAAACATATTAAGCACTGTGTCAAGTCGTTCCATTAAAGTGAAGGGTTTAATGGGTACAAAGAAGGCAAGGGTACGACTGTTTAATTGAAAGATTTGTCAATATCTAGTATGGACTTTGAGTTATTGTGTTTGTCAATATTTAAGGACAAAAAAGAGGGGAGAGGATCAGAAAAAAAGACGACTCACATCTTCTTGAAGAGTTCCTCGATGTCTGTTCGGGGGCAGATCTTCTGTGTGAGCGCGTAGAAAATATCAAAGGTGAAATCTGCTGGTTCGATCTCGTCATTCTGTGGAAGATAAACATGGCTTCGATTCATAAGCATGCGAGGTATTATCTAACAGGCTAAAATATACAAATGTTCTCTCTGCGTTTAACAGTTAGCATCGTCTGACCTTTCCGCTCGGAAGGCCGAGGTCCTTAAGAGCCTGAAAGATCCCCTTCTCTGTTTTCCCTGATGCGAATGTTCGAGTAATGCTGTCCAAGAGGAAAAAAGAAAGAGGGAGAAATAAACGGTTATAATGCTTCACTACACGGCTGTTTAAAATCCTTCATCCTGATTGGTCATTAGAGGGCAAGATTCCATAGCAACGGTCTGCTATTCCTTGATAGCTGGTTGTTGCAAGACACAGCTCAAACTATCTGAAACAGGAATATGATCATAAACCAATTTAATCATGTCAAGATCAATATATGGTGTTAGTGTTGGGCAGTATGAACAAAGTCTTGTATCACGGTATGTTTTTTTTCCCCCTGTTGTTCATTTTCCTTTTATCATATGGCATACCTTTGGCGATAGATTCCGCCAAGCTCTTTTGTATGAAAGGAGCTGCTGCAACTTTAGTTTTTGGTGCAGTGGGTGCGCCACGCATCTCTCATAATTGAGCTTGGCGTGTTTCATCTTTAGGTGGTGGACGAGGTTTCTGGTGTTTCTACCTCCAGCAACGAGAGCCACACAACACTCTTTGCATAGTATTGTTTTTTGATCATTATCAGGTTTTCTAAATCCCAAGAATCTCCAGACAACCGATGTCATGACTTGCGCCCTTTTTCGGAACAGATTCCTCCTCCTCTTCCTCATGTCGGGTGGGTAGGGCTGCCTCCGTTTGCTCAGTACTGCCACTAATCTCCGCGTCCGCCATGACAACTACCAGTGAAGCTGTTTCTTCTTCGTCAAAATTATACCAAGCAGTCTGCTGGACACACTGTCGATTATAGGGAGCGCACCCAAACCTGACCAATCAAATGAGCAAACAAACTCCACACGACACCCTGGTGAATATACGGAAACGCACCCAAAGAGATACTACACACTGACTGAGAGAGATGCAAAAGACACCTGCTCTCTCTCTCTTCAGTATAAACGGTCTAGCAAATTTTCTACCGGTAGACACTTTTATACCGTCAAACCGCCCAACTCTATATGGTGTATATTGATTACTGCACATTATCTTTTATCTACTGGTGTAAAACCATCATCAAATACAGAGCTATAAATACTCACCACTGGAATGTGGTTTCTCTTTATAGCAATAAAACGTAACTATATCTGCGTTTATGACCGTCCTTGTACCATCAAACATCAGAGCTCTACTTATTGTGAAGCCTGAGAGAATATATATGTACGGTAAACAAATCCATAGTGTTTTCACCACAAATGTAACAGTCCAGAGCTGCAGAAAACAAGAGCGATTCTTACCCTCTTACAGGAATCTTTCCATTCACATTGGTGAGGAAACACATTCTCATCCAACTAAAAAAGGAGGAGGAAAAACAGACAGCAGAGGCAAAGAGAGATTAGAGACATGCTGATTTTCCTTCAGGCTTATTTAGCAGACTTATATTATTATTATTATCTTGTGTTGGGTTTGGGGTTTTCATGGTTGTTTGGGTTCTCTAGCTGCTGAAACCTTGAGTTGGTGTAGGTTTCTTTTGTCATATAGCTCGATGATTTATGTTTTTGCTTCTTGCTTTATTCTTATGTTTGTCAAAGAACAGAGTATTATAAGAGCTGCTATGATAAACGGATAAAAAGAGACATTTACAGCTCTATTTGGGATCCAAAGTTCGAGATAAAGCGCACTCACTGTTTCTTCAGGCAGGTCATTGGACAGACGTTGTTGGCCTTAAAGTTGTGAATCACCGACCTCAAACCCTCGATCCATTTCTGCAAACAAACAAACAAGCACAAAGATTGGAGACAAACTGCAAACACACTGACCAACTCAGGACCACACACACGCTGCAGCCAAGAGGGTAGCATAGTGATTAGAAGTGGGTGTCTTCAGGGAAATAACACAAGCTAATTAACTGACTCTAAATACACACAGAAATACACACACCGCACACCCTGAGAAGTTCCTTGACAGGGACACACACACACAAAAAAAAACATACAATGATAAACTCAGTGGTGTGTTTCAAGGCTGCTTGCAGTGACAGTAAACAAATAGCCATGGAGGAGACCTTGTAGCTGTACATGAATTCTCCGCTGACTGCATCAACACAAACGTCACACACCGCTCTGCTTTCCCCGTCTCTGAATGTCTCTCACTCCTTCCCCCCGCAGCAAATATTACTACCATCACTATCAAAACAGTAACTAGATGACAGGTGCAGCAGGCGGTGTCTGTTTGGGCTAGTGGCGTACAAAAAGCTGTGTGTGTGTGTTTGTGTGTGTGTCTGCTGATGTAAATAACTCTGTCATCTCCCAAGGTCTGCTACTTAGGGCCACCTGCATGCTGCGAGGTGGTGGTGGTGTCATGGTGAGTTTGATGGTGTGTGTGTGCGAGAGAGGGAGAGAGGGAGGGGGACGGCAACAGCAGGAATAACGAAGTTTGAAACCAATGACGTGTATCTGAGTCTGTTTTTGTGTACGTGTGTGAGTCTGTGTGTGTGTTCGCTCTCTACCCGTCAGGCCTGCTGTATGATATCACTGGCGTCCCTGTGGCAGTGAGCTCCCTGGAGTGCAAACATCATTTGTAACACCCATCACCAGAAAAACAGGTCCTCATGAGAAATGCATAAAAACCAACGCTGATGCCAGGAAAAGTGATCCACGCTGGCACAAAACGTACTTTTCACTTCACTCTGCCCTGAAATCGGGTTTTGATTTTGACTTCTGCAGACACTTTTTCATCAGAGCTACAAATCTGAGTGGATTACATAAAGATGTATTTATCAGGGCTAACTGTGTGCTGTGGCTTTGTATCACTCTTGCTGAACTTTTTCAAGTAAAGCCGACTCTTTCTCCACTCGCATCACTTCAGTAACCTTCACTGAGAAACATTTGCCCATGACATATCCTGTGCACAATGAAAAAAACAGAACAAATATCTGCAGTCAAAGCTGAGGTTATATAACAGACCGAACAAGTAGAGCGCTTACGTATTTCATTTCCTCTTCTTTCCTTTTACTGATTTTTCTCTGTTATTTACTCTCTTATTTTTATGAAGTTATATTTTCCTATGATCACATAGCTCTGGATGTTATGTAATAATTTCCTGTTTTGAAGCTTCTGTGAGTAACTTTCAGTTTGTGTTAACTTTGGCGCCCCCTCTGGCTAAAGCAGTCTTTGCTTCTCTAAAATGCACAATTTGCTAATCTTGCCCCTGATGGCATTTCTTGCTTTTAGATATCATAAAAAGGCATTCATGTGAATTTCAGACTATTTCATAAATGTCCAAAAACAAAAAATGTAAAAAAAATGAGACATTTTTGTATGATTTTTATACTATTCCGAGGCTTGAATTAATTACTCTCTAGGGTCTTTAGAAGTTTTTAAATGTCCAAAATTTAATAACTTAAATTTAAGGCTTCAAGATCTCTAAAATTCCCCTGATCATATAGCTCTGGACATTATGCAATAATTTCCCATTTTAAAGCTTCTGTGAGTAACTTTCAGTTTGTGTTAACTTCGGCGCCCCCTCTGGCTAAAGCAGTCTTCGCTTATCTAAATGTACAATTTGCCAATCTTGTCCCTGAGAGCATACATATGAATTTTGGACTATTTCATAAATGTCGAAAAACTGAAAATTTAAAATAATGAGACATTTTTATATTATCCGAGGCCTGAATTAAATTACTCTCCAGGGTATCACCAGGTCTTAAGAAGTCTAAAAATGTCGAAAAATCCAATAATTTTAATTTAAGGCCTAAAAATTTTCCTCATTAAATGAATTAAATATATTTTTTAAAGTTCTTAAAAAATATATAAACTCTACTAAATAACATCCCATAGGAATAAAGATTGATTTGAAGTAATGTCAAATGTTCCCTGGGTCTTAAAATAGATTCATAGGATCTTTTAAAAGCTTTTCAAAAGTCTTAAATTTGACCTGTTGAAACCTGCAGAGACCCTGCTCTCCTTCTGAGTAGTCAAAGTGCTGTTCCATGTTCCAAAACCACTAATCCTTTTGGCCATACTGCACTTTTCACTAAACTGAAGATATCTCACTTCCACTGTCTTCTCTATCTCTTCCCAGGATTTCTTCTTAAGCCTTGTACCAGGGATAAGGCTCAAAACTTGAAAAAGAAATCCTTCAAAGAGACCAACAATACATTTATCCTCAAGTATTAACTGTGCGGCCAAATCCTTATCAAGCTCCTTCTCTCAGTAATGGACCCACATTGTTGTCCCAAAACTATTAAAAGCTTGTCAATGAGCCCCATTGTTGCACTTGATCCTTTAATATCATGAACAGCAGCGTCTATTTTGAGACAAGCCCACACAAAGCATCCAGCTGCAGTAAATACTCACTAGCATAGAAAATGTGTATTAATCCCCGGCTGAAAATAGTTCCAAACAAATGAGCACTGTTTTTGGGAGAAACTGCAGCGCCCAGCTGTTGCAGGAAAACACTTTAGCTTTCAGAAACAAAGCTCTACTTTTGTGACTAACTCTGAGTCGATAAACAGAAACTAAACCTTATATCTGAGATTTCAGTCTTTTTCAATGGGATCTGTTGTAAATAAATCTACAATAATTCCAACTGTATGTGTTAAAATAAACCCCCTCAGGCTTTATTTCTCTGAGAGTTGAATTACAACCATACCCCAATGACACTGCAGTTTTTAGATTTTTCCTCTAAGTGAGGCCGCTCTTCAAATCTGGATCGATTCAGCTCCGGGAAACTGATATTTAATCTGCAGATGCAGTTGTTTATTCGGCGTTTACATTGTGTACAATCTTTGGATGTTTGCCAACAGGGGTCAGCGATACAACCGTCTACTGCAGATTGAATCAAAAAGAGAGCAGAGGAGGCATCATCTGTTTGCGCCAAGGCACATAAAATAAATAAATAAATGGAGTGATGAGTAAGATGGGGAGAGAAAGCAACAAAGCTAGAGAGGTGTTTTTCTTTTCTTTTTTTCTTTTCGATTCAAAAGTCAGATTTTCCTGAATGAGTGGGAAGAAAATACAGATAAAAGAAAGAAAGAGCAAGAAAACAAAGAGCAAGACAAAAGGAATGAGAAAGTAACAGTGAAAGCAGGAAGAAGTGAGAGAGAGAGAGAGAGAGAGAGAGATGGGGGGGCAGACAGAGAAGTATGACTCATTTCAAATGTGTCTATTCATCAGAGTGAAGCAAGGCCAGATCTGCTGTGTGTGGGAGACAACATAAGAACCATTCACTTGGCAATTTGCTTTGTCTGTGAATCAAGTATTCGCTGTGAGGCTGTGTTCTATTAGCCTTTATGTGATGTGGAAAAGATGAATGAATTAGGGGTCTACCTCGAATGCACAGGATGAGTTAACCTAGGCCGGGTTTCTGGAACACATATGTTTCCAGACCATCTCGGATGTGAGCTGAAATGCTGCCTGAAGTGTATTTCTAATAAGATAAGTGAAAAGCCTGCGAGCAGCGTTCGCAGCCTCGCTCTGAACCCAAAGATATCACTGTGACATTTCACATCCTCACAGCGGCGAGCCGTTTATGTATTTACCCTGGCTGTGTCGGGGTTCTCTGCCACCATGAACATGAAGCTAAGGTTGACCAGGTCTGTGCCGCTGCAGATACAGATGATGCAGCCCTCCAAGTCTGCTTCCGTCTTTCCAATAGCCTCGAATGATGACAAGATCTTGGGGTCCTGCGAGAGAAAAAAAAGAGACAGTTTAGAAAAGCAAACATGAGGCAGGACTTGTTGCTGTCAGGAACCGCATAAATTTAAAGCAGAGGGAAAAAAAGCGTTATTTCCTTCCTTGGATAATTTTTTAGTAAACAGGTATTGACTGGAAAACAATGAGAGAGAAAGTTTAAGAGAGAAGTTTTGCAAAGTGTCATGGTGTTATAAGGTTTATGGGTTTATTTAAGCATTTAATTCTTAAAGCTTGTAGTCGAGTAAAGAAGGATAAAAAGGATATTACAAAAAAAACTAAAAAAAAACAGAAAAAAAACAACTGATTTCCATATTTAGATTATTTCAGCTGGAAAGAAAACTGTATAATTCCAGACACCTCTTTGTTAGAGTAGATCTGAGCAGAAACGACTGTGAATGAGGTCTACACCTCATACAAATGGGCAGTAAGGTTATTTATATACCGCCAAATTACACTGTGAAAAGCAGCGGCTAATATGATGTTAAAGGGTCATCTCCATCAGCTGATAAAAGACAGGAGGGGTTTGTTTTTAACAAAAGAATTGAGAGAAGAAAAAATACAATGAAGGCAATGCAAAAACCTTTAACTTGTATTATCTCTAAAGGCCAGTAGGAGGCGATGCTATCAGTTGTACTCAGTACAACAGCACAGAGACAATTAAAAACAACCTTTAAGTTTTCTTCAAAGTTAACAATTTAAATTGTACCACCATAGATACATAAAAAGCATTCCTTTTTTTTAACAAGGGCTTTTTACATATCCAAAATTAGCATCCCAATAAATACCCCAAAAAATATTTTTTATATAAGAGCTAGAGCTTGATTTACTTTAAATAATAATAACCTTTTAATGCAACTTTGATCTTTTTTTTGGGAAAAAAGAAGAGAAAAGATTACAGGTAATGTTTCTTTGAGCTGAAAATAAAGGAGGGATGATATTAAAAAAAAGAATCTTTCGACACTATTGTCAGTAGTATTTTATTTGAATGCCCCATCTGCACAAGCCCTACATGTACAAAGACACTGAGTCAAAGGTCAGAGCCTTATGTAATGTCAACTGTTATGTTTCACACTGTAGTTAAAATTCATCACAGCCTTTTAAAGCAACAAATAAACCACCAAAGCAGAATAACAAAAAGCTGGCAAGAGGGGGACTCATTCCTGACGTGAAAAGCTAATGATGTGACGCACAAAGGGGAAATGAAAACGACCCTTTGATTAGTAAAATCACATTTACTGATGAAACTGTGAGTCACGGACCCTGCTTCTTTTTCACTGTTAACTTTCCGCGGCGTCTCCAGCCATAATTTTTCATACCCCTCCTGTAACCTCCTGATCTCCTGTTCAATCAGCGTAACAAAAAACACAATCAAAGGCGCAGCAGTCCGTCTGCCAGCACTGTGTCTGTGGAAGATAGTTAAGTATTTCTGTTGAATTACCAGCAACAGGCAACAGGCTCCCCTTTCTCAAAGCCTCTGCCGGCAATCATCCAATACAATTCATCTCTCCTCACTCATTGGATTATCTGAAACAGCTCTGGGGGCTTGTGTAACCATGTTAGCCTCTGAGGAGAAGCCCTGCTATCAGTTCCTCTTAGTCTGCTACTTACAGGACAGCCTTTGAACAAACAGGAGGAGCTGCTATCAGGCTGCAGTATCTGTGTACGTGCCCTTACACATGTACATACGCACACGTCCGCACCGAGCAAACAGACCACCTCTTGCTGTCAGTAGTACACACACAACCTGGTAATGGTTATGTGCTCAGTGTACACAAGTGTCTCAGTCAGGCTGCCGACTTTTACAGGCTTAACTAGTTTGCACCCTAATTGGAGGTAGTGGGTCTTCCCAAGTATCTGGTCACGATATCATGTATCATGAGGAGGAACAATGCTCTCTGTTTATCGTGTTTTTGGATCCATAGCAGCTTGACAGGAAAGAGCCTGGCTGCCAGCTGCGGTGAAAAACCATTAAAAAATGTGGCTGATTGATATCCACTGTTTACGTACGGATGAATCTGGGTTTAAGAGAGAGGAGCCCATCACTGAAAGTCCCAGATTGATGGTTTACTCTGCTACTGTCTCTGCTAGTAAAGCATGAATAACTCTGTGACGTGGTAGCCTCCCTTGATTTTTCCAGGAGTGTCACTGTGGGAGTGAGACGCTGAATGACAGGGGGGGAAGGGGGGCGGAGAGTGTGAATATCGTGAAGCGAGGAAATTGTGTTTCCTGAAGTCTCACCTTTGGGACGGCTCCAACTCGAATGCTGTTGATGAGGGAACATTCGAGAACCTGGCCTTCCTGCAGACACAATACACAAAAATAGATCTGTGCTTAAAAAGGCAAGACACCATGTAGAAGGAGAAAATGAAATAGTGTTTTAAAAACCAACAAGAATTTAAAAATCATGGTTCATTATCAAGATTTAAACACTCACAACATATCCTCCTTGACATGTTGTTCCTCTCTGAGAGGATATTTGTTGTCTGTTTTGGACAGAGGTGGGGAAAGGTCCCTATGTTGCAAGTCCCAAGTCAAGTCTTTGCTCTCAAGTCTCGAGTCAAGTCCAAGTCAACACAGACAAGTCCAAAGTCAAGTCCAAGTCATGAACTTTTTGTTTCGAGTCACAACCAAGTCCTAGGAATTTTGGCTTGAGTCCCAACCAAGTCCTTACCTTTTCCTTCACGTCAAAAACAAGTCAGATCAAAGCCATAAACCATATGTTATATGTTGCATTTTTCACTATTTGCATTTATTATTAAACAAGGGTTCTTGTTTGTGTTAAGTTACATAGTACAGTTTTAACCAAACTATTTTACATGTCATACAAAAAATAATCAGGAAAACTTTAATAATTGGAAACTTAGACAATGTGCACAAAAATAAGGAAGACTCACACGTGTTGACACAAGACAACACGTGGAAACAGGCGGGCAATACTAGCGAGCGATTTATGTTCAGTCCTCCCGGTGTTGTCGTTATGAGGGAGGCTAGAGTTTGAGACAGTGTTGCCAAGTTTCGTGAGAGAAAGAAGGAAACAAACCTCCAGAAACAAGCCAAAAACAAGCGAATTTTTTTTGCGGGAAATAAGCAGACTTGGCAACACAACACGGTGTTACCAACAGCCGTAATTCCTGACTATTAAACGGTTTGGGCTTGCTGTAAGGTATGAAGTGTAGTGCTGCAACGAAAGATTATTTTTTGTCGACTAATCTATCGACTAGTAGTCCGATTAATCACGATCTTCTTTATTTATAAACACCTATTTCCGGGGTGTCAGCGTTTCAGGTGCTCATGCATCGCCGTGGTGCTGCCATGGTAGGAAAGCTGAGCTTTGATCAACGTGTTTTTTTGGTTTGTTCTCCGTAAAATGTTTCCAAACTTTTGAAGTTTTGGGTCGGAGTTTTGGAGCGTCTTTTTCAGTTTGTTCTACCATAATGTGTGCAATCTTCTTCTGTGTTTGCTCGCGGAATGTAAACAGCGAGCGCTACTGCCCCCAGCACATCCTGTAATGCACTGCAGTTATAGATGAGCATGAGGCGCCGGCATGTGATTCTTACCAACAATAACACGACGCGTCGACGCTTCGTTTTTCGTTTCGATGAATTTGTCATGTCGACGTAATCGATTACGTCGACTAATCGTTGCAGCCCTAATTAAGTGACTTGAAAAGACTTGACTTTTCAAGTCACTGGGCTCAAGTCAAGTCAAGTCTAAATTCTTTAGCAATCAAGTCCCAAGCGAGTCCAAGTCATTTCCTGATTTCATCAAGCAAGTCAAAAACGGGACTCAAGTCCAAGTCGAGTCTCGAATCGTCAAGCCCCCACCTCTGGATATTTGTTGTCTGTTTTGGAGGTTTAGCTTTTAAGCAGCAGACTTTTGCTGATTAACTACATAAATATGTTGTAAAAATGGTGATTTAAAGAGATCTATAGTCAAAAAAGTCTCTTCATTTACATGTTTTAGTTCCTGTTTGACAGTTTGGTTTATGTATCGGACTAGCAAAGCTGTAAAAACCTCTTCAGGTTTATTTGCTGAGGCATTAAATTGATAGGTGTTATTTTAATACAGTCTTATAAAGAAGGATCATGTTTTTAATGGGTTCACAGGGACAGTCAGAGGAGGAGGCTTTGTGAAAAAGAATAAGAAGGAGGTTGTACCTTCCCCTCGCTCCTCCAGGTGATGAAAAAGCCAAACTCGTCCACCATCATCTTACAGTTGGGCTCAAAGATATACGGATCCTGCAGAGGGGGTAGAAAGTAAAGATTTTTATTTGACATCCAAACTGTGAAAGACAGAGGTAGCTCTTTTTCATCTCCTTACATGAACCTGCTTTCTTAAGGACACATACACAGCACAGCTTGAACCAACATATACACACTTCAGAGGGGGTGAAACCTGTTCCTACGGCAAACAGAGAGTGGGATGAATGTAGTTGTGATTAAGAGTTAAATGCAAACATCATCTAGCGGGAACACACGTACATCGGAGACCTCAGACAACCCCGTTTGAGCTTCAGTTTGGTCTTTTTGTGCGTTACTTCAAACTTCGATGTTTTACACGTTCGTGCGACTTCCATTCAGATCAACAGGAGTGTGTGCGAGCAGCCGGCTGACTTTACCCCTCACACTGTTCCCTCAGTTCAGTCGTTTTCTGAGGCAGTGGATGTCTGATGTGTTAGCGTGTTATTCTCAGAAATCACACGTCTAATAACGATCAAACGTTAGAGAGGCAAATGAGAATAGGAGATGAGTGCTGGGTGACACTGGGTCACACTAATATTAACAATAGGGAACAGTGTGACACACTCACACACACATACACACATCATTTATAATTAATTAAGGATGTTGCCTCCGTGTAAATAGGACTGAGCTGGCTCGTTCGCCGCTCCTATCACGTCATCTAAAACCATCATAAAAACCAATTGAACAATACCATTTCCATTAGGGGCACAGTGAGAGTTGTGTGAGTGCTGTTAAAAGCTGGGCTCTCTCTTTCGTCTGAATAAAACCTGACAGAGACTTCAGCTTCGTGTCGTGAAGATGAATCTGTGGAGGAGACGGTCTCGAATGAATCCCGGCTGTAAACGAGCTAGTGTTACACAATCAGACTGCTTGTTCTTGTAAAGCTAAAAGGTTTATGGGCGCACTTGTTCTTTCCATTATGAGGGTACCATTAGCTAAAAAGGCCAACCATCTCTGGGTGGATTTAGATGAGTTTACATTTAGTTACCTTTAGTCATGGTCATAGACAGCATACAGAATGGACAGCGTCTACCTCCTTGCTGGGTGAAGCCACTCTGAGAACAGCACCCTCTGTTGACAGGCTGCAGTATAGGTCATAAATCCAGCCTATGAGCGTTCAGGGATTGCGTAGCTCGCCCGGGGGATACGCGACTTTCCCGTTGAATGTGTACAACGCTACTGCGCAAGTGGTGGTTTCACTAAATGAAGAAAAATTGCGGAAATACTGAGAGCTTTTTGGCATCAAATTCGTATACAGGCGGGAGGCGGAACCAAGTTGTCCACAGTATATACAGTCTATGGTTATGGTAGTCCTGGCCTCCGCTCAACAAGATGTCTGGCCACAAGTTGCTCATTCTCAGTCTTCTTTGTTTTGTTTTAAACACATTTTATCAACATTATATCATATCAAATTCTGCATTAAGGATTATGAACCAATTTGTGATATTTTCACATAATCTGCAACAAACTTTCACCGCCACTAGCGTTCTCATGTATCTGCAATCAGATGAAAAGCTCTCATCAGAGTTCAAAAAACGGCCATTCAAAAAACAACCCAATAAAAAAGTTAATTATTGCCTCTCAGTCAACATTTTAAGTGTTTGAATATTTCTTCTTAATCCCAAAGATTACAGATATACTTGCTGAGTTTTTCCTTGTTGCACTTTTTTGTGTGCATCGATGTCTGCAACATGATGCCGCCTTTTTTTTTTGGTTTACCACATCCCCTTAGAGTTTCAGTTCAACGGTCGATAGTAAATGAACACAGAAGCCTCACTGTAGTTTTACTTCACTCCTTTTCTTTTAGTGGAAACCAATCTACTTAGGATTCACTCAGGATTAGCAGGTCTTACATTCAAAATGAAAAAAAAAAATAAAAAAAATTGAAGACCATAAAGTCAAAATGGAAGCAGACAACTTCTGAAAACTTGTTCTGATACTTTAAATACAAATTAATTTTATTTGGAAAGCATGAAACAATAGATCAGGGGCTGATGGTTGGCAGGTACAAGAAGACAGGACGTGGTTTAAAAAAAATAGAGGGATGTTAAAACACTTAGCAAGCCAAGTCGAAATGACACCGAACAAAGAAAACAGACAAGAAGCGATCACAAAACTCAACACGTTGTGTCCTTTGGCAGCGATACGGGACTGGTTTAGCGAGAAATAACAACCGAGAGAAAAAGTTTGTTACACAGATGCTGTTGTTATTTTCTGCATCTCTTAGACTCTACCGTGAATAAAAATGTTGATCCGACCCAGGATCTTGTCCTACCTACTGACTTTAGATTAACTCTTACACAACTGACCCATCCTAGATCACAGCTCTAGCATTTTACACACAATAAGGATTGGGAATAAATCAAGCAACTACAAACGTGAATATTTGCTTGATTTCTTTTGGTGTCTCACATCCCCCTGAGCTGTTTCTCTCTGCTCTCATCAGCAGTCTGTCAATAGACCGTTTAGTCCCCATGGAAACAAAACATCAGCCAGATCTTAAGCCATTGATTTTTTAATCATTGAGAAAATGAATGGGCACGCACACGCCCACACATACACACTCCGAGGATGCCCACTGGCTGTTATCCTGAGTAATAAACGGGTGTCTTGCTGACCTTTGACCTGCCTGTCACTTGACTTGTCACACTCACCTGAAGTATCTGACTTTGCGACTGAAATTGATGAAGTATTGATCATCTATAGAGCATTTAAAGATTCTTCTGCTATGCCGTAGAAGAACACAAATGTCACGACGATTAAGAGAGGCGCAAAATGAAAAGCTGGTTGTGTTGCAAAAACTTGTACAGAACTGAAGCAAAAATGTCCTCACAAATACAACATACTTAACACTTTACTACGTCCTGCTTTGATTTAACACATATACGCTAACACACCTGCACATTACCTGTCCCCGCCATCTGCCACTCTGAGGGGCGTCACTCAGTGGAGAATGTTTTATGTAAGGGATCCGTGCTGCTCGGTGTGTTATTGTGTGTATGTTTAAGAGAGGGGGCCGATAAAGAGCATGTGTGTGACTGTGGGTGGACCCGGCATAAGTTATTTCAATCGAAGCAGATGTCCCCTGCAGGCGCTGCACTCGCCTGGCAACCGAGCTGCAGCTTTCCGCTCACATACACAGAAGCACATCCACAGATACGGAGAATAAAGACGGCCATTGTAAGCGACATCGCTGCGCCGTGATAACACGGAGTAAAGTTCAAAGGTTAGCATCAAAAACCCACTGGATTTGGATCGTACCAAAGTCAGACTTGAATAGTTTGAGCGAGTTGAAACAGTTAGAAATGTAACTATTACAAATCAATATCAGTAATTAGTATTGTGAATGATATCATGATTGAAAAATGATTAATTGCGGCGTTGAGGGGATTCTGGGATCTCTCAGGTGACGTCTAATTTTAGTCTTTAAGGTGAGTGACACAGACCGACCTTATTAAGATTCAGGCCAGTCCCAACCCTGTCCTGCCTCGGCCTGGCTCAAATTCACAGCAGCAACACACTGAGGACTCTCTTCAGAGGCATGCCGGCCCAGTTTCACGGCTCACTTTGACACGGCTGTGGATTTGATGATGCTCTTTCCAGTTTTTTTTTTTTTTCTTCCCTGCCTAAGAGGGATCTTCCTCCCGCCCACTGATACCCGCAGAAACGAAGAGGACTGAGGGGATTTCCTGATGTGTGCAAGGGCGACTGTATCCATGTGCGCGTGTTTGTGTGTGTATGTGTGTGTCGGGGAGGGCATGTGTGTGTGACACACTTTGCCTTTGCTCGGCAAATGTCCTAGCTAAGTGTCCTGATTAAGTTAGTCAGAGGAAATGTGGGTAAAAAGAGGGGAGGATGTACACGGGGTCAGATGCGTATAGTTTACAATTAGACGCACACAGAGCAGGATGGATGTTGGTGACGATGATAATGTTGGTTAATTCTGATCTTGTGATATTGGTAATTTGGACTTGATCACTATCATGTTTGATTCAGTTCTTATCAGCTGGAGTTTCAGCTTTTGTCACGTACTATAACAGCACATTAATTTATCGTATGTTAACGTTCATTTTGTATCTGAACATTCAAACAACAAAGCTACTACAAGCTCTCGGTCTCAAAAAAATATATTTTTATGGTTGATATAAAAAGACGAAGAACATGATCTCATCCGAGTTCATGCACCGTCGTTGTTGGAATTGCTGCAGACAAGCCGTCGCCATGCCGACGCCGCTAAACAAGCCTGCTCAATACATCTCTCCTGCACCTTTATCTTTCACTACTACTACAGTGATGAATTAGGTCAGAGGAAACGCCTTCGCTTCGTTGTGTGTGTTTGTGTGTAATGTGCGTAATGACTAACCTGAGGACAGTCATTTAGTGTTATAGATGATTACAGGGCAGGGAAAATAATCGATGTCATGATCAACTGGGTTATTGACAAAGTCTTACAGCAAACCTTCGAACCCTCAGGAAAGATCAGGAAATCAGGATCTGCTCTTATGTTTAATGAAATGAAATAATAAATATATCTGTTTTTTTAAGAACGGTGAAGATTTAAGAAAAAAAAAAGAGTATTTTTACCTCATCAAACCTGTCGAAGGAGGCGCCTTCCTGCATGAACTCAGGCAGGTGCTTCTGCCAGTTGAACTCGTAGGACTTTGTCATGGCTGCTCACAAACCTGAGAAAAAAGGGATGGAAAAAAAAAACAGAGAGAGAGAATTAGTGAGAGAAATCTAGATGTTAAACACCTCTTTTCTCATGTCCTGCAGTCAGAAAAACGTGTTTAATCTATTAAACACAGCTTTTGCACACGGTTCCCACGTCCTGAAATAAACTCTCCGGAGAGTTTATTTAACTTAACAGAAAAAACAGTCACAAATAAACACAACCTGATCAGCACTTATGGAGTTATTTTGGATAAAACCACATCAGAGGAACGAGGATTATGAAGTTTAGAAGAGATCCGAGCCTCAGTTATTAATTGTGAATATTGGTACCAATGGCCTGAACAAACCCAGAACACATATTTGAAAGTCCTTAAAGTGCTGCTTAAAATATTGTATCCAGAGGTGCCTGTTTGACCAAAGGGCTAAATCCTGCAACCACACACAAAGGCTGTAGTCCTTAAAATGTGCCGCCTGTGGACAAGTTATTAGAATTCAAATTAAAGTCTCATCCTGTTGTCCTGTAATAGTCAAATGTTTCATTCATTGTCAGAAACTGCCAGAAAAATTTAAAAAGCCCTTTTTTGTGTGTGCTGTCAATGTCAATCATCTGGTGGGACATCTACCTCCTCGCAGCGGTTTCAGACATGAAATATTTTGACAGAGAAATGATCAGCCGTGTTTCTGATGGTCTGGTTTGCTTTTGGAAATCATAAAGAGTCATCAGTATCAGTTTCAGTCTGATTCTCAACCAGCAAACAAAAAACTCCTCATAATGCCTCGAAATGAGATCAGCTCTTCTTGTGTTTCAGTGACAACAGACAAGGGAGGACAATAGAGACTCTGCAGCAGAGGACAGACAAAACTTAAAATCACTTCACTTAAGAAATACTCCAGCTCAGCTCTGTGATAGTACAACTGCTTTTGTTAATAACTGATGAGAAAAGCTACAAACTCAATCCAAATGTTCGGCGCTGATGTGCATACCTTTATCTCCACATATTCCCCTGAAATATAACCGGTCGTAAAACATTAAGCTGTGCAGGCATCGTCTCAGCACAGAGTTGTGTACAATAGAGAGTGATTTTAAACAAAGTCTAGACAAGATTAAGAGCTAGCCTCAGACTAATGTGCAATAACATTAATGGGAAGTTTTTGAAGTGGAAACAAATCAATCTCTGCGGTTATAAAATAGTTTTACAGGGCTCTTTAGTGGAATCCTTTGATAATGCAGTTGCTGGCAACCCCCAAAAGCAGAGCTCTTCTCAAATAGATCTCATCTCAGCGTGGTTGTCTTTTACTGAGTCTAAATGTACGCACAATATTGAGTACATGGTGCAACATTTAAAATTACACAACTGACACTGGTGAATCGCTGTGCAAAGTTTTTGTAAAAGCAAAGTAGGCCTGTAATCAACCAAAGAAATTTAGTCGGGGGGTTGGGGCGACCCTGATGGCAAAACGTTATGCGGCGGAGTACGACTCTTTGACATGAATGGTAGAGGAGGACTCACGTGAAAGTTGAAACGCTCAAAATAAGAGTAAATATTCAGCAAACCACAGGAAAGTAGAGCAGATAAGTGACATGATTGTTCAGTTGGTGATACAAGCATGAAAATTGGCATGAGCATTCTCCGTGGGTGTCCCAGCCATTTGAAATTTCAAGATGGCCTAGGTGGAACAATTAGGTGATGTCCTTGTTAAGCTGGTGATATAGGCGTGAAAATTGATATGAACAGTCACTCAACATGAAAATGCCCCAAGTTGCTTGAAATTTTAAGATCGCGACCATCTTTTAAATGGCCGCCATCTCATTACAGCAGTAATATCATGCAAAGTTGGTGATATAAACGAGAATTGAAAAGACCATTCTCCATAAGTCACTTCACAAGAAAGCGCTTGATTCTGGCTAAAATCTGTACTTGGCCACTGCACTAGGACGCTGATTTACGTGGACGCTCTTCAATCTCCCTGTCTCCAGCTGGTCTCCAGTGGGTTGGGTGAATCCGAAATGGTGAAAACAAGGGGGGTGTTCTGAGACATGCTGAAAACACCCCCATTAGCACTTGGTACTTTCCTCCTGATGAAATTAACCAGAGACTGTAAATTGATGTGGAAAAAAAATCAAGTCAACCAATCAGAATTTTGGTCGACTCAGCACATAACGACCAATCAGTTGACCAATTGACTAGGACTTTACTGCCCTAATGTTAATCTAGTAAAGCTCTGATGTGTCAGATTTAGGTGCATTTCCTCATTAAGCAGGACCTGAGTTACCCCAGAGAAGGACGTGGTTACAGGCTACATCTGTATATGGGTATATGAGGTTAGTTTTTTCCCCATCAGGTCTATCTCAGAGCCACACAAGAGCTGAAAGTGAGCTGTAGTCCTCTTCACACACAAAAAGTGAGTCAGGCGAAGTTCATGTGCCACACCTGCACGTGCGGCACCACGCAAGAACCCAGCACCGGGAGGGAAGAGGGTCTTTTCAGGAAACTGTGATGATGTTGCTGACACCACCCAAATATAGGCTCTCTTGACGTCAGCCGTAAATGTGTCATGCAAAACTGGGAACGTGACAGACTATGTATAGTCTGAGAGCTCAAACCGTTGTTAAGTCATTGTAGGAACACTGTGAGTTTGATAAGGAGGTGTTGGAGTCTGTAAGACTAGAGTTACAATCACAAACGTAGTTTCACGCAGAAATAAATCACATGTAATCATTAAACTCAATCACTTTCACTTGTCGAAGCTGTGATTTAGACTTTAAAATACTAAAAAGGTGTGATAAAGTAGCATGAGTGGGTGTGTGCAAGGATCCTGCAGGAATTGCAGAGATTTAAATCCCACATTAGATGTAGAAACCACTTATTTTACTCCCTGGAATAAACAAAGAGAGAACTGGAATTTGATAAGAGGGATGCACAAAAGGTTGATACTGATGCAGAAAGAAATACTGTCAAACAGAGTGTTACAGGCTGTTAGAGGGATAAAAGAAAAACACACAGGGGTGAGCAAGAGCTAGATAAGACCGAGGCAGAGAGAGTGAACGCATGAATTCAGATTAAGATACAAAGGCGGAGAAAGGTGGAATGGAAAGATGAGAAAGTGGCGTGAGGTATAAGAGAACAGTGGTGGGCAGGGGTAGATGGACGAGGTAGACAGCTGTTTGTGACAGCAGCTGGGTGGAGAGGAGAGGCGGGGGGAGCAGCGGGGGGATGTCTGCTTTTGATGTGGGGATAACAGATCAGAGACAACATCAACAGACAAGTACAGAAAGCAACAAGCAGGCAGGGTGGGCTGAGGAACACAGCAGACATGACAAACGCAGATGAAGGGAGGGCCTGTCAGATGTCTGTAGGATGTCATTATGAAAACGCAGAGTGATTCAACATGGCTGCACAATCGCTCAGAAACTAATGGGGGCTAATCTCACCCTGGTGTGCAGATTCATCAGGATGTAATGACTCTTGATGAGTTCTGTATTAACTCTTCACATCCATGGCTGGTTTCAGATCATACAGTCACTGATTTTTACATTTTATGAGAGAACTGAAAAAAAACCTCAATATTTTTGATTGTACATTAACTGCCTTGTATTAATATGAGTGTGTCTGAGGTCCTCATTTGATTAGAGTCTTAATTATTTATAATGTTGCTCTGGGAGTTACTGCTTTTCCTAAAAATCATTGTAAATGTTGCAAAACTAGCCATATATATATTATAGCTGTTCAGTCATTAAAGTTAAAGCATCAAAAGTATGATGAAGTATTAAAAGCATCTCAAGCAAAACAGCAAAGCACAGATTTGAAGCAGCACGTCATCTTGAATATACTTCAGCTGGGCTCAAAAAATTTTAAATATTTTGTTGACAATGAATTTCGGTGTAAGAAGTTCGAAAATGTGAAAACCGCCGTCAGAATATGTGTCTGAACAGAGCTCCTTCTTGCTGCGTGCGTCACAAAACCTTCTGCCTGTTTACAGTCTGATCTCCCTTTGTAAACAAACCAACTCTTCTTACGTCAAATATGAAGAAGAAGAGGAATAATGCCTTTTTCAAATTAAGGGCGAAATCTACAATAACCAGAAATGTACCTTTATTTTAATATACCAGGAGTGGCGACAGTATCTCCAGCAGTGCAACTGCGAGTAGCTACCACAGGGCTGCACAATTATAATGTTGAGATGATGAGTACTTAACACAAAAATTGATCAATTTTACGGACAACTCTTTCTCTGTTTCTTGTTTGTTTTTAAAGACATAAATATCCTGTGTCTACTCTACTTCCAAGATTGCATCAGGACAAAACAATCTACCTCGGCCCACAGTGGCACTAAACTTTTGGTCAAATATTGCATCCACTGTTGCCAACTCCTTAGTTAGTATAGATGCTAGCGACTGTCCTAGAAGTCACTAAATGACGTCATCGCCTAATGTGCATAATTTCACAACAAGTCGCTAGATTTGTTGCTAGTCACTTTTCTGAGGAAAAAAAAACAAAACTCGCAGGATGGTTGGGGGTTCGAAAGTTCGTAAATATAGCGACAAAGTTGCAAAGTTGGCAATGCTAATTGCTACAAACAGTTCCGAAGCTTTTTTAAGGACTCTGACTTAATTTTAAGGTTATAAAATAATAAAATACAACATAAATATTACTACTCATTAATGCTGCAGCCTGACCCTCCAAGCTCACTCAGTCCCTCTGCTTTACTAACACACACAGACACCTTATCCCCTTGCTTTCTTGCTGCAGAGCAAGGGGATCTCTTGCTGCTTTTTTGGTCAATAAGTAAAAGAAATACTATTCTGTATCACTTTGGAAGTGATTTCTTAACAAGAACCCAATCACTATAACAGGTCAAAGTGCCACCCAGGTCAATACACCAAAATGCACCCAGTTCGGTACAAAAAAAGCTCCAACCTCATCAAACCCAGCCCTCCACCATCTGTGTCCCCTTACCAGGGGACCATAACAAAGACACACACATCCTGTCAGGGGAGTGAAAACGCAGATGAACACTTCCTGTTGAGATTGTGTAAAGAGGCTGCACCCAGCACATTAACACTCGAGTATTAAATAACACTAAACCAATTCTGAGAGACATTATCCATATTCCTAAACTCAATGATTCAGATAGGACAATCACATACCCAATTTGGACTAATTGGGTTGTGCTGTCCTGCCTAATGGTAGCCTAGATCTTGCCACTCTCAACAGTATGCATTAGATAACATTCTCCTCAGCGGGATGAAATCAGTCCAAGAGCGGCGCGGTACGCTGAGGTTCTGTAAGGCCATGGCAGAGCTCACACCAGACCTCCGAGCTCCTGGACGTGTGAGCGTGCACGTGAGGAGCTGAGGGAAGCTGAGGGAAGCGAGCGAGCGAGGTCCGAGCCCCCTGTCCAACCCCTGACAATGAGATAATTACGACAGATAGGAGCCTCGTGAGGCCCTCTGCTCCCAGCCTCCTCATCTAAAATGGCAGCTAGGGTAACACCCAGCGGTCCCACACCTCATAAACTAAAATTAGGCTACTGCTACATCAGTCAGCCAGTGGTGGAAGGGTTGACTGGGGACACGCTGAAAGGGACGCGAGTGAACAACACACACAGCGAAAGCACTTCTGATGAGGCTGGCACATTAACCAAAGCCCTCCTTTACTTAATACCTGTTGTGGATTAGGCATCGAAAAGGCTCGAACATTTCAAGTGACACGTTTTGTGGCGCTGACTAACCAAGAGGAACTCTGGAGACAAGGACAGAAAACAGGCCTCGCACAGGCATGCTCCATTTGATCTCACAGACCTGATGCATACATTCAAAAGTGGACCTTTTCTAACCTGTCAGAGCAGATGTTTGGGACAATCCTGCTTAGAAAATATTCAACATTTAGAAATAAGGATTTTTTAAAGGATTATACAAATATTATACCTCAGTGATACCTCCAAATAAGCCATAATCACAGGCACTTCAGAGGCTATGATAAATGAGGTATTTATTCATATTCTGAGAAGCCTGCACCATGATTTATGGGCTACCAAATATAGAAAATATTCTCCTTTGTGTGCAGGTTTGAGGCCCCTTCCTACCTCAATGTCTCTTATTTACATTTACCAACAAAAACCCTGCATTTGGAGATTTTAATGGCTTTTTAATCATCTGTTCTCTGCTTTCTAAACCACATAAGTGTCTGTCTTTCATTTGCATCATAATGCCATCGTAAATGAGGGTTTGGATCTCTCCTGAATAAATAAAAGTTTATTGTCAGAACAATAAATCTCCCCATTAAACCGCATTAGAATAAATCAAGACCTTATCATGACCATTACACATCAATGTTCTCATACTTTGGATGTTTTCTTGACTCCGCTGCAGTATGTCTGCACGGTACAGCAGATAAATCATCCGTTCAGACATCTATAAAGAAAAGTAAACCCTGATTTATGCCAGCTGGGAGAGCAGAGGTCAATCAAACAGATGAGCTGAAAAAAAAACACCCCTGAGCGCTGAAGCCTCACTGAAACTATTACAAGAATTCAAATCCCTCTTTAACATCATTTTCCGCTCATGTTTTGCTAATGTAGCCTCGGAAAAAGGAAAACAGAGTTTTCAGCTCGCTGTCGTACTTTATCACGAGCAGCTGGTTGGAGTTAAAGCACAAGATTGATGTTACACATTGAAAGGTTTTCATCATGTAACCTGACAGTGATTGCTCAGGTGTGCGTTGTTTGACCATCTATGGTCTGACTCAAGGAATTCCTCTGCTGGGCTGAAATGATTTGCTTTCCCTTGTCTATGCACTACATACTGTTAATTGTCTTGAGATGTTCAGGGTCAAAACTGCCTCACAGTGCTCTTCGTTGTTGATTTTTTTCCCCCCACTTTCAGAGTGACAACTGAGTGCATCTTGAGATCAACAAGAGCATATAATTGTCTTTTGCAGCCATGACTTGAGACCAATGCTAGTATCAGACTTCTTTCTTCAATCATTGCCTTTGTTTACAGCCTGACAAGGACATGAGGAAGCAAACATAGAGGTGGACTGTTAGCTGCACTTGCATGAAGTTATCTTTTGAGATGAATTTGTCTTTAGCGTCAGATGACCACTGATAAGTTCGAAGATTACATAACAGCGGATGTTGCTCTCTACAGTTTCTGGGCTGTTTTCTTGCATGAGGTCAAAGTCTGCTGAAACTAGGGGTGTCCTGATACAGCTTTTTTACTTCCAATACGATACCGATATTGAAGTTATCGGTATCGTTTTGCACTCAGCTGCAATGTCTTTATCGGACTTTAACGAAAAATACTGCCACACAGCCGACATCACTCCTACTCCTTGCTACTTTATTAGTACCATAGTACACACTGTTGTTGTGATCACATGGGCTCTACATGCTGGATCCGGGCGCTGCTAGCTAGAGGTGCCGGAGTGGAGTCTGGAATGGACAACTTGTATCGGACTGCTGATATAGGAGATTTTAGATGCAGGCCGGTATAATCCGACATTTGATTTTTGGCAGATATCGGACCAATATCCGATATCAATATCATATGGGGACATCCCTAGCTGAAACACTGGTGGACAATAATACTCAGAAATTATACAGCTCTAACTAGAAAAGCACTCAGAGAGCACCAAGCAGCTCATGTCCCCCCTTATATTGTGATTCACACCAAAACTTTTACTGTTACGTGTCTTTTATTAACTTTTATTTGTGTTGAAACTAGTATGTTCACTGTTCATAATGTTCCTTAAACAAGAAATGCCCTGACCCGGATTCGAACCCATGACCTTCTTGCTGTGAGGCGACAGTGCTAACCACTACACCACTGTACCGCCCATCTACACCACTGTGCCACCCATTGGTTATCTTTCAGCATTGAAAATTCCAACGACACCCTTATTTTTGTGTGTTCTGGATCATAGTATCCGGAATTTTGTCTGGATCAGGATCAGCCTTTGACACCTCATAAAACTCATTGAGATCCTTTAGTGTAATTTTTTACTAAAGACTCTGGACATTTTTATTGCGTTAAATGCAAAAATTCCAAAATTTGCCCTATCTCACAATGATAAAGAATCCTTCAAAAATTCCTGGATCCAGAAGGCGATCCGGATCACCACCAAAATGTAATGGGATCCTCCTGGGGCTGAGACGCATCTCTGGTGAAAATTTCAGGTCAATCCGTCTGTAACTTTCTCCGTAAAGTTGGTAACAGACAAACAAACAAACCAACGCTACCGAAAACATAACCTCCTTGGCGGAGGTAATGATAACCCTGGTTCCTCTATGTCCACAACATGTACATCTTTTACCTCCTCTTCTTTTCTGTTCTAGAAAAGAGTGTTTTGTTTACCAAATGCTGGGATGACCACTTGCTGTTTCCATGACATTAACATAAGATCACCTTCAGTTATCTTCCGATTGAAAACCTACTTCAGCCGCTGAGAGGATGCGTGGCTCGGAAAGGAGATCACAGTTTAAACGTCTCCTCGTTTATGTCTCAATGGGCCTTCTTCAAGGTCCCATTCGGATGGAAATTCACCTCATACAGGAACATAAAAGAGTTATTTATCTCACACAGATGTTAATTTGAGGATTTTACTACATCATTTTACAGCTCTGTGCAGAGATGTCACTAAAGGAATAGCTGTGTAAAGGCAGCCCCAGAGAAATAATAAAAAAAAGAAACCCTTGGAAAAAATAGAGGTCACACTCTACAGGATATTTATTAAGATTTATCGGGTGTGCCAAAGGAAGCCCGTACCAACTTTAGTGAAGTTGCTAGATTTACTGATCTTTCCTACTGGCATGGAAAAACAATCTGTTAAGCGAAAAGACAGGCAAGCCAGAAAGTGTATTTATACAAGATAAACACGCTGTAACAATAATGTCTGATTTGATATAGCATGTTCCCATTTGCCTGGCCTATGTTTAAGTCTGCTTTATTGCACATAAACATACAGTACAATCCCATTACTGTCTCAAGGCAGCATCCGGGTGCGCAATCATCACTGTGCATTCGACTGTCATCAAGTTTAATCTGTTTGTTGAGGATATTAGTCTGCACTTCTGGCTGCAAGGGCGAGGAAGTGGGGATGGACTGCACACAGCTACATAAAATAGAACAAAACTGCAAAGATAAAAATGCTTAGATAGGACCACAGTGTTCAGAGTGAGATGTAGAAAAACCTAGATGTAACTGAAAACACCAAAACAGTAGTTTCCGAGTATGCTTGTCTGTTTAAAGGCGCTGAAGGAGATAATATAACACAGTACTTCCTACTTCAACCATCTGCACTGTCCCTTAATGTGCCTCCCTCTCTCAAGTAAACCATAAAACTCTTTCTCCTTTTATCAAGGACAGAGCGGTGCTTCAGGAAGAGACCATTTTAGTTACACACACACCTTCGCTGATGCACAATCCACTGATTCAAAGCAAACCCTTTCAAAACTGTGAGCTTTCATTTTAGCTTGCATAGTAAAACAAATCCCATCACGGTGATTTTGCTGCTAGTTTTTGCAGAGACCTTCTTCTTACTAGTAGGGGTGGGAGAGAAAATCGATACACAAAGTATTGCGATATTTTGTCTGGTGATATATTGTATCGTCTCATCCAACAAGTGTTGAGTTTTTTTAATTAATTGCTAATATGAACTCAGGTCTAAAGAAATGAAAAAATAGCATTAATTGTTCGTCCAGTGAGGCTTGCAGAGGTGTATTATAGAGCACCTGGAGAGGGACATTAGGAATGAAAGCAGGACAATGAATGAGATGGACGTGACAAAGGTTTGCAACAAGTGCTACATGAATATAAAATATTGCATCAATAAGACAAACACAAAGGAAAGACAAAAGCTACATCAGCGAAGCGGTTGAAAGAAATTGTATGAATCGCAATATATGGTATTGCAATACTCCGAAAGAGGATTTGGGCCACAAGAGGAGAAAAAAATAATTCCAGGAGATACATATTCTTACATTTTCATTTCGAGACTAAAGTTGAAAGTTTGAGATTAAAGTTGAAATTTAAAAAAGTCAAAATTTCAATTTAATTCATGTCGACTCTAATCTCTAAATTGTATTTTTTTAATCTCGAAATTTCAACATTTTTCATTTTTCGACTTTATTCTCGAAATTTTATATTTTTTAATCTTGAAATTTCAACATTATTCACGACATTTTGTAATCTCGAAATTTCAAATTTAACCTTGAAATTTTAACAATAATCTCCTTCCTGTAACTTTTTTTTTTTCTTCCTGTGGCCCTAAATCCTTTTTCGTACAATACTCACTGTATCGCGAAATGTTTAAAATCGCAATAATATCCAATCGTGGCCAAAGTATTGTGATAATATTGTGATGTGGGGCCACTGGTGAATCCCACCCCTACTTACTTGGGCGCATTTTCTCCCTGGATCAATTATAAAAGAGAAAAAACCTCATGCTGGGAACACCACTTGCTGTTTCCATGACATTAATGAGAAGGTGAAACACCAGGCAGATGGGCTCACCTTTAGTTACCATCAGATTGAAAACCTACTTCAGTTAAAGTCAGTCGCTGTAAACAAGCAACGCTCCTCTGACCATGACAGTCTTCACAAACAGGTTACTTACTTTAACGCTCAAAGCCAAACAATACAGGAAAGGTTGGAAGTCAAATCCCACTGAGGCTCTTTAATCGAACAAATGCTTCTGCTGCACTTAATTATTCTCAAACAAACTCCATATGAAAGTGTCTGCTGTTTACTAGCAGCAATAAAAGTCCCCTGGTAATGACTCTTTGAGGTAGAACACTGAAAGCATTAAACTGTCAGCCAGTCCTGTGTTTTATATCACGGTCGATGTGTAATTCACAGTAAAATCTGATCATTGCTGTGAGCCGCAGCAATAGAATATTTGTCTAAGAGAACATTACAAAATCTGACCCAACAGTTTAAGGTGTTTTATATTATAATATATTTCTCCTGCGTTACAACAACATGCAGTTAAATTTGCATCGTAAAAAATAAGAAGTTGAGCCCGACTACTCCGATCTGATGTGTGCATGTTTATGTTGCATCAGCCTGGCAAAAACGGTGTGAATAATTCAACAAGTGCAAGTCTCCAGAACACCTTCCAGTCTTCCAGGGAAGTCCATTACCCAGACTACTCTTCAATCAACGCATGTACCCCCCCTGCCTGCTGCATGATGCTGAAATACCAAAGACTAATCTGATTCCATGTCTGAGAAATACCAACATGTCATATTACTTTTGTGCTCGCTCCAATCCCTGCTGAGAAAACAGAGCCCCCAGAGTGCGCGCACACACCTGCGGGGCTCCGGCGCTGAGAGTGATCAGCGGGAGGGGGGGAGGATAGGATGAGAGCAAAAGGGAGGAAATGAGGAGAAACCCAGAGGCCAGAGGGAGCTAACTCCTGCAGACAGCAGACTACAAAGACAAGAAGGAGAATATGTAGCATGGTGCAACACCACACCTCATAGTTTGTGCTGTTTTTGTTTACAGACAGGTTTTCTAGGATTGTGAAACCCTGCTGATACTCTGTACAAACCTGCCAACAGTGAGGACCTAAAACACACTAACCTGTTCTCTCAGTGTAGTTGAAATAAAAAGCAAACAGAGGCTCAGGGATGTGTACTTTACATGAGATTATAGGGGATCATTTTGTAGATATTGCGGCACGTTACAGTAAACAATTTAAGAGGAGGAGCAGCAAAGACAGGTCACCTGGTTTAGTTACACAGCCTTTGTTATGGCCTCGGGCATGACAACCACCAACCAGGATACACACACACACACTCACACAGAGAGAGAGAAAAAAAGGCGCACATGCACAACATCCTGGAAGCAAACTTCAACAAGTTGCCCTTCTAAGGTGACATTGATCCCAGACTGTAGCCGGACTACAGCTCTCTGGCTGCGGCAGCTTTGCTCAATTGCATTACCATGAATTAGATTAAACTCTGCACTATCAGATAGAATCCAGTTAGCAGAGGGCTTCATGCCAGCCAATACTTTACCACACACGCCAGTCACACAACTCTAACGCTGTGAGTCATGGAGAAATACAGTAAAATTGCTACTGTTTGCACTGAATTAAAGCGCTCTTTAATTCAATGAAGGCCCTCGCGGGGAAAGCGGTATTTTTACAACAAGAACAGGACCTCTGTTCTCTGAGCAAACAGCACATATGGCAGCGAAATCAATGCGACCGTCGCTTGCATCTGTTTTCATATTTCATTGAGTCATTAGGCAGCGGGATGGCGTAAGAGGGGACTGTGATGGCTGAGTAAACATGTGCTCAGCTGAACAAGGATGGAGATCCTGTGTGCATGTGCACCTGTCTTTAAACGGAGACCTTTGGCTGACACACGAGCGGGTTGCGTGTTGTTACACAAAACCTGGCATGTAAGAAATAGTTTCTGGTGTGTTTGTAGGACAGAGGAGGAGTTGGATGGAGAGATCGACTTCTTATTACACTCAGCTTTCTTTTGAATCATTTGCTTGCTCACATTTGCTGCGGCCCCTTCAGCAGGGTGTCTATTTGTCTCCATGTTTGTCTATGTCTGCGTCTGTTTGTGTCCATGTGTTTGTTGACGTATGTGCGCCGAAGTTTATTTACTCTGAGCAACTTAGGCCTCTTTGCTCCAAGAGTCACTCTGAGGGTTTATGCAAAAACTGTTAAGCACTAAACCAAAAGCCACAAAACGCCCTTTCTTTGACGGTTACACGGTTTCAATGTTTTTTAAAGCCTGAACTTAAAGCCTGAAAATATCTTTAAATTTTTGATTTTTACAACCTCTTTATTCACATTATTGGCTGAAGCTAATGCTAAGATGAGCCTAAAAGCCCAATGAAAGAAAGTTATTTACACTGAGTCATATATTTTGAGTTGGGGACTCAGAGAAGTGGAAATAGTTTTAAAAAATTTAGATTTTTATGGCATCAGGTGACAGAACTGTGTCGCTGAGATTAACCTGCTTTTAGCCAAGGTTAGGGCTTCAAATAATGCTGATATTATTTTCCCTCTAGAGTGGAAAAACGGGCAATAAGTGTGAGGATTACAGACATACCCACTGGCATCTACATGAACGTATTGCAGACCCCTCACATACTCAGGTCTATGGTAACTCTAATGCAGATATTTAAACATAATGAGCTCCCCTGCCCGCAAGGTTTAAATCCCTTGAGTTACTGTAAAAGAGTTTTTGTTTCTTGTATTTCTTGTGTTTGCACACCTAGAGGTAAACAGTCGCTCCAGTGAAGCTGATAATGGGCCTAAAAGTACGTGGTATCAGTGAATCACTGAGGTGCTAATGCACCAAACTGAGAGAAACAACAAACACTGAAGGGGAGAATTCTCTTGAGAGAATTATTAATCTGTATTTTTGTAGAGTTATAAAGTAATTACCAGTGAATTAAGTCAAGAAAATAAACTCTACACTGTCCGCTGGCTGACATGTGCCTTTCTTGGGTTATATGTACAAAAAAAAAGCAGTTATCAATGTTTGTTTCTATGGGACTCTTGTTGAGGAAGTAATATTCTGTGGAGGGGAAGAATGTCTTTTTCCACACCAAATGACCCTCTTCAATGCTCTTCTTTGCCTTTTATAGTCGGGGATCACCCTCACGCTCTTCGGCCCCGGGTTACATAATTAAAATGAGCCTGGGATGGAAACTGGCTGCCTTTCAGTCACACACACACACACACACACACACTGACAGTAGCCAACTGTGTTCGGACAACACACATGTGCACGCACAGGCATTCAGAGCACAAGTACAAATATCAGGAAAAACATGTCAGTATTAAGAGTATGATTACCCAGAATCCTAAGTTAGGTTAGTCTGCAGGGTTGGTTTCTACTGCAAAACAGACGAGGATGTAAACGATATCATAAAACACACAACTCAAGAGTTCTATAAATAGTCGTCCACTTCAACCGTCTGCCAAATTGAGTTACACAAAGAATTTAACACATGGCATAATGGATGGAGCACTCACCTAATAAATGATGGTCTCCAGTCTTTGTAAAATGAGTCATAGTGTGTGTGTGTGTGTATATGTGTGTGTATACGTGTGTGTGTGTGTGTTGACCTCGGGCCTCATGGCTTCCTTCAGTGAGGAAAAGCTAAGATCCCGCAGGGGGAACGAGAGCAAAGAAGGGAAGGAGGTAAGTGAGGGGTAAGGGCTGTCCCCGGGTTATCAGCAAACTTAATCAGAGTTATTTAGAGCACTGCATGTCTGACTGTGCATGTGAGTGAGTGTGTGTGTGTGTGTGTGTGTGTGTGTGTGTTTGCGTGTCTGTTTAAAAAGGCACTTAGTCAGGGAGTTCCCTGAATGTAATGAGGTGGAGGGGCCAGGCTGATGCATTAACACAGTTAGCTGAACTCTGCGACTGGGACACAGTTCTGTGGTCGAAGCCTCGCCCGCCATCTGTGAACAGACGGCAGCGGATCTGTATCTGCGCTTTACTTCTATGCTTTAATTATAACTCATGCAAAAGGTATTTCCAGTTAAGTAGGACAAGAGAACAGGAACATACCAATAAACCCTTGGGCAGGGCAGTACATCAGTGATGCAAAAAGATTTTTACATAACTTGGGAAAGCCCTGCAACTCTGCTGCTTTAAGCAGATTTGTATGTAAATGAGTTCTAAATACAGCCAGAAATCCTCAGTCGATGCACGGTCATGAATATGCATAAGTGGAGCCACCAAATGTTAAATGGAGAGGCTTGTTTTCATCTATTTGTGGAGGACGATAAAGTCTTCGCAGCTGATATTTGGCAATATTACGGGACAAGATTATTAAAATAAAAGAGGCACAGAGAAGAGAGTGAGCGAGTGTATGAGAAGACTAAATAACACTCAACAGTTTCTAAAGGATACTCGGACTTCAGTCGAGGCTTTCCCTCAGGAGCTAACAACGAAAATCAATGCTACACTGTTCAAGGAGGCATGTGAGGACACAGCTCGAGTCGAACAAAAGGCTGAGTCCAATCATGGAACGAGTGGTTTGATGTTTCACTCGAAGGTGATGAAGGTGAGCACAGGGCAACCTGCGCAGGCCGGTTAATTTTGGCCTAGAAGTTAGATAACTGGCCTTTGCAGAGGGATGCCTGCAGAGTGAAAATACCAAATTATCCCCAAATTAATTTGTTACATCACAGACTCTGCGCTGCTGCTCTGCACTCTGTGTGTGTGTGTGTGTAGAGGTCTCATTTAGACCAGATTAAGAGGTTAAAGGTTCAGTTTGCCCAGCTACACATACAGTGCCGAAGACTCTTTCAGGACCAGGTTTGCCCAAACATGGTCAAAATTATAAAGGATACACACACGCAGACACACACACACACACACACACACACCAGACAACATAACATATTCTGGTTGACCTATAAGAAGTTATTTAAACACCCATGAAAGAAAGTTTCCCCCCAATTTAACTCAGTCCACTTGAGTTCAATGTTTTCGCCGAAGAAAAGCTCTCCTGGGTCTTTCAGCGTGCTTACGAATGATTCAGAAGTTATAAATTTATACACTCACGATGATAAACTGCAAACCCTATTTTGGAGTATGCTGTCAGATCTAACAAATTGTCAGCTCTTGCAAATTCTCCTTTGCTATCCAGCTCAAAGGGGGGCACTGGGATTGTGGGATTGTCCAGCAAGTTATAGGAGAACGAATGAGTGATAAACAGAAGCTTTAGATTTAAAGACAAGGAAAACTGGGCGGGGGGAGGACCAGCAGTTACTCAAAACTGTGGGATTTCTCTCATTGCCCAAATAAGTACCTATTAAAAGAGAATTTGTGCCCCGCTGAGCTGCCGATAAGGCAGCCAGAAGACAGGAGACGTGGAAATAGAACATGTCCATATAGAGAGGAGAGCGGTGGAGAGAGGGAGCAGGATGGGGGCAGGGGTTAAATGCTTCCCCATAATGTGTGCTTTCCACTGGCATAAACCCAGTGAAAAGAGTCCCCAAGTCCCCGCTGACTGACTCACCCCGAGGGCCGACTGTGAGCATGATTGAGCACAGGCAGCTGAACTATTACCCAAGAAATTACAGCTTTTTAAGCAGTTCCACATTCGAGTGCCGTGTTTACCAATGTTTGAAAACACTAATGATGAGAGACTGGAGGGGTTTTTCATCAGGTCTTCCTCTGGCAGAGACTTTTTGACCACAAGGATTGACAGAGGAATAGTAGGCAAAAAAACATGAGGAAAACCTTTCTTGACAAACACATCACAGATGTTGCTCTGCTCTGACACCAGTCGTCTCCATAGCAACCTTGCCGGCCAGTAATAGCCTCTAGCTTGCCTGGCTGCAGTGGCGTCATCGGGATGCACACACATACACAGAGGCACACAAACAAGCAGATTTTTGCTTCTGAATGGGATCCCGGTGGATATTTATAGAGACAGAGAGACTTGGAAGCCCACGCCCAGAGAGGAACTAAACTAAATCTAAAGAGATCCTCCATCGGTGAAAGCTTTAGCCACACATACAGACACATACACACATAAAAAGGGATCCACTAAGTCCCCCAATTCGAGTAAACAAGTCCTGTAATTGGTGATAACAGATAGCAGGGAATTATACATTAGAGCTGCTTTCCCTGGTACACAAGCTGAAAAGGATGTTCAGCTTATTATGCTGTGATTTGTCACATTCACATTCTGCATGACACAGGCAAAGGTGTACCAACAATGGAGCCCATAAATACATTAGTTTTTGTTTTCTCTTAACCTTTCAGACTACTGCTTTACTATTGTATTCCCTTTAATCTGTTTCACTATAGCCTCCTTTACATTTAATCTTACGACTTTGTCTCAAGGTCAAACTAGGCCAGCATGTAACAGTCATAGGGTTCCTTTAAGTCCATCTCACTGTGGGTACAGATAGCTGCTGCTGGAACAGATTTGGCACGGCAACAAAATCTTTCAAGGTCTGAAAATTGATGTCGTACCAAAATTGGATCTGTCAAGCTGCTCTGTGATTCTTGTAGGAAAAGCCAAACTTATCTGTGTTTTTTCAAGGCAAAGTTGGACTCACATCACAAATAGCACCTGGGTTTCAGTCTATCAGGAAAACACAGGCGCATCCCCAAAAAATCCAGTATCTAAAGATTAATATGCTATAGACTCAATACATGTAAAGTAAGATATTTTAAACTTTTGTCTTTGTTTATAAACAGCTCAATGTAAAACTATATATCACAAAATATTGGAATATTTCATTTTGGATTAAGTTGATATTGTGCATCTCTTAGTCTATTCAAAATCCTGCATCTACCAAGACAGTCTGGCTGCAGACTCCCACTGTGAGGACCCCACCACGAACGTAATGGACGTTAAATCATATCCTTTCAAAGTAAAAGCAAATATACCAGAAGTGCTTTTTTCTTTTTTTTTATTAATGTCAGACCTTTAGATGATTTGAAGCCTTTCAAAATAAAAAATTTATACCAGAAGTATGTTTTTTTTTTTGTTATATGTCGGAAGTTGATTCGAAGCTTTTCAAAATAAACGCAAATATACCAAAGGTGTTTTTTTTTTTTAATTAATAAATTAATTTTTTTAATTATTATTTTATTATTTTTTATGTTGAAAGTTGATTCAAAGTAATTCAAATTAAAAGCAAATATAGTGGAAGTGCGTTTTTTTTTTCTTCTTTTTTTTCTTTACGTTTGACCAAAAGTAGATTTTAAGCCTTTCAAAATAAAAGCAAATATACCGTAAGTATTTTTTTTTTTTTTTTTTTTAACATCGGAAGTTCATTCAATGCCTTTCAAATTAAAAGGGACTAGACACAGGGAAGTATGTATTTTATTGTCCCATGTTAATATACTTTATTTCTTGGGGCTTTTTTATGTTTTTTTGTGTATTTATGCATTCAACAAAGACATTATACATAATAGGATGACTACACAACAAAAAATAATAATAAAGCGCGTGAGAAAAAATCGTCATTTTGGGTCCTCTCAGTGGAGGTCTGCAATGAAGGGTCCTGACAGTGGAGGTCCACAACCATGAGGAAGCCAGCTAACTAGAAGCCAATCACAAACACCCTCCACAAGGGGGTACACCAAAGATGGTCACTGCTGACAAGGTTGCTCTCTAAGAACTTGGGAGGATTTCACAGGGAGTCGACTGAGGCTGGTGTCAGTGCATCAGGCCACTCCTGGACCAGAACCAACATTAGACAAGTCTCACCTGGACTAAGAAGTAAAAGGGTATATATCTGTGTCGTTGAAGATAGCAGCATAGTGACTCTATTCTGCTCTATAATGGCGTTCAAGACTGTAAGTGACGATTAAAGGGTTAAAGATTGAAAACCCTTGTCAGCTTCTGTACTGTATATGTGGGAGGTGAATGTCAGAGTACTTACCAGGTAACAGGCAGAGGGACAGAAACCTGAGGGGAGGGGGCACACTGGAGGACAGCACTGGACCACTCTGAAAAGAAAATAATAGAGAGCAAACACAAGAAAGAGAGAGGAGAAAAGTGGGGTAAGAATCAGAGCAAAAAGGAAATTAGTGAAGTGTAATTTGCTCATACTCATTCCCTGTTCACTTCATTATTCAGCTTCATCTTGTACACTTACAGCAAGATTACAGATACTTGTGGTGCCTTCAGGGGAGACACTGACACACAAACAAGCGTGTCTCTACACAAGCATACGCTCACAGCACACACACACACACACACAGGGGTGTAATCACTCTCCACTCCTCATGCTCCTCATCTTCTTTGGCTTTTGCAGATTTTTAATCATTCCTCTGGCTTCTGCTTAATAAACTTTTAATGGGAAGCTGCTTCCCTAAAGTAAGGCTGCCAACGTCAGAAAGAAAGGTGGAAATGAGCTGGCAAATTAGACCAACGGCACCACCTCTGTGTCTGCACTGCTGTAGCTTTTAGAGGTGGGTATATCACCAAGGATATGACAGTCTGCTAAAAGCTTTACAAGTAAATGTTAAGGACAGATTGGGTCAAAGGAACAAGTAGGCAGAGGAGTTAAAGAGGTGGAAAACTATAGATAACAAAAAGGATTATCTGCGTTCTGAAAAGCCCTTTTAGACCTTCACGTCTGCACCGAAGGCAAGACAAATTTCCCAACATTTCCTGAGCTTAGATGTGACCAAGACACTGCATGTGTCTTTCGGCACCTCGGGACAGGGACTGAGGCAGTAACGGTTTCTTTATACAAGCTCTCTGCAAGATAAACTTCGCCAGATAAATGTAGACACAGAAGGCTGGATTTCAACGGCTAAATGAGGAAAAGCCGCTGCTCTGCAGAGTGTATTTACATCCAGGATTGTGCTGCTATCGTATTAATGTTTAGTTTTGTAAGCTCTCTTAGAAAGTGTATCCTGTTGCCAGCGCCTTTGTTCCGGTTTGCAGAAGGTTTATCATCCAGAGCACTTTAGATGTATTTCAAAGAGACTTTTGAGTAACAATTTACATATATATAAATATAATCTAACATCAGCAAGTTAATACACATTACAATACAAGCGACAAACCCATTCAGATGTCAGCAAGTACAGCTATCAAACTGCTCTGCTGTGCATCCAAGGATATCATCCTAGAAACAGTTTCTATTCAGCCATCCCCATTGGTGGGTAATTCACACCAGCTCTCCGTCTATTATTTCCTGAATGGCCATTTCCTGAAGGATGTGTCGTTCCCAGGGGAACCATCTTTAGAGATGCTCTTCTATCTGAATCTCATGAGCACTCATATCATAGCTGGATTAACACCGAGCGGTGTGTTGATGTACAAAACCCAATTCCATTGAAGTTGGGAAACTGTGATAAATGTAAATAAAAACAGAATATGATGATTTGCAAATCCTTTTCAACCTACATTCAATTGAATACAAGACAAAGACAAGATATTAAATGTTCAAACTCATAAACTTCATTTTCTTTTACAAATAATAATCAACTTTAGAATATGATAGCAGCAACACGTGACAAAGAAGTTGGGAAAGGTGGCAAAAGATACTCAGAAATTTGAGGAATGCTCATCAAACACTTATTTGGATCATCCCACAGGTGAGCAGGCTAACTGGAAACAGGTGGGTGTCATGATTGGGTATAAAAGCAGCTTCCCCAAAAATTCCCAGTCATTCACAAGCAAGGATGGGGCGAGGTTCACCACTTTGTGAACAACTGCGTGAGCAAATAGTCAAACAGTTTAAGAACAACGTTTCTCAAAGTACAATTTCAACATCTACGGTCCACAATATCATCAAAAGGTTCAGAGAATGTGGAGAAATCACTGCACGTAAGCGGCACGGCCGGAAACCAACATTGAATGCCCGTGACCTTTGATCCCTCAGGCGGCATTGTATCAAAAACTGACATCAGTGTGTAAAGGATATCACCACATGGGCGAAAGCCATTTATCAACAACATCCAGAAACGCCGCCGGCTTCTCTGGGCCCGAGCTCATCTAAGATGGACTGATGCAAAGTGGAAAAGTGTTCTGTGGTCTGACGAGTCCACATTTTAAATTGTTTTTGGAAATAGTGGACGTCGTGTCCTCGAGGGCCAAAGAGGAAAAGAACCATCAGGACTGTTATCGACGCAGAGTTCAAAAGCCAGCATCTGTGATGGTATGGGGGTGCATTAGTGCCCAAGGCACGGGTAACTTACACATCTGTGAAGGCAACATTGATGCTAAAAAGTACATACAGGTTTTGGAGCAACATATGCTGCCATCCAAACAACGTCTTTTTCATGAACGCCCCTGCTTATTTCAGCGAGACAATGCCTTCCTGCACTGCGGCCTCCTAATGCTAGTCTTAATCAACCAGAAATTAGAAAGACAAGAACTGGACAAAATACATTTATTCGTCAATATAGCATTTAAACCAACTCTTCATCATTTAGCTAGGGACAAGACACTTAGAGAAGTCAAAACCTGCCTTAAGTTGTTCTGCGGTTGTTTAGATTAAGGCACAAAGGACTGATAGATTGGTCTGTGGTTGGTTATCTCAGTCAGTCAATCAGAGTCACTCGAACTATTGCAAGCCTTTTTTTATCATCATAAAAAAATAAATACAGAGTACTGAATGGGGAAATGTAAGCGTGACAAATGTCAAGTGTAGCTTGTGGTGTGAGAATGGGTCAAATTGCGTGACTGTCACACTAAAATCGTGACGCTTGGCAGCTCTGCAATTATGGAGCATCTCTTTGCCACTGATAATGTAAAGAACAGCAGGACACCTCAACATGTCTGTTATTGAGCTGCCTATAATCCAAATCAAACTGGCTGTTTGGGACTTTTACGTAAAATCATTTACCCTGTCAAAGAGCTGAACAAACAAAAAAAATCAAATAGTAATCAGGGACTGGTTGTAGGAGTCAACATCTCTTGGACAGATCATTAGTCAATGATCCACTCTGTATTGATCCTGCTCCATCCACTCTGTCTTTGGGACCATCTGCCTTCTCCCTCTCCCTCTCCTCTTCATGTGGATGGGCCTCTCCCACAGTGGCAGCTTATGTGGATCAAATATTGGACATGTCAAGTGGCCTCACTGGCCGAGAGCTGTTCACAGGCCTCTTCAGCCAGGGGAGAGGATCAGTGGGTACGCTCTGCACCAAAAAAGGGAAACTGTGTCATGTATGCAGAAGGCAGTATTTATGTTCCGCTGAGCGTTTTGGTGAGAACCGACAGTAGGATCCTGAGAGAGATAGACAGCTAAGTAAACAAACAGATAGGCAGAGAGAGGACACTTCATTAAAATGGGGGTATGTTTTCCAACAGAAGTGTGGTTTAAAACGCTCTCTGACAGTGAATCAGCTGCTGGGATTCCCTCAGGCAGGTCACAGGACTGTGGGGAAGCTATGATAAGAGTTTGTATACGGAAGCAAAGAGTTTGATAGTAGAATCAGAACTTCATGGTGAAAAAAGAAGCTTACTGGACTTGGAAATATCTACTTTCTCTATGTTTTAAAAAAGAAAGGACATGAGCCTTTGCATTTATAATCAAGAGTGGGAAGAGTTTATCTACCAGAGGAAGTTCCAGATACCGTGTATTTACAACATCAGGGTGACTAAATAAAGACCGTGCCAGCTCTCATCTGTCTTTGGATTAATTGGTGTCAGTTTGGTGGGGACTTTGAGGTTAGCTAGAAGAAGACTTCTGACGTTGTTTTAAACCAAAACCGAGTGATTAAAGTAAACAACAGGTCTGGTATTTGAAAGGAATCTAAAGCATTAACTTATTATGAAAGTGGTCAGAATTTTCAAAGTATCCAAGTATCAAGTATCTATTTATTTTACTGGTGAACTCCTGTTGTTATGACAACACTAATTATTGTATTTATTGCTCTATTTCTTTTTTATTGCAGTATTACACAACCTGAGCGCATGCTGCAGATTTTTCCTTCGAGTGCAGGTCAAAGAATCGACTGAACCTCTCCTCCCTGTCGGCACTAGAGTCTAATTCCAAGTTAAGACCTTCTCAATACAGCAAAACCTGACAGAGTAACAGGTTCGAAGTGAAACCACTGCTGGTTCTTCAGATGTTATTTTCTATTTTTGTATTTTTAAAGTAAGACTCCTTCAGTTTGAACAAAGAAGACTTCTACCTGCAAAAGCGCTACCATGGAAACCTCCAACCAGGAGAGTCCAGCGATGGACTCGACATCAAACAAAGGGGGGAATGAGCTCGATTACCTAACAGGCCTTCTTCTTCTTCTTCCTCCACCCTCCCTTTAAGAGTATATTTTTAGAGGGTGCTATTCAGAGTAACATCCAGCGGTGCAGTAATAATTCCCTTGATCAGGGCAACAAGTAAGAGGCAGGTAATCTCACCCCCACCTGCCAGAGGATTTAAATAGAGTAAACACTGGCTCCACCATCATCACTCAACCGCTGACAGCTCCACAGGGGAACCACACAGGGGTGCTGATTAAAAAGACAGCACTGTTAACACACACATACACACTCCTACAGGTATCATAAGATGGGATATGGCGGGGGGAAGTGACATTATCGTTGATACCAGGAATAGCCAGGTCTTAAAATAGCACCTGAACGCACCAAACTTGTACACACACTAGGCGAAGTTTGAGTTAGGAAGCAGCTGGGACTTGGAAGTAAAGCCTTGAACAGAGCCTTGTGAAAATAAACACGCTGTTATATAAATGTAAGTATAAAAGTAAATAGCTAACGGCCACCACAAGGTTTTTATAAGCTTGTCAAGGTGTGAGGAAAAATGACTGGAGGATCGAGCATATGTCTCTAAGTCAGGATATCGACCCAGCTGGAACCAGGACATGCAGCTCTCTGTGGGACTCTCTGTTAGCCGGTTTGCTGCCATGACCACACCCATGGGTGTAGAGTCACCATCAGCTATTTTTTTTTTTAGCTTCTTTGTCGCTCTTTAGAGACTCATTCGAGGAGGGAAATACAGCAACACCATTCCTCTGACCGGAGGAACCCTCTGAGAAAACCCCGCCCCCTGTTTATCACGCAGCTGTGTCCCATAAGGAGTTCTTGGAGCATCAAAGTGGGGTCAACAGATTGGAAAGTGCTAAAGAAGAGAGATCTAAAAATAGTGGGAGTTCACTCTACCACTCTCTTAATTTCTGTCAGAATCTAAACACACAGGGAAGAGTAACCGAGCTGTATGTCAGGACAACGTGTCTCCACCTTCTCCCCGTGAAGTGAAGCCAAATTCTCCATGCAGCAGACATTTCTTACATTTGGCGCCAAAGTCAGAATTAGGGCTGTCACTTTTTTATCTGAAACTCAAACTTTGGGGTAAAAGTTTATATCTAAACTGTAATGAGCCATTTGAACTCATGAGATTACACTTTACCAGTAAGGCTGTAAAGTCCTAGTCAAGTTATTGGTCGAAATGTGATGAATTGGCCAAAATTCTGATAGGTCGACTCGACTTGTTTCCATGTCAATCTACAGTCTAAGGTTGACTTCATCAGGAGGAACGTACCAAGTGCTAATGGGGGTGTTTCCAGGGAACCCCCGTTTTTACAGGTAACAGCCTGTCTCAGAACACCTCCCTTGTTTTCACCATTTTGAATTCGCCCAACCCACTGGAGACCGGCTGGAGACAAGAAGATTGAAGAGCGTCCACGTTAATCAACGTCCGGTGGTTTGCTGAATATTTATTTTTATTTAGAGCATTTCAACTTTCATGTTAGTCCTCCTCTACCATCCATGTCAAAGATATCGGTCGAGCCGCGTCGTCCCCCACCATCAGAGTCGGAACAACCCCTCCATTAGTCGATTTTTGGTTGAAAATTTCAGGGTTTTAGTCAACCAACAATGTCTTTGATTACCAATGCTTTAGGCTGCATGAAGTAGCCTTCTGTATCACCCAGCAAAGGGGCAACGACACGTGTACAACACCACGCCATAGTTTACAGCAGGCCCCTTGACAGAGGCTTGGAAAAAATCTCCAAACATTCGCACGTCAGGTTCAGAGTTGATTCCTCGAAAAACTAACAGTCCTGGTCAGGAGATTGGGGATCGAGTTACAGAGCTGCGGTACGACTTCCTTCCCTTACAGCCATCCAAAACACACAACACACTTCTTTCTGTGCCAAGAGACTCAGGTCCTTTCTTTGTCGGGTTGTTATTTTGTGCTCAGTCATAAACGTGGTAATTGTCCTCTCAACGACCTTGCAGGAAGGACGTTTTCAAGCTTGTATGAGGCTCTCACCTTCACTGTGTTGCAGTTTTGATTGTTTAGGAGGACAAATTTTGATCTCTCTGGCGGTAAAAAAGCATTTCTTAACTAAATAAGTATTCTGTATGCCCCTAACTCTCTATTCAGATTGAATGAACACTGTAATGATTGGGTTATCTGTATCAATTTCACCATCTGAATTATAAATGGTGAAAAGCTGGATTAAATTCCCCCAAGGTCTTAATATTGCAGCTCTGGTAAAATATGCAATCTATTTCTTCTAAGTGAAGAAATATAAAAAGGAGGCAAACCATGCAAAACCCCAGCTCTGGCTTGAATGGATGAGTGACATGAAACAACACTTTCTCTGACTGTCTCCTCGGTAGGACGTGGATGAAATTGAAATGGGAGGTGAAGAAAATAAGAGAGGCGTCCTGAGAGAAGCAGAGAGCAATAGTGGAGGACAAAAAGGCAGTCAGACAAAAAGAGAGAGATGCACACAAACTCAAACATTTCACACACACTTTAACTTTTCCTTTTTTTTCTCTTCTCTGTGATGCTGTCAGGAGCCAGCTCCCTAAGGGCCGAAAATGAGAAAGAGGCGGCAAGAGAGAGAGAGAGAGAGAGAGGGTAAAATCCAGGCAGCGAGAGAGAAAAGGTGAGAGGAAGAGGAGTTTTTCTACTCAGTGAGTCAGACAGAGAAGACAGAGAGAGAGCATCACATAGTTTTGCCTCAGAGAGTGATGGATGGCGGTCTTAAACAGGTACAAAATTAGGTCTGGGTCTTTCTGCGCACACAACAGGAGAGTACTTAACATCAACCAATGTGCAGACTAATTAGGAGATCGCATTAGCAGCAAAGGTATCAAGGCTCCAAGGGTGCAATCACAGAGCCGAACCCTTCACAGCCAATGACAGAAAACCATTAAACCTCGGCTAATGTTGACGACGAGTATTATATACAGTATCTGCTGCCATCAGACACATTTATGATACAAGCCTCCTGTAGTTCAGGGTAATGTCATATTCAAGCTTTACTAATTCATCCTAAAACTTCAGACCCAGGTTTGAGAGTCAAACTTTTCTCCCTTTTCTCTCCCTGTACGTCAGCGCAGAACAATGAGTCAGTTTAACAAATATAGGAATAAGAAAAACTTTACTAATCCCTGAAAGGAAATTCAATATAGATAAATATAGATCTAAATTCAAATGTAGATTTAATTCTCATTCACTCAAATAAGGGTTCTTCAACATGTTAATTGCAATTAATTAATTACGGCAATATTATCTAGTAGCAAATATTTACAGAATTTCCCAGTTTGGGATCAATAAAGTCTGTCTATCTATCTAATGAACTAAGTCGTGGATGAATGTGCTTTGATTGGCTCCAGCATGGATGGGCATTTTTGTTTTAAAAAAAGATGGATGGAAGCCTAGATTAAAAAATTTTAAAGAAATAGTCTAGTATCTAATGGTGCATATCACAGCAGCACTAGTGTGGAAGCTAATGTTAGTCAAATCCATGTACAGATGAGTGGATTCAGAGTAAACTCCATGTTTACATCACCTTAAGTTTACATTTTAAGGCATCTTTATTATCTCTGAGGGGCGATTTGTTTATTTTGGGTCTTGCATACCTGCAAAAATACTCTTAGTATTTAGTATAAACTTAGTATTTATCTACATTTGTCGTCCTGTTGAGTTAAAATGGTTTTAATATTTTTCTAAGTGTATCTTCTTCTTTGTTATTTAATTTGTATGTTAATAAAATGTTGAATTAATCTCTAGTATCTTTAGTTTTTAGTACAGATGCTTTAAAACTGGCAGTTTAAAAAAATCGTGATAATCAAGATCAACGATACAACAAAATATATCGTGATCACTTTTTTCGCCGAATCGCCCAGGCCTATTCACAGCATTAGATAAGACCTGAGTCAGCAGAGGGGGACACATGATGCTGCTGGAAAAAGGGTTTCCCTCTGAGTAACTGCCTTCAGGATTCAACAAGTGAATAACGCATGATAATAAAAAAAATTGACATTGACTTTATTTTCCTCCTCGTCTTTTAGCGTTCGTCAAATCTCCAAAACTCTTCACTGTTGGCTCTTCTCTAAACTCTACATTACTTTCAGAGTTTGTTATGAAAGCTCTCTAATGGATTCATGTGCTAAGCCCTTAGGTTTGTTTAAATGACATGAAGGGGAGTGTGGGATGAAAAATGGCCGAGGGCTTTTGACATATCTGGCACTGGTCGGAAATCCATGTTAGGGAACTGTTTGTCCGTTAGAGCCTGTGTTTATGCTTCGTCTTAAATTTGTTTGTTTTTCCTCGCTCCTAAAGTCCAGACAGTGTGCTTTAAAATGTATGACAAGTAAACGCCTGGATGTAAAACCAACATAAAGGTTGACTTTGTGTTCAGATCACAGACTAAGAAGAAGAGGCACAAATTAGGCTCCTGTTGAAAACCTCCCTGTGCTCCACTTCGCAGTATCCGTATGAAAGCCGGCGGTCTCCCTCGCAGTCATTAGATTATGCAAGTCAATAATAAAATAAGGACAATTGTGCTGTGCTCCACATTCTGCATTTCAACTTAGCTGAGCAGGATAAATGATAAGCTCAGCTGCTAGATGTTACATAATTGCTTAGTCTTGCTTCCTCATACAGTAGTGGGCTGATTAAGACTCTTTACTGGCACATGCAGCACACACACACACACACACACACATATCCATACTCATGGCAACACAACATCCCTTTCTTACATTCCCAGTAAGACAAGAGCGGCGCTGTGGACAGAGGAAGAAGCCGCATTCCTGCTGTTAATCGAGTCATCTGATCTGACCAGCCAGTCATGTGTTGGAGCTGAGTTAGAGTTAGAGGCTCGGCAGCTGCTTTAGGCTAACACTAGCTCGCTCTTTTCTGCTGTTTACTGATCAGTCTTTCAAAGTATCTCAGAGTGAAGTCAACTCAAGTCCTCAAGCTGCAGATCTACAAAACAAACAAAACTAACAAACACGAAAAAAAAAAAAAAGGACATCACATCCGACACATTTATGGCTCACTGGTTTTATGTTCTGATAAGAGACTTTGGAGTTTACAATATGAAAACTGGCTTTGGCTTCACCGCTAAAAAAAACAGACAGGGATGTACCTGACTCGGAGATTATCGCTCATATTGGATTTGGCTGTTCAGTACACGGCTTCATCTATTTGTTCCTCTTTTTTCCAGTTTATAACCAAACACAATCAACTACATCAGCCTCCTATTTTACCTGTGAGACACATTCGTCAGTCTGCCATATGCTCAGGCTGTCTGCCGGACGATTTAACAACTCAAGCTCAAGAAGTACGCTTTGAAGCTCTGCGAAAGCGCATTTGAGAAAAGCTGTTTTTTAACACAAGGCTAGTTTACTCTAGGGGTGTCCCGATACACATCTTATACTTTCGATTCGATACCAATATTGTAGCCTTCAGTATTGGCCGATACCATTGACCCTAATTGGCACAAACTTGAGCTGCAACGTCTTTTTCGGACTTTAACAAAAAATACTGCCACACACCCGACGTCACTCCAAATCCTTGCTACTTTGTTAGTACCTTAGTGCACACTGTTGTTGTGATTACATGGACTCTGCATGCTGGATCCAAGCGCTGCCAAATAGAAGCCAGAGCGGAGTCTGGAATGGACTGCTTGTATTGGGGTGCTGATATCAGAGATTATAGATGCATGCCGATATAATCCGATATTGATTTTTGCTGATATCGGATCAATATCCAATATCAATATTGTATCGGGACAGCCCTAGTTTACCCAGTCTTGAATACTCTGATGGTTTATTTTGAAGAGTCGTCAATGTTTTGGGCTCTTTTAAAAAAAACTGTCCAGCACTAAAACCCTGCTAGCGTCAACTCCGGTTGAAATACTTGACGTCTTGTTCCGAGAAACACAGAGTTTAAGGTTTTTGTGGTTCTAGTAATTCACTCACTGAGTTCTTCTACTTTTTCTGAAGCAACTTTGAGAATGATACGCATTAAAAGTTAATTTTGAAGTTTTAAGTGTGGATAGTTTCACAGAAAAGTTGATTCGAAAAGTTTGGGACTAAATCCTAACCTTGGAAAAAAGTAGAGTTATCGATCTGAAGAGTTTTCTAATCCCACAAACAGAGCTGATTTTCCCTGCCTGATCACTAATGCATTACTTAAGATATGGTGGTTTGGCCTTTCTGTTTTCACACAAATAAAAAAATAAACAGACCAAATACAATCAATGAGCATCTCAGTGTCACGGTGGGTTTCTTAATTCCCCCTCAAATATTGACAGAGCGACAAACGCACCGATCATTTTGCTGACTTCAATCCTCCTTGTCAGTGAATTGTGAAGCCCCGTTCTCTCCATTACTGGGCTGGCTGGGTAATAATAGCTATCCAGGAGAGGATGGTGCAAAATCAAGTTTTGCATTCTGGAGCGAAGGTCGACAGTTTAATTGGAAGTGCAAATTGCGTTCACATGTATCCCCACGGTGGACTGAGCCACGGGTAAAGTGAGTGTGCACAGTGCGAGCGTGTGTGCATTTAAAGATGAGAAGGAGGAAAAGAAACAAAGAGTGCAGAGGTGGGTAATAGCTCTCCTTTCTTGCTCGGTAGCTAGATATTTTTAGAGCCCCGCATGAAACTAAGCAACAATTAATTAATCACTGAAGTGCTGTTTTTCTCTTTTTCGACCTCTCACGCAAACCAGGATGCTCCTCTCCTCGCTGCTAATTCAGCTGAGTGAATGCTGCCAATTTTTTTGTGTTCAGAATAAGTAAATATTGACTCAATGACAGCAGCTCTCATCAGTTGGTGTGAAAGTAAGCAGCTCCCTCCCTTTCTGTCCGCTTTGCTTCACCATCAGTCTCCCTCCCTGTCTCTCTCTCTCTCTCTCTCTGTGGCTGGGAGTCTGCAGAGAATACCCCTGTCATTAGATTCACCCTGCAGCTACACTTACCCTTGCAGTGGAGACACACTCTCCCATTGATCCGTCTTTTCTTTAAGCAGCAAATACTGTACCGGCAGTGTTCTCTACCACATCTGGACCAGCCAGGGTCACGTTGGGTTTGATCAGTTTGGTTGTATTCGAAGCCGAGAATGATGAGGTGGTGTTGAGTTTTGTTGGGCGTAGAGAGCAGAGGGCCAAGCTGGGATTAAGTCTGCCCTTTCTACAGGGTCGAAGGTCAGCAGAAGTGATTCATGTGGGATCTAGGGGAGGTTTTATTGGCAAGTGGTTACCTTAAGTGACCCTGTTGTATAAACTGGATCATAGAAACTCTTTGTTCCTCGAAGTCTAAATCAAGTCAAATTCATCCTCCTCTATCTTACCATCTTTTGATTTCATAAGAATGTAATAATGAAACTTAGATTTTTAATAATCGTGGTACAGGACTGCCACAGCTGCTTCTGTGAGCTCCCATTTGTCCCTAGCAAAGACAGATGTCAACACCTTAGCGTGCGCCAGGATAAATAAACGTGAGGAGCTCTCCTGGTGTCGTGAGGTGGTTAAGTTTTGCATCCAACCAAGAGCCAACTATTGTCTGCTGTTAAGTTTGCACAAAGTCTGGAGACTATAAGAGCTGCATGACCGCTTTACTCCAGGATGTCAAACTTTAAAAAAGTCTGGTACCTCACGTGACGGCAGCTGCTCCAGTGCACTGGCTTCAGAGTACAAAAAAATCATCTTTGTTTAAATTCATGAGGAGAGTCGTAGTCTGCTCATAGTCTGTTTTAGGGGTATGGATTAAAGTAAGAAGTCTTGATATATTGCGACTTACAGGACTGGGCAGTATGGCCTCAAATCAATATCACGATATATTGAGCAGTTCACCTCGATGACGATAAATGGACGATAACTAGTTACTTTAGCAGCCTCTCCAACTTTTGAACTGTCCTCCATCTCCTCACCTGGGCAAAATGACGGTTATTGTCGTAAAATTCAGTATCTGTAAATTTTTGGTTTATCGCCCAGCCCTAGAATCTTCTTCATTTACAACATTACTACATTGCAATTACTAGTTTCCTTTGCCCTCTTACTGCAGATAACACTCTCCCCTGCCCATCCAGAAAGCTCTCATGTGTTTTGTTTTAAAAAGAGAAGGAAAGAGGGCAGAGAGAGAGTAAAACGAGTTAAAAGCCCAGGCAGGAGCGGCTGTTCATACCTTGCATCATCCTTGAGTCTCCGGTATTCATGCGTGATCAGATTCTGCGATCCTGCTTTAAATTGAACTTTTACAACACCTTGAATGATGATAACAAACTCATAGGCTGCGCTCTGACACAAGAGATCAGGGACTGAAATGAAGTTGTTCAATATGACTTTGCTTTGACAACATGGAGCCTGATGATCCTTGAGTTACAGTTCTGCAGTTAATCTGTGAATTAAAGCGGACCTTGTCAGCAGACAAAATACCAACCACAGTAAAGGAAAGAAAGACTGACGGCAATAACACACAGATCCACGTTATGTCTCATAACTGTGCTGAATTAATTAGGTCTAATAGGAGGAGTAGGAGGCAATTATTATGATTATATCAAGGTGTGGGATAAAACACAGAATGGATCACTGCAGAGACAGAGTGTGGCAGAGACACAGACAGAGTCATATCTGATCCTTTCACCTCATTCGTTCAAAAACACTATAAAACTGCTGATCACGGGACAACCACATGTTTCAGATTTTAATGTGCGTAAAGTAATAAATCTTTGCAGACCTTTTTTTTTTTACTTTGAATATCCTCACATAAACTGTAATTGGACGACCTCTAGTCGCGTCACATCGCAGCCCAGGTCTGTACGTTTCATTTTGACACACTTTCTTTTTGATTAATAAGGTAAGGTTTCCAGGGTGTGATTTGTGTAAGCTGATGACTTAGGAATACTCACTGAGCACAGAAGACATTTTGACTATAATTATTAGGTATTTGAGTTATTATTGCTTAGACTTTGCTTTCTTTAAAGTAACCTCCTCTGGCTTTAACAACAGCTTGGCATATACCAGGCATTTGTTCCACAAGTTTTTTAAGGTATGTTCCAGGGATTGCATTCCAAGCTTTCTTAAGTTCATTAAAAAAAGAGACTGCTGATTCGTGGGACACGTTTTTCTGACCAATTCATCCCGCACAAGCTCAATTGCAGAGAGGTCTGGAGACTGAGGGGGCCAAACCATCTTTTGAAGAACACCTTCCTCTTCTTTTTTGTCTAGGTAACCCCGACAGAGCTTGGCAGAGTGCTTAGGGTCATTGTCTTGCTGCAAAACAAACTTATGAGCCACAAGTTTGAGTCCAGATGGAACAGCATGGTGCTGGAGGATGGAGTGGTACTGTTCCTAATTCATGATACTCTTTACTTCAAACAAATCTCCTACTCCATCCAGTTGAGATTTATTAGAATTTTTGTATGCAGACTCTCAAAGGCCAAAAAGTTGAAGTGAATAATCCAACTGTGATTTGTTTTTTTGCTTTTGCACTGAAGTTGTGACTCTTGCAAATGTTCTCAACCCTAAAAATAAGCCCTTATTATCTTTTGCTGACATATAATTAGCAATGGTCTGTTAACATCAATGTATATCTAAAGGTAAATGGAGTAAAATGGTGCATTTCCATGGAAGCAACATCTGATCATGGAGTAAATACATCCCAAAATGCATAAAACTCATGCTGGATTTAAAAAAAAAGCATTGTGAACAAAAACTTGAAGTTACTCCCAACTGTTCGGCCTGTAATGGCCTTGCTTCCGAACTTTGGCCCGTACATACAACATTAACTGTGTAAACCAAAAATTTGAATTTAGTGCCTCATGAGACTATTAGGACCCGGTGTTCAGTATAATCTAACTCGAAAACAAAGATCTCTGTGTGCAAAGGTGCTTTTAGAAACGCTCTGATGAAGAGGACAGTTTATCCGTCATGTGAGTTCGGTGAAAATGAGGACAATGTTTTTTAATGATGAGCCAAAGGGTGTGCTTTTCAGTAAGATGTTTTCTATTAATTCTGATTTCTTCTGGTTGGATAGTTATGAAATATTTTAAAAGAGGAACTTTTCCGTATCAAGCTTTATTAGCAAAGCCTGAGAGAAAAAGCAAAACACAACCTTTAAAACCGATCTGTAAAACATGCAACTATGAAATGACTCTGTAATGGATTATCGGACCACTGCGACTGCATAACACTTCTTCTGTGTCGAACATTCACTCCACATATTACTGGAGAAGCTGCTACAGCGCATTAGCGTAAACATGAAACTGTTTTTGCTCTGCGTTTGACATTTCTGATACGCAATATTCCCTCTACGTTTTTCAGAGCAGTTCTTTTAAAGTGATGCTGCCTTCGCCTGACGTGCGTGTCACAGATGTATTTTCAGTGAATGTCAAGGTCTGAAAATGCAGCAGAGGGAAGGACGATGTTTGAGAGCCCTTGATCCATGTGAAGATTTGTAATAGGAAATAATTTAGGGATGTTGATCCTGCTGCCAGTACAGACGTTTTTTGTGATGCACTGCTGCAGCTGCGATTGTGTTTTCAACTAAAGGATCTGATGGAGAGACAACATTCAATCTCACACTAGATGAGGCTGATATCCCTTATTAAAGACTCCTCTGATAAGTTGATTAAATACATCCTCCATCCTGTTTCAGAACCAAACCAGGAGAGAGAAATACAAACTGTGTCGTTTGTGAGTCATTTCTTCCCTCATTGAAAACAAAAGGAGGAACTTTGTTTCCTTCTGTTTTTTTACTTTTTGTTCCACACAACCGAAATGAAATGTTTGAGACTCTGATCTAGGGCTGGGCGATATGGCCTCAAATTATTATGACAATATATTGAGCAGTTCACTTCACAAGCTGGGGGGGCAGGCTGCGTTTTTCAAATTTGTCTCAACAGCCAAACTGGTTTTCAGATCATAGACCACAGCTTTAACTTCATCTACTTCAGCCGCTACAACTTTTGAACCATCCTCCATCTCCTCACCTGTCTTTCCCTCTTTGTTACAGACTGGATGGGGTGGAGTCATGTCTCCCACATAGGACAGCGTCTTCTAGGGACATGAGACATATGCTGCGTTCGAGTTACCTCAGAAGTCGAAAAAAAACAAAATTGGAGGCGGAAACAAGATGGCTACATCTATAAAGTTATTTTATATAAAAAGGACAAGGCAACCGCTAAAATAACTTTCTCAGATGTAGCCATCTTGTTTCCGCCTCCAATTTTGCTTTTTTCTGACTTAGTAACTGTAACGCTAGTAACTGGGGTGTGACGTCATTATCATCTCTGACATCTTTGTTCAGAGGTAACTACCAACACACATCCATTTATCTATTTTTCTGACACCTAATATATTGACATGAGCAAAATGACCGGTTATTGTCGTAAATTTCGGTATCCATAAATTTTCGGTTTATCGCCCAGCCCTACTCTGACCTGACCCTGAAAACTTCATGTATATTTTTCATTCTTACTGCAGCCTGTGGGGATTATATGCTGCATGAATCAGGAGCATTGTCCTGAAAACAAATCATTAAAAATAGAGCCACCAGAGAATTTGATATTCTATAGGAGCACCTGTAAATGACGCGCACACCCCAGCATGTCTGCACACTTTGCAGGGAATATCGAAAGGTAATACATACAAGGTGTATCAGCCAGTGTGCAGCCAGGCAATTCTGAAACCCAGCAGGATCAAATCAAATATGCGGCACAGTTGTGAACAAGAAAAGTGTGTGAAATCTAACAATATCCCTTATGAAACTTTTGTTTTACTTCTTACAAGAACGATCATAATCATCACTATTCTGTATCCTCAGATTTCCCGGGATTCAACACCGACAGGGAGCTTCCAGTGAAGCATGTATATTGACTTTAGGCTTAATGAAAGTGTATGGAGCTCAAAGCATCTGGAAATTAATCAGGGCTGACCATCAGACAGCCTTTATGCTACACATCCCACCATAAATACAGATTACATCATTAACACAGCGGCACATGTTACAGAGAGCAATCACTTCTCTGCCTCATTACAGTTTCCAGCCCTGCATGAGGGGAACTCAGCAGCAGCAGCAGCAGCAGCAGCAACGCAACACGCTTATCAATGAGTGATGTCTGGCTGTGCATCTCAGAGCCGGCCCTCCACATCAGTCTTGTATGAAATATACGGTGAAAAACGGCTCCTTGGATTCATCTCTCTGCACTAATCTGATAAAACGTCAGTCTCTAACAGCGCTCGGTGTTACTGTTTGCTGTTTGAACACTTTGAAGTGAAAGAGCATCTGTGTTCTCAAATGGGGGGAAGCAACAACAGCAGCAGCAGGACGGAGAAATAAGAGTCGGATGGATCTCTGTGTTACATATTAAGCGGCAGGAAATCCTCACCATCCCTCAGCTGCTTCATATTTGTTGTTTCTGAGGCTGCACCCCTTTGTTTTTTTGTGCGTTAGATTACACAGAGACATGCAGATAGATTGCATAACTTGCCAGGTAAGCCTCGAGGCAGGATGAGGCCATATGTTTCATAAAAATTATTCATACACTTAATTAATTTACTTAATGCAGTCTAAGCTATTAATATGCAAGCATGGAGCGGGTGCTCTGGAAAGAAGGAGCTAAAAATGTAGAGGGAGCAGGAACAGAGCATTTCCATCACATGCTCTCAGATGGTGTTAGCCAGCAGTGTTGCAAGAGAGGAACTAACTGGGACTGAATAAAAATAACACTCAGAAAATAAATAAATGTGCGCTCAAAACAAGCTTAAAACTCACCAGTTCAGCATCAATAAGGCTCAGCGGGAGAAGCTCATGTCTTGACCTGAAGAGACAAAAAAGGACATACAGTAAGACGGGGAGAGAATTTCATAAATCACAGAGGCATGAATGTGGACTTATTTGGTTGAAGGTCGAAAACCCTGGCACATGGTAGAAAAAAAAAGGGCGAGAGCTGAGGCAGGATGTGCACAACCTGCAGCTCCCCTGCCAAGGAAAATGCAAAGTAAATCACAGTATCGACAAACTGCTTCACAGCGGCCTCCGCTTGTCAAACTTTAACTAAAGGGGCAGACATGTCCAGGGCTGTGATTCAACATACAAACACAATACACATCTGTCAGTGTATGTGCCAGGCGGCTTCTCTGTTAGCCTATCATTGCATCTGGCTGTCTGCCTGCACCTCCGCAGTTAAAAAAGATCTCTCCATCAGTGTTCAAAAAAACATCCCTGAGGATGAGTGACAGCGTTGTCAAGGCTGTCGTGAGAGGAAAACCGCGCTGTGGTGAAACCCCCCGATCAGCCCCATCAAAACAAAGAAATGGAGCCGCAGACAGTGGAGCTAATAAAGTCCAGACCGTGGTAATTAGAAAAAAAAAAAAAAGAAGAAGAATAAGCAGTGCAAAATAAATATGTGAGGAAACCAGCGAGGGAGCACGCCAGATTTCAGAATAGAAAACAAGCAAATCGTGATGTACAGTAAACTGGCAAAGCAGAGGGAAGGATTCCAACTCCAGTCCCGGAAGAATAAATCTCTAACCTTCGAGCAATTCAATATGAAGCTGGCAAGCAGTATGAAAACATACAAAGAGAAAAAAGAGATTTTCTCACTTGTTATTGTTGTTTGGACCTGCTGCAGTCTGACAGGTTTGCCACCATTTAAAATGTTATTCACTTCATCATATAATCAATCCTGTATCACATGCACTGCTGCAACACAGTGACATTTGTAAACCCTTAGGTGATGAATGCTTGGATACAGAGAGCCAATCCTTCGATGCAATGCTCTACCTTCTCCATTATTCGCTCGCTTTTCATCAAAGTGCCAAAATC